TGAACTCAGGTGAGACAGACTGAGACACACACACACACACATACCTGTGCACCCGACAGGATGTTCAATCCTCTGTTCAAACCTCGGACAGCCCTTTCTAATGGGGGAGCCGTTGTAGCCTCTACGGTCGCCAAAGCCAACAGACCTCCATTGAAAAGAAGAGCAGTCATTTTGTGTGTCAGGAATGTTGTGAACACGCTGTGCCATCAAAAACAAAAAGGCACTTCCTGTCTGTGTCCATCTTTCCTCCTTCCTGCCAGGTTCACAACCTGCTGGTCCTGTGTGGATGTTTTCAGACACAACAGCAGCTTCAGAAAGTATTGTCTCATCACTGTCACGAGGACTGGATGGAATGTCTTTGCGGCTTCATTCATAATGAGTAATCAGGAAGCAGGTTGAGTCCTACAGGGTTCCTGTGTCTTTGTTTTGGTTGTTCACAGCATCCATCCCAAGCACAGCCCCTCTACAGTGAGCCTATAAACGACCAGGCTACATATGTCCTCTGATGGGTGGTGATAACAGACGTCTTTCTGTCATTCAGATGGACAAAGGCAGAGTTAAAGAAGTTTCCCTTTCCACATGTGTACGCCTGGACAGACCTCTGACAGACTGCTACACTGTTCCTCAACTCAAACCGCGTTTGAACTTTGTCGTCGTTGTCCTCTGAATCACTTGTGTGCCTCAATCAGCTCTTTTCCAGACCGTTGGGGCGGTTCATCATGTGCTAGAAAGTGTTGATCCAGCCTCAGTTCCTCTTGCTCAGGTCCACATACGTTGCAGTACATTCACTTGCAGCCACTTCCTGCAATGAGTACACGCTCCACAACACAAAGATATTCCTTTTTTCGGTCTATCCAAGCGGATAGATGGTAAACCTCCTTTATTCAGCTCTTCACAGGAACACTGCTTTTTAATCCAGATTATGTGGTGTAAATATATCTTACTGTCACATGAAACGGCACCTCTGTTTGATTGAACGGTCTTGGTATTTTCTGCGTTTTTGTCTTACAACTTTTTAGTTTCATCTTTCACAGCGTGTTTCCTGGTTTAATCACCTAAATATGTCTTCGGCATACGGTTGTGTTTTGCTCCACTCTGCCTTGTTCCTAAAAAAAACAAGACGACTATGGCAAAAATAGGACTACGGCAACAAAAGTATTGCACACAAACCAGTGGGTGCCATCACAGTGACTATAACGCAGTCTATGGTCACAATGGAAAAGGTCTGCATGTCAGGTCTCTGTAGAAATCGACTTCTTGCAGCCGTTTTCTTTTCTTTAAACGAGTAGTATTCTAGGGTTATAGTCTCATGGGCAGCGGTTGATTCTGGCGCCGCTGAACTCCTTGTTCGTTGTCATCGGTGGGATGTTGGACAACGAGGCTCAGTGCAAGCTAACCACTGTCAGTATGTCGGGGCTGATGAGACTGGCAGGCTCTACATGGAAGGAATGGCTTCAGTGTTCAGTATGCAGCCCCCTGTGTTTTTCCTTCAACATTGTCTGGTCGAAGGTTTAGGTCTACTTTTTGATGTGCCTCCGCCTTGGACGGGGTCTGCTTGCTATTGTGTCCTCGGGTTTCATTATGTTTCTCTCTTCCAGGGGGTCCTATGAGTCCGAGCCAGCCGGGCGATAGCGGCTCACTGTGCCAATGCAAATACACACCGACTCAAAATCTTATATAGAAGCATTGGTTCAAATTTCTATACTCCTGAAGGACACTGGGCTCTTATTGGCTCCTATTGTCTAATTTATTAAGGTGCAAGCTTGAAGGACAACATGAAGTATTAATGATCATTATTTCCGGTGAACTTTAGTTTGTCATTGCGGGTGGCTGCTGGACCGCTTAACTGCACAGTGACCAGAGTGTGGTCACCTATAATATTATCTTGGGGAAATGTGTTGGTTGGTCTCCCAATCCCGCTTCAGCCCACAGCCCCCCGTGGTGACGCACACACATGTTTCACTGCCCGAAGGCCACAGCGGAAAGAACACAAACTCTGTGTGCGTTCTGATGCTGTTAAAACCTTCTTCCAAACCCACAGCCCCCCCTCACACACACACACACACACCACCACGCTGGGCGCCTGCACGGCCATTGGATTGTTGTCTTTGACAAAATGAGTTTTTCATTCCAAACACACCGCTGCTCCAATGACTCATAGCTCGTAGAGGGAAAATGGGCCCACATGTCGCTGAGAGACAATCATCTTGTATTTGGTCCACATTGTGTCGGTAGGACTGATTGAATAATTTGTGTGGTTGAATAACATTGCGCTCGGGATTATTGTCTGGGGTACACTGTGACGTTTGCACCACGACTCTGCGCGAAGGGTCCACAGTCCACCAAACTGGCCTATTGTTTTCCATCCCATTGCCTCCACTTGACCCTTGACCCTTTTTTCTCAGGGACCTCCCACGACTGGCGGCTGCGCTGTGACGCCGTGAACCTCTACTACGCCTTGTTTGGATTGACCCGACCCTCATGCCTCCCCCTGCCCGAGCTGGGCCTCGTGCTCAACCTGAAGGAGAAGAAAGCTGTGCTGAACCCCACCATCAAGCCCGAGCTGGGGGTCGGTCCCGTCATGGACACGCCCGCCAGCATAGGCATCCATGGCGTGGGCATGAGCTACTCTGCTGTAAGTGCCGTGTTAACATTAAATGCACTAAAGTAGAGCAGAAGTTGTTTCTTGGCGTAGCAGCAGCTCCATTGGGTTTTATGCTGTTGGTGATGTAATCAGTTGCTTGGTGGTCTGTTTTGAATGTCTTTCTGATTTATTAATGCAACATAACAAATGTTGTAACTACAAAACAACATTCATCAAACATCAAAACACTTATCTTAGGTTGGATCTGTGTAATTATGGGTACTGTAGTGCTGCCAACTGGATTTGGCTGCACCTCTTACCCATTGCATCACTGTTGTGCACACTTCCAATCAGTCTGACTGCTGGTAGGATCAGTATTACCAGAATAATCTCACATGGAAGCAGTAAAGGGAGGGAGGTACTTTTCCACCAAACAAAAGTGTAAACAGTTTAGAGACTTTAAAAAGGAAGGAAAAAGCCATTTCACTACATATTTAAGTGTCTTTGTGTCTGCCAGGTGGATGAAGAGCCAGATCCCATCTCACTGGGGGTGTGTGGGGTGGGGCAGCCCCCTCTGAGCCTGAAGAGGAAGGCTGAGACCCCTCTGGGCTCCCCTCCCGAGCCGGGGCAGATACTGCAGCAACAGGAAGATGATGCGCGAGGAGGGCGCTTCAAGATCAGGGTAACGCACTTTCTGTCTTTTTGTTTGATTGAGGCTAAATACTCATTCATATACATCTTAAGTCCGCTTTGTTCAGTTCCAGCAACGTCTCTGCAGCTAAAAAGACGTATCGGAGTTCTGATGATCTGTTTTTGCTGTCAACGCGTTCTCTGGTGTTAACGTGTAGCTGCGGTTTGTTGTAGTTCAACACAATGGAAGATGAAGATATTGATATGGAGACGGTTCATGACAGTCAGGCCTTCATTCACCATCACCTGAATTTGTTAGAGAGGCCCTCCACGCCAGGTGAGCGCGCACACACACACACACACACACACACAGATCATTCGGAACAACAAATCTAACCCGGTAACACACACACCTGCCCGGTTTCTCTTCTCAGGTAAAGAGCCTCCGTCAGTCGAACAGTCCATGCTGTCCATGCCCGCCACGCCCGTGCCGTCCTTCCCGAAGGAGACCACGCCCCTGTCCTCCAAACACGGCGGCGAGCACGGGCACCACCACCACCACCACCACCACGAGCACAAGAAGAAGAAAAAGAAGCACAAGCACAAACACAAGCACAAGCACAAGCACGAGAGCAAAGACAAGGAGAAGGACCGAGAGAGGGACAACTCCCAAGCCTACAGCAACAGCCCGGCCAGCGGCAGGTCGCTGCGCTCGCCGTCTCTGTCCGACTAAAACATGAGGGGGAAAGTTGGGCTTCCAGTTGAGGGTTAGGGGTAACTGGTCACATGTGTCCCGCAGTAGCAGGCGTACGTCTCTAGTGAGCACAGAGACACAAAATAGAAACCAAACGGCATTTAGTTTATCTCTCCATTCCCTACTCCGTACTATCAACGCACAAAAAGAGTCATTTTGGCAAAGTGTTCAAATAAACGATGCTCTTTCGAGTGCCGTGTTCCTCAGATATATTTCAGGCGGCGCTCAGTGCTGGTTTGAGAGCGGGAACAGACGTTTGAACTGAGGCTAAAGTGTCATTTAACCCCTCCAGAGGCAACTCTTCTCTCTGTAGAAGTGTGTGGACTTTAGACACCGCTTCCAATCTGTCTGAGGCATGCAGCCACAAACGTCTCTTTACAAAGAGGCCAAAACCCTCAGCCCCCCCCCCCCCAGGCAGAAACATGATGTGTTGTGGTGTGGATTAGACCATTGTGCCTGGACTGGGCCTCTGGTGTCTTTAACAAACACGGATCCAGCTCCATAAAAATAGGCATTTGGAGTTTACTCTGGCACTGTTTCCTCGGACTGATTAGATGGTTTTAAACAGTGGAACATGCAGAAGTCAACGTTGGAAATAGCAAAATACGATGGACAAAAGACAGTCAAAGTCTCACATTGGTGAAATAATCCCTGTCAGCATTTATTCCCTTCTTCGTATTCGTCTTTATAGAAAGCTCAAAGACAATATTGGCGGCACGTCTGTGATACAAACCAGTCCTGACAGGAGACGTAGAGGAACAAGAGGTCAAGTAGAATTCACAGACTTCATGGATATCTAAGGATGCTTAACCTATGGAACCTTGGAACCTAGAAATTTGGCCCTGATATTTTTTATGCTGTAATTTGTTTTGTAACAATTGTTGATTCAATTATTTTTAAATAAATTGGATGCAATTTTATTAGTAGTTTTTGTGGCAAAAGCTGGGTTGTGGCAACTTTTGAGCTACATGGATGACGTTCCGTCCTTTTATTTTTTCTGTATCTATGTCTGGTTAGAATGAGGTTTCTTCTTTTCGCTTAAAGGGATAATTTGGGTATTTGGAAATGGGTTTATGACCCGTATATCTGTACTCCCGTATGAGGAGGCTCTAAAAAGAGCACAGATCTATTTCACTTTTAGTTCTGTTCCTCGTCAGAAATTATTTGCAGTATAGCCTAAACTCCTACCTATTGTTGTTTTGGAGTAAACGTTGGCTTTGCGACGGCTAATATAGTTTTTCATCAAAGCACTGAATTGATTTTCTCCACGGCTGGTACTCGCATCTATTTCTCCAAACTGGGAAACTCATCTATACGTTCTTGTTACGACCCCTTTTTCAAACATGTGGACTATCCCTTTAAGCTATTTAAATCCAAATTGTTTGGTTAAAGGAGACACCAATACTAATATAATTTCTTTCAGCAAGTGACTTACAGGAACAGAGCAAAAGGCCTGTAGACAGCAAAGCTCTAGGTCTGAATTCCAACCTGGCACTGCTACTACACGCTGTTTCCTTCCTAGATTATCGTGCCATCATTGAAGTTCCGGGGGGATCTATTATCTCAAACTGAATTTATTGAGATAATCGATCCCCCACCTCCCTTTTTGGTGCGTTTCTCCACACAAACCCTCCTCTGAAATTGGTCCATCCTGTCAATTTTTCATTGACTTTTGTGGCCATTCTGTGGAGGGCTTTTCTGAAACACATGATGCTCCTTCCTTAAGTCGCTCAAAGCTCTTTGACTTGCGCCCGCAGTATCCAACACAGCCAGTGGATCCCCACGGGACGGGTGTATGACACCGGGATCAATCTACAATGAGGGAATACTTGATTAATTCTAGGCTTTGTGTAACCAACAAACAACCTGCACCAGATATTTACCAAACTTCAGGCGTTTGAATAATTACATCAGAATCATATATTAATATTTAAATCAGACAAGACACTTTATTGTGCTCTTATTTCTTTAAACTTAAGTTTCTTGGCAATAGAAAACTCTTTACACATCTGAAGTGCATTGCAGGTTTATTTTGACAAAGCCAGAATTGTAGATCAATGGCAAGGATCGTGTGAGATGAATTAATATTAATAAACATGTTGTCTTATAACCATTATTCTTTTACGTTTTTGTAAGGATTTTTTACAAATATGTTCCTCGTAAACAGCCAACGTCAATCAATCTTCGGGTTTGAGAAGATTGATAATAAATGCAAATAAAGTAAGGACGAAATAATCATCTGCATCCCAGCCGAGACTAGAGCCCACCTCCAACCCCCCACCGATAAGTATCCGGTGAGCCCCCCTCCTCCCCCCTCCTCCTCCCTGCTGCTCCCTCCAACGGTTCTCCTCCCCGGTGGTCCTCTCGAGTCAGCATCACTCTCTGTCCGACGCGCAGCGGTGGAGGACGAGGAACATGCTGTTGCAGACATTGGTACGGTAAGAGTGCGCGTCCGCTGGCCACTTCTGCCGCCGCGCTTCAATCCATGCGCAATTACGCATAAAACACGTGCGTTTTGGCTAGTTTGCGAAATGCGCTTAAATCCGTTCAACTGTTTTTTTTCTTCTGAATTACCTCCATCTCTCCTCTTCGACTCCTGCTGCTAATCATTAGCAAGAGAAATGCAGATCCAAACTATCAAAGGCGACAGTTATGCGGGTGCGGGTGGTCCAGTCCGCGGGGCTCACAGCAGCGACAGCAGAGTGTTAGATCTTTATTTGAATGCCCGATACAAACTTAAAATATAAAGCTGACAATTCATTTTGGCTGTGCTCCACGGACTTAGCCCCCTCTTGACTGTGTATTCTATTATCTTCTCTGTTTTTTCACTTGTGCAGAATGTCTATTCTAATGTGAGATGTGTTGCTGTTGTTGTGTCAGTTTGTGTGGGTCCTGTCAGTCCTGCGTGGCACCGATGTGTGTCTGGGATTTGTCTACGACCGGCCCAGACGCTCAGGAGAGGATGGGACTTCTTCTAGATCAGAGTGTGAGTACCGCTGACCTTGTTCCCGGGACAGAATAGACATCCGGAGATAACATCGCTGCTCACGACAAAGGATGCCCCGAAAAAAAAGGCACTGAATCCGTAGCCGATCCTGACCTCTGACCTCCTTGTGGATAGACGACAGGAGAAAAGGCCCTTCACAGACTTTAACATTGCGATCATTATTAAGTTACAAAAGAAAATCAAAATGAGGATGTCACATCTGAGACAGTGTTTTTCTTTTTATGCTAAAAGGTGAATTGAACAATGAATCTTTGAAGCAATGACGTAAATAACTGTTATAACAGCTACACCTCCACTCGCACCCGTCTTGTGTGGTTATCAGCTGTCAAATGAATGAGAACAATTCAGAGGTGCAGTGAAAGCCTCTCACAGCGCTTTCATAAAAAGCAAACCCCAGCGAAAAGAGGCACCCACTTCTATGCGCACCGGCCATGTGAAGTGTACTTTGGACCTGCGTGAATGTCTCTGGTCGTTGGACGTGCCTGAAGCCGCGTTCAAGTGCCAGACACGTGCAGAAAACAGCTCCAGTCAATTTGAACCCCATGTGAGCTTTAAGGGCAATCAGCCACGCCAACGTGAACCGCGGCGATACGCGTCCACCCCCATGGGCCGTCTCAGAGATCTCTCCCCCCAACAAACAAGCCGAGGACTCGCTTTGCACACCAGCCGCTCCGCAGGAATGTCTCCTGCTCGCTCTGTTTGCTGGCTTGTTTTCTATATGAAGTGTCTGCCAGCGCATATGAAATAAGCAAGCAGAGGGTGTGTGGTTGTGGTTGGGGGGCGTCACAACGGATCACTGTGAGCCCGCAACGTTGTGATTGGGCAACCGGTGTGTCTTTTTTGTTGTTGTTTTTTTTTAAGAGGAGGGGAGGGGGAGTGTGTTTGTGTTGCTCTACCTTGAGTCAATATTAAGGGAGCATTGGAGCTCATTTTCTGCCTCAGATTCTCAAACCACGGGAGCATTAGGAGGCAGAGGTTTGCTTGGATTGTCATAGCAACAGGCGGCGAGGGCTGCAGGCCATTCTGGTATTTAACTTTGAGCATTCGGACTTTTATTAACTTAAGAGGAACATGCGGAACAGCGGAGAACATGAGTGTTTTGCTAAGAACACATGGCAACACGTCACGTTATAAAAGAAAGCACAGGTGTAAATAGTGAAATGAATGATGTCTGGATTCCATTCAGCTGCTTCAGTTTCCGGGTGTGCGGGTGTTGGTCATGATGGCTCACGGTGACACTGCCCTCATTTCTTACTGGGCTAAAATATGGGGAGGTAGAGCTGTTTGTTGACTTCACCAAAAGAAAGAATCAATGAACAGCTTTTACCAAAGCTTTCAACATTGTAATTTGTGTTTTTTTTCATTTGTATTTACACCTGCCTTCACTTCTGTGGTTCCTCATTACAGGTTGCTGAAAACATTACCAACCATGTAGTTGGTGGCTCTTGATTACGGCTACCATAACTAGAAGACCTAATATTCTGACTATTGAAAAATAAAAAACATGTGAGCGATCTGGCCATCTGTCAATTTCACCTCTACTAGTGGGTCCGTAGTCTCAATTTAAAGTCATCAGAAATGCTACCGACTGGTGCTGCACCCTAGTCAACTTTCAAATTCAATAAAGCTTTTTTTCATGCTGAATGACTTATTTCTAAGAAATGTATGAGCCCAACTCTGGTAAATTTTTTGAAGTAACTTGGTTCTGTTGATAGGAAGAGGAGGTTGGACGTGTTCTAGACAAAATGCCGTCAGGGCTTTTCACCTTTGACCTGCAGTCCTCACAGGAGTAGTAAAGTAAAGTCGAGTAACGCATGTCATGCATATGCACTTGCACTTAAAGAAACACACAAACGCTCCGTGTTGAATGAGTCCCGTTGGCATCGCCTGACTTTCTCCCTGAGCAAGGCCGTTTTTTTCCGCAGGAGAGTGGACAAGGAGCGTGTTGTCAGAAGTGTAGCAATAAGTTTACTCACTCTCGGATCTGCAGGATGTCTTCAGTTAGGCCAAGGGGGGGGTTCTCACAATGCCGGTCGGGTTCCACGCCGAGGACACCGTCCTCTGGGATCTCAGTGGACAAGAGCGTTATTGTCTCAGAGGGAGCGTGTCCACATTGAGATAGAGTTTCCACAGTTTGGGTCCCAGGAGAGGATTTAAAGTTTAGTAACTGTTGAGTCTGGTCCTTACAGAGCTCAGTTACAGTTATTTAGGAAATATATTTTATAATAACTTGATAAAACTATGTTTTACTTGTATAGTATTTCTGACCTCAGGTCGCTACAGTTGAGAGACTTTTGAACAGGGAAGGTATTCATTCCCTTTTTGGACAATATGCAGTTTTTAGCCACTGGCCAAATGCCAAAATGTGCCCCCACTTCACTGTTAGTGTTTTGGAAGTTTGAAAGGTGTTGAGTTCAACGACAGGAACATTTGTGGTCAGCGCTGTGTGGGGGCTTAACCAAAACCAGGTATGGTGGTTTAAAATTGCTGCAAAAGGGTTTGAAGCTTTCATAATAAAAGGTGTCATTTTGAGAGGGAACATATTTGCCAATTGATATCTAAACACAATCAAATACCCAGAGTAAGGACACAAGGGACTTAATATACAGTACCAGTCAAAATGACGAGGGACTTGCACACGCATTAAGATGTCTTTGTCAAATAAAAGCAACATCCGGTACTGAAAAGTGAAGCGTGTTAAACTTGCATTCTTTCTAACGCCCAGCAGGGGGCGCCTGCTCTGGTTGTGAAAAAAAAAATCAATCATTTGGTTGTGTGTGAGAGCTTGTGGGTCCCGGTCTCTAGTTTCAAGTCTTCAATGCCACAGTCCACCAACCAATGGTGGATTCAAAGTGGATACGTTCACTTCCTTCCAATATTATTTCACTAGTTGGGGAGAATCAGTTCCATAGCATTTCACCATCATAGGACAAGAACATTTCAAAGATGTTGAATTGTTGACCACGCCTCATACAAAGTGATGTATTGTCATACAGATAGAATATCACAATTATTAATTTATACACCACTGAGTTCAGAAGTAATTGACATATACATTTTAGCATTGTACAGGAACAAAAATATTAGAGATTTGTTAACAGTGTATTGACGTTCAAAACGTCTTCAGATGCAACTCAGCAGTGTTCAGAGAAACACCATCGCATAGAGACACAGAGAGCACTATTGAGCCTCTCACTGAATGTGTGTTCCTCCCCGTCAGCTCGCTCTGCGTCTCAGTACGCGCCGACCTCCGGCTCCTGCAGGAACAGGTGCTTTGAGCTGGTTGAGCTGCAGCCCCCAAACTGCCGCTGTGACAACCTGTGCAAGACCTACAGCGGCTGCTGCTCTGACTTCGATCAGCTGTGCCTCAGGACAGGTACAACCTCCCCCAGCTTTTACCACTCTTATGCTAATGTGGAGTTAAGATAAAGCAACCAGTTTTACAAACGTAAATGAAGCCCTTAACCAATCAAATTGTGTGGATCAGACATACTAAAAAACCGTACATTGTGTTGCAGAGCGACACGTCAGTTCTGCATAGTCTGAATGATAAAGCAAACTGTTCCTCTTTTTAACCTTGACAAAGCAGAACTGATCCACTCCCTCAGCGCTTAAATTTTACAATAAAAACTGGTTGAAGGGGGAACTTCAATGAGCTCAGAACGTTGTGCGACAGGAAACCCGAATGAGTAGTAAGCAGTGCCTCCGGTTATGCAACAGTTGACCTCAGGCAGCCTCCCAGATCTGCTCGGATCCTGGTCGTAAACCCCCGAGCAAAGCTTTTCAAACCAATTATTGATAAAGGCTTTAACCGCCTCAAGTTTGCATCGCTGCCTGTTGCGTAGGAATTGTTCTACTCCCAAATATTTGAAGTTGAGTATTTCCCACATTTCTGTGTGCAGAGGCCTTCAATGTTCTGGTGTCTGGCTTTGAGAGAGTAGTTCATATTGATTGGACTTTTCTAGGTTATTGAAAAAACATTTTGGGCTTTCTGCTTTTAGGTGGTGCATCCGAATGTGTCCGTCACAACTATCTTTGTTGATAAAGCTTTGCAGTAAATGCCAACAATGCTTATAAAGTTCAGCAAGAGAATGTTTGTTGTAATCAATTTGAATCTACAGCCGTTTCTTAAACCTTGCTGGGTTGAAATGAGTGTCCTCATCAGAGAGGGTTTCTCATCTGTTCCCATCTTTAGCTGTGTCAACATTTCCTCCACCAGTATTGGTGGTCTGATCCTTCAGCCTGGTGGTCTCTGGCTTACCGCTGCCCAGCCACGCGAACCCTTCACGTGCCAGAAAACGATGCCTCATACACCAGCAACAAATCTAATCCGATGTTCTCATCTTTGGCCAGAACACACGCAGCGCTGTCCGTGTTTGTCCCAAACGGCAGCGCGCTCGGGCCGTAAGCAGCCAAACCTCTGGCAGCATCAATCACATCAGCTGTCACTTCTCAGAGCTGCTGGTTTTACTGCTACTTTAGAGATCCGCTTAGTTGTGTGTACACATAGTATAGTTTTGAGTATATTGTTTTCTGCTGGTTGTCATGTCAACGTTTTTCCACATTCCCATACGCAGAGCGGGGTTACGAGTGCAGCAAGGATCGCTGTGGGGAGATTCGGAACGAGCTTCATGCCTGCCACTGCTCCGATGACTGCCTGGCCAGAGGGGACTGTTGTACCAACTACAAGACCCTGTGCAGAGGTTTGAAACTTGAAATATTACGTACAATGATCAGCATGTGAAGGCTTATTGACGTGTGGATCTTCAGGACACGTGTCTTATCTTGACCCCCAAAAAACAGTTCACTGATTTACGATGCTAAAAGGTGTTTGGTCACAAAAAAAGTCAGAAAAGCTTTCAAATGTCAAATAAGTTAGCAAAGCTTCCAGAATACGGTTTAAGAAGACAGATCACTGACCTTCTACACGTACACATGCAGCTTTTCTATTTCCTATGTTCAGCTTTTTGTTGTTCAGCAACAGTCTGGAAGTGACTCCTTGCCTGTCATTTTAGGGGAGACTTCGTGGCTGAAGGACGAGTGTGAGGAGATCAAGACATCTGAATGTCCTGCTGGGTATGTTTACATCTAAGCACTGAAGTAAAATGTATTATTGTTATTTAGTTAAATAAATGTGTGCGCACTGTAATGCGCAAAATAATCAATAATGATTCAAAAGTAGTGCTCACTTATTTTTGCAAACACTTTAAACAAAGGTGCTTTTTAATAACAGTATTCCCTTTACACCGTATCAGTTCAAATAACTCTTGTAAATGTCAATTATAACTTTATTTAATCAAAGATGAAAAAGTAATGTAGTCAAATATTAAAGCAAATCTATTTGCCACTGCCGGGGTATTAACGTTTTATCTAGATTCAGGAAAAACAAGTTAGCCTCAACCTCTTGAAAATTACATCCAGCTGTACCAACAATCATGTTTTACATGTGAGAAAATTAGCTTTAGAATATTTTTGAGAGCCACAATCATAATATTCTAACAAGTTTACATTGATAAATGTAAAGAGGTACCACCGTGTTAAAAAATCCATATGCATACATCTATATATATACATGCCGTGTAACTAAATGATCAGCGTTGACCCAATTTGACTTCATATGACAGTACTTTGATCTTCCTCTAATATGTGTTTGTGCAGGTTTGTGCGCCCACCACTCATCATGCTGTCAGTGGATGGATTTAGAGCTTCTTATGTGAAGAGAGGAAACACAGTCATCCCCAACATTGAGAAACTGAGTAAGTACTGGCTGGGAGTTCCCTGTAACCACTGTGTCGACATTCACATAAGACCTTTAACCGATTAGGGACTATTCTTCGTCGTCTTTGTTCTAATATTTGGGCCTGCTCTTTGTCCTTTCCAGGAACATGTGGAACCCACGCTCCATACATGAGGCCCGTTTACCCCTCAAAAACCTTCCCCAACCTCTACTCACTGGCTACGGTACACGGCCTGCTTACAAGCATTTGTTTTATTTATTTGTTTAGTAGTTTAATAGTACTGTTTTAAGACCGTCAGGCAAGCGCTAGCTGTGCTAATAGCTTTGCCAGACATTCCCCAAAAAGTTATTAAAAGATATTTTTGAACGCCACACTCACAAAAGGCCGATCGAGTACAGTTATGAATTTATATGTTGTCACCCTAAGCATCATCTAAGTGTCAATCATTATCAGGGTCTCTACCCAGAGTCTCATGGCATCATCGGCAACTCCATGCACGACCCCGTGTTTGACGCCACCTTCACCCTGAGGAGCCGAGAGAAACTCAGTCATCGTTGGTGGGGCGGACAGCCGGTGAGTTCAGTCTGTATGTTTCCATCCGTAGTGCATCAGCAACGTCATGGTATTTTGTAAATGAGTTTCTGTTCTCTTTTTCTTTTTGACAATAAATATCCTCTTGTATGACTTTGAACGTTGGTGTTCTTCAAATTCTTCTGACGGTCACCGATCAGAAGCCAACAAAGGCACTAGAAACTTTTATTTTGAAGCCGACATCAGACGCAGAGCCCAGGAAACCACAACTGATAAGTTTTGCAATCTGGAGATTGAGAACAGATGTAAATATGAAATATGGTTTGGGATCACTTTTAGAAGACCAAAGCGTTGACATTCAATAGTCTGCAACCACTTAGGGTTTTGCTTTGTTTTATTCAGTTAATGAAGAAACCTGCATTAGGATTTTAATACGACTCAGAGTCCGGATGCACTGCTAAGCAGCAAGGCTTTATCCTAAATGGTTAACACTCCAATAGCATCCTCTTGAAATATATCAGACTGATAAAATAATAAAGACTGCACTGTTTCTCTCCTAGATCTGGATCACAGCCCTCAAACAGGGAGTGAAGGCTGCCTCCTTCTTCTGGCCTGTGTGAGTCTACATTCCCGCCTCGCTGCGGCCAAGTGCTGAACGCGTTTCCCCACCTCGCGCTTTGACTTTTAGGTGCTCTGCATGAGCCGTTGATGTCCAGAAGGACAAGTATTATTTCCCTGTATCACAACTTTTTCGGCTTGCAGCTGGGTGGAGTGTCCTCTTTGTGCTGCTGAATCAGCACAATTCAAAGCTTCTGGTGCCGTTCTCGCACAGCTTTTTACGGTACTGAGGTGTTTTGGTGCCAGGAAGGAGAGGGTGAAGAAGGAGAGGGTGAAGAGTTGTTTATTTATTATTCAGCATTTTTAGAAATGCTGAATAATGCTTTTGATTTATTCTCAAATTTCAAATGTATTCTTCATATTCCCCAGACAATGATCATCTAGGGACTATAAATCACCTGCTGGGGCGTCACCACAGCGCACGCGTTAATGTTCCTGCTGCACACTGAGGCCGCAGCAGCGAAACCCACAGCCTGTGTGCGGAACACAAAGGAGCCCACATGTATCGGCATAGAGTCGGCTTTGATGGAGCGGGGGGGCAGATCTCAGGAGAGGGCTGTTTTCACAGCAATTTGGGCAAATGGGCTTATTTACACTACGCGGGGTTCCTCTGTGAACTGGGGTCGTAAACGTCACGCCGCACGGCGCCGCAGGGGCCGGAGCGTTACAGTTCTCACTCTGCACTGGAGAGAAAGGCAGAGTGAGGACATGGAGACAGGAATGTCCTCACGAATGTCCTCACGACATGTGCCGACATTTCTATGTACTTCAGAAAGCCCCTCTTTTTGTTTTTAAACATAATTCAGCGCTGAAGTACCACTGTGGGCTTGGCATAGTAATGGGGAGCGAATTATTTGCTGACTGGTTGCCAGTCTTTGTTTTGGGTTCAGCTTTCTGGGAGGTCCCCCCCCCCAACTCCCCCGACTCCCGCGACCCCCCCGACCCCCACTCCGTAAGCACAAGGAGAGAAGTCCAAATGGAGCATATAAAACAAGGGCAGAGGAAATGCTGTTTAAAGTGTGAACATAAACACACAAAGGTGCAGAAAAGGATCAGAACCTGCTGTAAAGTGCTCATGCAGCGAGACCCCGACTCACACGTCCAGCGTCACTCCCGACGGGCGACACACACGCAGCCACCGGGCGCGTCCCGCTGTACAGGCCTGCTTCAGAGTCGGAGGGAGCACTGTGGAGTTTAATGGTTTTAATGGGTGCATCCGAGTGCGCCGCTATAGTTGTGTCATGGCGGCTCGCGGCCTTTGGTTTGCGTTGACTAATGTTGTGTGGCCGTGGTTGTGTACTCGTGTTGCAGTGCTATCCCTTTGGAGAGGCGAATACTGACCATGCTGCAGTGGCTCCACCTCCCTGAAGGAGAGAGGTAAAATTATTAATTAATTATACAATTATTCCATTTTGGTCTGAATGTGAGGGTTTTAGACGCCTAAACAAACCTTATCAGTTTAAGTTCACATTATATCTCAGCACTTTATCTTTTTTCATAAAATTAAATGGGAAAATATTTAAACTATGGCTTAAACTTAAACCGATAGTGTTTTGGGTTATATACCGTACATTTAGCTGATAAACCTTATTTTTCTCCTGCGCTGGTACTTCCCACCGCCATTCGCTGTAGGTAATACTTTGACGTCCAAATCTCTTGAACTTAACATCTGATCTGACAAGTAACTATAACTAGTAGAGCTAAAATTACGCTCATTTCCTTTACCACGAAATGTTGTGGAGTCGAGGTCTAAAGTGAAATCTCAAAATTGTTCATAAATGCTGTGTTTGAGTAAATTGACTTATTCTCCACCTCCAGCAAGTGATGCACTTTGAAGCGTTAATTGTGGATTATTACTTTTTACTACATCACCGTCTTGTTTCAGGCCCTACGTTTACGCCATGCACTCTGAACAACCAGACGCATATGGACACAAAATGGGGCCCATGAGTGCAGAAGTGAGTACTGTGTATCTGCATTTTGGTCAATGTGTAGGAATGTGTGGTTTTGCATGGAAGGCTCATAGTAGCTGTACACATACACACCACTGTAGCGTCTCTCTGTCTGTATTGTGTATAAAAAAACAGACACACAGTGAGCTGAGGCCCTCTCTGTGTTTCAGTTGAACAACCCTCTGCGGATGATTGACAGGATTGTCGGCCAACTGATGGATGGACTCAAACAGATGAAACTTCACCGCTGTGTCAACATCATCCTGGTTGGGGATCATGGTACAGACACACACACACACACACACACACACACACACACACACACAGAAGTGCTCTGCTCTGCCGTAGACACTCACACAATTGCCTGTTCTCCTCATCAGCTGATCACTCGTTCCCCTGCATGTTCTCAGGTATGGAAGAAGCTCACTGTGATCGCACCGAGTTCCTTAGCAACTATATGACCAACGTTGATGACATCATCCTCGTCCCCGGGTCTCTGGGCAGAATTCGCTCAAGATACCCAAACAACCCGAAATGTGAGGAGAGACGAGATCACAATATTTAATACTTACTGATATTTCAGCATCTTTTTGTCCTCCTTTTCATTTGTTTCTTTGGTTTCTTTGTCTTTTTCTGGTTCACTCAACGCGAGACATTACGGGCAAAGACATTTTCATGCAGTAGTCGATTTTAGTAGTTATTTTAGGCTATTTTGCTTACTTAACAAGAAAGAAAGCGCATAGATCTATAGACACACAAATATGCACCTACCTTAATCAAATCAGTAGTTACAATAAGATCATGCCTCATTTGCATATTTAAATATGTCGTTTCAGAAAACTTGTTGAAAACTTTCTTTTGTATTGAGAGATTTTTGTCTGTGAGACCGTCATCATCATCATCATCAGACATGACACAATGCGCACTGCAGTCACTACGCAATGGAACAACTTTTACAATTGTTCTTTTTTTTCAGATGACCCCAAAGCTGTTGTTGCAAATCTAACAGTAAGTTCTAGTCTTGCATGAATCATACTAAAATGTGTGTGGACTTACTGACATTATTAGTAATATTGTATTCTTGATAATTAAGGTAATAATAGAAATACAATTTTATTTCTGCAGCCCCTTCCAAACTGCAGCTCAAAATGCTTTACAAGAAAAATAAATCAATAAAGAAAGTATTTACAATAGTAGATACAAGGATCTAAGCCAAATAATAATGTCCCACGGATAGGTTAAAAAACAGGAGAAAAATAAATGATTGTTAAAACAATTAAACAAGCATGAAAAAGATTACTACATATTATATATGTTAGAAAAGGGACGAATGAACTGAAAGCAAATTCATAAAAAATAGTTTTGCACATTTTAACACTATAGACAGAAGTGGCCAAATGACCGAAGGGGACGGTCAGGAACATACAAACCATTACAACCAAACCTCAATGTTATTATGATGTCTTATGTGGTACATAATATGTTCTCTTTATTTGATTAATGTTGAAATGCTCGCTGCCCAATTTCTTCTGGCCTGTCAACATTTTTAGATCATCTAAACGAGATAAAATACAAAGGCACAGTTCAACCTTTTGACACCTTCCGAAGAGAAGAGGGGTCCAACTATTGTAATGTTTCTTAAATGATAAAAAAGAATCCTTGTAACATTGTTCACATGTGATTTAAAATGCATTTCATGATCGAGACAAAGACTCAGGCTTTATACTTCAGTCTTATTCTGTAGAGCCGGACGTCCAAGTTTGCTTGTATATAATATTTTTTCCTTCGGTGAATTTTTACCGGTTATAGTCAAAGAAGATAAACATGCGTTGTAGCACGTAGAGTGTGGAGCATAATGGGTGATCGGTCGCCTCGGCCATTGGTATAAATGCCAATCATTGTTTCTTTGTTCCAGTGTAAGAAGGCGGACCAGCACTTTAAGGCGTACTTGAAGCAGCATCTTCCTAAGAGACTTCACTACGCCAACAGCCGGCGCATCGAAGACATTCACCTGCTGGTCGAGAGGAAGTGGCACGTTGCCAAGTAAAGTACCACCGCTGCATCAAACAGAACAATACCAACAATAATACAAGGCGTTAAAAGTCAGTGCAAAGACCGACACATCATTTAATATGCCAGTTGGAGACGTGCAGCTCTAAATGGATCCCTTGAGCTCGGTTAGCTGATAGGTGCATTCGGTCATGAATGAAAGGCTGATGTGCAGCGGACACACTTTCCAGCCCAACTGGGAAAGAAATAAATACTTAAATACTGAGACGCATGCACATAAGATAAAGAGGAGTCAGTGACTGTTTGCACTGAACAACATGTTCATCTGTCGGCAAAAAAGGTCTCCTTCTAATTCCTTTAGTAATTATTCTATAATGAATAGATACGTTGGGAGATATTTTTTTTAGATGGTCTGAAGTTCTAACTAATTTAGTTTATAATGTGTTGCGCTGTGATGTTCAGTCAGTTTAAGTACGTGGGCTTTTCAGCCCACCCATCAGAGGCCGTTTACTGCACATCTTGCTTCACTTAAAGACACGTTTTAAACGTGTGCTGCTACCAACGCATCATTAACACGTGTCGTGCTGAAAGGTTTTGAGATGTTCCGTTCCAACCCCACTTTACACACCTTAAAAAAAACTTAAAGAAACATGTTTTTTTTCAAAAGTGCAGCTGCTGAAATGTTAATGACGAGCTCAAATGTACGCTGACAGGCGTGTGATGTAGATTCAGTGACAAAGTACATTATGACTGAAAGAGAAAACAAACCACATCAGCACACGACACTGTGTGTGTGTGTGTGTGTGTGTGTGTGTGTGTGTGTGTGTGTGTGTGTGTGTGTGTGTGTGTGTGTGTACATGGTCAGGTTAACAGCCGTCTAGCGTGGAGCTGTCATGCTTTTTGGGGTCGGGGAAACCATAGGAGAGTTACATTCTATTTCTCTCTGCACACACGCACACGCACACACACACGCACACACACACGGCTCCTAAATGAAAGACATCTTTGAGGTTTGAGTGCAGCTCAGATACAGACGGGTTAATCGTTGGCACCGGAGCTTTGAGCAGAGTGTCTGAACTTTTACACTATTACACACACACACAGGAAAATATACAGTACGTATGTCAATGTCTGCGTAAAACTCCAAACCAACTAAGTGTTCACCTAATAGTTCACCTAATACAGTTACATTTCCCTGTCAGTTACATTTTTAACATGCTTGTGGCTTTGCCCCCTAGACAGACCGACACACACACACACACGCACGCACGCGTATATTCCGGTGTATAACGGAAAGTAGTGTTTTAATGGACACGTAGTTAAAAGTAGGTGTTTTTCAATTAGACTGTGGCTTGGCCGGTGTGAAGGAGTGCTCGTCCCGGGCTGAGGACCAGAGTGAATACGGACATTTTACGGACCATACGGACCATTTTCTAATGAACCAATTCGTTCCTTCACCTTCACTACAGGAAAGCTCCTGAAGGGAAGAGACACTGTGGCTTCTCTGGCGACCATGGATATGACAATAAAATCAACAGCATGCAGGTACGTCCCCTCGGTTCTCAGCTCTGGGGGGCAATGTGTACGGATGGATGGGTTAGTGGGGGTGTGCAGAAGTAAGCGTGACCCCCCCCCCCACCGTCACCGCATTGATTTTATACACTATTCTGTTGAGCACAGACTCATGACATTTTGACTTTTTGAAGACTTTTAAAGCCATAGCACACAAGTAGTAGCTCTTAAAACTAAAACAATTACCCATCAACTGCGGCGACGATGAGCACCGACTCAACGCGTGTTTCGATCCGTTCTAGCTTGACATACACATACTAAATGGTTACTGCTGGTACCGCGCGAGTGGGGTTCCAGGCTCAGCCGTTCTCATCTGGTCCCCCTGATACACCCACTGCTGTTATTTATTATTTATTTATTTATTAATTTGTGCCATCAACTCTCATTTCAGACTATTTTCTTGGGTTACGGACCTACATTTAAATTCAAGACTAAAGTTCCAGCCTTTGAAAACATTGAGCTTTATAATGTAATGTGTGGTAAGGCATTTTATTTTTGTGCTTCGGTCTCTTGTCATTTTGGATCAAACTAAATGCGTTTCAATGAATACGTGAGTTCTCTAAACGCAATATGAATGTATTTTTGACCGCCTCCACTTTTCCTTTTGCCTGACACGACATTTTTCCCGCTCTCAGATGTACTGGGTCTGAAACCAGCCCCCAATAACGGCACGCATGGCAGTCTGAACCACCTGCTGAGAAGCCCCCCCTACAGGCCCACCATGCCAGAGGAGGTGTCGAGGCCAGCGCCCTCTGGTCCTGGTCCGGCAGGAACAGACGACCTGGGCTGCAGCTGTGCAGAAAAGGTCAGCCATGGTGACTCTGTGGCAGACCCGAGTCCAGCGCCCGGTCCAACCATTATTAACACTTCCAATTATTATTTAGTCCAAATGTTTTCTTTGTGAATTATTGACACTTCAGTAAAAAAATTCAACAATTCATTAAGTGAATCAGAAAGTAATTGAAGTACGCAGCTTTCCTAAACTTTCTAAACTAAAACAATCAAGACAAAAAATTGGCTACTTTTTAATTGAATTTTAGGAAATTGTCCAAAAATGATTCTGTATTACTTTAGTTACAATAAAGGAGTAAGGACAATCTTTTGAGTCCATGCGACAAATCAGTTTTGCTGTGATGACCATAATTCTGTCTGAAATGCCTGTGAGCTGCACAGTCAGTTAGGATTTCGGATGATGCTTAATTGGTTTCACCAGGCGGAATTGGAACCTGTACAAAAGATGAATAATGTGACTGTGATGCCGGTCAGAGGCCTTTCTCCTCCTCTCGACTGTGTTCAATCATGACAGCAGCCAGCATTAAGAAGAAGCACCGCTTAGTCTCTGCGTGCTCCCGCTGAGGCGGTTAGAGGAAAGATGAAACATGAGGATCACTTCTTTAGTCTGTCACATTTTTTTTTTTTTTTATGTGTCTGAGAACTGGCACAGCAAGTCGCTGGATGCAGAGGCTGTCTGCCTTTGTGTGCGCGTCTGTCTGCGTGTGAATGAGCCTGTTTGACTTGTGAAAAAAAGTAACTTGATACCTGTTTGATTTGTTGTGTCTTATGGTTCCGCTTCTCTTTTCAACGTGACATTTGTCATCCGATGCTCCTATTTGGGATCTTTCACATGTGGAATCCGATAAGCCAGACGACCTGCTGAGGTGACGACTTCCGATCTCAGCCTTGCAGAGCTTCACCAGCAGCTATTCTTCAATAAAACCAGTGTACTGATTCTGCATGAAGGCAGAGTAAAGGGACTTTTATTGTGAAGAGTTCCAGGAAATGAAACGTGTTCATGCAACGTTTTTAAGCAGCTCCTTTGACACATCCATTTCTCCATGAGAAGTTACATTGAACGCAGCTGCCGATCTGGTGCATCTGATCACAAAAGTCACGTTTAAAAGACAACTTGTTACCGCGGCTGTCTATTCAGCTTGCTTGAATGCTTCAATAAATATGTTGCATCTTTGATTTCTGCTGCAGAGCTGGACTCAATTCACCTCCAAGTCAAGCGGTTCTAAATCTGTAAATATTATGCCAACAAAACGGCAACTTCTCATTCCACCCTTCTCGGTCTAGACGCAGTCTGTATTCTTGAGATCTGATAAGCTGTAGCTTGCATTGGAAGTGAGTAAGAGCGAGCCCCTCTCTGCAGTGTTTCACTTTGTACTGTGTTTGTGATTCCCATGAAGATCTCTGGCAAGAGATTGTTTCAATCTCCGATCTTTTTGCAGTTGCGTGTAAAAAGTAGGGGCCAGAGAAGTTTGAAAGTGACCCTTGTACGAGGCTATAACCTGGAGTCACTCTGGCTCTGTCTCTTACAGAACAAAGTGGACGAGTTAAACCAGCGACTGAGGCAAGCTATGGATGGTCAGTCCTAAAAATTGTCTTTTGGTAGATGTAAACCTATTTAAATTGTTAAAGAATTGAGTATTCCTCACCGTGTCCCGAGTGAACCTGCGTCATGATCCCATCCGCCGAATGATTCACAGGTTGCATGTCCTCGCCCCGTGTGTCTCGTCCCGTCCCTCTTTGCTCTCTCAGACAGCAGGAACTTGCCGTACGGCCGACCTGCTGTGCTCTTCCGTACCAAGTACTCCGTCCTGCACCACAGCGACTACATCAGCGGCTACAGCGAGGCGCTCTCCATGCCTCTCTGGACATCATACGCTGTCAGCAGACAGGTACTCTTCATCCTGTGCTTTTGTCTTATATGACATTGTTTTTAACATACTAAATAATAAAAGCTCAAAATTTGGAATTTGGAATTTGGGCTTCAGTTCAAATTGATAATGCATAAATATTCAACTAAAAATAGAGGCCTACCTATAGTATGTTCCCCAGTGCAATATTCTTCCATCACAAGTCTGTCCACTCCATTTAACACCGACAAAGGCAGTGACAAGGTGTAGCTATTATTAGCCTTTTAACTTGTTTTGCATTAGACACATTTGACTTGAAAAGGTTCTGGCGTCGTGTGGGTGAATGGGCTTGAACACAAGTCAAGCCATGTGCCATTTGCTGAGATGTCTCCTACTCACACGTCTCAGCAGCTGCTCTCAACTTGTAAATGTCACTAAAGTTCCCTTCAGATACGTTTGAAGACGAAAGGGTTATCGGTCATGTTTGAAGACCTTGGATGTATTCTGAGAGTTCAGTTCAGTTCAGACTTCCTTGTGAGGAAGGGCCCTCGCTGGCTCAAGGTCCAACAACGAGTCAAAATTGAACTAGTCCGCTGACCTCTGTCGTCTCCCTCTCTCTCTGTGTTTGGGTGTGCGTGTCTCCGTTTGGCCCTCTAGGTAGAAGTGTCCCCTCTGCCTGAAGCCCTGTCCAACTGTGTGAGACCGGATACAAGAGTCCCTCCGGCCTACAGCCAGTCCTGCACCAACTACAGAGCAGACAAACAGATCACCTACGCCTTCCTCTACCCGCCACGTGAGTCTGTCACAGCAGCGTAGACCCTGAAGGACACTAATGCAACTAAAAAAGGGCTCCTTGTAGGTGCTGTCCAACCACCAAAACAACCACAATCGTCGAACCTCGACCGCAAATGTGTCAGAAGTGTCTTTCACTTTCCTTTTGATCAATGCCGCTTTCAGCACCGGCTCGGCGCATGCTGGCATTTCAGCTGCATCCAACTGCTGCAACTTTAGCCGTTTATTTATGCTTCAAGTACATTTTCTCAATATTAGGCCAAACGAAAATGTACAGTCCACATTTGGCCATAAGAAGATTGCTCAATGAAATATTGTTTCAAAATGTGTGATTATTTTAACCACTAGAGTAGATCCATACAGTCATGAATGGGTACAACAGTTATAGGGACGCTGGGATCAGTAGAATCCGACGGCACACTCACACACTGTTAAGTGTTCAAAGATAAAAAAAATTTTAATCTATTTGGCAAAAGTTTAAGAATATTCAAATTATCTGCAATTTGATTGGTTGTCGTTGGCATTAACTGTGAGGCCATTATTAGTAACTATGTTCTTTTTTTCATCATTGACAGAATTCTCCACAACCACGGACAAAAAATATGATCCCGTCCTCATCACCAACACCGTCCCCATGTATCCTGCATTCAAGAGTAAGTCGATCAGCGATTATTATTATTATTATTAATATCAGCCAAACCGGGGCTGATGGATTCGCTTGTATATTCACTGCTATTCTGCACCATCACTTCCCATCGTCCCTGTTTCATCCTCTCGCTTGTTCTTTCCCCTTTCCTCTCAAAGGAATATGGAGTTACTTCCAGAAAGCGCTGGTGAAGAAATATGCAACTGAGAGAAATGGAGTGAACGTGCTGGTTGGACCCATATTTGACTACGACCACGATGGTGTCAGGGACTCGGCTGAGAAGATAAAAGAGTAAGTGCAATCTTTTTCCTCTCCATTTGATTCATCTTCAATACACACAAAGGTTGAATAAATGGAGACATTGTTTATAGAGACACTGGGAAGAGAAGGGAACGGTTTGCCCATTTGTTTCTTTTGTTGTTGCAGGTACGTAAGCGGGGTGATACCGGTCCCTACGCATTTCTTTGTGGTCCTGACCAGCTGCTTGGACTTCTCGCAGGCTGCAGACTCGTGCAGCGGCCCACTCAGCAGCGCTGCCTTCATCCTGCCGCACAGAGCCAGCAACGACGAGACCTGCAACGTAAGGAACATCACGCATCTACACGCGTGAAAGCATTTTAGTGACACTCAGCAGGAACAGAAAGATTTGTTATGAAGAAAATACATTTAGGAATAATCTAAGAATGGGAATTTAGCTTTTACAGAACTGTCCTTACAAGTTAGGAATCCTAGGCAAGGACGGCATAGACTCTATCCTAAAATAAACTCTTCTTAGGTCTGGATGGTTATGACAGTGAAGATATGATGATAAAAATGCTGCTGAATCTATGTGAGACTTTAAATGTCCCAGACTATTTAATAATCGTTAGTAGTTGCCAAAATACTGAAGGGTTGTCTCCTGCCTCCCTGCAGAGCTCAGAGGAGGAGTCTCGCTGGGTGGAGGACCTGATGAAGATGCACACGGCCCGAGTCAGAGACGTGGAGATTCTCACCGGCTTGGACCTGTACCGTAGAACAACCCGGAGCTACGCCGAAATCCTCTCGCTCAAGACCTACATGCACACCTACGAGAGTGAGATCTGATATCCGCCGGCCGCCCCGTCAACATTGATGTTGCTCATTCCTCTTTTTTTCAACCGTGGTGGACGTATGTGGTACAAAGAAGAGGTGCTGTCACCTCCGTCACACTGACTTGCAGCAGGTCTTTCTCTGGATGCTGTGTGCAGCTCTTCCTTGTGGCCCTTTCACAGGAAATCTGCTTTCTTCTCATTCATCTCATCCATCTGTTAAGTCACAACATTGAACACCACTGAACTACCAGCTGTGACTCGTCCACTTTCTTCTAGTAGCAGGGAGGTGAAGCATTGTTCTGCTGCTTAATGGTCGGCAATGTGATTCAGTTACATCCAACTGAACAGCGTCGAAATATATTAGAAAATAAATAAAGGGCTTAAATTGAATTATACTAGTAATCTTTAGCCATCATCAAGATGCTGATCACAGTTATGGTGGTCATGAAGACGTCCAGGTGGATGCTGGTATAAAGGGCGTGGATGGACCCCCCGATGCAGGAGTAGCAGGTGTACAACTCAACAGGCTCAAATTGAATTTATACCAGTAAAGAAAAGAGGGTTAATCTTCATCTGCCCTGAGATTCCTGATGTTGACTGAGTCATCTTTTTTGGAAATGTTTATCTTTAACAGTGTGGTCAAATTTACCTGCAAGGGGTTTTTTTCAGGTACATAAACGTCATTATTTACAAAAATGCATCATGGTAGCAGAGTATGAAATCATAGGTCTCAAAACTAGTTATAATGTAGGGCCCTAGAATAAGGCAGGACTGCAAGACCAAATAATACTGCAGGACTGCTTGCCCTGAATACTCTTGCATACTTTGTTATTAGTTGTGTAGTGACTTGAACAGATATCCAATATGGTTTTAAGCCACCGTGGGCCGAACGGGAGAAATAATTGTTCAGTGTCCAATGCAGCCGTATCTATTCTCGATGTGCTGATCCATTTATCACGGTGGCATTCATCACACTACACATCAGGTACCAGGATCAGACATCAGGTCGGTCAAAACACATATTTGCTTCCTGTGTGTGTACACACACACACACACACACACACACACACACACACACACACACACACACACACACACACACACACTCTGTGTCCAATCACCAAGCGCTCGCCTATATGCAGTCTCACATCAGTGCTCTTTTACAAGTAACACACACTTCAATTGTTCTCTAGCAAACAAGTATCCATATGTGTAAAATGAGTACATGTTTGAAGGTTTTTAAATAATCTTTAATTGCACTACAGACCCATCAACAGAAATCCATCCCAGATAAAACCATCACCTGAGGGTGAAGGCCGGATTCTCAGTCCTCTTAACAATATAACCTTGATCCACTCTGTCTACTCTTTACACTACTAACAGGTTATGTTCAGTGAGTAAGAAGAAATTGTCTATTTTTTTAATGAAATGATAATGCAATGTTTGTGTGCACACAATGTGTATATGTTGAGTTCCATATATTTTCTGTTTGTGTTTCACGGTTGATTGTGTGATTGTGTTGGCTTTTCCTTCTGTGCACAATAACAATGTTCGAGATGATGATGTTTGTCCCCTAAGACATTTACCACCTGTGAGACCTATTTATGCTTTATGGAACGGCCATCATAATAAAAGTGTTTTTACAAAATGAAGTGTTACATATTGAAGTCCAGCTTCTTTTCTTTCTTTCAATCATTTAATTTTTAATTTTACATCGGCTTACATGCTTTCCTCAAAAACAACTATAATAATAATAATAAATAATGGACTCTCTAAAATTCATTTTTAAACCAATTAAAATCCTTTTTAAACGTTTTTTTAAGTAATTGATATTATTTGCAATTAGCCAGTAAAATAAGCCCACCACTTATCCACAGTTTTTCATGACAGTTCAAATGTACGTAAGCTAGATATACATTGGTTCATCATAACTTATTAAAACTGGAGCTGGTGTCTAAAATGTACCACACCGAACTCCAGTGTCACATTCTGACACTTTCATGTGACCAGGAGCTGAAGTTGAAGTTCCGTTAACTGTGAGGCCCACAAGTCGCCTGCTTTCATGTTCACAAATAACAACAAGCAAGTTGATGCCTCGTAGATTCCTTATCAATACCTATCAATACAAGTATTCGAAGTGAAAACACCCCCATCGTTTCGTATAAAAAAAGTAAAGTTATATAATGTTATTGTTGAAGAAAGATGAAATGAACATATTGTGATTTGAGTTCTCTAATTTCCGCGCGGACGTGAACGCAGCTTGTGCGCGTTGGGAAGTGACGCGTTGGGACAGAAGGCTTTCGCTTCCTATAGGTCTGTTATAACCGGGGGGCGGCGGCACGTCAACGACATCCCCCTCGCGAATGGGGGTCGTTTAAGGTTTGCAGCGCGCTGCCGCGAACGCAGTTATCGGTAAGTAGCGTTTCGTTGTTTGTGTTACGTCGGCCAGCGCCAATGACGCCACGAGCGACAGTTAACGTAATAATAACTACATGCGTAAAATGAGTCTGACGTCATGAGCAGACGTTCTGTTAACACACTTTCTAAACCCAGAGAGCAAAAAGGACCCGCAGGAATTGATTAGTCTTGATTGTTAATTCTCAACAAAGGACTTCCAGCTTGTTTGTGATTTAGTCCGCGACTACAAACCGGGTTCTTCGTCGCATCATTAAGGAAACAGCGTTGGCACAACTGCGGTCAACTCCGCTGGAACTCAGATTTCCGAAGTGAACTCAGTGGACACTTGAATTTTAGTGCACGTATATGCTGACATTTACGGTATTAAACAAGTATGTAAACAACTATGATACTGAATATTAAATCATTTTATTGTACAAATTTGGAAATTTATCTAAAGTAAAAAACTCATATTTGCAAGTTCAAAAAGTCTATTTCCATATTTAAACAGGAATAAAATACTTTTCTCAATAATTCCAGACAAAGACGTACATCAATGCGTACAAGACTTTTATGACTATATAATTACAGACATTTTTTAATACACAAATGTGTATTTTTTACAAACAAAAACAAAAACAAAAGAGTGAGTCAGATCTTTGATCTTCTAAAAAATACTTTTAGTGGGTTCTTTGATAGACTTTTGTGAATTCAAACATTATATTTGAGAACTTACAGGTTTTACAGAAGGAATTTACTGAGCATGGTACTTTTTAGTCGATTTCCTTTTGGAGAGTCTCATTTAAAGAAAGAAACACTTTCAGTGATGCAGTTATACAAGGACAAAATTAACTTTTAACATCCACTTTTTTTATCCATTTGTCCGAATTTTTCTTGCGTTGGTTTGTCAACAGTTCTCTCGCACGCCACATTCAGAATGAAGATGATGAAGGGAGTGGCACACATGCGCATTTCAAGGTGTAATTCAATGGTGTAGGCGGATAAATAACATTTTTTCCATCTTTTGCATCAAACATTTGGTTTGCAAGGTTAATATGTCACTCATGTCAGATATTAGTTGTGTGATATATATGTTTTTTGGTTTTATGATAGCAGTTTATGATCCAAAATATTTTTAATGAAGTCCCCAAATTTGTTCTGTAAAAATATAAAAAAAATTGTAATAGAAGATACAAAGATGTCCTGAACACACATGTATCAGTCATTGGTTGGACTTATTGAGCATTGCATTGCAATTCAAACATTGAGAAAGGATCTTTTGGGATTTTTACTCTATAATAATAATCCTCTAGAAGAAGTAGAAACATTACAGAGAGGTACACAATTACATTGGTCTTTGTCTGGAATAATTGAGAAAAGTCTTTTTATTGCAGTTCAAATATGGAGAAATGGTCTTTTTGAACTATTATAGGGCTTTTACTTTGGATAAATCTGTACAAAAATGTGTACAGTAAAAATACTTCATATTCAGTATCATGGTAGTCACACAGGTCCTTAACACATGTACGTTAGTCTTTGTCTGAAATTATTGAGAAAAATATTCATATTGCTGTTCAATTATGGAGAAAACATATTTTTGAACTTGCCATTATAGGGCTTTTTTTGTTTGCATAAATCTCCTAATTTGTATAGTAAAAGTTTCTGTTGAGTTGACCACGGAAATCCGAGTGCCTGCTGAGTTGACCGCAGTGTTGGCACAAAGGAGGGAGATTAGTGTGCACATATTGGTCATCTCTTGACGTTTAACAATTGCAGATGTTTAATGCATTGATTTGTCAACGTGAATACCCAGTAAACAACTGCTGGGCAGCTGCTGTGAAACGCTTCACCAGCAAGGATCAGCAGTGTTTTATTCATGCGTCACTTTCACAGGAGGATTCTTATCAGACGGCTAAGAATAGTCATCTGGACTCTTCAACACCGTTACAGAGTTCATTGTAAGTATAATGATAATAGCTGTGATATCAGTACATTGCATCTTTGGTGACTGTCGCCTTACTGTAATTGGTGGATGCCTTCATTGGAATTAAAGAGGTTGATAATTAAGAAAGATGCTTCATTGGCTCACAAAACATTTCACCCGTCTTGTCATCTGTAATCCCACACAGGTGACCTGCAGTAAATATGGGTGAGATGGAAGGAACCAAGGTGCCATACCTTAAGATCCTCACTTACCACAGGGAGCTGCTGGTGTCCCAGTTAAGGAGCATTCAATGCATCCTGGACAACCTGTTGGCCTGCAGCTTTGTCTGTGAAGAAGATGTCGAGATCGTACTGCGTTCTGCCACCAGGACCGATCAGGCAGGACATCTATTTAAAACATTTTCAGCAACATTTGCTCCATCTTTATTCATTGAAAAAAAAAAACATACAACATATATTCGTATCTCTCTCTAAAACATCTTCTGGTTCAAAGTAGATAATAAGTAATAGTGTCTATTAAATTATAACCAACAAGGATGCTCTCTCATGTGACCGTTTCCCAGGTTCGTAAAATCTTGGAGCTAGTTCAATGCAAAGGGGAGGAGGCCTGTGAGTACTTTATTTATGTCATATATAAAGTACGCGACGCGTACGTAGACCTCCAGCCATGGTTGAAAGAGATCAACTACTCCCCGAGCAGTGACGCGACGGCACTGTCAGTGGTTAACACCGATCCCAGTAAGTATCACAGTCACTTCGTTCTCATGCTTTCTTATGATATGTCATGTAAGGGTGTCTGTAGCTCTAAAGGACTGATGTCTACAACAGGTGCGTTGTTCCTGTGTTGTATTGCATCACACATAGAGGTGTTTCTCCCTCTCTGGCTCAGTGGTGACCCGAAAGAGTCAATCCCAGGCGCTGCCAGTGTCCTTGTGTCCCTAAAACGTAACCCCAAATTGTGTCTGATTGTTAGTTACTGATGGGCAGGTGACACCTTGTATGGTAAAGTGTGTGACTGGGCAAATTTTGACAGGTAGTGTTAAAGCGCTTTGAATGGTCTGAAGACGCAGGATAAAAAAAAGTACAGTCCTTTTACCTCAATGAGTGAAAAATACATTTTTATGTACATTGTAAATGAAATTGACTTTGTGGCTAATTTAATGAACTAACCTGCATGTTGCCCGGTTACTACCAGGAGTCTTTGTTACTAATTTAACCAGAAACATTTAGCTCCTTTGTGATGAAAGGTGATCTATTGTGAAACGGCAGCTGCGGTCTAAGCCGGTTGTAAGCCCTTCTCTCAACTTAAAGGAGACATGTCACATTCTCGTTTTCAGGTTCACACTGGCGTTTAGGGTTTCTATGTGACATTTTTAAATGACTTGGTGTTAAAAAAACGTTTCTTATACTGTCTGATTTGTATGTGCATTCGCCCCGAGTCTGGAAGAATAACATTTTTAGTGCCTGTCTCTTTAAGCAGAGTTGACTTGAGGACTTCCTTATCTGGATTTAGGACTTGACTTGTCTAACTTGTCAATTGCAAAACAATGATTTAGTCCCCGGGGTTTTAGTGAAAAGAATTTGGCTCACCAGAAATTATGACGCTACCAAAAGCTTCCACGTTGCTCTAATTCTCTGTCTTCCTCTAAGTCAGCCGGTACAGTGAGAAGTTGAGGCATGAGATGAGCCGCGACACCTGCTTCATCATGTCCTACGGGCAGCGAGAGGAGACCCGTCTGGAGGACCTGTACACTGACACGCAGATGGCCCTGCTGGACGACTGCAATGAACATTTGGGTTTCTTGGGGAGTCTGGACGAGCTCTTCGCAGACCAAGCGGTTTTCAATCCCCAAGGTGAAATCATCTACGTGATCGGGGATGCCGGTGTGGGAAAATCCATCCTGCTGCAGAGGCTCCAGAACCTCTGGTCCAAGAAAGATCTGCAGGCGGACGCCATCTTCTTCTTCAAGTTCCGCTGCAGGATGTTCAGCCTCTTCAAAGACACAGATCAGATCTCCCTCAGAGACCTTTTGTTCAAATACAACTGCTTCCCAGATCACGATCCAAATAATGAGGTGTTCGACTACATCCTCCGCTTCCCGGAGAAGGTTCTCTTCACATTTGATGGCTACGACGAGATTCAGATGAATGACCTGCTGAACGCTCCTGAAGTGGTCTCACCGGACGCCAAGGCGCATCCCGTCCAGCTGCTCGACAGCTTGCTCGGCGGGAAACTGCTCAAGGGCTCCCAGAAGGTGCTGACGGCGCGTACGGGGACCGAGATCCAGAGTACGGTGATCAGAAAGAAGGTGGTTCTGCGGGGGTTCTCCCCGGCTCATCTGAAGACCTACATCAGTATTCACTTCAAAGAGCAAGAGCACCGGGACCAGGTGTCGGTTCAGCTGGATGCCAGCCCCCACCTCTGTGGCCTCTGCTCCACTCCGCTCTTCTGCTGGATTGTACTGAAGAGCTTCAGGCACCTGCATACCATGCACGATAGCTTCCATCTGCCCGAAACCTGCGTCACGCTCACGGACATCTTCCTCCTGCTGTGCGAAGTGTGCCTCAGCCGCTCGGGCTCAAGCGCGCCGTCTCTGCTGAAGAAAAGCCCTCGCTGCGTCTCGGAGACATTCGTGGCCGGGCTCAGGCCTCTCGCAGCGTTTGCCAAGGTGGCGCTCCGGGGTATGGAGCGAAGTAGCTTCGTTTACAGCCAGGAGGAGCTCATGGAGTGCGGCCTGACGGAGGAAGACCTGACGCTGGGCTTTCTCAGACCTGTCGGCGAGTGTGATGCCAGTGGGGGCCCCGCGACATTCGAAATCCTCCATATCATCCTCCATTCTTTCCTGGCGGCGTTTGCTTTAGTCTTAGATGAGCAGGCTGCTGCCGGCTCCGTCCTCAAGTTCTTCACGGAGTGCCGCAGGAAAAGAGAAGCGCGCTGTGCGCCGTGTCTCTCCTGCTTCTGTGGCTCCTCAAAGTCCGGTGAGAAGACCCTGTTTGAAACGAACGAACACTTCCAGTTCACCAACCTCTTCCTGTGTGGACTCCTGTCCAAGGCTCACGCCGGCCTGATGGAGCACCTGGTGTCTCCTGTGTTATTAAGGAAGAAACGGGCGCTGCTGAAATCCTACCTTTCCACCAGTGTAAAGTCCCACCTCGTTGGCTTACCCCATCACAACAGTGGGGAGGGTCAGAAGGTCCATGTTTTGCCCAACTTCCTGTGGATGCTGAGGTGCATCTTTGAGACCGGCAGCAGAGACATCGCTCAGATGACAGCGAAAGGCATCACAGCCGGCTTCATCAAGTTGGGCTACTGCAATGTGTTCTCGGGCGACTGCACCGCCCTGAACTTTGTGCTGCAGCACCGTCAGAAGCTCCTGGGGCTTGACATGGACAACAACAACATCAGTGACTACGGGGTGAAGCAGCTCCGGCCCTCGTTCTGTAAGATGACCATAGTGAGGTAAAAACACTTGTTTTTAACTGCTGGTAAATCTCCATTGTGGGATATTCAGACTGATATTATAAACACTAATCCAACTGCTTGTCTCCAGGTTGTGCGTCAATCACCTGTCTGACAGCAGCGTCGAGGTTCTTGCCGAGGAGCTGTGTAAGCACAAAGTCGTGGAGGTCTTGGGGTGAGTGAACATGGTAATTGGTTCCAGGATGGATGGGTGCCAGTGGTGTATAAAATAATTCACAGAGTTTACTCAACTGAAAAGTACCAATACAACCCGCATTCGCCTCTCCACCTCAAGTTCTGCATTTGAAAATCCTCCGTGAGTAAACCTAGAGAAGTATTATAAAGTATGAAAAGTCAGTACTTTTGTGTGGGTGATGGGTGATCGTTGAATATGGCGTTATGCGCTTGATCATGCCGATGCATCATTGCATGAGTCTGAGATGGTTCACGGGTAGAGAAGCTCTGCTAGTGTGTTGATTTGTTGGACTAACAAGTCACTCTTTGAAATAAATAAAACCTCCTTCATGTCAAGTAAAATTCTGCTGCGTTATTTTGAAAGTGAAACACAATCGTGAACCTTAATTTGTTTGTTTGGTCTTCAGGCTTTACAACAATTACATCACAGATGCTGGAGCTAAGCTTGTTGCTCAGATAATTGAGGAATGCCCCAAACTGCGAGTTGTCAAGTATGTTTCAAACCTCTCCCAATATAAAGTTGAGATATATAATAGTTATAGTGTTAGTAAAATGAATGTGTGTTACATTTGTTATGTTAATTGATGACGTTATTGTGTCCTTAGGATTGGGAAAAACAAGATCACTGCTGTTGGTGGGAGATATTTGGCCAGTGCAATTCAGAAGAGCGCTTCAATATTTGACGTTGGGTAAGATCACTCCATGCAGGATGTTCTCATCTCACTGCGGGATCTCAAGTGACACAAAACATGTTCTACATGTTACCGTACAAAAACCTCGACCTTTCTTGATATTTTCGCTTGCAGAATGTGGGGGAACAGCATCGGCGATGAGGGAGCCCAAGCATTTGCGGAAGCTTTGAGGAACCACCCGAGACTTACCAACCTCAGGTGAGAAGAAGCTCCCTACAAAATAAATACCCACAATATTTATAAAAGCCAGCTGATTGAAAATCACGGATAACATTTCTGTGTTCTAGTCTCGCAGCCAATGGCATCACTTCTAAAGGTGGCAGGTGTCTAGCAGAAGCGCTGAAAGAGAACAGCGTGCTCAGGATATTCTGGTAGGCTTGTCGCCCAGTTTGAGCAAAGGGGTTTCTGGCCGTTGTCACAGAACTATTCTGTGTGTCTGTGCTGTTGTAGGTTGGTGCAGAACGAGTTGAATGACGACGCAGCGCCACACCTCGCTGAGTTGGTCCAAGCGAACACAGGATTAAGCCACCTCTGGTAAAGAAAACAAACGCACTAATGAAGATGCTTTTCATTTACTCGCATGATGTGAAGACCAGAGGTCTCATTTGGAAAACAGTGCCGGAGATTCACTCTAAATGTTTGCGTTCGTACAATTTGGGAAGTTTACCTAAACCCACAAATATTATTTCTAAAACCGGTGGTATGTTTGCCAGTGGACAATTTCCTTATTACAAATTCAAATCAATGTGTTTCAGCCGCACATCCCACCCTGTGCACACCTACACTCAACCATTAGCTGTCAATGCAGAGCACTTTATGAATGCTGCTGCATAGAAATGAGCTGCTGATCGACGCGGCTTTACGGGGAATCACAGGGACTACCGAGGGGACGCGCTTGTGGATGAGATGATCCCTCCCAATTATTCCATTTACACATATTCATTTCCTAGACTGATGGCTTCCAAAACTATCGCAACAATCAGTGGTACCCAGTGGAAGTTTGATAGGTTAACACTATTTATTCAGTTCAGTCTTGTTGTAGCATTATAATTAGGACTGCTTGATTTCCAGTCCACACGTGCTGTAACCACGGTTACAGCAATGCTGTATCTGTCTCTAACAAAGTAACCAAGCATGAATCATTAAAGTGAAGTTCACGGTTTCAATTGTACGTACAATAATTATATGAAATCTACTGGTCTTTATCTTGCAGTGATAATTTAATCCCCTGCAGATGCTTCATAGATGAGGCTGATGACATTTAAGCATTTTATGAGGTTTCAGTTGGATTATCTCTCGTACGAGCACAAACAACATCCCTATTTCAAATGTTTATGATGAAGAGAATGGCTTCAACGTAACGTGTGAGGTGAATAAAAATGGAATGTGAGAGACTGTTATTTTTACCTGATATGATGCCTCTCACATTTACTTCCTAGTCTGGCTTCATTTCACCATCATGTGTTACGCCATTTTTTCCCATCTTCAAAATGTTTGATATTATAGATACACAATTCCTGTTGTGTTCACCCAAAGGCTCTAAACGGACCCCCGTTGTCGGACACTGATTGTCAGAAACTCACCTGCTTTCTGTATTTGTCTGCAGGTTAATCAACAACCAGTTCACTGTGGATGGGATCAAAATTCTTTCTGCAGCCCTCAACGTCAACACGGCACTCAAAGAGATATGGTGAGGATCAGGTGTCGGTTCACAGAGATTTCAGACATTGTCTTTGCCTGCAATGGCCCTCAAATGCTATAGACCAACTGCTTCCATGTACTTGCTGTTTGGCTGCGTTCCATCTGTGGTAACAATGAATTGCATCCAATTATCAAAGTTGAGCAAAGGTTTTTTCCTACACAATAGCAGAAGGCTACTTCAGTACTCTACTTTTAGCAACAGCAATCTGATTAGTTCACATTTTAAATCCAGTCTTTCTAATGTCATGCCAAAAAATCCCCCAACAAATAGAAAGTTGAATATAAGCAAAAGGAAAACCAGTTTCTCAGCTTTAGTCTTAGTTGGGCTGGTTTGACGGTTACCAATGTAAACAAATTTGACAACTTCCTGTTGTCTCAAATCGAATCAATGTTTTTGTACACATGGTTTTGTTTGCCTGAAAAAGAGTTTGTGGTTTACTAGATACAGATTGGTAAATGACCTTCTGGTACATTCTGAAGCTTTGTTGTGAGACTAAGAGACATAATCATGCAGACTTTTAAACACATTCGATCATAGTGTACGAAGCCTCTCGGCTAACCTTCCATTTTTTACTTCTGACCGTTTTTTTTTCCCGCTACAAAAATCCTTACAGTGGTGTTCATTTGGGATCTGGACACACAAAAGATTCAAGTATCCAAAATGTTAGTTTGAGAGAACAAGTGACTAACTTCTGGTTTTGGCCAAATACGCTACATTAACTGTAGACTAAATTCAAATAAATGTATCCTGAAAGACATTGGGTTGGAATTGCTTAACATAAAGTTACATTTAATGTGCCTTGATGATTATGTTGATGCATCAGGAAGCTCCCTTGCTTTTATACTTTACTGTTTCTGTTAATTGAAGATTAGTAATTTACTGTAGGAGTTTGTAGAATGGGGGAACCATATAACAGAGCCATTCCCGTGTATTTTCCCATTTGAAAGCATGACGTGTCTGATGTTGTTCTTACAGTCTGAAAGCAAACCGGCTCTCCGAGGAGGAAGAGAAACAGTTTGTGGGAGATAAAAGGCTGCGGTTCCACTGACTGCTGCTCCTGTGAGATAAAACCTCCGTCTGAATAGACACAATATGCAGGCCGGACGCTTTCACTGTGATGGAAGTGAAACAATTGCTTCCTTCTGTGTGAACTTTAATAGACTCAAGGGGCACGTATGCACATGACATGACTCCAACACAAGGTGCTAATGGGAATATGTTGAGCCAGGAGGCTGAATAATGTTTACTGCCTGTGCAGAGATGTACAAACACCCTTTGGCTGGTGGATGCCAATCACTGGATCGATTTCTGTGGATGGACTGTGGACCGGGAAAAGCTGATGGCTTCGGGGAACAAGGACAACAGATGGAGCTTCGTTCAAATAAGACAACGTTGTCTTTATTGAGTCAACTGTCAAGCCGCCTTTGGGAGAGATGCACTCAGTCATAGGATTAAAGTGCTACAAGATGATTGTATGTATGGAAGGTTGACTGTTTTTCAACATTGTATACTGTAATGTCTTATGACGTACTGTGATTTAGAACATTTCACATTTTTAACTAAGATTCTCTTATAACTTTTTCTAATTTGAACACACCCAATAGTCACTTTTTTAAACCAGTTCGTACTCTTTCAGCAGCCTCTTCAAATTAAATCCAGCCATTGAGCCTCAGCATTGACATCCCAATGTCTTCTAGTTTGGTAGTCTCTGCTTTTTCAGGTTTTACAGCAAAATATTCTATTTCAGACACTGTGCAATGTAAAGAAAACACGTTGTGCTCTCCATTCAATAAACATGATAATTATCCAGAAGTATTGTTTATCTATCCAATATTCATGAGCAAAATGAGTATTGAGTATTTCACAAACGGCTATGTGAAAATGTGTTTTACTACAGTGAGTATAAGTACTCTTAAGCTAATACAAATATAACTTACTGGTGTAATACAGTATTTCAAGAGCACTACAAATACATACTGATATAGAATCCAAAAGTGTTATATTGAATTCTTCTGTCCTACCTTCAGTGTTAAGTAATATGAATGTACTTAGTGAAACAACTGCAATGAATGCAATACTTAATTCCAGCTTGGTTAATAAAATACCTTTTGTAACTTTCTGATCACGTCACATAGACACAGAAGGGTGATGCGTTCATTATATGTATTGATTGAAGATGGATTCATATTTTTCTTGCTTGCCTGAAGTAACATCTGGCTCTCCGTTCTGTTTGATGAAAGCCTGGGAAAACCAAAGACAACACCTTATGTAACAGACCATCAGTATCTAAAAAAAAAGTCTCCAATAGTCTTACCTCCATTTCCTCCAAGGAGGCAGAACCTTCATCCACTCTCTGTCCAAGGCCGTGACTGAAACTTGAGTAACGCTCCTGTTTGAACCACACACACACACGTGATGGTTTCTGTACACGGAAACACAAAGGGATGTTCCTCCAGCCGCAGACGTACCTTCACCATGCCAGAGATCAGCCCGTCCGTAATGATGCGAACAGCATTTCTGAGTCCTCTGGCGAAGGCGTCCATGGCCCCGATGTGAGCGATGAACAGGTCCTCCAGGTCCGTGGACTCCCGGCGCACCTTCGCATCAAAGTTCAGGCCTCCGGGCTGCAGACCTCCTTGTTCAACAATGACCTGGACAGGATGAGACACTAAAGAATGACCGGGTGCCTGTATCACTGTGCTACAGACTGTGCAATAACCATTTACTGCATATGAACGTTAAAGATGCACTAATCATTGTTTATGTTAACTATCTCCTCATTAGCCCTGTGCGCTGCCACAGAAGGCATCAGTGTCACTACTGCACTCCCATAACATTACAGAAAACTGACAGTGAATGGCTGAAAGCACCCCATCCATCCTTTGTGCGTGTTATTTCAGATCCACTTCCTTAAATGAATGACCGGGCTTGCCAGCCATTGCGGAATGTCTTAGCAACGTTATCTCATTTGGATTGTTATCTTATACTGTTGTTGGACAACATCACATTCACAAACAAGTCTGGCAATAAACTGCTAGAAATCAAACAAATCGTTTCACCTTCATGACCAAGGTGGTGTTCCTGATGTCCATGGGGAACTGGTCTGTGTCCCAGCCCAGGTCAGGGGAGCCCGTGTTAGCGTCAACGGATCCCAGCATCCCGAGCCTGAGGACGAGAACACAGCTGGTTGTTAAAGGCAACGTCATGGAACGCCGTTTGCTCTGATGTTATTTTAAATGCTTACGCAGACGCCATGACAACATCGTGTTCGTACGAGTGTCCTGCCAGCGTGGTGTGGTTGGGCTCAATGTTCAGCTTGAAGTGACTCTCCAGACCGTAGTGCTTGAGGAATCCGATGACGCTCATAGCATCTGGACAACAGAGTGAGGTGTAGTCGCATCAGGACGACGGCGTTTCAGAGCTTACGGTGTTTCCACACACCTTACCGTAGTCATACTGGTGTTTGCAGGGCTCCTTGGGCTTGGGCTCGATTAGAAACTGACACTTCAACCCAATCTTGTCTTTGTACTCTGGTGACAGATCAGCAGATTTAACTGAAAGTGAGAGATTACCGATTTCGAATGAATCCCGTTTTTTCGTGTGCTCACTTACTGACGGCCATTTTGAAGAAGTTGGCCATGTGCTTCAGTTCCAGAGCAACGTCCGTGTGGTGGACGGAGAGGAACCCTTCCCGTCCTCCCCAAAACACTGAGGAGATAAATGCATACAATGGTGTGGTAACATTGCTGCACTGAGGAAGCCTTTCCGTATTTTAGACCCATGTGCGGCACCATCAAGTCACTCTACCGAAATTCTCTGCACCCAGCTTCTTGGCGGTGTCGAGCCCCTTCTTGAGCTGAGCGCCAGCGTAGGCCAGAACGTGACAGTCCGGGTTGGTGGCCGCACCATTCATGTACCTGTCACACGGATCAAACGTGTGTGTGTGTGATATATATCATGTATCATAACTTTTTAAAGGTTAAGACGAAAGAACCTCTTTCCCTGCTAGACCTATGGACCTCTTTGGGGGGGGGGGGTTCTGAATTAAAATATAATAATAACCTCTGGTGGGCAAAGAGGTTGCAGGTGACCCACAGCACCTGGATTCCAGTCTGGCTCTGCAGCTGGAGGGCCAGGTCTGTTATTTCATCCAGATTCCTGTTGGACTCCTCCAGGGTGGAGCCCTCAGGAGCCATATCCCTTTAAGAAATAGGGGACAGATATTAGACTTTAAGACCATTAATATTATTAAATGAATGGAGTCCAGCAATTTGCAAAATATTGCTGTCACTAAATAGTTGATCCAACAAACCACTTAAATGACTTAGATCAATATTCACAGACATGTCAAGTACACAACCTCGATCAAATCAAAGCGATAAAACGGTAAATTACCGGTCATGAAATGTGTAGTATTTCACCTGTAAAGAAATGAATAAAAAAGAGGCAGAGGTCAAAGGGGAAACAAACAGCATAAAATGAGCATCAGCTGTGTGTAACTGTGACGTTGTAAAAGGGGATTTCCTCTCACACCGAGCTTGGTGAAAAACTCAAAAGCAGCCCGCAGTCGCTTCTTGGCGGAGTCCATCGGAGCGCCTTCATTCCAGGGCCGGTGCAGCGTCGGAGCCCCAAAGGGATCAGCTCCTAATAATATGTCAATTCAAAGATGAAGACAACATCTGTTGGTCTAATAAATGACTTTCTCTATACAACAAAGACATAAACTATAACAGACATCATGTGTGTGTCTTCTAGAGTCTATTCGCACTGCGATGACGATAGGAGGTCAGTTGCTACAGTACCAGTGCCGCAGAAGGAGTGCCAGTAGCACACGGAGAACCTCAGCCAGTCCTCCATCTTCCTCCCCATCAGCACCTGCACAGACCAACACTGATCTCAGACCAGCAGCTTCCTGTACTATGTCTCACTAACAGACACACACACACAATTCATGATCAAGTTTCAATCCTACCAGGATATTTATCAGGTTAGAATATTTGAAAAAAGTTCAAACCTGACAGATTTTGGAAAAAAAAAAAAGGGGGGGGGGGGGGGGGGCGTGATTGTGTCCAACACCCACCTCCTCCGCATTGTAGTGTCTGAAGCACAGCACATCTGCGGGCCCGGCGTTGGGTGAGTACGGGATCTTGCGGATGCCTGCGTGCGCCACAAAGGTTCTCCTTCAGTCACGTGACGTGAGGAAAACAGCGCATCCGGGGGCGTCATTTATAAAACCTTGCGTAGGATTTGCGCCAGAAGTGGCGTACGGATGAAACGTAGGACGTGACTTATAAAACCGTGCGCACGCACGTCCTACGCAGCTTTCCCTTAATAAATCACAATCACTTCTGAATGCAGCGCAGCTTTTGCGGCTTCATGTCACGCCCATAGTTGCCCATATATGGTCTGTGGAACGCCCACAAATGAATATTCATCGATTGCGAAATCATGACAAACACTGAGAGGAAAACGAAGAAACGTACTTCACTCAGTGTGAAGTCGAAATGATCATTGGGAGGTGGAAAGGAGAAGTAAAACGCTTTTAGGGGGCACAGTGTGGACATCACTGATGCCAAAGAGGCACTTGAGTGGCAAAAGGTTGCAGAGCAACGCTGCAGCCTCGATAACCGTCCGTTTGATTGCATCTGACAACAGCTGTGTTTTCAGGATGAATTGCATAACGTGCCGATATTATTGCAGAACATATTTCACTTTTCTTTTTGAAAATGTGTTCATTTGTATTTCTGTTTGTTTTACGCTGCAGATCGATCAAACCGGTGTTCGTGTTATTTATGAGAGGCAGTATTGGCATTTCTTTTACAACAGTCTAGTTTTACACACTTTCACACACGTTTGCGTGTTTCTTGCATTTGCCGGCGTACGCATGGGTCCGAGCTTGCGTGAAGGACCGTACATTTTTCCGTCAAGTTTGCTTTTAATAAATACCAATTATTGCGTAGAGAGCGGCGTACGCCTTCTTTTGTGCGTACGCAACGTTCATAAACGAGGCCCCTGGACGTACTGTTGCACAACGAGGCGCTCCTTGTCCGCGGGCCGGATCCAGGGAAACCCTCCGGAGTCCGGACACTTTTCGCACAAGATCAACACGCACAAACGCACACGGCAGACATTGTAAACGGGACTTGAAATAATATGAATTACCCAGGAAGAAGTCCTCGTGCGCTGCCATTTCTGGATCCCGACTTCTCTGGTGTTACGGTTCAACAGGCGACCGAGCAGCTGCAGACTTCAGCCGCGCTGTTGGCAACAGGAAGAGACCACGTAACGCAGCGGATTCGACGTCGGGGATTCTTTGAGGAAAAGAGTGTCGAATGTTTATTTATTGAAACAGGAAAGAGATGTTGCCCTACTTTGGAAATCGAGTTTCTATGAAAGCAAAAACTAATCGTTTTCAGAGCCTGTTTTAAGTAAACACATAAGAACTCTGTAGCATAGTAAAAAAGAAAAAGAAAACCTGCAACCAGAAGAAGATGGATCACTCGTAACTGTCACAAGCAGAAAGGAGGCAGATCAATTTGTGACCCCAGAGAATAGCGGGTTATCAGTAAGCACGGTCGCCTGTTGGACCGTAACGCCGGTTCCTGCAAGTTTGTCCACGTCTTTCCTTCAGTAACCACAAGGTGTCACTAAGTCCCTGTTACGGTTCTGCTATCTGAACCTGTGCACGTTGCACGAAGCCGATGGTGCACAGTAGCATACAGGTGCATATTTCCCCATCGTTGACTTCATTGTCCTCTCATGGCCTCTGTGCAAAGACCAAAGTGAGGCAACGTTCCATGGAATAACAAATGTAACCCGCAAACCCAATTCCCCCCTGACGCATGTTCAACACAGTGTGTTTATTTCAATTATAATGGTGCCTTTATAAAATATCTGATACAGAAACATGAACAGAAATGTAGAAATGATAACAGTATACCGCACACACACACACACGTAACCCATAAATACACATGAACACATCCTAGAAAAGTACACATTACCCTTTAGAAGCCTTTGGTCTGGAACGTATGCGGGGGGGAAACAACAAAGATTTGCAGAAGAAAAGTTCTTGGAGCACCATTGGAGCTCTATCATAGTTCATATCTGTGCGCACACAACACGCTTTGCCTTCTCACATTAAGGGAACTATTCAACCGTGTCCATTTTCATCATGCTCGTTTTTTTGCATAAGATAAGGAAAGAATGGAAGGCAAAACAAACAGAACCAGGCACCAGGCACTGTAGAGTGAGGCACTTGAGTACCTAACACCTTGGTTTGGCATCATGACGTTTGGCACATGAGGGTGACGTTGCCCTTTGAACTGTGTGTGTGTGTGTGCGTGTGTGTGTGTGTGTGTGTGTGTGTGACAGAGTTAGAGCGATTGCGATAACAAGCCGTCGTTGTCTCCTTACTTACGGCCTGTCCATCTGAAAACAGCTAGGTGAGTTACATTCATTCTGCTCATATTTACACTTCCAGCGTACATAAAGTACATATTCTTGTAACTCAAGAGGGATTATTTTTATTTCTGAACCCCCGACGAGGCTTCCTGTCTGCCGACTTGTGAAAAGGTACTCCAACGTCACTCCTTCTCCGGCATGCGGGGCTTCCTCAGATCAGCCGGGCCACCCCGGGCTGGGAAGGGAAGCTGCTACGAGGAGGACGAGTCTAGCTGGCTGAGGTCCGTCTTCGGCACCTTGGTCTTCTTCTTCTTCTTCTTGTTCTTCCTGCGGCAGGGCTTGCAGACGCAGCAAAGGATGCACGGCGAGGCCAGCAGGAGGAGCGGTGACGTCACCAGCACGATGATGCTGACCCCTACCAGGATACCCACCACCTGAGGGCCGACACGGCGACATCGTTGAGCTGCAGCGATCAGTCATTATTATCAGTCGATCAAGTGACTAACTGGGATGTGAAAGGGGTCACTGACAGGGAACAATTATCACACAACCTTACAAATGTAGCATTATACAGCTCATTGCTTCAATTTCAACTTCTCAGTTTTGGTTCAGTCGAGCCGCTCTCTTCCATCTTGCTGCAGGAAGCTGCTTTCAGTGAATGTTATAAATCGACTGTGCACTACTAGCACTGGTAAGAGACAAAGTTATCTCTTAACAGCAGCTAAAGAACCTGATATTTCCCCCAGGAGTTGGTGGAAACCTAAACAGGGCTCAGAGGAGAGTGAATAACACATTGAAGAACAAATGACAAACAATAACACTGCTAATGAGGGAGTCACATTACACTTTATAACACATACTATAAGATTAGAAAAATGTATGTAGTAATGTTGAATGGTATTGGGAGCTGTGGTTCGTGGACTCCTGCACACGGTGTGCTAGCTATGCGCTTTCCCCACAGCAGCGTTTCCTCGCGGCTTCAAAGGAATTCACGAGAAACGGATAGTGAAACTCACAAGACCTGTTAGACGAGATGTTAACCAAAGTTTGTCATGTGTTGCTTTGCAAGGAACAACTGCGTGTCTGCTGTTCTCTTCTGTCGCCCTGGATATTTAGCAATGCAGTCAGGGAGTTTGCTGTAAACTTGATATTAACTGTTGGAGCCATGACGCCGTTATGCCGTCTGTTTGAATCTATCCTTAAGGGGAATTTACAGTGATTTGCATTGTGGGAGTGCCAATAGTATTTTGACCATGTCTCTACCTGACGTGCCGGTTACGTTTTATGTAATGAAGGCGACAAGTTAACTGTATTATATGGATGAACAGATGGAAAATAGATGCATTGGACTATTAATAGTTTTGTAGCCTTGAACACACATCAGAGGGGCTTCACCACATTACCATGTGATCATTTCATCATGTGAAATAGAAAGTAGGTTTGGAGACCGATCCTATTGTTGACGGGATAACGTCATTTCAGGGCAGGAATTTGAGATTAGCGCTGGGATTAGCTGAGCTTAATGTCTGAAACAGGACGATTTAGCCACACTAGCGGAAAACAAACCGCTAAAAGCGAGTGAACAAAAACAGATATTCAAAAAGAAAAGGTTAAGCTAATGCACGTATTATTTAAGTGTCCCCGAGGTGTGGCAGCGTGGGATTTTACTGTGCTACGTAGGTTCCTTCAACATCCTCGCTGGAGACATTGGGGATCACTGACTCATAAACACTGCAGCTGGGACGGAGTCCAAAAATCTCGGTAGAAAAGGGCACAGTTTTACTAAAATCAAACACAACAATTGACCACCCACAGATGATTGGCTGTGCAGGCTGTTCTCTTCAGACAATGCCAGCATGAAATGAATACTGTAGGTCTGGTCCGTATGGGGAGTGACCTCACCTGCGTCCTGTTCCACATAACCGAGGCCCTCGAGTGTCCCAGTTTGTTTCTGCACGGCCCCTTATCGTAATGCCTCAGGAAGATGTCGCCCTGCAGTCACAAACACGCAGAGGACGTGTGAACACAAACAAAAAAGAGTGAAGCAGAGAGATTTTGAGCTTTAACGAGTAGGAGGCTAGCTAGTATAGATACTTTTCACCCTGTTTGTAACACGGGAGACTCACATCCAGATTCTGCAGACAGTACCAGCAGAAGGTGTGTTTGCAGCTCTTGCACAGCATCTGTGCACAGCCCTGGTTCCTCTCGATGTAGATGCCGCACATGGGGCACTGCTTGATGGGCATGTCAGAGTCGCTGCTGGAGCGGGCCCTGCGTGTCGGGTCAAAGACACACATATGCAGTCAGCAGGGGCACAGTGGCGTGTGAGGCCACCAAGGCCTCCGCAGGCAGCGTGTGAATTCTATATTTGGCAACAGAAAGATGGATCAGTGCTCACTTTGAACTGGGTTAATTATTTTGGGATTCAAAGGTTAGAGGTAAGTATTCTGTGCGTAAAATACGGGGCAATGGGTTCCACTAAAAAGTTGTGTTTGAGGGGTTTCAACAAGACTTCATCTTAAACAAACTGTGAACACAATTTGGACATTATTACTCCTGATAAAATTGTAGCGCTAACTGGTTAGTAAAATTGCCTAAATACGTACACATAGAGAAGTAAAAAGAGCAACATTAGAATTCACTACCAATAATGTTTGAAAATAGCTCTTCTTTGGCCTCCTCCACCTGGGTGCTAAACATCTGCTAGTTGCTACCTGTCTGTCTCCAATTTTGTGCATTTGGGTTTATATTATCAGTTTTGTTTTAAACAGCTGCATGTTGTGGTTGGAAAACGTTATTAATCCAAAACAGAAAAGTTGCACAGCAAAAAAAAAGTTCTAAGATGCTAAAAAAGACCATGTAGTTCGAGGGGAACCTCAGAGTTGGATGATACTGCTTTGTGACTCTGTTCATGTAGTGTTTTTCTCTCTTCATAAAATCAAAAAAAATCAAAGCAGCTTTAAATTTGAGTGGAAAAGGGGGATCATGGAAAAGCTGTCCATTTGGTTGGTGCTTTGTAGGGTTATTAAGAACACTGATGAAAGAATCCCGTGACAGCGTCAGACAAAATAGCTCTACAGCAAAATGCTGACGTGGGCATTTTGTTTAAATTAATAAACTGCAGGGATTTACGGTTTTGTCACTGGTTGCTGAAAAAAAAGAAGATTAAATTAGATTAAAAGCAAAATGAGAAAATTGTGCAAATATTTTTTTTGTTGACTCCTCGCCGCAGTGTTCCTAAAGCATTGGCTATGACCCAGGTACAACAACATTGTGCTTGACTAAACCTGCCGGATCTCCCTTCTTCCCCCTCATGCGTGTGCCATCCTGCACAGCACACTGCAGACACCACTGCTTCACTGCAGTGCACAGGCCAGTCCTGCACCGTGAACCACCCTCCTCCTCCCTTTGGCACACTGACAATGGAGTTACGATCCAAGTCAGTGACTCCCCAATGATAACAGATGAGCCCAAATTCGGAGGGGCTTTTGCTGTAGTTGTACGACGGGGAGTCGGGGACCACACAGAGGGCACTGCTGAGAAATACTGAGCTCTTCATCCTGAATGAATGTTTATTGCATATTCAGCTCAGGGCCTCGACTGAACAGAGAATGGACTCCTACTACTCACTTTATAATCCATTCAATGAAAATATCCTGTCACAATAACAATCAATTATATATAATGGGATGAATGCAATCTGAATAGGATGCAATAGTAATAATCCCGCTTTTAGCACAATATAATTTTCAGTGCAGCTGACCAAGCAGCTGGCTAACTGACCTGCTTTCACGAGAGGGTACGGGCAACATCATGGGCTGGCGCTCTGGGCAGACATGGCCGGCCTGCCAGGGTCCTCTACAACCGGAGCAGAAGACGGTGTGGCAGGTAAGGCAGGGCACGGCGTGGGGCCGGCCCTCAGTGCTGAGGTGCACACTGCACACTGCCTGGCATTCCAGCACCGGGCACCAGGCTTTACTGGAGTCCAACTTCACTCCTGCAGAAAGCAGATATCAAGCAGATCTAAATGTTACAAACCAAATAAGAACATGTTTTACTCCCCATCTCTAAATACCATGTCGGTAGCATAGGCTGCTGTGCTATCTGTATCATCCGTACAGACAGTAATACCACTGATCAGGAACAAACTGACTTTTATAGCATTGTAAACTGAATGTGTCGCACTGCAAGAAGAAAATCAGGCCAACTGACGGGACAATGAAAACATGCTCTGGCCCAAAAGATCAATACGACAGTGGTTACTGTTAATTAAGTATTAACGAGTAAGTTACCGCGTTACAAACAACACGTAACTTCACTGTCTTACCAGCAGCCTGTTACTGCTAACACCACCAACGTTAATAGTTGTCTATCCACTTATATTTAGTTTTTAAAATACACAGTAAAAATAGGATACAATTCAAGCACGATTCTCACCCCAATAAACATTTGTTTATCAAAACAACTGTATACTTATCATCAGATTCAGTAGCACACTGGTCTTTAGTGTGAGACATCAGGGCTTTGAGCTAAACGCTGATGTGACGCCCACCGATGTGTGATAATGTGTTCATCATCTGTCTAATTAGTACCAATGGGACCAAAGTGCTGGTTCGACTAACCAAGAAACAGTCCCATCCCTGGTTAGCATGGCTAACAATATCTCATAAACACATTGTCGACATTTTTAATGGATCATCTCTGAAGACAAATTACTCTCTAGTGACTTTACGGGGACAGAAGCAATGCGGACAAATAATAAATCAGGAATGATTTACAAGAATAACAAAAGGCTCAAGCTTTCATTGTTTGTTCCCACCAGCTCATCCTTTAATAGTGAATCTATGCAGAAAGGAAACATTGCTGTCCTACACTTTTTATACTGTTCATTGCACTATTTTATACTAAATATTACTAATATTATACTAATAATATGAGTCTCATGATTTTTGGCAAGAGTAAACAATACTGTGCAACTGAAAAATACCAATATAATTTGCAGTTTGTAAATGTCACCAGAAACCTATTTCAACAGTTATTTCTCGCTAAGCCTCCAGGGCAAGGCCGAGATATATACACATTTGTCCCACTTCTACTTCTGGTGCAAACATCTACATATACAGTAACCTAAAAACACTGTCATTGAATTGAATGAGAAAATGTGTCCAAACTTTTGACTGGTACTGTAGGTCAAATCGTTCAGTAGCACTGAAACCAGCATTGCTCCATGAACCTCTTGCAGCATTTGTTATTGAACTCCAAGCAGGTGATGTTTGGTTTAGCTCAAGGTAATAAAGCTGCAATGTCAGTAACCTCCGGAGTAAACAATTGGACCAGTGCACAAGAGAAAAACAAGGCCCCGCATTATCCCAGGCATGTGAAACCCCGTGGTGCTGCTCAGGTGATGACACACCCGATAAAGTGCGACCTGAAGTGGCCGCATGCCAGCGTGCCAATGCCACAATAACTACCTCGCTCAAACTTCACACGCTGGTACAGCTCCACCTGGTCTTCTGGGGCCAAGCTAGCTATCTGCAATGACATAGCAGAGAGAAGGGATGTTATTGGTCAGTCTGAGACTGAATGGATTGTGTGCATGCAGGACGATTGAGGATACCAGAATCCTATTAGACAAATGCCAGAATACATGGCGATCGGATAAAACACTTCAGTAGTAAGATTAAAAAAAGGGGTTGATTACAAAATGATTGGAAGAAAGCTGAAAAGCAACAATTACTACTGCTTGCATGTTTAACACCTGCCAAAATAACAGGGGATCTAACTAATTCCAGTCAGACAGAAGGCCAACGAACTCTAGTAAGCCAGGGGTATTTAATCTAATTCAGTTGTAGCCACAGAAAACATTACAAATGAGGAACTGAGTAGCAGAATTTCCATTAAAGAGTAAATCAGCAGTTTGCTGACTGGTATCTTGTATGAGTGACTTAATCGTGGAGTTTCACTTTCTGTTTGCCTGCTTTACATTATCTCATCCTCAGAAAATAATTCACAGAGAAATGTCATTGACACCACTACATTTTTACAATATTTACTCTTAGTCAATACAGCAAACGCAATTTATAAAACACAAGGGGGGAAATCCAACTTCAAGTATCTTTAGAAGTTATCTTGCTGCACTCTGGAATCCACAGCAGATTTATTTAGAAAGAAATTCAAATGTATTTTCCCGAAATACCTCAGAGTCCAAAAGCACTCCGGTTTTTAGGCAGGCCATATCTGGGCAGGTGATGGGTGCACCCCCACCCTCCACGATGGCCAGCTGAACATACCGCTCCAAACACTGGAGAAGGAGAGAACGACACGGCAGCATTATTAACATGACCGTCCCCTGAGGACAAAACTACAAGCAAAGGGAGCGGAGGGAAAATGAGCCGTACCGCACAAACATGGCAAACACAGTGCGGCACGAATAGAAGTTTCCTATTGGTGTTTCTTATCAAAGTCTCATGTTGCCTCAGCTTTCAAATATGGAAGTCAGAGGAACTATGTCAACAGTGGTAGAAAGGCAAAGGTAGACAGCTTCGACAAACAGAAGAAAACATTTACGTGTCACTATTTGTTAATGGAGGAGTGGAATGTGTTTTTAAGACCCATTCGTACGTGCAAACTCGTGCTCGTCATGTGCCTTCGAATAATGCATCCAAATACTGAACAGTCTGTGTTCTGCTTAATAAAACAGAGTTGACCTGATAAGCGGGGTTTACAGTATCCTTTTTCCTCATTCTTCCCCCCTGACACAGTGTCTCTGTATGTGCTTTATTGCTGACCTTGTGCAACAGAGACGCTACCTTGGACAGACAGTAACACCTCACACTGTGCACCAACCTCTCCGCACCTACACCTCAGTTTCCACATGTCAGACAGGCAGGTATTACACTTGTGGCGGTACACATCTGCTGCTGTTATGAATGATACATCTCCGTATTCCTCCGATAACGCTTCTTCTATAGAGAAATGTTCGTGAGACACAGTGAGCCTTCATTAATAACAACATTGGAAGTGGGGGAGAAAGTCAGCACTGGGTTGAAAGCCCTTCATTTCTCTAAAGCTGGATTTGGCATCAAAACATCTCAAGTTATTAAAACAGGAAGCAGCGCTCTAATAAAAAGGGAGTAACCCATTCCTACTGATTCAACAGTTGGACATTTGCCTAAATTGCCCAAACAAAAGCCGGTAGTGTTGGATCACTTTTTGTGAAATCCTAAAAGTAACAAGCATGAGCGAAATGATCCGTGTCAGTCATCACTCTGCATATAGCTTTTACGCTTCACAGGTCTCCCCTTAGTGAGCACTAGACATCATTTTAACGTTGAAATGAGGTCGGAATGTCTTTCCAACGACTAAAAAGTGCTGTCAACCTGTCAAAACACGCCAATTCGTTGATAATGTGCTCTGTTGTAACGTGAGGTTGAAAGAAAGACGATATTATCCATGAGGTTTTCATATTAATTAATGAGCTGGTCGGCGAAATTTGATCTACGTGAAGACGTACCCGGATGAAAAGTAAAAATCCCACAATATTTGATGTGTGTTACGATTGCGTTTGGTTTTGTGGACTGTTGCTGTACAACATTTCTGCCCTGCCCGTTTTGTGTCCTAAATACAGATTGGATGGGGGAAGGGTGTGTTGTGTAAACAAGAGGGCTCCTCCATGCTAAAAGCAAAAACTGTAAAGTATGATACTGTGTAATACACAGATGAAAGTATTACTACAGAAATGTAATAAGTTACCGATGAGTTATAAGTAAACCGTATTTACTTTACCTACTAAACACGGAAACGTTCTTACTCCCGATTTCATTGTATCCAAGATGTATCAAACTTCTTCAATACAACTAAACTAACTAAATCTATGTAAGAACATATACCACATTTTACAATATCAGTATTTACAGGCGTCTTCCATATTCTATTCAATTCAATTCATTTTATTTTGTATAGCCCAAAATCGCAAATTACAAATTTGCATCAGAGGGCTTTACAGTCTGTACACATACGACGTCCTCTGTCCCGAAACCCTCCATCGGCACAGGAAAAACTCCCCCAACAATGAAAAAACCCTTCCAGGAGGGAAAAAAGGGAAGAAACCGTATCTATATCAACACCCTCAGGGACAACGTGCACAATGTAAGTTGTAAGTTGCTTTGTTTAAATTGCCTCAAATGAGTCAAATCTCAATACAAGCTTAATGTAACAAACTACATTTTACATTACAGTCATTACACTTCTGCTGAAACCAACATGGATTCAAATTATTTGGAAAAAATGGAGCGTAAAAACCCAAATCAATGCCTTAGAAACTTTAAACACAACTGATGATGGGCCAGGGGATCTTTTGCGGACCAGGGTTCTAAGGCATCTGTAAATGAGGGTTCTGACACACCTGCTGCCGCATTATTTACTATTATTAGTCACATTACTATTACTACTGTCCTCATAAACCAACTTTACTGACTGGTTTCTGGCCTGAAGTCTTTGGCATCTTTTACGCTGTTCATTCTGTACACATTACATCTAATGCCGATGTGAGGGTTTCATGACAGAGGATGTCGCATCTGTACAGACTGTAAAGCCCTCTGAGGCGTTTGAACTTTTGAACCACTTTTCAACGTCTCTTCAAGGGAAAAATGCTCGCAGGGCTCCGACTTCGCTTGCCTGTTCTTACCGTTGTGCAGAAGACGCAGTCGCAGCCCTGCAGCTCCCTGGTGGCGGCGGGCGGCTGCTCGCTGAGGCACAGCTTGCAGTAGGCCCCGGGCCCTGGCTCGGGGCGTTGAGCCCCGGCCTCCAGGGTCCCCGGGTCCGAAGCCGCATCTTCCCGGCTTAGCGTGGGACTCCCGCTGGCCATGGTGGGGGCTCGGCTGGCAAAGGGGGGAGGGAGGAATCGGGTCTGCTCTCAGCCTTTCCGCTGGGGACGGAGAGGAGCTGCGCTCTCCATGTTCCTGAAAGCCCCAGAAAACAAAAACAGCAGTGATCGTCTTTCGTCTCCGCAGCGTAGGTGGCTATCCTCTTCCTCTTCGCCACACGGTTCACACGCCGCCGCGGCCCGTCTCTGGGACCTGCCGTCTCCTCTGAAAACTCGTACGAACTGCGATGACCTCACTCCTCCGCGGGGCTTTCCACTGTCGCCGCCTTGTTACCTGAGAGACGAATTAGTCACTGTGCCAAGCTGGGCGGCGCGTGAAGCAAAACATAATCATGTAATTACAGCGGTATTACTGATTACTCATCGTGTCGTTTTTACAGCCGTCCAAGTCCAAGGTCTGTGTTTACTGAGTCTACAGTTATTGACCAGCTCCTCATTGATTCTCACAGGAAGAATTGATTGCTGATGTTTTTTACAAACATATTAAATCCACGCTTGTGCAGGCACAGTGGGTACAAGCACAAACGTGTTAGCTGACTCCCTTATATCAGACAGCAGACGCACCAGCTGCAAGGAATTGTGTGCATGCATGCAAGACTTTTGAGAAATCTGAGGTATTTTTTTAGAAACCCTAGTGGAAAAATACATAGAGATCGAGAATGCATTGTGATCGTTTTGAGTGGTTACCAAGAAGATCACCCAGAATCACCTGGTCTCCTAGCAACTGCAGTACACGGCGTTATTTAGATAACGCCAAAGAAGTGAGTGAATACCTACTGAGAGAAATACAGAGGCTCAATGCAACACCTTCTAAATGTAAAACTAATCTGCAAAGGAATAATCATACTGCTGTTCTTCTTGCACGAATATATACTCATTATATCAACAATAGAGATGTTACAATGGTGTGCCAATACTCAAGAAGGTTGCTTAAACCAACATTAGCTTATAGTAATGCAAAGTAATGCAGATCAGCAACATTTTGAAGATAAAGGAGCTTAAGAAAAATGTGTATTTCCTCCTCCAATTTTTCAAGACTAAAGTCGTTTAGTTATTTGCCCTTAAAAAAAGAAATAATAATAATTTAAGACCTGCCTAATGTCTCTACTGTATGATAATCAAACCACTTCAAATCGGACAGAAGGCCAATGAGCACTAAACAAAGTTTACAAAAAGGTTTCTTGATTATATTACATTAGAACGAGAAAAAAAGTACACGATAAATTGGGAACCGAGGAGCAAAATTTCCATTTGTTAGTGAATCACAGGCAAAAACGTATAAGAATAACTGTGACTATTACACCTTTTGCACTAGAGCTTCACATTTCGGGGACAGCAGGACAGAGGTAGGTGGCTAATAAAGCTAACGCACCACCCAATCCCCCAAAAAGCGAGTAATAATCAACCCATAATCTGGGATTTGTGATTTAATCCTGCAGTGGTTTGACACAGAAAGGGGAACACATGCACGCACTGTGCACCCTGAGCTGTTATTGAAATCCCAAATCACCCAGCAGGCAGTGCTCTATATTACATCAAGGCTGGTGAAATTGGGCTGAAACCTTTAGGGTCGCTCAATCGATACAGCCACCAACACCGCCGGTGTCCTACATTTTTCAGTGCGTGCTGGTCTATTGGGTGCTGCTGATCGTCATGCATGCAGCGGACTGATAGTGGAGCCTGTGCAGCGCACACTGGCATTTCTGCACAGTCACGGAGCATCGTCCTGCTCTGCTTTAAGACAGGCAAGCTGAGGCGGCTACAGTCATGCTCCCACGCACACACTGTCAACCCGTCCCGTCCCGTCCTGTCCCGTCCCGTCCCGTCCTGTCCCGTCCCGCCTGAGAACTGGAGGCCCCACGCAGAACCCCAGTATGCGTTCATCAACAGTGTTTCATTCCCAAACAACACCGAGGTGTAGCAGGAGCTTGAGATAACTGGGGGTCCCTGTGTTTCTGCTGGAGAGAGTCAAATCAAATCTCGTCCCAGCATTAATGTTTGATGGATTTGAGGCCTTTTAATTGACTGTGAATTGTGGTCTGATTCTACTGGAATACAGTGAGGCGGTTTTGGAGCTTGGAGCCACCGTGTGAACTCTCTCACAGACGCATTTCCAGCCTGAATGATTCAATCCCAAACACTTTACATGGCAATGGCAAACAACTCGAAGCGTCCACCACACTGAACGCATCACCAATCCTGTTGGCCTTCATGAATCCATCCGGACGCCTCCAAGCGAGCAATTACAGCCGAGTATAACTTTGAGCAGTTTATTAATCAGAACACGCTCGTGTGCTCACAGTTCTCCTTAGGCTCAAAGCTGGCCGCTCCGTGATTAGCAGTCCACACATATCAAGGTCTAGATGCATGCCGGACGAGGGGGGGTCAAAGGATCATTGTTTACACCGGGAGGCAGAAAAGGGAAAGCTGGACCTTCCCCAGTGGAAGCTTCTTTTCACACATGCTGCCACTGTGTAAGAGGCGAGGTGTTAAGAGTGTGAGTGAGTGGCAGAATATATATGGCACCATTTATAAAGCTGCAATCTCTGCCTCTTGTCTGACGCTCTGGATTTATGGCCCCCCGTAGTTGTTTTTGGGGGGGGGGGGGGGGGGGGGGAGCCAATGACAACAGCATATTGCAAGTTGAAACACGTCGAAAAATGATGAGGTGGAGAACACGCACACCTTCATTTACTGCAAATCCCTTTAACCACAAGCACGGAGCTGGATATTGAGTTGCAGTTGTTTAAAAGGTATTGTTGTTCGCATTGTTTATGACGAAAGTAACCGTGTGACGTCACGTCTGTTACGGTGCATTCAAACAGACCACATCTGACACATCTGCATCTCCCTCCCAAGGTTGCATTCTCGTCCAACATTGTGACGCATTCACGGTGGCGTATTTCCTCCGGTGTGAGCGGTATCGGTTAATGGATGGTCCGTATAATGCAGACAAACTCCGCCGGTATGAGGCGAGCAGTGACGGGGGGGGGTGGACCTACCTTGTCTGAGGGGTCGCTGGGTTTAGGACCTGCTCGAATCCAGATCCACCGCCGCAGTGCCCTCACTGAGTCACGGGCACATGTGTAGAGCCTGCTGCGAACCCTCCGCCGTCACCGCCGAAATACTGCTGTCGCCTCTCTCTCTCTCTCTCTCTCTCTCTCTCTCTCTCTCTCTCTCTCTCTCTCTCACACACACACACACCCACACACACACATGCCTGGGCGTCTTGCTCGCCCCCGGTATGTGTGTGTGTCTCCTGCGTTTGGTCTCGTCTCATTACTGCCCCCTGCTGGTTGTTTCAGTGAACTCAGGACGCGTTCGGGTTCAGTCGGAAAAAATGGAAAAATGAAAGTTCAGCTCTGCTAACTTAACTCTTCCTGTGGCTGCTTACTCAGCAACATTTTTGGGTGTACAATTCCAGTGTAGAATTAATTCGAATTAGCCGTCAGTCCTACCGTATTGTATCATACTAATTAAACTATTTTAGGCGACAACAATAACTTATTGATATAAGAATTATATTTCTGGCATGGAGACTGTAAACTCTTTTAATGGGGAATACAATCAGCATAATTGTGGGGGCCTTTTTAGCTTTCTGGACTAAAATTGCGAGACTCTCATAGACTTTACATACATAGATTGGAGACGTCAACCGATTTTGCCAGTGGGACGAGGAGGGTAACACATGCAACTAACGTTAATTACGTTTTACAACTTCATATTTATGTGATTTTTATATTACCTCCTTTTTTGATTCAGAATGATTCATTTTTTTCTCCCATTACTTGTTTGCAAATATTTTATATGTTCAGCTGGAGTAGCTTATCATAGATACTACGTATCACCGCCCATATAAGGCCTCACTCATAGCCATTACTACCCCCTTGATGGTTCAGGAATATGGTTGGTTCCCTAATATATGTGTGAAGGCCACATTACTAAATATTTTTTTTACTTTTGCTTTTTTACTAGCAGCAGACTTGACCTGGATGTTTGTCCCAAACAGCTATGGCTCTTTACGTTTGTATATTTGCAGTTATTTTTCCCTCACCATATAACCAACAGTTCTTTCATTTTTGACCATATCATATTTTCTAAAAACGACGGTGTTCTAATGATGTCATTGTTTTTCTAAAGTGTGCTTTGAGGACAGATTCAACCCCTCCCCCTTTTTACCCTTGTTTCATAACTTCTTCCCTGGTGCTTGCGTATGACGTAACATCGTATTAGTTAGCCGCGGCTACGCGGAAACCCCGAAAGAAAATGCGCATGCGCGCGGGTTTTTCTGAAGTATATCTCATCATCAATCGGTGTTATTCGTTTACAAGTTTATAATGTCACTTGCCTTCAACGCGATCGATGGGCGACGATCCTCTTCATGACAGCAGTTTTACTAAAGTGAAAGAAAACCTTTCATTCAAGGTGAGATTTATTTATTTCCACACCCACACATATATACATCTTTTATATTTGTATATGAAGTTTATATGAGCAGTCAATGGGTTAAGGGTGTATGTGGTGGGATGTTTGACTTTTTTGCTATCAGTTAAGAGTTATATTATTGTAACATAAAGTATTAGTGTATAATCAACAACGTCGCAGGATGTTTTCTATTCTTCGCACTATTTCCGAGTATTTCACGTCACTCGACGTCCTTTACATCGAGTGCGCGGGATTAGTTCACTTATCCCCGGGAGGGCGCGAACACGACTGGATATACACACCGAGTTTCGGTTTCCAGCCGTAATCTAATGACCGGCACGACCGACCGACAGCATTTCCCCATATTCTCTGTTTCTGTACAGAGAGAAAGGGCCCAGGGTTCTGTTATAGCGAAGTGCACGTGAATTGGCTGTGGGAGTTGTTGTTAGCACTAAACTACGGGGGTTTCTGTTTGCCTCTCTCCTTTAGATGACGTGCTGTAAAACCTCCACCATGCAGCGCTGCCTCCAGGTGGCGCAGTGGGTGGCGCAGAAGAGCTTCTGCAGAGCCTGCCAGCTGTTCTGCTGCCCCGTGGACGCGCTGCTGAGTGAGAAGGTCACGTGGTGGCATCAACCTGCTGCAGCTACACAGGGTCAGCGCCTAGCTTTTCTTCATTAATCTTATAATAAATATATAATAAAAATTCACTATATCAATTTAACCATTTAGGGGTGTTAAATGGTAAATAATGTATTCCTTTATTTTTATTATTTATTTATAATGTATTATTGTTGGTGCATGTGACAATTCTTTAAACAAACTTTTTTGATCACTCCATACATAATCTGTTACAAACTTCATTGCCTTGGCTTTTCTGCAAAGCAAGTGTTTCCCAATGTTCGCGGATTCATGAGGAACTTGTGACGTGTTACTACATCACTCTGGAACAACAACTTCCCGTTCTCATATTCTCTTTTCCCCTTTTTCCTGAAACAGTGGCCGTACGGAATTCGGCGTCTACCATTCTGATTTTGAACATCAGCAACTCCACCTTGATCGACTGTGTCATTGGCAGCGACAACTACCCGTGCGCTGTGGCTGAAGCTCGCCCTCTAATGCGGGAACCTCAGCCCCAAATGCAAGGTGGGTCACAGCCAAACCTATTTTATTATTATTTAATTTACTTGTCATGGAGGAGGACTTTCAGGGGAAGTTCATGTCCTGCTTTGTTGTCTTACATTTTACATTTTTACACATCACACCCATGAGAGATGAAAACAACATGTTTGTTTGTGTGTTTTCGATGAAGGGAGATGCAGGTGTAGCTGTGGACAGCAGGAGGCAGCACAGAGTTCTACTCCTCCTCCTTCTCCTTCTACGCTTCCATCAGCTGGGTCCCTGAGCATCAACATCCACAGCTCCCGTCTCAACTGTGTCATCATCGGAGACAAAAACTACATGCAAGCTGAGCAGACGCACTTGACGGAGACAGAGGAGCCGTGAGTGTGACGCTTTGGTCCCACAGAGAGAAAACATTGGAAACCATCGTCTACAGACTCGATATTCTGGCTCGGCTGTGCCGGGTCTGCTGTGGGGACAAAAAATGAGTCCCCACGCTATGGTCCCCATGATATGCTGACTGGCAGGAGGGACAGCTGTGTGTACAATTAGTTCATTTTATATTGTGTGACATGTAATGATGCCGCCTAGACATGTGTTTAAATGTATCGCACACGGTCGTTAACAGTTGCTGGAAGTCATTGTGATTTCTTGCGTTCATGAAACATAATAAGAGGACTTGAAGTAAGCTGCTATTATAAATACTGTTGAAATGTTGATATATAATATGATTCTGTTACTTGCACATAGTTTACTACTTTGTATGGTTTTTTATTCTGTTGAATATTGTATGTTTGAAATGAAGAAAAGCAATGATTTTAATACACTAAATTATTATTAGTATTACGTCTCAAAGGACTGTTGAAAAAACTCATTTCTTCTTCATTACTTCCTTCTTCTTCTTTCTCTTCTTTTTCTCGCCTTTCTTGTCATCTGCTTTCTTAAAACTACCGAGCCCCCGGCGGGCCATGCAGCCTCTCCACCACTCCTGCACCTACCGGGTCAAAAGGTCACACAGGCCTGGCTCAGATTTAGGGACCAGTGCACTAAATAACTACAGCCGGCACGATAGGACATGACGGTAACTTAGGAGTGGATGTTGTTACCTTGGTAGCAGCTCTGGCTTCCCTCTGCTGTTGCCGCAGCTTCTCCTGCTCCTCCCTGTCCTCCATCACCACCCGCTCCATCTCCCTGATCTGAACACAATTCAGCACCTTGTCAATCTTTGGGCAGCGTGGGCAGCTGTTCACTGCGCGACGTTTGGCACCAGGAGACGCTCACCTTCCTCCTCATCTCCGACAGCTTGTCCAAGTTCAGCGTTCTCTTGCAGCACACGGTCGCGACCTCCAGCTTCTTCTCCTGCAGCATCTGCACCGTGCGCCGCTGCCACTGCTGCTGCAGCAGCTGCAGCTCCTGAAACGACCATGGAGACAGTCCTAGTGGCGGTACGCACCAGCACGTTTTGGTGCTGGTGCAAAACACGGGCAACAACGAAGTCTTGGGCATCGTTGAGGGAATTTGAAGGCAAAAAATGTTTAAAAACGTAAATTTAATTATTTATTAATATGTTATATTTTTTAACAAACCATTAATTTTCAGTTTCAGTTCAAACCACAGCTTCTGAAAACCTTAAACCGCAGTCAAGCTAATGAGCTCCCATCAGCAGCAAGTAGACAATATTTGCAATAACATTAGTCTTTTGTTAATAGTGATGTTGCTCTACCAACCTCCTGTCGGTTTTGCAGGAATTTCACTGACTTTTCGTGAACTTCCCTCTCCTCCGTCAGTTGTATCTGCACCATCTGGGACAGAAGGTGATCAACATTTAACCGTGGAGTCTGTGGTAGGATTTGTGAGGAAATATAAAAACCCTGCCCAGCATGCGGTTGGATTAGTTGGTAAGGAAACATCTCCTCGCGACTTGGTAGCTGGACCCACCTCCCGCTGGTCCTCCAGCTGCTTCTCAGCCTTGCGGTTGTTGCTGAGCACCTGTTCGAGCTGCAGCGCCATTCTTTTCTCCTCGAGTATCTTCTTGACGGCCTTCCTATTTTTCTGATCATCCAGCTGCTCCTGCAGTTTTTCAGCGAGCACGGACCTCTCCTGCAGGCAGCAGTATATGAGGTACTGAGAAATTTGAATTTGGGGCGGCTGTGGGTGAGGACAACTCCTCCAATCAGAGGATTGCTTTGATCTCATCCCCTACTAGCCTGCGTGTTCATGTGTCCTTGGGCAAGACACTTAATCCCAACTTTGCTGTGGATGTTAGTTACCGATGGGCAGGTGGACCTGTGTGTGGTGGCTCCTGTCGTCAGTGCATGAACGGGTGAATGATGACATGAAGTGTTAAAGCGCTTTAAGTGGTCGGGAAACTAGAAAAGCGCTATACAAGCACATTCCATTAACCATTTTCAAATATAAGCCATTCATTCAGACAGGTATGAATGTACTCTTACTTTCTCACCTTCAGTGTAGAAATCCTTTGTTGCACCTCGGCCTGCTGTCTCTGTAGAGTTGTAATCCTTTGCCTCAGCTCCGCCTTGGCCTGTCTGGGTGGAGAAAGGCTCATATTACAACATATATTAACAACAACATAATACAACTCATATTATACTACATAGTACGCAACTCTTTTTAGAAAAAAATATTTTTCTAACCCTTTCTTTTGTAACCATCATTAACTCAAAAACCTCAGAACACCATGTGCACAAAATGATCGTTATCAATCATTTTGACCCCAATGAACCTCTTCATCTCCTCGGCCTCACGCTCCTGCTTCACTTCCTCCAACACCGCCAGCAGAGAGCTGAAGCTCTGCTTCTCCTCCAGCTCCGAGCTCAGCTTCAGCACCTGCTGCGAGATGGACTGACTGCCGAGACAGACAGAAATTAAATAATTTTCAACATGAATGTTTTCTAGCTATTTGTCTGTACTACCCACCAGTCTCTCCGCAGATTGGTCAGTCTGACTTTCTCCTAAACACACACACACACACACACACACACACACACACACACACACAGCAGTTTCAGTCAACACATTTAACCAAGCTTGAAAACATTTACATCTTCATCGTCTGATAAAAGGAGCGGGCAGCTGTTTGACAGATGTTGCTCTGTCAACACTTGTTTGTCAGCTGCCAACTCAGCAGCAGTCTTGGCATGTGTGTAAATAAGTTTCACCTGCTTACATTTCATGCATTTCATGTTTCTGTACAGTGCATCACAGACTTTAACACATCGCATCCTGTTTGATGAACTAGAAATACAACAACAGTTGTTTAATGACAACTTTCTTTGCAACCTGTGACAAAAACATTAGCAGACTGTAATTACTGGCTTTAAGGCTGTCTCCGGATTTAAAAATAAATGTAATAATGGCACAATACCCGTCATCAAGGAATGATCTGTGATTAATTAAATGAGCAATGGAGGGTCTTAATGTGTCTTTATGAGATTCGACAAACATTTAGCCTGTAGCATTTGTTGGAACAATTTCCCATACGTTCATTTTTTCCCCGAGTTCACCCCTTTGGCATGATTAAAGACGGAAGCGGCAGATTATCCTCAATTAAATCTGTGCTTTGAGTTTAAAATCTCCTAAAAAATGTGGGTGCCTCATTAATATATTACAGATATATTACAAAGAGAGATTCTGCTAATCTTAGCACCTGGGTAACTTAGTTGCTTCAACCTTTATGAATCAGTATCAGCGTTCCTTAGTGCAGCATCTCTGGTCTTCACCAGCATCATCTCCCCCCTCACGCAGTGGACTAGATGAACGAGTGGTTAGAGCCATGCAGGAGGACCTCGGGGGGTCACCTTTGCCCTCGCCGGGCCTCGCTGCTTGTCGGCCCGCAGTGCCACAGTCAGTCCCAGCACGTCCAGCTCGTCCGAGCAGTCCTCCAGCACGGCGGCCGCTGCCAGGCTCTCAATCCGGGACAAACGCATCTGTGGACGAACAGACACTTTGTGAATGGACGTTTCAGCGTTAGCCAGATGAATCCTTTTACTCCAGGCGGTGCTGCGCACTGAAACGTGCTACTTCATGTTTGCCTGCTTATTTAATGGTGATTGAGTACTCGATCAGTAGCGTAACTTCACCGCTACGCAGAATCAAGCTAGCGGCGAGGAGACAGCGTCAGATCGCTGCCGCGCTGCGCTTCATCAGGGGAATAATGTCAACATTTACATTCATATTTAGAGTAACACTCACTTGCTCTGCTTCTTTCTGGATCCTTCTTTCTGGATCCTATCAAACAAGCGGCGTTATTTTCAAGAAAGTACAAACGTTTACGTGTAACTATGGTAACGCGCGTTTTGTAAAACTTTATTGAAAAGCGATAACATGACAGAACAGCGGTATTATGTAAAGTTCAATTTAACGTTACAAGGTTAAAGAAAAAGCCTAAATGTGATGGAAATCCGACTTAAATGCTCCCCATTATTTTGGATGTTTTGTCCATCACAGTTAGTCTCCTTTTTGTCAATGGATGCTATTTTATTACTTAAGTAATTAATTAAGTGATTACTTACTTAAGTAATTAATTAAGTAATAACAATACTACTTTAAGCCCACAACGGTAAAAGAAAAGAGTGTATTATTGTGACCTGCTTTCATCTGTGCAAATAAAGAGTCTTTATCCATCTTTGTATTTGTCTGGTCCGACCCTGGCCTTAGTCAAACTTCCCTCATTCTATGTAAAGAAAACCTTATGTAAAACTGTCCATTCTTTAGTGGATATTACTTTAAATAATGATATATTACAAGAGAAATTCATACGTTTCATTACAGCACAAAGAAAATTCTCTGGTCAGGTATTGCATTCTAGTTTATTGTTGCAGTCATCATTTGTTGCGCTCTCTGCAGGGAGGTACAGCTTAAAGGTAATACAGACTGAGGGCACAAGCTACACCGTTGTACATGCATGACGCTGTCACACTGTGACGTTTGTCCTGTGCGTCCCACTCCTCCCCTGAACACACTGTACTGGAATAGTCTCGCACTCAGCTGACCGACAAACAAACCGTTGGAAACAAAGTATGTACAGTTCCAGTAGACGACTGTTCAATGTACCGGCGTGATCATAAAAGGCAGTTCTTAAGGCAGAGATATCTTAAAGAGATAAGGAATGGGATGCAGAATGAAACAGAAAGCCCAGCAAGTCTGATATTTGTTCCTGTGAAGGATAAAGTGAAATCATAAAGGCATCGCGTAGAGATGTTGCTATTTGGCTGCCTGTAAAGTTAACTGGGTTTCAACTGTTCATCCGTACAAAAAGGGTTTTCATGTGACTAATTTGCACAGTTCAAAAACAAGTCTGAAACCTAATCCAAAGAAAATGAGTTACGTACCACACGATTATCAACACAAAAGTTATGAAGATAGTTCATTTAAATTATTCAGAGGTAAGACTGAAAGAGTTACGCATGTTACCAACTGTGGAATTTGAAAGTGGGTATATACGAGTCAGAAACTTTTTAACAACGTATGCAGTCCAGTTGCATTTTGGGTAACGTTGTTTGAAGCTGGATTGATGTGGGCACAATGCAAACACACGCAACACATTAACTCGGCCTCTGCAGCCTCAGATTTCTCAGAAGTCTCAACGCGAAAATTGCTGGAGCGACAGCTGTCAGTCAAGTTTGATCAAATCTTGCCCACACAGTCCTGATGAAGCAGATTAGCTTAACTATCAATAGAACACTGAGAAGTAATTTTGGTTTGACTAAACAATTTAAGATATCAACTGTTGCAAAACAAATCAGAGGGAATTCATTTCCTTTGGGTGACATTTATAGAAGAAATATGCAATTATTTGGCACTAAACCTGCATAATAACAGATTTTAAATATGTTGGAAATATTAAAAAAGGATGGAGGGAAATTGATTGCTCAAGAAAAACAGGAATCCGGGTTCAAGTGCGCTTGGTAAAACCGAAAGTCTAAAAAAACAGAGCGGGGCTTCATCAAACAATTATTTACATGTTTAAAAATAAAGAATTTAAAATCCATACAAAAAACCTGCACGGTCGAATATTTTCTTGAGTGTCATTCTCGATTACAACATGACGCCTCTACAGGCCTCGTATCTTCTGTAGTGTCGATGCCTGACGAGGTTAAACACACGTCGTCTGACTTGTGCTTATCGATTAGATTAGATTATTTGGTTGGGGGGGCTCATTCCGCTTTCACACATTGCCATCACACTTCTTGTCTCTTGACGCAAAATTCTGGGGCCAGAGATTAAAGAATAATCTTGGATATCGTAATAATAATGATAAAAAAAGATTTACAGTAGGATGCCTGAAGGAGCTGTACACAATCAGGACACAGCCACACAAAACACACTGTTCTCCACGAGGTTCTAATCCCACTGAAGTACACAGGTACAGTGACATCACATCCCGTGTTCAGTCTTTATAATTGTGCCGTAGGAGCTAGAAGCCGGCTGGAGGGAGGGAGGGTTTCAGATCTCCTTGATTGTTCGTTCAGAGGGCCGGTACTCCTCCCTCCCTTTCGGCGAGGACAAGTAGAAGGACTGAGTCTTGCGTTTTAGGCGAGCTCTCTTGGTGGCCAGAGACAGGCTGTGCTTGCTGGAGGCGATGATGTCGGTGATGAACTTCTTACAGTCCACGCACACCTCCATGGTGGCCCAGTCCTCCGTCAGCTCCGAGGGAAGCTCCAGTTCTTCGTGGGACTTCAGAGAGCCGTGCTTCGAAAACCTGCAGCAAGAGGACAAGCTCGGCATGAACAGGATCACCGCGGTTTGTGTTTCTATAGTTGGTCGACAGAGTAACTGTTCAAGCCATCCAGGGTATGTGGTCGTGGACGCATTTTGAAATGGGTCAATACCTCAATACTTGCAAAAAAGTACTTTTAATTCCATCAGCTATTTACTTACTTTTTTTCTTCCATTGAATGTAAAGACTATCAAAGTGTTTAAGATAAATTAATGCTGATGCTGAATTGGCCGATTTTAGAGAAAGAAATCTGGAAACCGAAACAGCTAAAAACCGAAATAATGTGCATGGTTTGAATCCACTGGGAGTTTTTAGGCAAAACAAAAAAAGTGTTTTGTATCTAGAAATGTGCAAAATATTAGATTAATATTAAATTAAAAACAACAAGGGAAATGCAATCCATTCAGTTGAAAAGGGGAAGATATCAAAATGCAAAAAACAAAGTGTGCAGAGGAGTAGTTGATGCCTTTGTGAGGGGCTTCAGTTTCATTCCTTCAGTGTGTCACAACTTCCACGCAATTTGGCCTAAATTGAATTATGAACCGTGATTTGCTTGCTTTGTTGATCTATTGAGTTTACTGGTGTGTTAGTAGTGTAGTTACATTTTCATCGTTGCTTCCTATCTCAGCCTTTGCATGGCTTATATGTTCAATCAATGTACAGTTTGGGTTTCTGTCTTTGGGGTCCCTGTACCAATATCATAAAAATGCTCCACAAGACAATTAGTTCCACGAAATACCCCCCTGGCTGTCTGAATAATTAAGCTCACAGCTCTTACTTGGACATGGTCTTGTGAATGCCGTGGCGCTGTGGGCTACTGGTGGATTTCTCCGATTTGGCAGCAGCCTCCGGAGCAGCTCTTTTAGGTGCCCCTGCTTTTCCCACTTTCACAGTGGGCGACGCCGTGGCCCCTCCCACTGATGAAGGACCCGGGTCTCCAGCCACAGACAACCCTTGTCCTACGGCAGCTATGGCACTGACTCTCTCCCTGGGGAGAGTATTGGTCGAGCCGATGGAGTAGATGGGCAAGCTGGAGTACGGTTTGGATGGCAGTCGCATCTGGTTGAAGGGCATAAGACAAAAGTGTAAAAGGAAAAAGCTAAATGATTACTGAGAAAGAATACTGATCTACCATTTACAGGTGTACATTTTTTATAAAACTTCACATCCTCAATATCCTGCAATAATGTCTTAACTGGTCTACCGGTCTCACAGTAAGTTTTGGCGTAGGTTTAGCCTTAACAGCACGTGCTCTTATTTTGAAAGTGATTCTGACTCACTTGACCTGACGTAACAGGAGAACTTTCCAAGTCAGAGTAAAATTGAACTTTTTTAAATAGCAACACATTACTGTCAGCTTACTGATCACAACAAAAGAAGGTACAGGACTTCATGCTGTCCCGGCCGGCAGGTGATTGGCTGATTGAGTTATCCGCTTTGTCTCACCTTTTTGCAGCACTGCGCGCACACGGGCCTGAAAGGTAAAAACGGGGGGGCAAACGGAGAAAGTCATAAATGAAACCAGTCATTCTTCCTTCCAAATTGTAAATAACAAAAGAAAAGAATTTAAGGTGTTGTACTTTTTGCAAAACTGGCAGATGTAGGACCAAGTGAAAAAGGAAAACCTTTTGCTTCGACAACAGAAGCAAAGCTGCAATAGAAAAAAAAAAGACAGATGAAGACCACAAATTTGACCGAATGCATTTAGTTGATGAACATTTGTGCTCCCAACATTCATTAAGGATGTTCTAACTCCTCTATTAGCTGGTTTCTTTCTGTATAGAAGAAGAAGTTACCTTTCCCTTCTTCATAGCGTTGTAGATGTCTTTGTACTGCTGGAACTTCTCCAGCTCGGCCTTAACCAGCACCTGTCTGATGTGCATCACCTCCTCCACCGTCAGAGACAGACACTCCACCGGGAAACAGAATTCCTCCTGCAGCGACACACACATGCATACAGGGCGCCCAGTGTTTATCATTCAGCGCACAGACAGCCGTCCCGTGGCACCTTTCAGAGCAGAATGCGTGAGTCCACGATGCTTAAAGTGTTCTCATTGTTCGCTGAAGGATACACATAAGAGGGCCCATGAGGCGTAAATAACCAGTGATGGGAGGACAGTTACAGCATAGTTCCTCACAAGGCTTGTCTCAAAGGAGACTGCACAAAACTACGTCCGTTTCTGCTTTATACCTGAGCGCAGTTTGTGTCCCCTCGAGTCCATCGCAGTGAAGATTTTTTGTTTTTGAAGATTTTGATGTCGCTTTGAAGGTTCTGTATTTGCAAATAATGCAAAAAGAATGTTCATGGAGTTCATTGAAGGAAGCTGAGCCATCTAGAGAATAATCTGTGTGAGTTGGTTTTATTAGTTCTTTGTTTGGACTAAACCATTTCAGACGGTTAAACCTCAGGATTACAAGAAGTCCTGCCGCCTTGCAAACACCTCCTTCATCTCAAAACGCCCTCCAAGCAGCTCTCGACCCGCTCCATCGCAGTCAACGTGGCCCTGTCTGTCCGAGAGAGAGGCCGGACGCGTCAAGGCGTCATGGAGCGGAGGCTCAACCGCTTAGCAGGCGAGGTGCTGGACACCGTCATTCGTGTTGCAGCGTGCTGTGTTGGATTCACACATGATTGAATGCAGCCAGCAGACGTTGCAGATGCTGCTGAGTCAACTTCAACATCAATAACAGCTGGTCAGAAACGTCTGTTTAGCTCTGATCAAAAGGACACACCACGTAGGAGAAACAGTGTCAGTGAAATACAGCTTCGCTGTATCAGCCGTTGAGGTGTTTTGTGGTTGTACATTACAGTGCGCCAATGTACCCGTCTGGCTCTGGTTGTATGGATCATTGTTCTGAACTGGTTTGGTTTGTGTTGGGAACAAGAGGCAAGGAGGCAAGAATCATCAGAGAGCTTAAGAAATTGCCTAAAAAAGTCTAATAGTTTCAGAAATTATTTCTCTTCAAAATGTGAAGGTCAAAATGTGGAGGTTTTTCTTATAAATGCATCCCACCAGCAGCTAATGAATAATATGCGGAGCAGTTTGTCCTCGGCCTGTAACGGCAGCAGCCGGCTATGAAGGTGAAGGATCTCTACTAGCGGGGCGGGAAGCATTAGGAGCGGATGGGCAGCTACCGTTATTATGGCAAAAAACAAACAGAGCAAACACCGCCTCCATCAACCCCAACACAAATGCCTCGACAGGGCGGGAGCTTTGCAGAGGACTCTTTGGTTTCAGGCTCATTTTGCTACTCTGGAAGCATCCTAATGCCGTTTGTCCTCTTGTCCAGCTTATTGAGTTACTGGACAGGATCTGTGGACGGGGCAGAGTTAAACCTTTGCCAGGCTACAATGTCCTCAGAAAACACAGCGTAATCCGATATACTAGATCAAAAGGAGCATTTGTCCTTCATACTGTTCACAGGGCAAGTGCACCGCATTGTTGTGAAGCTCAGAGTCGGTGTGTCTCTGAACTCGACAAATGGGCAAAGAGGATCATCGCCGGTTGAGCCGTGGCGGGCCCAGATGGTTCTACAGGAGAGACAGGACAGCGACTCCCACCTGTCACTCACAGCAGCCAAGCCGTCAATCATGCACAATTTCGATAAAGAATCTACCCTTCTACAGTTGCCATTATGAGAGACATAAGCTGTGAACATGTCAACTCCTGCTGTGAAGTTGGATATTTTGAGATCAACTCGAGTCAAGCGGCCATTTGATGAACTGCAGTTTCTGACATTTTCCCCCGTGGCGCCAGAGAGTACTGCTTGTTCCATGATGCCTGACTCACCAGAGACTTGGAGTTCTTCTTGGAGGGCGGCTGAAACAGTCGCACATTGGTCGGAGTCTCCTTCTCGATGGAGTGTCTCCGCTGGGGCGTCTGCCGTCTCTCTGGCTGGGGCGTAGAGGAGATGGGCAGGAACGAGGGGGGAGCTGGGGTTCATGGAGGGGAGAGAGGTAAAAGTGAGACAAGGAGGCATCTTAACAGGAAATATTACATTCAAGGCTCACACATTTCTGATTATAAACAGCAAGTAAAAAAGAGAAAACCGAAAGATCAAAAGTAATTCACCCCAGGCAGCGTAGGTTTAGCAGAGGAGGCGACTGAGTTGTGACGGAAATAATTGCTGACTCACTTTTCTTCCCCAGAGCGCACTCCGGGGACGTATCATCCATCATGGATGTAGCCACGCTGGAGCTGCTGGCGGATCTGTGCCCAAATATCTCATCCTGAATACATGAAATACACAAACACCTCAACCGTTATTTCCTCTGCACGCGCCGAAATAAAAATCGATCCCACACAGACGAGCGCATACTGACGTCGGAGTCAGAGCTGTCCAGCTCGGCGAGGCTGGGAGCCTTCAGGAGCCTCTTCCTCGGAGGTACGGACTGCGATCCGGAGGGTTCTGCCCTGCTGCAGGCTGATCCATTGGCCAAAGACAGAGAGCTGGACGTCCTCCTGCCCATGTACGGACTGAACTCATCTGCACAGAGCCACGCACAAGAGAGTCATTCATGCTGAGGGGTGAAAAACGCTCAACGTGAATCTCAAACCGAATCCTCACATGATTCCTTGCAGCCTGTGTTATTCTTTTCATCTATTTGGACGGTTCTGCCCCCAATACAAAAGGGCGAAACAGACAGTTTAAGTGTGTTTAATGGGTGTCGAATAGATGCAGCGGATCCTATGCAGAGGATTGAGGTTTGAGTTCCATGTCAAGGTCGAAGGCGTTTGGGAGGGTGAGTTAAGTTGGTCTGAGGGGAGGCAGAGGAGCCGGCTGGTGTTACACACAGAGCATGGATTAATCGTTTCATTATTTTTCTCAGGGGGAGCTGAATCCTTCAAATCAAGCACCACAAGTTCATTCTGCAGTGAGAGAAGAGTCCAGAGATACAAGTACAACCACCAGACGAGCAGCCTGACTCTTGATGAGGAACGAAAAACAACAGCAACTTAGTAGAGGGTTGAACGGGGGGGAGAGAGAGAAGAGACGAGGCAATGCTGCAAAAGACAGATAAAGAGCTACAGCTGATCAGAGCTTTGCAACCTCTCTGTTCTCCTTTCAATCGACCGAAGCTTTTTCTGCTTATGGAGTTGAACTAACTTTGTACCACATAAGACACTACAACATCTGGCTTTAGATATTCCTGTACAACAAATAGACCAGCCATAATTAGCCTGTAATGTGCACTCCACCTGCTTCTCTCGAAAGGCTTCAAAATCCAATTATTCAAATAGAGACTAGAGAATATATTAGTTTGCAGCCAGGAGGCAGACAGACAAGGCCATTAGGTTTAGGGTTAAAAAAAAAGCCCTCCAAACCACAGCAGAGCTCATACTTTACCTCGTCCAGTACGGAACAAATCCTGCGGCACACTGCGAGTTTTGCCATGACCTGAAAGGGGACACCTCCTTCATCAGGAGAGCTTTCATAGCATTCCATTATGTGGTGTGTCTGCGTGGTTTGGTCTCAATAACCTATAATGGTAGATTGCATTATTGCGTAGTCAAATGTGGACCCAGCCCCCCTCAACATGGTATGTTCATGTGTTTGCGAGGCCCAGAGCTCTTCCCTGGTTCCCACTGTTATTTCGGTCAGCACTGTTAGCTGGCGCCGTTAGCCTCAAGCTGCGCGCCATGTTGAGAGCCATGCGGAGGCAATGGCTGCGCCCACAACATCACACTCAGCAACTTAAAGCGAAGGGTTAAGTTATCTTTTATGACTTGAGTGCTATCCCTCTCTCTATCTTTGCGTTAATTGTGAGTCGGCACTCAGGAGGCGATTGTCTTAGGTTAGCTTAGCATAAACACTGGTAACAGCTAACAGTTAAGTCTAAAGATCTAAAGAAAAGAACTAATTAACTTGTTGCACCCTGTTTGTTTTATCTCTAACGCTAAATGAAATAAAATGTACAAATGACAAGTTGTTGTTTTACATGGAGTTAAATATATTGTAATTTATGTGACTTCCTGTTGTCACAAGAGAAGTTACACAAACTTGTTTGCCAAGAAATAGTCCCTGAAAACTACAACCGATACCTCGTGGCTTTAGCTTCAGATATGTTACTCAGAAATGTGAGTTTTGTTTATATGCCCATGTAACTCAAGCTAAGTGCATGAAAAACTATACATTGTTGATGAATAATAAACACCCGCTCACACACACCATCTCATATATGTACGGTGGCCCTGAAGTGCAAAACACAAACGGCAAATAGGAACGCACAACAAAATTAACTCCTTATGGAAAGGGGAGGGCCTTATAGCAGAGGACGGACCCTTCTGATTGGACAGACGAACTGTCTGTCTTTTAACAGGAAATGATACAGGGACCTCAGGTGTCACGCACTCCCGCCACACATCCAATTCCTCATGGTCCCCGAGCCGTGTCGGCCATAGCGTCCGCGGTATCCTCCATGTCACTTTCCGTCGCCGGCGAAAGGCTTCGGATTAAGAGGGTTAAAAGACAGACAGTCCGTCTGTCCAATCAGAAGGGTCCTCTGCTTCCTGCTATAAGGCCCGACCCTTTCCGTAAGCAGTTCATGTCGTTGTGTTTTCCCATTTGCCGTTGTTGTGTTTTGCACTTCAGGGCAACTGTACATATTCGCCACTAGCAAACTTCAAAAACAGACTCAGAAGTGCATTATCTTTAAATCTTGAAAATGGACTTTTTTTTTTACCTGAAAAACCTTAATTATGTTCATTTAATTGCTAGAAGGTGTGTTCCCTTAGCGGCTCCCTTAGCATGAGAATAATGAATTACAGAGGGAAGTTTGCACACACACGTACACAGATTATCATACAGCATAAATGAGTATGTAAGAGGTGATGCAACGTGTGTGATTAGAGACACTGGGCTAAGTAGGAGAGAAGAAGCATCATTCAGATGTCCCTTACTCTGCAGTATTCCCTTATCCCCTCAATCAGAGCGGTCATATTTAATTTGCACACTTGCAAAGTCACATAGAACATGAAAGACTCGTATGTGTAGTTGATCATTTTTGCTCTCTGATTTGATGGCTGGCCAGTGGCTACACACTTCTACTCAAAGGCTCCATGTGTAATGTCTAGCCACATCTTTTTATTTTTTAAACCAAAAGTAGGGCAAGCAATACGTATTGCACCTGGAAGATTGATATCACATCTGCAGAAACTTTACAGATGTTTACTTAAGTGGACCTTTGCCTGAGAGTTCAGAGATCAACGGCAACAACCATTTTTTAGGAGTAATATGCGTAATCCTGTCCCCTTGTATGAGCTGTCAATAGACATTTACATAATAGAGAATTGATTATTACGTTAAAATATTGTCCTCCAAAGAAAGAAGTCCTTTAGAAAAAAAGAAAAGTCTGTTTTACTCTGCGAAAATATAACACTTAAAAATAAGAAACACTGAGATTCAAAATAAACGCAGCTGGATACTGGTTAGATTATTTAAACCATCCCATGCCATTAATTCAGCTTTGTAGTCAGATTAATTCAGTATCCAACCACAAAGCACCAAGAGCACTAAAGCCTTTTAAATATCCCACAGCGCCCATGAAACGATGTGATCTGCTCCATACAGCCAGCTGAGTTTAATCTCTCCCTTTAGGAGAGACGATATACGTGTGCATGAGTTCTGGTAGATCTAGTTTTAGCTTTACCTCTTATTTGTTGGTTTTTCAGTCAGTTTAGTCAAGTCAGTGGTAATTCTAAGACCACTTAGAGAGGCGGCAGCTGCATGTTTCAAGCATTTCTTCTTCTCACTTCATCTAGACCTGCTGAAACACTAAGCTGCTTTTTCAAACTTGCCATCAAATGTTGTTTGAAATCTTTGCAGGGAGTTTATGGAAGGAGGGTAATGTGTTATCAGATATGAAGAACATCACCGTTCTCCTCTTTGTCCTTTTGATACATAATGCACCTTGTTAAATGAAGGAAAATACAATTACCTTGTTAATGTCTTTCAGTGGTCGCCCTGTCTACAGCTTTGTCTGTTTGTACCATGGATGAAAGTCCTGTGTGGTCACAGTGTCTCTCATCGGTTCTGTCCCCTCGGCGTCCTACCACCCATCACCGCTGTCCCAGTAAACCATGTTTCACCTCCACAGATCACAGCAACCACTGAAGCATGACATGGAATGTGTGTGCGGTGTGCTGATAGAGTATGTTGGATGTGTGTGCAGGCTGGGAGTGCAGACGAGCGGCCACGACAATAAAAGAAACAGAAAAGGGCATAAAAAAACAAATAAAAAACAAACAGACAAGCAGCGAGGTAGACTTTACCTGACGCATCAAAACTGAGAGACATGCAAGGTGGCCGAATTACTGCAAGGAGAAACAGTCATGGCAGTTAATGATTGGGGTTAGGATGTAAATCAAGTAAAGGGGGGGGGGGGGGGGGACACGCTTATTGTGTGGTTCTAGAATTCATTATGGGAGATAATAGGATTTCAAATAAGCCACAGCCAATGGTGAGAGATTATAATAAAGGCATCAGTTGCAACACAAATATGAAAGGTTATGCAGCGTTAGCCACAACAGCAAAGAGCACAGGCACAAATAATAGTGTAGTAAAGTGTGAAAGGAACTGTTACAGGAGGCTGCTACATATTTCTCATCCGCAAGAACCAGCTTCATACTTCTGCTTGAAAAATTACATTTCAGAGCGAAGTATGTTTGTTTTGTGTTTGTGTGTGTGATTAACAATAAGAGCAGGGACAGAGAAGTGTCGAGTTTCCTTACCCAGCATCCCCCTGCGGACTTCACCAGGAGACACCGGTCGGAGTTTCCTCTCTGATTTGATTTCTTTCAAGATGCGCTCATGCAGCGTTGGAGGAAGCTCAGTCTGTGGCTTCAGCTTACGGGCCGACACCTATAGAAATATATATATATAAAATAGAGACAACGACACAGAGAGCCAGTGGAGTAGAGCGTCACAACCAACAGGGTTAAAGCCAGAAGTCTTTATCTTCACCACCTCCTCTTATCCACGCCGACTGATTGTTCCTCTCATTACGTTGAGTTGAGCGTCCCGCTGAAACCGCAGTAAGATACGTATCAACAGAGACGTGGGGGACGCAGCATTCCACTGAGGGCACAATGAGGTGCAACGTGTACGAGGAGCTCAAACCATCCATGAACCAGGTCGGAAACAATCTTCTGCGACAAATACAGCCCTTCCACATGCCGTATTCATGACAATTCATGCCTACTTATTATAAATGTGGTGATAGTGACTCTGTGTCAGGCTAACTCTTGCCACCTTCATTGTAGGGACACGGGAAACAAGGACTCGCACAAACAAACGTAAATCAGGGTCCAAAGCTGTGAATGTATGACAGGATAAACCAGTAAGATATCGCCCCATCCATGTTTATCATAACTGTATGCAATTACATTTATTTCAAATAACTAATTTATAGAACCACATTATAATCAGAAACCCCAAAACATGATGTTAGGCCGTATGCCCGTATTTTCACCATATATTTAACTATATTAGTATGTTTAAATCTTTTTTTAACAGTTCTTGCGTTATAGCTTTGTAAAATCAGCATTCTCCGTCTGTAGGCTAAATCCCAAACGATTGGGTCCTGAGACTATTAAGAGAAAGGTACAGCAGACAAAAAATACATGTTTATCATTCCAGACTTTGAGAGCAATAATCTAAGCTTTGTTTTCCGTGTCAGTCACTGGATAATGTCGCCCTTTCGGCCCCTAAAGTTAGCTTGAATAAAACAAGGGATCAATTCACTGCGGTGAAAACCGTTCAAAGACTTATAGATGTAAAATGCAGCTGAGAAAGGGTCACGACTCTCAAAATGTTGGAAGCCACTGTTCTGGCTTGATGTTGGTTGACGCCCCTATTTGAGGACAATATTGAGTTTAATATTTAGGTCTTGAGCTGCACTCACAGGGTTGAGAGGTGGTCTGGACCTGATGAAGTCCAGGATGACTTCGTGAGCGCTCTTCTTTAACCTCTGTGGGATGCTTCCATTTACCTGGAACAACAAAACAGGATAATACCACATGGAAAAGGTACACGGAGAGAAATCGACCTCAGGAATCCTGCTTGTTGCAGAAGGTCGTGTGCAGCAGGCAGGTGGAGTGCAGGAGGTACGGATTTCCGCTTGTGGTCCAAGCTGGACACTGACCATGACTTTGCGCAGTTTGTAGCGTTTGGACCGGATGTCGTCCATGAGCATCTCGTAGGGGGTGAGCTGGTACTCGATGGGCAGAGGGTTGTACTGACGCTCCTGCACCTTCTTCAGCTTCACTCCTTCACGCAGGTCCCTCATCACCTGAACCCAGAATCGAGCCTGAGGAGGCAACGGGCAGCGTGGGGAAGGGTAAGCACAAAAATAGCACTATCAGGAGTAATACGTTTTGCTCAGGCCCCACAGTGAGTGACAGTGGGTTTGGTTTTTGTCAAATGATCAGTTGAGACTGGAGGTCAGAGGTCAGTTGAGACTGTTTGTGTACCCAGTCGGCGTTCTGTAGCTCATTGAGGTCTCTGCCAGGGTCCCCCGATGGTCCGTCCTCCATCTTACGCAGGTTCTGGTGGAAGCAGAGAGAGAGATAAAGTTTGAGAAGAAGAAGTGCCATTACAGACAGCTAATGGGAAATTTGAATGAGTGATGTACCACCATCACATAAACCTGAACAACTGTGCATACTATGAACTATATGAACATACTACATTAACATCTAGACTTGTCAGTTCATAGGAATTATTTCTCATCTCAACTACTGATTGATGGACCCCCATGTCTTTAGGCACCAACAGCTGTTGGACAATGAAATCAATGTTAGAGGACCGTCTTGACCAGTCATTAATATCCTGAATGGCCTCCTAACGTGCGCCACTAGGATACGCTTTAATGCAACCCTGAAACAAGGACAGAACTGCTGTTCTCTGCAATGGCAAACTTGTATGATGCAACTATTGATGTAATTGCTTTGCATACGATTGCTGAACTGAAACATCCATTTGGGGTAAGAACAACTACAGACTGGCTGTTAAAGGCTTACAGATACATACAGCTATGTTCACTGAAGTACACATCATCCCGATCACCAAATACTATACATAAATTGTTTTATGTAAACAGCAAATATATGTTTTTCAGTTTGATTAAATATATTGTTTTAAAATGAAAGCTTTCATATGCAGACCGATCGTACGTGTCCTTTCACATAACTGTCACCGTAGGGACCAACGGTGCGATGATGCTAACCGTGACAGTGGTACCCACACAGAAAGACAGGTGGGGGGCATGGAAGGTCACCATGATAAATCTTTTAAAGAGAAGCCCTGCTATGACCTTCATATAAAAGGTCAACGATCATCCTGTAGCCTTTGATTAGGAAGGAGAATGTGAATTTATAATGTGCGGCTAAAACACATATCTGATGCCTTAAAGATGAACCAGACGGAATTTTTAAGTAGTGCATCTTTCTCCCGCTGCCTAGCGTCTGATATATCGGCACATGAGGATCCTTTTGGCGCGGTTGCGCCGGGAACCGCGACGTTGGCGGTTTGAATCCCGGCTGCTCCATGTCCCATGTTGAAGTGTCCCTGAGCAAGACACCTAACCCCTAATTGCTCCTCGGGCAAAATGTAAAAAAAGCCACGGGCTAAAAATATAATGCAAGTCGCTTTGGATAAAAGCGTCAGCTTTGACCTGTCATGTAATGTACGATACACAGCGGCCATATGTGATAGTTTCTCTTGTGTTGGGTTCATAGAGCATCTACCGGTGTGTCTGCAGGCGTGAGCCACACGCTGAGTCATGAAGATGATGAGAACGACGACGACCCACCTCTTTTGCGCTCCTGATCTTCTCCAGGAAAGTACCGAGCTCCTTGGTTTCTGTGTAGAGAGCGCGACACACTGCCTGGTAGTGGGTGGGGGTGTCCGACAGAGCGGGCAGATGAGCTGTGCACAGCTACGAGGGAGACAGGGAGGAGCAGAGGAAGAGAGGATTTTAGTAAAACGTTTCTACAGCCACCAAAATGATTCACTAAACTGAATGTGTCTCAATGGTGTATCAGTGGATAACAATATCCATATTATGATGATGTTACCATCACAGACTAGGTGATGGGTTTACGGTGTTTAGAAGTGCCCCCTGGCAGCCATGCTTGAGGAGCTCGATGGTTTATCAACACTTGGAGAGCAACTCTTCTAAAAGTTTGACAACATTTTTCATGCTGGCTTGTTAGCTGATTGTAAAACGAAACCAGCAAATATTCACATTCACCTTTTTTTGACGGCATTTTTACCCACAAGCAATTTATTATTTTTGATTGACTAATTGATGGACCAACTGTTGTAGATCTACTCTACATGGCAATTCTCTGAATCTCAGCAACCGCAGTGCAGAAACACATCACATCAGACTCTTGTTCGCTCCCAGTTTTTAGTCTACACAAATCTTCCCTCCACATCTTTGCTTATACTCCGCTACATTTGTCTGACTGCATTAGAGGTTACCTTTCACATTACACTTTTGCATATCATACTGTCCTCCGAAAACTATCCATCTGCAAATCTGTTGGTTTTAAATGTTGAACCTTGGACCAAAACTGTTTCTCCGGCAAGTGGCAGGGAAAATGTATATATCAGATGAGAACATTGTCCTACATCTTAAGGTAAAAAAATATATGAACAACTGTAAATGAGCTGAAAACATGGCGGATCTGAGAGCAACACTGACAGGGACTATTTGACTGTTTACTGATAATACTTCTACTTGGAATTTGTAGTGAGTAAAATCAATACAATTTGGAACTTATAGTAATACTACAAATCTATGAGTATTGCAATAGTTTGATCAGTGAGCAACAGGGTTAATCCCTGTCGTGGCGCAGGGGTTAGAGAAGGTGTGCTGGGAAGCACAAGGTTGGTGGTTTAAGTCCAGGCTGCCCCATGTTCCGTGTCGAAGTGTCCCTGAGCAAGACACCTAACCACTAATTGCTCCCCGAGCAAAAATGTAAAAAAGCCATGTAAAGTGCAATGTAAGTTGCTTTGGATAAAAGCGTCTGCTAAATGACCTGTAAGGTAATTGTGTCTACTTTGACGTTTGAAGAAGAGTATTACTATCTGCCAAAATATGGATCTACTATCGTTGAAATTGTATATATATAATATAGCCACAATATTACACTGACAGACAGGTTCTTTCATATTTATATATATGTATATATATCCATCCAGTCAAACCGCTTATCCTGCACACAGGCTCGCAGGGGGCTGGAGTCTATCCCAGCCAACTTGCGAGAGATGGGGTACACCTTGGATTGGTCGCCAATCGCAGGGCCAACACAGAGACATACAACCATTCACACTCACACACCTACGGGCAATTTTAAGTCCCCAATTAACCTGATCCCCAGAGCAGGTCTTTGGACTTTGGGAGGAAGCCGGAGAACCCGGAGAGAACCCACGCAGACACAGGGAGAACATGCAGACTCCACACAGAAAGGCCACTGGGTGGAGTTGAACCCAGGACCTTCTTGCTGCGAGGCGACAGTGCTAACCACCACGCCACCGTGCTGCTTATATATATATATATAAATATGCAAATATGTATATATATATATATATATATATATATATATATATGCGTATATGTATATATATATATATATATATATATATGTATATATATATATATATATATATATATATATATATATATGCGTATATGTATATATATATACATATATGCGTATATGTATATATATATATATATATATATATATATATGAAAATATGTATGTATATGTATATATGTACACATACATATATTGTGTCAGAATATATGTTAATAAAAATAATTAAATAAACATTTTTAAAATTTTAATTTTACTCTTCCATATTTTGGACATTACATTCAAAACATTCAATCTTCTATCCAACAACTAGATGATGTAATGTAAATGTCGGTATCCCATGGGAACGATGACATATCTGTATCTCATAGCGACGATGACATATCTGTATCCCATAGCAACAGAGAGATCAAAAGGAGCGATGACATCATGGAGCGTGTCATTACAAGGGTTCACTGCTTCCACTCACTCACTCACTCACTCACTCACTCACAGCTTAGCAGACATCAGTCCGGTTGGAAGACCACTCTGACAGTTTGAATTGAAGGTGTACTGAGCAGAAAGCAACTTAGACTTGAAAATGAAGGGAGAAAAACAGCCTCCCGCCTAATTTTGAAGAGACTATCTCTAAGGAGAACTTGGGAATTGAAAGGGTCAACTGGAATGGATGTTGAAGGTCAGTGCTGAAATGAAGCTGGCTAAAACTAACACAGAGATTGAATTGGAAAGTCAACTGGAAATTGAGAGGGCTCAAACAGAGAAGCTTCGCATTGAATTGACAAAGTTGGCAGAAGCTCTTAAAAACCAGGAGGGGTCAGCAATCCAAATGAGGGAACGATTCCAAGCCTTCCATAACACCCAGATGTACAATTGGAAATTGGAGAACAACGGCATTGCGGCGGCCCTGAAAGCAGCACAGGACGAACTCCAAGCTGAGCGGATGAAGGGAGAAAAACCGGCCCTTCAAAATGACGCAGAAGCTAAAGAGTTGAAGCCCCAGGCTGAAGGGAAGTGGATTGCTGCAGCTGACCGTAAAGAGAACTGGAAATTGAAGAGCCAACTGGAAATTGAGAGGGCTAAAACAAAGAAGCAACACATTGAATTGACAAAGTTGGCAGAAGCTCTTAAAAACCAGCAGGGTCCAGATAACCAAATGAGGGAACGATTCCAAGCCTTCCATAACACCCAGATGAACAATTGGACAGCGGAGAAAATCGGCATTGCAGCGGCCCTGAAAGCAGCACAGGACGAACTCCAAGCTGAGCGGATGAAGGGAGAAAAACAGGCCCTTCAAAATGACGCAGAAGCTAAAGAGTTGAAGCCCCAGGCTGAAGGGACGTGCATTGCTGCGGCTGACACTAAAGAGAAGTTGGAATTGGAGAGCCAACTGGAAAATGAGAGGGCTCAAACAAAGAAGCAACAAATTGAAATATCAAAGTTGGCAGAAGCTCTTAAAAACAAAGAGGAGGCAGTAAAGCAAGTAAAGGAATTATTCCAGGCTTTCCAAGAGGACACGATGAGCAAACAGAGAGCGGAAAGAGACAAGATGGCTGCAGCCCTGAAAGCATCACAGGACCTTCTCAAGAGTGAGCACTTCACCACTCAGCAGATGACGACCAACCAAGGTGAAATGCAACAATTCAAGGCCTCAAGCCAAGCTAAACTGGACGAACAAAGGGATGCTATCATTAAGCTCAAGGCCGCTCTGGAAAAGTCTGAGCAGGACCTGAAGGCCGGTCATCTCCAGTGGCAACAGGAAAAGGTTTCCCTCAAAGAACACTGTGTCCACTTATATCATTCTGAGGGTCAACACATGGGCACGCAGACCCATGCAGTTGATCAAGAGATGGACGAACAGAGAGAGGAGACAATCAGGATCTTAGCCACTCTAAAAGCAACACAGGACGAGCTCCAAGCTGAGCGGATGAAGGGAGAAAAACAGGCCCTTCAAAATGACATGGAGGCTATGATGTTGAAGGTCCGTGCTGAATTGAAGCTGGCTAAAACTAACGTGGAGTTTGAATTGGAGAGCCAACTGGAAAATGAGAGGGCTCAAACAAAGAAGCAACAAATTGAAATATCAAAGTTGGCAGAAGCTCTTAAAAACAAAGAGGAGGCAGTAAAGCAAGTAAAGGAATTATTCCAGGCTTTCCAAGAGGACACGATGAGCAAACAGAGAGCGGAAAGAGACAAGATGGCTGCAGCCCTGAAAGCATCACAGGACCTTCTCAAGAGTGAGCACTTCACCACTCAGCAGATGACGACCAACCAAGGTGAAATGCAACAATTCAAGGCCTCAAGCCAAGCTAAACTGGACGAACAAAGGGATGCTATCATTAAGCTCAAGGCCGCTCTGGAAAAGTCTGAGCAGGACCTGAAGGCCGGTCATCTCCAGTGGCAACAGGAAAAGGTTTCCCTCAAAGAACACTGTGTCCACTTATCTCATTCTGAGGGTCAACACATGGGCACGCAGACCCATGCAGTTGATCAAGAGATGGACGAACAGAGAGAGGAGACAATCAGGATCTTAGCCACTCTAAAAGCAACACAGGACGAGCTCCAAGCTGAGCGGATGAAGGGAGAAAAACAGGCCCTTCAAAATGACATGGAGGCTATGATGTTGAAGGTCCGTGCTGAATTGAAGCTGGCTAAAACTAACGTGGAGTTTGAATTGGAAAGTCAACTGGAAATTGAGAGGGCTCAAACAAAGAAGCAACAAATTGAAATATCAACGTTGGCAGAAGCTCTTAAAAACCAGCAGGAGGCAGTAAAGCAAGTAAAGGAATTATTCCAGGCTTTCCAAGAGGACACGATGAGCAAACAGAGAGCGGAAAGAGACAAGATGGCTGCAGCCCTGAAAGCATCACAGGACCTTCTCAAGAGTGAGCAGATGACGACCAACCAAGGTGAAATGCAACAATTCAAGGCCTCAAGCCAAGCTAAACTGGACGAACAGAGGGATGCTATCATTAAGCTCAAGGCCGCTCTGGAAAAGTCTGAGCAGGACCTGAAGGCCGGTCATCTCCAGTGGCAACAGGAAAAGGTTTCCCTCAAAGAACACTGTGTCCACTTATCTCATTCTGAGGGTCAACACATGGGCACGCAGACCCATGCAGTTGATCAAGAGATGGACGAACAGAGAGAGGAGACAATCAGGATCTTAGCCACCCTGAAAGCAACACAGGACGAGCTCCAAGCTGAGCGGATGAAGGGAGAAAAACAGGCCCTTCAAAATGACGTGGAGGCTATGATGTTAAAGGTCCGTGCTGAATTGAAGCTGGCTAAAACTAACGTGGAGTTTGAATTGGAAAGTCAACTGGAAATTGAGAGGGCTCAAACAAAGAAGCAACAAATTGAAATATCAACGTTGGCAGAAGCTCTTAAAAACAAAGAGGAGGCAGTAAAGCAAGTAAAGGAATTATTCCAGGCTTTCCAAGAGGACACGATGAGCAAACAGAGAGCGGAAAGAGACAAGATGGCTGCAGCCCTGAAAGCATCACAGGACCTTCTCAAGAGTGAGCAGATGACGACCAACCAAGGTGAAATGCAACAATTCAAGGCCTCAAGCCAAGCTAAACTGGACGAACAGACTCAAATCAACGAAAGCACCAAGGCTGCTCTCCTTAAGAGTGAGCATTGCCTGCATAATGCACGTCTTGAGTGGCAAAAGGAGAGGTCTTCCCTGACAGAAGTCCGTGACGTTCTTCAAGCCCAGGTGAAGACAGAGACAGAGGCCAAGCAGACGCTGGAGAGAATCATATCAGCCCATCAAGGCCAGCTAGAAGAACAGAAAGCTAAGTCCAACGAGACCTTGTTAGCTATGAAAGTTATCAATGTTCGGTTAGAAACCCAGCGTCAGGAAAATTCCTTCCTCACCGCACAGCTGCAGACGCAAGACACAGTCAGCAAAAGCCGTACTATTGAGTGGGAGCAGGAGAGGTCTCACCTCACAGCCAGGCTGAATAAAACATCCACGGACCTCGAACATGCCCTGCTGAGGAACGTCACTCTTTTTCAAACAATGGAGAAGGAGGCTGCGGAGACGTTTGAAAGAAACCAGGCATCCCAAGAACAGCTGATCTCAACAATTCGTAAAGACAAAGATGACTCGTTAGAAAGGCAGCGCCTCAGCTTTCAGGACATGATATCACACCTTGAAACTTCCAACAGAAACTGTGTTACCAAGCAAGAGACGCAGGAGGAGGACCACAAAAACCTGCTAGCTTCTCTGATCAAGAAGTTTGAGGATGACCGAGAGAGTAAACGTCTCGAATGGAACCAGGAGAGGTCCGACCTCCTTAAGATCTCAAAACAATCCTTGGCAAGGGAGGAGGAGTACCAGGAGAACAACATCTCCTTAAGCTCTCATGTGGAAGCCCTTCAATGTCAGATCAACAAGCCGAAGAAAAAGTGGTACAAGCTATTCTAAGGCCCGGCTACAGATCAAGACCAATGACCCCCACACACAGACACCAAAACGCATTGCTGTGAGGTCAGTCAACTCCTAAAGTGCACTAAAACGCACAAAAAAAAGAAGAAAATACATAAACACAGACAAGAAACACACACACACATAGACAACAAATACATAAACACACACACACACACACAGACAATAAATACATAAACACACAGACACAGACAACAAATACATAAACACACAGACACAGACAACAAATACATAAACACACACAACAAATACATAAACACACAGACACAGACAACAAATACATAAACACACACACACACATAGACCAAAATTACATAAACACATGAATACACACACACAACAAATACATAAACACATAAACAAACATAGACAAAAAATACATAAATACACACACATAGACAAAAATGACATAAACACATGAAGACACACACATAGATCTTCTCCGGGCACCATCACCTTATCGAGGTGGAGAAGTTTGCGTGTCCCAATGAACCTGAGGGCTGTGTTGCCTGGAGCCTGGTGCTCCTGTTAGGGTTACCCATGGCAAAGTGACCTCAGGCGAGGGGCCAGACGAAGAATGGTCCAAAAAGAGAACAAGTTACGTGGCCCAGAGGGCAAGCAAGGCCGCAGCAGGCTCGACAGCGGGCGCCTGGTGGCCGGGCTTAGGCCGACGGAGTGACGCGGCCCCCCTCTACCCTCCCTCCCATGGCCACACCCACCACAGGTGGTGATAGGTTGGGGTGCGCTGCTGCATGGGTGGCGGTGAGAGGGGCGTGTCTAGACGGAGAACACCTGGGCGGCAGATACTGGTGCTGGGGACGTGGAATGGCCCCTTCTTGTGGGAAAGGAGCTAGAGCTCCTGCAGGAGGTGGAGCGCTGTCAATTACATATGGTGGGACTGAACTCCATTTACCTTTGGAGCTAAATATAGTTTTCATTATTAAAGTTAGCTTTGCCTTTACTAGAGTCGGTAAAAGGATGCTAACGATAAATTAGCCGTGCGCCGCTATTGGCCCTGTCCAGACTAGCTAATTTATATCCTATTTTCCAGTATTAAAGCTAAATGACGGTATTATTACTGATACTAAACGAAACGTGTGCTTACTCATTTATTTTCATTCAAATTCAGCAGTTAGGTACTCATGCTAATTTAACTCCTCAAGGAGTATGCTAATGTCATTAGCATTTATTTCTTAGTCATCATTAGCTAGTCGTGTACACCTTAGAATATGCTGCTAATGCGTTACGTCGTCATTAACAATAGCTCACCGTTCACATTGGCAAGTTATGTTGGCAGGTTGCAAAAAGGAGACAACTTAACGTTATCTAACACTAACGCGCATAGCTAGCCATGCACAACAAATAGCCTCAACAGAACAACTAGCTAAGATATGAATATAATATGATATGATATAATGCACAAATAATCTTTATACATTTAGACGGATGGCGGTGAATATCTGCTTACCTTTTCCATGTGCGTCAACGGTTATCTTCTTAATCTGGTTGTGACAGACGGCCTTCGCCTTGGTTTTTGTGGTCATGTCAGATACTCGATTGTCTAGTTTAGTGCAACATGAATGGATCTAATAAATGTTACGTTTTTGCAGTTTGTGCAAATCCTACATGACCGAATCACGTTCACATTGGAAACATGAATTAATATTGTTCGAAATACATGTTGCACTAAAGTAAATGTAACAACCAGCCAATATCATTTTTTGGAGTGCACTGTTAAGGATTTGAATACTTCTTCCACCCACGTCAAACTGTTTGCTTAACGATCTCAGGCACACCGAATGAAGACATTCACATATACATATTTGTCAACAACTAACTGGTGAACACAATTGACAAAACCGCCATGCCACACATACACACACACACACACACAGACAGACAGTGATCAGAGAATACGCCAATGGTTCTCCTGGAGGAACACTGGGTGCCTCGGGCCAATTCTTGGCCTCCTCTTGCTTACGCAGAACCCAGCAGACAGGCGTCTCTCCATAGGCGTTATTATCCCGTGATCGGATGCCTCACCAGGAGACACACACAAACAATGCAATGCCCCGTCAATGGATATATTGTTATTGTTATGTGCAGTCCGGGGGTGAAAAATACTGAGATGACAATTGGAAGCGACAGCTCTGTAGTCAGTGGGCCAGCCAGACTGCCCAGATACCTTGGAGAGCGCGCGTGTGTGTGTGTGTGTGTGTGTGTGTGTGTGTGTGTGAGACCGGTTATGTGGTCATTATGTAAACAGTGTGTGACTCTGACACAAGGACTCTGCGCTCCATTGGACAACAGAGACAAAATACCCTTTTGCCAGGAGGAGACTTGTAGCCGGATTGCAATGTGCTCCAGAGGCCATTTTCTAACACACATCTTTCCCTCAACAGTTCCCGTGTCCCTGGAATCCATTAGCAGATTAGGTTCAGTTAAGGACTGCGCTTCCATTCTTAAGACACTATTTACTTCTTCACCACCAGACTTACATACTTTCTGTCTACAAAGACTTACTTAAAAGTAATCTGCACTGGTTACTTTTCAAATGAACATTTCTGTCTGAAACATACAAGATAATATTTGAGGGATCATCTTATAATAACTTCCCGACATCATATGAAACTGTAAAAGTGTACTTTGAATGATCAATTGAATGCTTAAATGTGACTAATAATATGGCAATAATCAAAGCATTCAAATGTCTGAACGGTCTCTGAAAGGAGCCGTTCTGTACATTCCCTTCCGAAAGATTTTATTAAAATTGCTCAATATTATTATATTGCTCAAAATTGTATACAATTATAATTATTGATTGGTATGGTAAACTACCATTGCTGGAATCGTGCTGTAGTAGTCCTGTCGAAGGAGGATTGGAACATTCCCAAATGTTTTGTTTCCATTCAGTGCTTTACAATCCTCGCACAGTATTTAAACACTTGTAACGTCACCTTAAACATTTTACCTGAGAACCTCAAAACTAGCTAATGTAACACACATTTTACATACAGTATAGTCTTGTGAGCTGTTACAGCCTTTCCCAGGCCAGATTCACCTTAGAACAGGAAGAGATGTGTCTCAAATCGGACGTGTTGGCTTGGTTAGCCTTGGCATGAAGAGTCACCTACTCAGCTACGTACCTTGAAGATATCTCTGTAGCCGGGGACACTGCAGATGTTGCCGGCGTCATCCTCAGCCTCGTCCTCTTCCTCTGTTGCCTCGTAGCCTTCGTCGGGGCAGGCGTCCCTCTCCGCCTCGGCCATGTTGGTCATAAGGTCGATGAGCTGCTCCAGAGGAGGGCTGAGCTCCCTCTCCTCGTTCTCCTTCAGGCCGTAGTCCAGAGCCTTGTAGATCATGATGCCCAGAGACTCAATCACCTGCAAGACACAACCAAGCAGCTGTTATTCTATCCAGGAACTATATGCAACTATTTGAATAACCTGCAGTGCACATACTGCAGGTTGCACTTGTTTTAAGTAAAATCCAGCAAAATAAACTGAAAGTACTAATATTAAGTGAAACACATTTATTTGGGAGGCAACATTTTTTTATTTTGTGCGTTTGTCTGTTCTTATCTGCCACATCAGGAAAACAAAATTGTATTTCCGTCTTTGTTATGCAATGTGATCCTCTTTTGTGTGCCGAGCCTGAGCCGAACAGCTGTAATACTGTGACCTCATGACTCGACCTTTCAGCGGGAGACCATTCACAGACGCACGCAAACACACAAACGCTGGCTGGCCTTTCGAGGGGCCGACGCCAGCAGCAGATTTCCGATAGTAGATCTTGTGATTAACTGACACATGAAGGAAAACACTACCATCACACATGTCCTTGTGTTGAGATTTAAGATCTTCCAAAGGAATCCACTGTGATTCCTCCTCCACTTTGGGGACGTCAGGTCTTAAATTTGACTTTGCCAAAAGGTAAACAGTGCTTGAATTAATTTCACTAACAAAATTTACTGGAAGTGAGAACACTGTTTCTCTCCTCATCGTTATCAATTGTAATAACTTCTTTAATTTACTTAAATTTTGCAGCGGAATTTGACCGGTAAACTCAAGTCTCATAGTTGAGTTCTCACTAATATAAAATACATTTAGGCATATCTCGGGTACACAAAATCCAAATTCTGTGGCATTGAACAACCTAAATGCTACTTTTTTGTCCTACTTGTAGTAGGAAACTCCCTTAATTCCTAAAATGCATGATGTTAGCTCTATTCTAGTGGTTGGTGCTGGCAAGGCGAGGACCAAGGACATGAGTGGGAAATCCATTTGGCATAATTCTGCAGCCCTGAGCACTGACATATAAAACGCTGAGAGACAGAGGGAACGGAGGGAGGAGAAGGACAGAAAGACATCGAGAGACAAAAAGAAGAAGATGTGAATGACAACGTGAGTCGTCGAGTGGATTAGGGAGGTTGAGGAGGGCACAGAGCGGAGAACCACAGAATCACAGAATAAGTGCAGATCGATGGGCAATCACGGCGGGAGGAGGTGTTATATGAGAGATCTGTCCTCCTTTCCTCCATTTAGCGCGAACCAACTTTCCTTGGGAGTCGGGAGAGCTGAATGCCACCTCTTTGTTTAAGCCCCATCCGGAGCCCCACTCTCTGATATGTGACACCATGCAGGCACACACACACACGCACACACATGAACATGCAACCATACACTTCCAGGGACTTAGACTGTCAATTGAAAAATGCCTCTTTAGCCGACGGCCGAGAAGGCTCCCGTTTCTTATCTACAAGCTTATTTAAAGAATTTAATAATATTTGAAAACACATTAAACATTCAAGAATTCAGTTTTCTGATCTGCACCCGATTGGTTTGACAGTTTCTTTCAATTTCAATTTTTGGACTCTCCGATGAAAGATGTGTTGTTTTTTTAGCTATCAGGAGATGTGGACATTACGTAAAGGTGGAGAAAGCATAATTGGCGTCACCTTAGCAGCAAATCACTAGTGGGGAAAACAATGCATGGCTCTGCCTTTGTATTGTGTGAAAGTCCCTTTTTGTATGTAGAGAACATGCAAAACCGAAACATGCTCAATAAACTATAAACTACCCAACCATAGAAGTCAGCCATAAGGAAGCAAGGGTCCTGCACCCCATACTCCTGCAGCACCCCCACAAATAACCCGGAGGGACCTGGTTGAGAGCCTTCTCCAAATCTGCAAAGCACGTGTACACTGGTTTGGGCATCTCCCAGGACCCCTCCATCAGTCTTGCGAGGGTAAAGAGCTGTTCCACGACCGGTGCGGAATCCGCACTGCTGCTCTTTAATCCGAGGTTCGACAAACGGTCCGATTCTTCTTTCCAGCACCCTAGCATTAGCTTTCCCCCGGAAGGCTGATCAGTGTTAGACCCCAAAAGCCCAACCCTTCTCCAAGAGCTTGGTTCAGGAGCCAGTGCTGTGTGTGGTGAGCCCAGCTATATCTAACTGCCACTGCTCCACCTCCTGCACTCGCTTCGGCTGTTTCCCCACATCCCAAGAGCTGGTCCACACAGCACCCGACCCCGATGCTTAACCCTGCGGTTGGTGACCCCACACAGGTCGGCTGCTCCATGCTTTTCCTTTGGGCTCCTTTGAGCCCCGGCCACCATTCAATTCTCACTGAAAGCCAAATTAACCGGCAAAAACGTTGATATTTACTAAGTGAGTTCACAGGAATTAATTCATGGCAGTGAAAGTAAACAACAACAAGAATTTGACAAAAAAATGTAACTGTATGGATGAATTACCACTCTATTGCTTCCTGCCCTTTCAAGCTTTCACAATAAAAGATAATAACACACCATAAAGTTAAATTAGGCAGGATTCCGTAGTTAATTTATCCTGCATTTCATGATAAATCTAAAGATTTCTTCTTCTTGGGGACATGGAACGGAAACTATGGCCAGCGGTGGGTTGTCTGCATGGGAGGGCGGACCATTCATTCCCTACTCTCTAAATGTTGTGTCTTTAAGCAAAGGACTGAACCCCCAGTGGCTGAAGCTTATATGCTAATGATTAGGTAAGGATTAAATGCGAGGGTCAATGTACCTACCTGATGGCATTTGGCTGTAATACAGTATAATCATGATATATATTCTTATTATAACACTATAGTAAGACTAAAGACTATAAATAAGCTTTAAATAGACTTTAAATTATCTACCAAAGTAATTTTCTGTAATCTGTAAAGACCAACCCCCTGATTGGACAAATCTTATGAGACTGAAGGAACATCACAAAAAATAATGGAGATTATACAACTCCTCATTTAACAAACATACTGCTGTAGTAAAAGTAGTAGTAGTAGTAGTAAGTAGTAAAAGTAAAAGTAAATCTGTCCAATTAATAATGAATGGCATGCGTGTTAAATCTGGATCACTTCCTTTCACAAACAAAGAAGAAATGAACTTTCTCTCTCAACCTCTCACACCTGCTGCTGTGACCTCTGACTGTCATGTGACTGAGTACGGTTCCTTCGGCTTGTCCCATGTGTGGAACCTGCATGACTTCACAAACAGAACAGAGAGAACACTTGAACAAAATTAAAGGTATTTCTCTGTCTTTTGCATTTTTTGCTAATTCTATTCTTACCAAAAAAACTCTTAACCAAATCTTCTTTTTACGTCAAACACCGAATTCAAACTCTAATCCCTTCCTAGACTTCAAAGCGTGCATGAGCAAGAGGGCATGAAGCATCCACAGTTAAACTTTGACAGCATGGATGTAACAAAGTGTAATCCACTGATTCATGGGTCACACTGTTTCACGGGACCAGGAGGGTCTTACTAGCACTTCTACAACAAATTCCCTTGCAAACGCCGACATAGAAAAAGGTGGAATTGTGGAGCCACATTTGGGTAAGAAATTGCTAACAACTATCATCTGTTTCCGATGGGATTAGCAACAGTGACAACTGAACACAGAGCCTTGTAAAGGAGTTCACTGGCCCTGAAGACAACAGCATCAGCTGACATTCGCAACTGCATCATTTGCTGGAGTTCATGCAATTTGAAGCAGTGTGCGGATGATGTGCGTGTGCCACGTCTACACACGTGTTCCTGCTCATCCAGCTTTGGGCTAATTCCACGCTGCATGTTATAGGAGAACGCCTCTGCCACAGGATTTATTCCTATCAAGCGTCAAGCAGCTGCAGCATCTCGCCGGTGGTTTTGTCAGCCAGTCTGCAGCACACTGCGTTGTGAGAACTCATTTGTCGTGCAAAGCTGCTTATCAGAGATTCGACTGTACAGTTTCACATTCTCCACAGCTACAGCGTGTGTGTGTGTGTGTGTGTGTGTGTGTGTGTGTGCTTGAGTTAGTCGCTCTCCATCTGTTTTTATCACAATCCTTTAACTCGTACACTGGTGAGACCGAAAACACGCACCCTTCGGGCTAAATTATCGTCTATTGTACAACAACCCGCTTAATATTCCTAAAACATGGATAGAGTATAAAAAGATATATTCTTACAAACTATTATTACAATATTTAACAGCAACAACAGTTGTAGCAAAGAGCCCTTTAATTAGATCCTGAACTTGTCCCAGGACTGCAAACAGCTTGGAGCTGTGGGGCTGGTGGAGAAAAATAGACCATTTACACATATGCCAATAAGAAACATTAAAATTTGGCCTGTGTTCATAGAATAGATATCAGCTCACATGCTGCATGTTAAATAAGAATGTTAATACTCTGATTAATTGAGTATGAACCTTGGCAGGAGGTGATTAGCTTAGCCTAGCAGAAAGACTGGGAGCAGGTGGTAACGGCTAGCTTGTTCTATCCCAAGTTTCAAAACACTGATTATTAATCTTATTTGTTAAAACTTGACACAAACAGAAGAGTAAAGATGACTTACATGCTCTAAAACAGAGCAGACAATGTGCACTAGCGCGTTTTAAAATACCCAACTTGACAGCAGGAATTAACAGCCCGGCCACAGCTGATATCGCCGTTCATTAAAATAGTAGGTAAGGTGAATTATTGTTTAAATTACCCATTTGGTCTGTTTACTCCTGTTTACAGCCTCAGAGCTTCTGCTCTACACTTACATCGTACAGACATTAAAGTGGCATTGATCTTTTCATCGTCAAGAAAGCCACATTTCCCAAAATGTAGAACCATCAGTAGCAATCCGGCGAGAGAGAGAGAGAAACTCGCTGGGAGCTCTCGAAAAGTGTGCAAAATAAAGTTTGTTTCCGAAACGATCTGCTGTGTACTCCTCATTCCGGGAATCCCCGAGAATCACCACGTTACAAAGCTAAACCAAAAAAATAGGGCATTGTATGTGCTGATAAAATGCTAACTAGTCATTCTATCCGACCAGTCAACTTGCATTGGACAACGTCTGGTGCTGTTTTCTCTGTAATGTTTTTTAAACCACAGAGGTTGCATTGCAGGCATGAGGATCAACATACCACACACCCATGACTTAACAGTTTCAACAACAGCACTACTGTAGATCCTTCAGAGTGCCCACTTGAATACTCCATCGCTTTGTTTGGCTGCCCTCTTTGGCAGCTGGGTAACTGTGGGAGGTAAATGCTTAAAAAGTAGAAAATGCTTCACAATATGCTGTTAATTAGCTGACTGGTTCCTGACTGTCTCAGCCTGCACTCTGGGAGGCTTGAGAGCTAATCGACAAAAACATTCCAGGGAAGTTTCACAACCAGTGACCCTCAAGCTAATCCATTCATGTGACCAAAATACAACATTTAAACACAGATATTTAAAATACGTATTTTCATCACCCAGCAACTAGGTTGCACATCTAGCACACAGGGAACACATTCCCCAAGCAAAGTAATGTACATTTTAATAAAATGTCACTGTTATTTCATTTATAATAGGACCAATGTTACTATCTCCTCCCTCGCCCGCAACATGTAGTTTTACTATATTGTATTTGAATATACGCAAGAAAATAATGTCCACATAATAGTCCAAGCCTCTGCAAGCATGCAATGATGAAATACAAGAACTACAACAGAACTACAGTGGAGTTACTCACCTCTGTTGTTGTGCAAGGACTGTATTTACCTGCAGGGAAACAAGAAAGCAGTGTTGTGATAAGCTGCAGATGTAAGCCAAAGCACAAAGCAGCTAACACACACACACACACACACACACACAAACAATTATGCACGGAAACATGTTGTTGTTGCTGTTTCATTACAGTGAATAAAGAATGTGTGACTGTCAGAAGTTAAGCGCGTGTGATGATGATCTTAGATGTTCGTGTCGAATGGCCACGCATTCCTTTGATTCCATGTCTGAATGAAAATCACGTGAAATATACATTGCATCAGGATCCATTGCGATGACTGAGCCGTCATTAACGCACACATAAGGACTGCAGCTGAGAGTCTCTGATCTCAGTATCAATAGGTCTTTTGTCACTGATAGAAAATCTCAAGGCGGCATTCACATTCTTTTTATACTAAAACTAATCAGGAACAGAGAAACAAATGATCAATGACATGAAAAGAAGAGGCACAGTCTTATTCTATGTTTTCCCTTCGCCCATAAATCCCATGAAAAGGCATAAACTCATTACCTGCTCTAATGCTGACCATCTATTGTACAGTATGTGTAGCACAGACTCTAAATAAACACACTGCCGATGTGTGTGTCTTCAGATGCAGGTTTAAAGAGAATAGCTTACCTATCGGTGATTAAACATTCCCTTATTAAACTAACTCTTTGCAATCATTATGCAAACCACAGCAGTGTCATTATGCAAACTAGAGCAGTTTTGATAAAAGCTCTGTTTCATTTCTAATTACAGTACTTTGGTGGTTTGTAGCATGTGACTGATGATTCCAAAGAGCTATGCTGCATGAATGTACTCCCTTCAAAAAGAAGATACACTAATAGGCCTGGGATCTACTTTGCGAACAAACAGTCTGCTGACAGATGACCCTCACAATAAATTGGCTGTTTTGTCTTGTGACATGCAGTAACGCAACATCGGAACATCACAACAGCCATGACATCATCTCGCAGCCTTAATTTCAGCATCAGCAGGTTTGAATGCCACACTGCTGTATGTAGGGTGAAGAAGAGTAAACTGTGTGATGAGAGCGATGCAGAACGGAGGGAGAAGACAAACCAACGGGCTTTCTTGATGGTGCTAATCACAATTGTGAAGGGAAACAATACGATATTTAAAGCGTGACATAAGACTATATCTAGAAGTTCTATAAATAATTACGCTTTCATGATGTAATTAGATATAATACTGTCAGGTTCCCCGGATGACCCACCAAATAAAAGAGTACTAGTAATTTGCATTTGCTAATTCAGTGCAAAATAATCAGATTATCTAATATTTTTGTTAGTAAGCTTGTTTTGATCCGTTTAGATGATGTAATTGTGTATCTCGCTATCCTCAATTTCCTTGCGATATGATTTCATTGAAAAACAACAAATTCAGTTAATCCTGCGTTTAAGAGTTTGTCAAACACTAACCTTGTTGGGATTTAGCTTTAAGCCTATTTATTATGACCAGAACTTTTGCCACTGATTTATCAAAACACTTGAAAAAGCCTCTCAGAATGACTTAGACCGAAGACGTGCACAGCTGGGATTCCCAGCCAGAGGTCTTTGATAACTCGGCATGCGATTCATAGGATTGTGAGGTAGAAAGAACCACTAGATAGAAATGACTAATAAACGATCACTTTAAATAGTCAGGTAAGAGTAACACAGTATGATACAGTCTGTGTGTTTTATCAAATCTGTTTCCTAAATCGTGTGTTTAATAATTTGCACATTTTGTCTATAATATTCAGGAAAATGGTAAGATGTTAGTCTGCATCCTCTGGGCCGTATGCTATCTGAACACACAGTCATTTTACCTTCATCCCTCTACATATATTACCTCTCTATATCGACTGAGGTTTTCAATCAAAACACATTGTTGAACACTGACGTGTGCCCGGCAATGGTTATACCGTCAATGCCCCCAAAATATGCTTTTGAATGATTATTTACAGAAAAAGATCATTATTGAAAAGAGATATATGTTTTTGTTAAGGGTTGACAGGGAAGTGACGTAATCTTGCATTCCAATCGTATATATCATGCATGTCATGCTTTTTAAATAATTAAGAATACAAAAAGATGCTCATCTGTGAAATAGCAAAATGATTACTGAAGCAATATGAACAAAAGAAATTATATTGCAGATACCAATGTCCCCAAAACTGCATAACTACGAGTCAGTACGTTTGCATTATGTGACATTATAGCAGCAATGAAGGCCTGGACTCCCCCCTCAAATGGTCTCTTCCGTGCTCCTAAAAATATCTCATTCATTCTCGCATGTATACTGACTTACGGGACACAACCAGCATCATCCTCACAGAAAAGCGGCGCATTCATCGAATCAAGGGCCAAAATGTGTACCGAACAGTGTTTAGTATTGCGTGTGTGTGTGTGTGTGTGTGTGTGTGTGTGTGTGTGTGTGTGTGTGTGTGTGTGTGTGTGTGTGTGTGTGTGTGTTCATTACAGCTGGAGTTAAGAGCACATCCCTCAGGTGTAGTCCATTACAAACAGAGACAGATGGATGGAGTCTGCTCTGAGCTCTGTGTTCACTGCATCAGCGCACGTGATTACAACATGACATGAGCATCACATGGCACGCAGTGTCCTCGGTTTTATTTTGAATGCTGGTTGATACCTTGTAGAACTAAAGTATTTTGTATCAGGGATACTCAATAAGTGCCACAGAAATGCTATAACTGTCCCACGTGAGACACAAATTACCACCAAGCGCCATAAAGCCGGTATAAACGGCCTGCATGGAGCCCCAGAGGACCCTAAGGCGATAGTCATGCTGCGATTTATCATTTGCCGCGCTGTATCCTCCCACTTTCTTGTATGTTTTCAGAGCTCTAGCCACACCAGCAGGCCCGTAACTCCTTGGTTGTTTATTTTTATAGCACCTCATTAAACGGTGAGCCCCCCAGTGTCACAGGCCTAGTAGCAGCTGTAATCATGCCATTTGAAAACACAAAGCCCGTTCAGGAATGAACCATCGCCTTTTTGTGCGTACACAGTGTACATATGTCCCACGCATGCACATCCCAGCTTGCAATAATCACATGCTTCCATCGGCAATGTGATGTGAAGTGGAAAACAGGCTGAGAGGCCTTCAACGAGAGATGTAGCCGCGTGATGCACACACACGTGTCCTCAGTGAGCAGGATTAGTGGAAACCAGTGAAGACCACTACAGCAGAGTGAGACAGGGGACTATTTGTTTGTCAGTGATCAGGTGTAATTAGGTCTCATGAATGTGGCTCATTTAGTCCTGCTGTAGGTTTAAAGACTTATGAAGCACCCGATCAGGGAAATCATCCAAAGCTTCCACGTGCTAGATGTTATATTTAAAGTAGCTACATTGATCTCTTTACTATATTGGGGATTAGACACCTGTGTTTATATGTTGTGGGCTAAATCCATTATTTGAAATGCAAGTGATGTTCTGGCCTAGATCGAGAGGCTTCAGGCGCACTCATTCTTACATAACATGTCTCTACCTTCGCGGTCCCGCTGCTGCAGGCTCACGGACCCGTCTCTTTGTATCCGGACGTCCTCCGGTCCCGTTATCTTCCTCGGAGCCGCCGCTGACGATGCTCCGGCGGCGGAGGAGCTCCCCCTGCTCCGATGCTCCCTCGCCAGCGTCCTGCAGCACTGGTAACACACCGCCCATGCCTGCTCCTCGTTGATGGGCTGGCTGTAGAGCCTCAGTATCTCCTCCAGGGAGAGACCCTCCACTGCCGCGTCCTCGCTCGAGCTCATCGCGCTGCGACGCTGCTTCTCATCCCGGTGAGTCGCCGCGGCGGCACCCGTCAGTCCTCCCTGGTCCCCGCGTCGCCGCTCGGCCATCCTTTCATCCTTTCATTATCTCAGCAGCGCAGGAGGAGGAGGAGGAGGAGGAGGAGGAGGAGGAGGGAGGAGGAGGAGGAGGAGGAGGAGGAGGAGGAGGGAGGAGGAGGAGGAGGCCCAATGACGAGAGCAGGTCCAAGGCGATGCGTGAGAGGGAACCGGGCGGCATGGACGCTCCTCGTACCTGCTTCGCGGGGCGGCGGCCAGCAGCGCGCCGGTGGATGTGCGTGTGGGTGTGCGCGGGATTGTAGCTTCCGCCGTGGATTGTGTGTCTCACAAAACAACCGAGCAAGCCAGACTGACTCTTCATCACATGATCTCTCTCTCTCTCTCTCTCTCTCTCTCTCTCTCTCTCTCACACACACACACACACACAGACAAACCGACACACACAAAGATGCACACACTGAATATCCTCAGGCAGCGGCGGCTGGTGGGAAATGTTCTTTGGCAATCAATCAATTTAAAACATCCAAAGTTCATTTAATGCAAAAACACATTTCAGTTAAATGCTAAATTTGTATTCCAACATGAAAAAAGCTGTAAATAACACTTACAATCTTAATTGTGTCACCCTTGCATGTAATTCAGCATAATGAAACATATATATCAAATAATAATCAGTGTGATACTTGAATGGCGATAAGATCTGTGCTCTTTACTACCTCCAGAATGTCATCCACCTGTCAAAACCAGCTTTGAGGAGAAGGCGCAAGCTTGGGGCAAAACAAATGTTGTCCCAAGCTGAGTCTATTGAAGGACGCTGATTGGCTAAATTGTATGTCACACTTTTAATTTAATCAGCAATTGGCTGAAGTGCTTCTTAGACCCGCCTTCTGCGGGCAATCTTGAGATTTCCACTAGCTCAGCTAAAACACATCTGACAGGCAGGAAAAGCATATATTTTATAACATCATATTCCCAAAATTACTGCGTAAATTCCATATGTAAAAAACACATATATTGTCAGAGCACTTGAATGGGGCGTACCCTGTCTCACCTGATGTTAGCTGGGATTGACTCCACCATTGCACTGCTAAAGAATAGCAACTAAGCTGTTATATTTAAATACATGAGTTTTTAATTACTGTATCAGTGAGTGAGGTGCGGTTGATCCGTGTAGTCTATTACAATGCACAGTGAGGTAGAGGAGCTGGTCTATGTGTCCATTTGGAATCTTTTTACAAAGTCAGTTTACATGGGTTTTACACATGTTCAAATTATATTTGCCCATTGTATTCTGTGTTTACATAGCAACACCAAACATTTTTTATGAAGTGTACTGAATGGCCTGAGTCCTGTAAATACCTTAGTAGAGTAGATTATTGATTATAGTGGTGCCCTGAGCATAGGTCTAATCAGGTTAACCAAAAATGCCTGTGAGCGGTCCAGAGCCTTTTCTTATTCAAACCTTCATTTTAATTTTTACATCCTGTTAATTTTAAGTCTCAAGAGGTGTGTCTTTAGTTTGCGGCGGAAGATGTAAAGGCTCTCTGCAGTCCTGATGTCTTGAGGGAGCCCGTTCCACCATTTCGGAGCCAGGACAGCAAAGTCGTGATCTTGTTGAGTGTTTTGCTCTCAGTGAGGGAGGGACGAGCAGTTTAGCAGATGCAGGGTGGAGTGTGCGGGTTGGGATGTAGGGAGTTAACAGTCAGGGCCTTGGTAGGAGAATCTTTTCCCAGAAAAAGAAGTAGTTCAGTCTTGTCGCGGTTGATCAGATGGTGGGCGGACATCTACTGAGAGATGTCAGTCAGACAGGCAGAGATCCGTGCCGCCACCCGAGTATCCGAGTGAGGGAACGGGAGAATTAGTTGGGTGTCATCGGCATAGCTGTGGTAGGAGAAGCCATGCGAGCGAATGACAGCGCCGAGAGAGTTGGTGTAGAGTGAGAAGAGAAGGGGACCGAGGACGGAACCCTGAGGAACTCCAGTAGTAAGAGGACAAGGTTCCGACACAGATCCTCGCCTGGTTACCCGGTAGGTGCGGCCGTCGAGGTAGGACGAGAGAATGAAGAGAGCAGAGCCTGAGACACCAAGTTCCTGAAGGGAGGAAATAAAGATCTGGTGGTTTAGAAGGATGAGGACAAAGGAGAGAGGCGGCTCTAGCAGTCCGGAGTTGCTCTGAGACAGCAAGGATAATGTAATGTAATAATATTTGTGTAATTATTTCCAAAGCAATTGTTTCAATTCAACTTTTTACTTGTAATATTTATTTCCCTTTGTTTTCTATACTTGTTCTATAGAGTTCTATATAGTGTTCTACTCTAAAGTGCTTTGTCAACCTTCAGGAGTGTCAGAAAACTTTACTTCCACACATATTGATCCTGTATTGACTTTCTGCGCTGAATCAGTGGATAATTCTTCTAAATGTTATGTTATTGAGAGCCGACTGTGCAAATCTCTTGTATGACTTGATGCCATTTTAACTTGTTGGATTTAGGAAAATCTGATCTGTCTGTGGAAGAAAAGTAAAGTCCTCTCTTGTTAGTCCTCGCCCTCTCCCATTGTACTTATGCAGCACTATATTTACATTTTAATTCTTTAACAGTAGTTGTATTTAGAAGCTATATGTTCTTAATTTATTTCAGCGGTCATGTCCAAAATGCATGATCGGTTTGTAAAACATGATGCATTGTGGGGGATTAAATTTACCAACATTATGTGAAGTGTCTCTACCAAGACCAACAGAAACCCGATGAGTAATGAATCATTGACACCACTGGCAGGAGGACTCATTTTGGTACTTTAATTGCATTTATTTGTTTATTTATATTCTATGCCTCATTTAATGTTTGATGCCCCCTGCTGTCAACACCTCCAGGGGACAGCCATGTTTAAACTGATGTTTGATTCTTTTCTGAAGCTGTGCGTATTCCAAGGAATTTCTGCTCAAAGAGGAACCATCTTAGAAATTGCCTGCAGATGTGCGTATGATAATCACGAGGCTCCACAGACATTCTTGTTTTACTACATAGAGCTGGGTCAACATGTCTCTTTCTCATATGCCCCTCACACTGTATTCGTATTTGTTGTTCGTTTAACCTTTATTTTGCCAGAATAGCCCTGTTATGACTAAAAAACCTTTAGTAAAGTTATGTTTAAGCCAGGAGCGTAAAGGTTTCACACACTAAAGAACAAATAAAATACCATTAAATGTTTTCAGATATGTATATAAAATAAAATCCTGATTTTGATCATAAAAAAAAAAAAAAAAATTACAAATTCACATATATTTGGTATATTCATCGATCATATTTATTCAATCACTGGCTTACACACAATACTCTGATACAGATCTTATTTCACAGCAAATATACACAACATCAGACGAGAACACACACGTTACACAAAGCCACACCACAATCTCAGGAACAAATAACGAGTCCGGTTGCCGTGGGTAGCAGTGATAACATATGAACACAAATCTCTGAACACTCAGGATCTTCAGGATCAATATAAGCCAACACAAGTGGAATGAGGCTTTAAATATACTTATCTTTTTAGCATTTCTTAACCCACCTCACGTCAAAAAAACAAAGTGTAAACAATGACACTAATGAAAAATTGTTTACTTTTTTCCCTTGGTTTTAAAAATGATAGAAGCTTACGGTAGGGCTGTTTCACCACAAGGAATGAACATGCAGCGTTCTCATTCAAGCGGGAGAGGTGGCGGTGAGGAAACGGATAGCGGGGGGAAGACGGGGAGGGACGTTCAGGGAAGAGCAGATCTAAGTCATGAGAAAACAATCGGCATAAAGACATAACAGCCAAAGTGTTAAACTTTAAAGTCCAACAGGTTACAGTTGATCTTGTCGTAGACGTAAGGATAATACTCCTGCTGGCTGAGGTTCAGGCCCGGGATGTCCATCGCACACTGACAAAAGAAAACACAGAAAAAGACGGTGAAAGCTTTTTATGCGTGTGAACAGCTGTTTCCAATATTAAGAAATGAACGCTACACATGGTCAAATGAGGGCGACCCTGCAGGATTTAGTGTTTAGCACAACACACACATCTCACTCCCTGAATCTCCACATTAACGTCAAACATGGAAATACAAGATTTGGATTTTGCCAGAAATCCATTTCATGCTAAAATTGACATCAGTAAGTAACTCAAGCTTCGGATGAAAGTTGGAAAAGGGCATTTCTCATTCATTAGGCCTGATTTGATGTACTAGCATTAATTTACTTTAGAGGGCATATTTTACTATTTGAAAATGATTTTTCTTTCCTTGAAGGGCATGCTGGTTTGATATAAATGTGTATGCACATATCAATGTGTTTATATACATATATTTTTATTTGAACTTTGTTCTTTAACAGATAAATTAGTAAAGAGTAAATACAACAAAAAGACGTATTTATTTTACATTGTTTAAAGACAAATCAATCAACAATCCCTTTTGCCTAAACATTTAACAGGTCCACTATACTTGTGTTTTTTTAGCAGTAACCAGCTCTGGCCATGAGAAGGAGCACCTCTTACAATCTTGCACAGTGATGAGGAGAAGCAGAGGTTGCAGCAGTAGAGACTCAATTTGCAGTGAAACTCCCCCATAAAATAACTACTTTGTAGTTGGTTTGAATTAGTGTGCAATGTGGCTTTTAGGCACACTGTGTTTATAAAAAAGGGTTATATTGCAAGCACAATACAATATTCTAACATTAAGGTCTAAAGAAACTACAAAAAGTGTGGGAAAATCACATAGTGATGCATTTTAGATTATTAAGAACTAAAAGTTCTTAATAATTTGTAATTATTTTAGGTCTTGACGGTATTGAGGGTCATTCATAACATCATATTGTGAATCCTTCTGCTAAGATAATTATTTTATCCAATTCTTATTGTTGCAGGTGACTATGTTGCTGAGTTTTTCTAGTTGCTGCTCCCTTGTAGTGAGAGCCGTTACACAACGCTAGTACTCACGTCGATGATAGCTGCTGCACTGCTGTCTAGATGTTTGTAAAGATCATTCAGCACCTCCCTCAGCTTCTTCACGGTCTTCTTGTTTGGCTGCAGGAGCATGGCCTGAAAGTTCACCGGCAGCCCATATCTGGAGGAAAAAATAATTCTTTTTTTAACTGCTGCCAGTTTACAATCAGTTTTATGTAAGGCCAGCGGCGGAGGAAAAAGTGTCTGGGGAGTTATTGTCAGACCAGCCGAGTTAGTACACGACATGTAGCCCACTCAATGCATCGCAGGTCAGAACCAGTCAGAAAAACTACACTTAACATTATTTTTATCAGATGGTTCTATAAAGCCTTAAGGTCAGCAGAGAGACCACACAATGGAGACAGAATCACAGGGTAGAATTAGTATCAAATATATTGTAGAAATGAACAGAACATACAATAGAGGATGTGGACATCAGTAGTGTTGCGTGCTAGGTGTGTGATTGTGTGTGTGTAGGGATGTTGACCGTGCATAACAAAACATGCATAATAGAGTTGTTTTTTTGGGTGGTTTCCCTAAATAAGTTACAGATTTTTAAATAGTGTAATGCACCTTCCTCTAAATATCCTGATAACCGATATCAGAATTTAATACAATAGCCGCTGCATGTCTCCCCTGCGACCGCTCGCCGGGCAGCTCTGCCTTCTTCTCCACCAGAGAAGTTGCTAGCTTTGTCGCGCGTAGCTTTTGCAGTGCCTTCTGGGACTTTTAGTATCAGCCGCGTGCCAATTGGTCGGCAGTTATGATAGACATATATCATCAGACATATGATATTTACTCGGGCCGGACACCGAAAACGAAGCTAGACCGACAGAGGACATTAGATGAGTGAAGAAGAGCAAGCACTGTATTGACTTGAGGTACTAAAGTAAATTTGACATTTAATAAAGTTATATTTATGTGCGATATCGAGACGATTTCTAATGACAGTACCTTAGAACCGATTCCACAAACACTCTCAGTGCTTTGATGTGAATCCACGCGATGAAGGCTTCACTGAAGTTCACTTTCAGCCATCGGACCAGCGGGCCCTGCAGAGAGCAGATACAGATTAGAGACATCTCTTTTTGGGGCTTATAATCTCACCAATGGAATAAAAGAATCTATTCTGGAAAAGAGACTAGAAAATTGACATCACCGTGGTGAAAACAGTGCTCGCTCTGTTTCATCTGGATTGTAATCGTTTTCATGAGTTTTGGGGATTTAATAAGAATAATAATGCATCTTATTAGTCACCACTTGATAAACCGTCTCCATTGCCATTCATTATCATATGACAAAAAAGGTCATTTTGAACATGTAATAAAGTGACAAACACAACCGTAGCCAGGATTAAAGTCTCTGCGTATGTACACAAATGTATCCAATGGTTGCATTAAGTATGCATGATGGTAACAAGGCACTGAAGGAGGCCTAAAACTACCCAGTGTGATACGATGTCTGATTTCCTGTTCCATCACTTACAAACTGCTTCTTCTTATCCGTAGAGAGCCGTGTCATCTCCTCTTTGTCTGCTTTCATCTCCTCCTCGTTGTACTGGAAGTCTCTCACTATGAACCTAGAAACAAATGTTGGGGGCAGAAATCAGCTTCATGTGATGGTGGATATATCTATAAAGTTACAAACATAAACCCTATGATCACTGTCCAGTTGATATTTTTAGTCAGAACTATTCATATTTGGCGAGCATTCGGGCTTCCTTTGAACACATTTCACACGTGCTGACAACGACGGCAGGAGTTTGCTCGGTGTAACAACTCCTACTTGTTCTCTCGAGCTTTGAGCTTGAAGTCGTCGATGGCTTTCAGGAATAGAGTGACGCTGAACAGTCCGCTGTCATTGTCTTCAAATAGCAGACTGGAGGAAAAGACGGGAACTTGTTATACTGCTGCTTTGATCTTTAATGAAAAATGTAATTTTATAGGCACATAAATCCGCAATTTAAAGATATTGAAAAAAAAGAATACAATCAAAACCATTGACCTCACTCACTTTGAGGACCGGGGCACCACCATCTCAGACAGTGTCTCATATGTTTTCTGCCAGTCAGCATATGCCGTCCTGAAAGGACAGAGGACAAGGGAACAATGAGACGGCCGCTCATCCCTCTTTCCCCTGAGGCCCTCTAGAGAAAGAACACTCACTTTGGTACAACTACGAGCATAGTGATGAGGTACTCCGAGTCCAGAACAAAGTCGTCCTTCTTGACGATGTCAGCCAGGCTCCTGGTCAGCAGGCTCCCCCTGGTGGCACAAGATGGTGTTACAATAACATGGACGCAACATGGAGAAGGTGTTGACAGGAGCTGTTCAGACCATGCTGACACCCGTCAGGTGAACACGATGCGCAGAGAGAGCGAGAGAGACCTCTGCGCAATGATGAAAAGACATCATTCAAAGCAACATGCAAAGCATATGCATGTAAAACATGCAAAGCATATGCAAAAGTGTAATATACATTACACTTTTGCATATCATACTGTCCTCCGAAAACTATCCATCTGCAAATCTGTTGGTTTTAAATGTTGAACCTTGGACCAAAACTGTTTCTCCGGCAAGTGGCAGGGAAAATGTATATATCAGATGAGAACATTGTCCTACATCTTAAGGTAAAAAAATATATGAACAACTGTAAATGAGCTGAAAACATGGCGGATCTGAGAGCAACACTGACAGGGACCATTTGACTGTTTACTGATAATACTTCTACTTGGAATTTGTAGTGAGTAAAATCAATACAATTTGGAACTTATAGTAATACTACAAATCTATGAGTATTGCAATAGTTTGATCAGTGAGCAACAGGGTTAATCCCTGTCGTGGCGCAGGGGTTAGAGAAGGTGTGCTGGGAAGCACAAGGTTGGTGGTTTAAGTCCAGGCTGCCCCATGTTCCGTGTCGAAGTGTCCCTGAGCAAGACACCTAACCACTAATTGCTCCCCGAGCAAAAATGTAAAAAAGCCATGTAAAGTGCAATGTAAGTTGCTTTGGATAAAAGCGTCTGCTAAATGACCTGTAAGGTAATTGTGTCTACTTTGACGTTTGAAGAAGAGTATTACTATCTGCCAAAATATGGATCTACTATCGTTGAAATTGTATATATATAATATAGCCACAATATTACACTGACAGACAGGTTCTTTCATATATATATATATGTATATATATCCATCCAGTCAAACCGCTTATCCTGCACACAGGCTCGCAGGGGGCTGGAGTCTATCCCAGCCAACTTGCGAGAGATGGGGTACACCTTGGATTGGTCGCCAATCGCAGGGCCAACACAGAGACATACAACCATTCACACTCACACACCTGCGGGCAATTTTAAGTCCCCAATTAACCTGATCCCCAGAGCAGGTCTTTGGACTTTGGGAGGAAGCCGGAGAACCCGGAGAGAACCCACGCAGACACAGGGAGAACATGCAGACTCCACACAGAAAGGCCACTGGGTGGAGTTGAACCCAGGACCTTCTTGCTGCGAGGCGACAGTGCTAACCACCACGCCGCCGTGCTGCTTATATATATATATATAAATATGCAAATATATATATATATATATATATATATATATATATATATATATATATATATATATATATATATATATATATATATATGTGTATATATATATATATATATATATATATATATATATATATATATATATATATATATATATATATGTATATATATATATATATATATATATATATATATATATGAAAATATGTATGTATATGTATATATGTACACATACATATATTGTGTCAGAATATATGTTAATAAAAATAATTAAATAAACATTTTTAAAATTTTAATTTTACTCTTCCATATTTTGGACATTACATTCAAAACATTCAATCTTCTATCCAACAACTAGATGATGTAATGTAAATGTCGGTATCCCATGGCAACGATGACATATCTGTATCCCATAGCGACGATGACATATCTGTATCCCATAGCAACAGAAAGATCAAAAGGAACGATGACATCATGGAACGTGTCATTACAAGGGTTCCACTGCTTCCACTCACTCACTCACTCACTCACTCACTCACTCACTCACAGCTTAGCAGACATCAGTCCGGTTTGAAGACCACTCTGACAGTTTGAATTGAAGGTGTACTGAGCAGAAAGCAACAGATAAAAGAAAAGTATGTCCAACGTCCAGAAAAAACAGATAATGGTGGAGAAAAGGGATTTAAATTCCAAGGAGGTTGATCCTCCTGTGAATTTCTATCTCCGTTCGCTGGAGGAACAAGTAAGAGCTGAGCTGGACAGCAATGCAATGCTCACCCAAACTCAATGTGAGGGGAGAGTTCTCCTTCAGATTGACGAGGACAGATTGCAACAGTTCCTTGATCTTCTCCCTGAAAAAAAGACTGGAGAAGTGCAAAAGGAGATATGCCAAAAAACGCAGCTAAAAGCCAGCCGGCCCAAGCTGCAAAAGACCCAGGGTGATGTCGAGGGACAGACACCCAAGACCAAGATCCAGTGTGTAGACTTGAAAATGAAGGGAGAAAAACAGCTTCTGCCTAATTTTGAAGAGACTATCTCTAAGGAGAACTTGGAATTGAAGGGTCAACTGGAATGGATGTTGAAGGTCAGTGCTGAAATGAAGCTGGCTAAAACTAACACAGAGATTGAATTGGAAAGTCAACTGGAAATTGAGAGGGCTCAAACAGAGAAGCTTCGCATTGAATTGACAAAGTTGGCAGAAGCTCTTAAAAACCAGGAGGGGTCAGCAATCCAAATGAGGGAACGATTCCAAGCCTTCCATAACACCCAGATGTACAATTGGAAATTGGAGAACAACGGCATTGCGGCGGCCCTGAAAGCAGCACAGGACGAACTCCAAGCTGAGCGGATGAAGGGAGAAAAACCGGCCCTTCAAAATGACGCAGAAGCTAAAGAGTTGAAGCCCCAGGCTGAAGGGAAGTGGATTGCTGCGGCTGACCGTAAAGAGAACTGGAAATTGAAGAGCCAACTGGAAATTGAGAGGGCTAAAACAAAGAAGCAACACATTGAATTGACAAAGTTGGCAGAAGCTCTTAAAAACCAGCAGGGTCCAGATAACCAAATGAGGGAACGATTCCAAGCCTTCCATAACACCCAGATGAACAATTGGACAGCGGAGAAAATCGGCATTGCGGCGGCCCTGAAAGCAGCACAGGACGAACTCCAAGCTGAGCGGATGAAGGGAGAAAAACAGGCCCTTCAAAATGACGCAGAAGCTAAAGAGTTGAAGCCCCAGGCTGAAGGGACGTGCATTGCTGCGGCTGACACTAAAGAGAAGTTGGAATTGGAGAGCCAACTGGAAAATGAGAGGGCTCAAACAAAGGAGCAACAAATTGAAATATCAAAGTTGGCAGAAGCTCTTAAAAACAAAGAGGAGGCAGTAAAGCAAGTAAAGGAATTATTCCAGGCTTTCCAAGAGGACACGATGAGCAAACAGAGAGCGGAAAGAGACAAGATGGCTGCAGCCCTGAAAGCATCACAGGACCTTCTCAAGAGTGAGCACTTCACCACTCAGCAGATGACGACCAACCAAGGTGAAATGCAACAATTCAAGGCCTCAAGCCAAGCTAAACTGGACGAACAAAGGGATGCTATCATTAAGCTCAAGGCCGCTCTAGAAAAGTCTGAGCAGGACCTGAAGGCCGGTCATCTCCAGTGGCAACAGGAAAAGGTTTCCCTCAAAGAACACTGTGTCCACTTATCTCATTCTGAGGGTCAACACATGGGCACGCAGACCCATGCAGTTGATCAAGAGATGGACGAACAGAGAGAGGAGACAATCAGGATCTTAGCCACTCTAAAAGCAACACAGGACGAGCTCCAAGCTGAGCGGATGAAGGGAGAAAAACAGGCCCTTCAAAATGACGTGGAGGCTATGATGTTGAAGGTCCGTGCTGAATTGAAGCTGGCTAAAACTAACGTGGAGTTTGAATTGGAAAGTCAACTGGAAATTGAGAGGGCTCAAACAAAGAAGCAACAAATTGAAATATCAACGTTGGCAGAAGCTCTTAAAAACCAGCAGGAGGCAGTAAAGCAAGTAAAGGAATTATTCCAGGCTTTCCAAGAGGACACGATGAGCAAACAGAGAGCGGAAAGAGACAAGATGGCTGCAGCCCTGAAAGCATCACAGGACCTTCTCAAGAGTGAGCAGATGACGACCAACCAAGGTGAAATGCAACAATTCAAGGCCTCAAGCCAAGCTAAACTGGACGAACAAAGGGATGCTATCATTAAGCTCAAGGCCGCTCTGGAAAAGTCTGAGCAGGACCTGAAGGCCGGTCATCTCCAGTGGCAACAGGAAAAGGTTTCCCTCAAAGAACACTGTGTCCACTTATCTCATTCTGAGGGTCAACACATGGGCACGCAGACCCATGCAGTTGATCAAGAGATGGACGAACAGAGAGAGGAGACAATCAGGATCTTAGCCACCCTGAAAGCAACACAGGACGAGCTCCAAGCTGCGCGGATGAAGGGAGAAAAACAGGCCCTTCAAAATGACATGGAGGCTATGATGTTGAAGGTCCGTGCTGAATTGAAGCTGGCTAAAACTAACGTGGAGTTTGAATTGGAAAGTCAACTGGAAATTGAGAGGGCTCAAACAAAGAAGCAACAAATTGAAATATCAACGTTGGCAGAAGCTCTTACAATCCAGCAGGAGGCAGTAAAGCAAGTAAAGGAATTATTCCAGGCTTTCCAAGAGGACACGATGAGCAAACAGAGAGCGGAAAGAGACAAGATGGCTGCAGCCCTGAAAGCATCACAGGACCTTCTCAAGAGTGAGCACTCCATTCACCAGCAGATGACGACCAACCAAGGTGAAATGCAACAATTCAAGGCCTCAAGCCAAGCTAAACTGGACGAACAGAGGGATGCTATCATTAAGCTCAAGGCCGCTCTGGAAAAGTCTGAGCAGGACCTGAAGGCCGGTCATCTCCAGTGGCAACAGGAAAAGGTTTCCCTCAAAGAACACTGTGTCCACTTATCTCATTCTGAGGGACAACACATGGGCACGCAGACCCATGCAGTTGATCAAGAGATGGACGAACAGAGAGAGGAGACAATCAGGATCTTAGCCACCCTGAAAGCAACACAGGACGAGCTCCAAGCTGAGCGGATGAAGGGAGAAAAACAGGCCCTTCAAAATGACATGGAGGCTATGATGTTAAAGGTCCGTGCTGAATTGAAGCTGGCTAAAACTAACGTGGAGTTTGAATTGGAAAGTCAACTGGAAATTGAGAGGGCTCAAACAAAGAAGCAACAAATTGAAATATCAACGTTGGCAGAAGCTCTTAAAAACCAGCAGGAGGCAGTAAAGCAAGTAAAGGAATTATTCCAGGCTTTCCAAGAGGACACGATGAGCAAACAGAGAGCGGAAAGAGACAAGATGGCTGCAGCCCTGAAAGCATCACAGGACCTTCTCAAGAGTGAGCAGATGACGACCAACCAAGGTGAAATGCAACAATTCAAGGCCTCAAGCCAAGCTAAACTGGACGAACAGACGGATGCTATCAATAAGCTCAAGGCCGCTCTGGAAAAGTCTGAGCATGGACTGAAGACCGGTCATCTCCAGTGGCAAAAGGAGAGGTCTTCCCTGACAGAAGTCCGTGACGTTCTTCAAGCCCAGGTGAAGACAGAGACAGAGGCCAAGCAGACGCTGGAGAGAATCATATCAGCCCATCAAGGCCAGCTAGAAGAACAGAAAGCTAAGTCCAACGAGACCTTGTTAGCTATGAAAGTTATCAATGTTCGGTTAGAAACCCAGCGTCAGGAAAATTCCTTCCTCACCGCACAGCTGCAGACGCAAGACACAGTCAGCAAAAGCCGTACTATTGAGTGGGAGCAGGAGAGGTCTCACCTCACAGCCAGGCTGAATAAAACATCCACGGACCTCGAACATGCCCTGCTGAGGAACGTCACTCTTTTTCAAACAATGGAGAAGGAGGCTGCGGAGACGTTTGAAAGAAACCAGGCATCCCAAGAACAGCTGATCTCAACAATTCGTAAAGACAAAGATGACTCGTTAGAAAGGCAGCGCCTCAGCTTTCAGGACATGATATCACACCTTGAAACATCCAACAGAAACTGTGTTACCAAGCAAGAGACGCAGGAGGAGGACCACAAAAACCTCCTAGCTTCTCTGATCAAGAAGTTTGAGGATGACCGAGAGAGTAAACGTCTCGAATGGAACCAGGAGAGGTCCGACCTCCTTAAGATCTCAAAACAATCCATGGCAAGGGAGGAGGAGTACCAGGAGAACAACATCTCCTTAAGCTCTCATGTGGAAGCCCTTCAATGTCAGATCAACAAGCCGAGAAAAAAGTGGTACAAGCTATTCTAAGGCCCGGCTACAGATCAAGACCAATGACCCCCACACACAGACACCAAAACGCATTGCTGTGAGGTCAGTCAACTCCTAAAGTGCACTAAAACGCACAAAAAAAAGAAGAAAATACATAAACACAGACAAGAAACACACACACGCGTAGACGACAAATACTTAAACACCCCCCCCCCCCCCCGGACATAAATACATAAACACACAGACACAGACAACAAATACATAAACACACAGACACAGACAACAAATACATAAACACACACACACAGACAATAAATACATAAACACACAAAACAAATACATAAACACACAGACACAGACAACAAATACATAAACACACACACACAGACAACAAATACATAAACACACAGACAACAAATACATAAACACACACAGACAACAAATACATAAACACACACAGACAACAAATACATAAACACACAGACAACAAATACATAAACACACACACACAGACAACAAATACATAAAGAAACACACACAGACAACAAATACATAAACACACACACACAGACAACAAATACATAAACACACACACACAGACAATAAATACATAAACACACACACACACACACACACAGACAATAAATACATAAACACACACACACACAGACAACAAATACATAAACACACACACACAGACAACAAATACATAAAGAAACACACACAGACAACAAATACATAAACACACACACACAGACAACAAATACATAAACACACACACACAGACAAAAATTACATAAACACACACACACACATAGACAAAAATTACATAAACACATGCACACACACACAGACAACAAATACATAAAGAAACACACACAGACAACAAATACATAAACACACACACACAGACAACAAATACATAAACACACACACACAGACCAATAATTACATAAACACACACACACACATAGGACCATAAATTACATAAACACATGAATACACACACACAACAAATACATAAACACATAAACAAACATAGACAAAAAATACATAAATACACACACATAGACAAAAATGACATAAACACATGAAGACACACACATAGATCTTCTCCGGGCACCGTCACCTTATCGAGGTGGAGAAGTTTGCGTGTCCCAATGAACCTGAGGGCTGTGTTGCCTGGAGCCTGGTGCTCCTGTTAGGGTCACCCATGGCAAAGTGACCTCAGGCGAGGGGCCAGACGAAGAATGGTCCAAAAAGAGAACAAGTTACGTGGCCCAGAGGGCAAGCAAGGCCGCAGCAGGCTCGACAGCGGGCGCCTGGTGGCCGGGCTTAGGCCGACGGAGTGACGCGGCCCCCCTCTACCCTCCCTCCCATGGCCACACCCACCACAGGTGGTGATAGGTTGGGGTGCGCTGCTGCATGGGTGGCGGTGAGAGGGGCGTGTCTAGACGGAGAACACCTGGGCGGCAGATACTGGTGCTGGGGACGTGGAATGGCCCCTTCTTGTGGGAAAGGAGCTAGAGCTCCTGCAGGAGGTGGAGCGCTGTCAATTACATATGGTGGGACTGAACTCCATTTACCTTTGGAGCTAAATATAGTTTTCATTATTAAAGTTAGCTTTGCCTTTACTAGAGTCGGTAAAAGGATGCTAACGATAAATTAGCCGTGCGCCGCTATTGGCCCTGTCCAGACTAGCTAATTTATATCCTATTTTCCAGTATTAAAGCTAAATGACGGTAGTATTACTGATACTAAACGAAACGTGTGCTTACTCATTTATTTTCATTCAAATTCAGCAGTTAGGTACTCATGCTAATTTAACTCCTCAAGGAGTATGCTAATGTCATTAGCATTTATTTCTTAGTCATCGTTAGCTAGTCGTGTACACCTTAGAATATGCTGCTAATGCGTTACGTCGTCATTAACAATAGCTCACCGTTCACATTGGCAAGTTATGTTGGCAGGTTGCAAAAAGGAGACAACTTAACGTTATCTAACACTAACGCGCATAGCTAGCCATGCACAACAAATAGCCTCAACAGAACAACTAGCTAAGATATGAATATAATATGATATGATATAATGCACAAATAATCTTTATACATTTAGACGGATGGCGGTGAATATCTGCTTACCTTTTCCATGTGCGTCAACGGTTATCTTCTTAATCTGGTTGTGACAGACGGCCTTCGCCTTGGTTTTTGTGGTCATGTCAGATACTCGATTGTCTAGTTTAGTGCAACATGAATGGATCTAATAAATGTTACGTTTTTGCAGTTTGTGCAAATCCTACATGACCGAATCACGTTCACATTGGAAACATGAATTAATATTGTTCGAAATACATGTTGCACTAAAGTAAATGTAACAACCAGCCAATATCATTTTTTGGAGTGCACTGTTAAGGATTTGAATACTTCTTCCACCCACGTCAAACTGTTTGCTTAACGATCTCAGGCACACCGAATGAAGACATTCACATATACATATTTGTCAACAACTAACTGGTGAACACAATTGACAAAACCGCCATGCCACAAAGACACACACACACACACACAGACAGACAGTGATCAGAGAATACGCCAATGGTTCTCCTGGAGGAACACTGGGTGCCTCGGGCCAATTCTTGGCCTCCTCTTGCTTACGCAGAACCCAGCAGACAGGCGTCTCTCCATAGGCGTTATTATCCCGTGATCGGATGCCTCACCAGGAGACACACACAAACAATGCAATGCCCCGTCAATGGATATATTGTTATTGTTATGTGCAGTCCGGGGGTGAAAAATACTGAGATGACAATTGGAAGCGACAGCTCTGTAGTCAGTGGGCCAGCCAGACTGCCCAGATACCTTGGAGAGCGCGCGTGTGTGTGTGTGTGTGTGTGTGTGTGAGACCGGTTATGTGGTCATTATGTAAACAGTGTGTGACTCTGACACAAGGACTCTGCGCTCCATTGGACAACAGAGACAAAATGCCCTTTTGCCAGGAGGAGACTTGTAGCCGGATTGCAATGTGCTCCAGAGGCCATTTTCTAACACACATCTTTCCCTCAACAGTTCCCGTGTCCCTGGAATCCATTAGCAGATTAGGTTCAGTTAAGGACTGCGCTTCCATTCTTAAGACACTATTTACTTCTTCACCACCAGACTTACATACTTTCTGTCTACAAAGACTTACTTAAAAGTAATCTGCACTGGTTACTTTTCAAATGAACATTTCTGTCTGAAACATACAAGATAATATTTGAGGGATCATCTTATAATAACTTCCCGACATCATATGAAACTGTAAAAGTGTACTTTGAATGATCAATTGAATGCTTAAATGTGACTAATAATATGGCAATAATCAAAGCATTCAAATGTCTGAACGGTCTCTGAAAGGAGCCGTTCTGTACATTCCCTTCCGAAAGATTTTATTAAAATTGCTCAATATTATTATATTGCTCAAAATTGTATACAATTATAATTATTGATTGGTATGGTAAACTACCATTGCTGGAATCGTGCTGTAGTAGTCCTGTCGAAGGAGGATTGGAACATTCCCAAATGTTTTGTTTCCATTCAGTGCTTTACAATCCTCGCACAGTATTTAAACACTTGTAACGTCACCTTAAACATTTTACCTGAGAACCTCAAAACTAGCTAATGTAACACACATTTTACATACAGTATAGTCTTGTGAGCTGTTACAGCCTTTCCCAGGGCAGATTCACCTTAGAACAGGAAGAGATGTGTCTCAAATCGGACGTGTTGGCTTGGTTAGCCTTGGCATGAAGAGTCACCTACTCAGCTACGTACCTTGAAGATATCTCTGTAGCCGGGGACACTGCAGATGTTGCCGGCGTCATCCTCAGCCTCGTCCTCTTCCTCTGTTGCCTCGTAGCCTTCGTCGGGGCAGGCGTCCCTCTCCGCCTCGGCCATGTTGGTCATAAGGTCGATGAGCTGCTCCAGAGGAGGGCTGAGCTCCCTCTCCTCGTTCTCCTTCAGGCCGTAGTCCAGAGCCTTGTAGATCATGATGCCCAGAGACTCAATCACCTGCAAGACACAACCAAGCAGCTGTTATTCTATCCAGGAACTATATGCAACTATTTGAATAACCTGCAGTGCACATACTGCAGGTTGCACTTGTTTTAAGTAAAATCCAGCAAAATAAACTGGAAGTACTAATATTAAGTGAAACACATTTATTTGGGAGGCAACATTTTTTTATTTTGTGCGTTTGTCTGTTCTTATCTGCCACATCAGGAAAACAAAATTGTATTTCCGTCTTTGTTATGCAATGTGATCCTCTTTTGTGTGCCGAGCCTGAGCCGAACAGCTGTAATACTGTGACCTCATGACTCGACCTTTCAGCGGGAGACCATTCACAGACGCACGCAAACACACAAACGCTGGCTGGCCTTTCGAGGGGCCGACGCCAGCAGCAGATTTCCGATAGGAGATCTTGTGATTAACTGACACATGAAGGAAAACACTACCATCAAACATGTCCTTGTGTTGAGATTTAAGATCTTCTAAAGGAATCCACTGTGATTCCTCCTCCACTTTGGGGACGTCAGGTCTTAAATGTGACTTTGCCAAAAGGTAAACAGTGCTTGAATTAATTTCACTAACAAAATTTACTGGAAGTGAGAACACTGTTTCTCTCCTCATCGTAATCAATTGTAATAACTTCTTTAATTTACTTAAATTTTGCAGCGGAATTTGACCGGTAAACTCAAGTCTCATAGTTGAGTTAATATAAAATACATTTAGGCATATCTCGGGTACACAAAATCCAAATTCTGTGGCATTGAACAACCTAAATGCTACTTTTTTTGTCCTACTTGTAGTAGGAAACTCCCTTAATTCCTAAAATGCATGATGTTAGCTCTATTCTAGTGGTTGGTGCTGGCAAGGCGAGGACCAAGGACATGAGTGGGAAATCCATTTGGCATAATTCTGCAGCCCTGAGCACTGACATATAAAACGCTGAGAGACAGAGGGAACGGAGGGAGGAGAAGGACAGAAAGACATCGAGAGACAAAAAGAAGAAGATGTGAATGACAACGTGAGTCGTCGAGTGGATTAGGGAGGTTGAGGAGGGCACAGAGCGGAGAACCACAGAATCACAGAATAAGTGCAGATCGATGGGCAATCACGGCGGGAGGAGGTGTTATATGAGAGATCTGTCCTCCTTTCCTCCATTTAGCGCGAACCAACTTTCCATGGGAGTCGGGAGAGCTGAATGCCACCTCTTTGTTTAAGCCCCATCCGGAGCCCCACTCTCTGATATGTGACACCATGCAGGCACACACACACACGCACACACATGAACATGCAACCATACACTTCCAGGGACTTAGACTGTCAATTGAAAAATGCCTCTTTAGCCGACGGCCGAGAAGGCTCCCGTTTCTTATCTACAAGCTTATTTAAAGAATTTAATAATATTTGAAAACACATTAAACATTCAAGAATTCAGTTTTCTGATCTGCACCCGATTGGTTTGACAGTTTCTTTCAATTTCAATTTTTGGACTCTCCGATGAAAGATGTGTTGTTTTTTTAGCTATCAGGAGATGTGGACATTACGTAAAGGTGGAGAAAGCATAATTGGCGTCACCTTAGCAGCAAATCACTAGTGGGGAAAACAATGCATGGCTCTGCCTTTGTATTGTGTGAAAGTCACTTTTTGTATGTAGAGAACATGCAAAACCGAAACATGCTCAATAAACTATAAACTACCCAACCATAGAAGTCAGCCATAAGGAAGCAAGGGTCCTGCACCCCATACTCCTGCAGCACCCCCACAAATAACCCGGAGGGACCTGGTTGAGAGCCTTCTCCAAATCTGCAAAGCACGTGTACACTGGTTTGGGCATCTCCCAGGACCCCTCCATCAGTCTTGCGAGGGTAAAGAGCTGTTCCACGACCGGTGCGGAATCCGCACTGCTGCTCTTTAATCCGAGGTTCGACAAACGGTCCGATTCTTCTTTCCAGCACCCTAGCATTAGCTTTCCCCCGGAAGGCTGATCAGTGTTAGACCCCAAAAGCCCAACCCTTCTCCAAGAGCTTGGTTCAGGAGCCAGTGCTGTGTGTGGTGAGCCCAGCTATATCTAACTGCCACTGCTCCACCTCCTGCACTCGCTTCGGCTGTTTCCCCACATCCCAAGAGCTGGTCCACACAGCACCCGACCCCGATGCTTAACCCTGCGGTTGGTGACCCCACACAGGTCGGCTGCTCCATGCTTTTCCTTTGGGCTCCTTTGAGCCCCGGCCACCATTCAATTCTCACTGAAAGCCAAATTAACCGGCAAAAACGTTGATATTTACTAAGTGAGTTCACAGGAATTAATTCATGGCAGTGAAAGTAAACAACAAGAAGAATTTGACAAAAAAATGTAACTGTATGGATGAATTACCACTCTATTGCTTCCTGCCCTTTCAAGCTTTCACAATAAAAGATAATAACACACCATAAAGTTAAATTAGGCAGGATTCCGTAGTTAATTTATCCTGCATTTCATGATAAATCTAAAGATTTCTTCTTCTTGGGGACATGGAACGGAAACTATGGCCAGCGGTGGGTTGTCTGCATGGGAGGGCGGACCATTCATTCCCTACTCTCTAAATGTTGTGTCTTTAAGCAAAGGACTGAACCCCCAGTGGCTGAAGCTTATATGCTAATGATTAGGTAAGGATTAAATGCAAGGGTCAATGTACCTACCTGATGGCATTTGGCTGTAATACAGTATAATCATGATATATATTCTTATTATAACACTATAGTAAGACTAAAGACTATAAATAAGCTTTAAATAGACTTTAAATTATCTACCAAAGTAATTTTCTGTAATCTGTAAAGACCAACCCCCTGATTGGACAAATCTTATGAGACTGAAGGAACATCACAAAAAATAATGGAGATTATACAACTCCTCATTTAACAAACATACTGCTGTAGTAAAAGTAGTAGTAGTAGTAGTAAGTAGTAAAAGTAAAAGTAAATCTGTCCAATTAATAATGAATGGCATGCGTGTTAAATCTGGATCACTTCCTTTCACAAACAAAGAAGAAATGAACTTTCTCTCTCAACCTCTCACACCTGCTGCTGTGACCTCTGACTGTCATGTGACTGAGTACGGTTCCTTCGGCTTGTCCCATGTGTGGAACCTGCATGACTTCACAAACAGAACAGAGAGAACACTTGAACAAAATCAAAGGTATTTCTCTGTCTTTTGCATTTCTTGCTAGTTCTATTCTTACCAAAAAAACTCTTAACCAAATTTTCTTTTTACGTCAAACACCGAATTCAAACTCTAATCCCTTCCTAGACTTCAAAGCGTGCATGAGCAAGAGGGCATGAAGCATCCACAGTTAAACTTTGACAGCAGGGATGTAACAAAGCGTAATCCACTGATTCATGGGTCACACTGTATCACGGGACCAGGAGGGTCTTACTAGCACTTCTACAACAAATTACCTTGCAAACGCCGACATTGAAAAAGGTGGAATTGTGGAGCCACATTTGGGTAAGAAATTGCTAACAACTATCATCTGTTTCCGATGGGATTAGCAACAGTGACAACTGAACACAGAGCCTTGTAAAGGAGTTCACTGGCCCTGAAGACAACAGCATCAGCTGACATTCGCAACTGCATCATTTGCTGGAGTTCATGCAATTTGAAGCAGTGTGCGGATGATGTGCGTGTGCCACGTCTACACACGTGTTCCTGCTCATCCAGCTTTGGGCTAATTCCACGCTGCATGTTATAGGAGAACGCCTCTGCCACAGGATTTATTCCTATCAAGCGTCAAGCAGCTGCAGCATCTCGCCGGTGGTTTTGTCAGCCAGTCTGCAGCACACTGCGTTGTGAGAACTCATTTGTCGTGCAAAGCTGCTTATCAGAGATTCGACTGTACAGTTTCACATTCTCCACAGCTACAGCGTGTGTGTGTGTGTGTGTGTGTGTGCTTGAGTTAGTCGCTCTCCATCTGTTTTTATCACAATCCTTTAACTCGTACACTGGTGAGACCGAAAACACGCACCCTTCGGGCTAAATGATCGTCTATTGTACAACAACCCGCTTAATATTCCTAAAACATGGATAGAGTATAAAAAGATATATTCTTACAAACTATTATTACAATATTTAACAGCAACAACAGTTGTAGCAAAGAGCCCTTTAATTAGATCCTGAACTTGTCCCAGGACTGCAAACAGCTTGGAGCTGTGGGGCTGGTGGAGAAAAATAGACCATTTACACATATGCCAATAAGAAACATTAAAATTTGCCCTGTGTTCATAGAATAGATATCAGCTCACATGCTGCATGTTAAATAAGAATGTTAATACTCTGATTAATTGAGTATGAACCTTGGCAGGAGGTGATTAGCTTAGCCTAGCAGAAAGACTGGGAGCAGGTGGTAACGGCTAGCTTGTTCTATCCCAAGTTTCAAAACACTGATTATTAATCTTATTTGTTAAAACTTGACACAAACAGAAGAGTAAAGATGACTTACATGCTCTAAAACAGAGCAGACAATGTGCACTAGCGCGTTTTAAAATACCCAACTTGACAGCAGGAATTAACAGCCCGGCCACAGCTGATATCGCCGTTCATTAAAATAGTAGGTAAGGTGAATTATTGTTTAAATTACCCATTTGGTCTGTTTACTCCTGTTTACAGCCTCAGAGCTTCTGCTCTACACTTACATCGTACAGACATTAAAGTGGCATTGATCTTTTCATCGTCAAGAAAGCCACATTTCCCAAAATGTAGAACCATCAGTAGCAATCCGGCGAGAGAGAGAGAGAAACTCGCTGGGAGCTCTCGAAAAGTGTGCGAAATAAAGTTTGTTTCCGAAACGATCTGCTGTGTACTCCTCATTCCGGGAATCCCCGAGAATCACCACGTTACAAAGCTAAACCAAAAAAATAGGGCATTGTATGTGCTGATAAAATGCTAACTAGTCATTCTATCCGACCAGTCAACTTGCATTGGACAACGTCTGGTGCTGTTTACTCTGTAATGTTTTTTAAACCACAGAGGTTGCATTGCAGGCATGAGGATCAACATACCACACACCCATGACTTAACAGTTTCAACAACAGCACTACTGTAGATCCTTCAGAGTGCCCACTTGAATACTCCATCGCTTTGTTTGGCAGCCCTCTTTGGCAGCTGGGTAACTGTGGGAGGTAAATGCTTAAAAAGTAGAAAATGCTTCACAATATGCTGTTAATTAGCAGACTGGTTCCTGACTGTCTCAGCCTGCACTCTGGGAGGCTTGAGAGCTAATCGACAAAAACATTCCAGGGAAGTTTCACGACCAGTGACCCTCAAGCTAATCCATTCATGTGACCAAAATACAACATTTAAACACAGATATTTAAAATACGTATTTTCATCACCCAGCAACTGGGTTGCACATCAAACACGAGGAACACATTCTCCAAGCAAAGTAATGTACATTTTAATAAAATGTCACTGTTATTTCATTTACAATAGGACCAATGTTACTATCTCCTCCCTCGCCCGCAACATGTAGTTTTACTATATTGTATTTGAATATACGCAAGAAAATAATGTCCACATAATAGTCCAAGCCTCTGCAAGCATGCAATGATGCAAATACAAGAACTACAACAGAACTACAGTGGAGTTACTCACCTCTGTTGTTGTGCAAGGACTGTATTTACCTGCAGGGAAACAAGAAAGCAGTGTTGTGATAAGCTGCAGATGTAAGCCAAAGCACAAAGCAGCTAACACACACACACACACACACACACACAAACAATTATGCACGGAAACATGTTGTTGTTGCTGTTTCATTACAGTGAATAAAGAATGTGTGACTGTCAGAAGTTAAGCGCGTGTGATGATGATCTTAGATGTTCGTGTCGAATGGCCACGCATTCCTTTGATTCCATGTCTGAATGAAAATCACGTGAAATATACATTGCATCAGGATCCATTGCGATGACTGAGCCGTCATTAACGCACACATAAGGACTGCAGCTGAGAATCTCTGATCTCAGTATCAATAGGTCTTTTGTCACTGATAGAAAATCTCAAGGCGGCATTCACATTCTTTTTATACTAAAACTAATCAGGAACAGAGAAACAAATGATCAATGACATGAAAAGAAGAGGCACAGTCTTATTCTATGTTTTCCCTTCGCCCATAAATCCCATGAAAAGGCATAAACTCATTACCTGCTCTAATGCTGACCATCTATTGTACAGTATGTGTAGCACAGACTCTAAATAAACACACTGCCGATGTGTGTGTCTTCAGATGCAGGTTTAAAGAGAATAGCTTACCTATCGGTGATTAAACATTCCCTTATTAAACTAACTCTTTGCAATCATTATGCAAACCACAGCAGTGTCATTATGCAAACTAGAGCAGTTTTGATAAAAGCTCTGTTTCATTTCTAATTACAGTACTTTGGTGGTTTGTAGCATGTGACTGATGATTCCAAAGAGCTATGCTGCATGAATGTACTCCCTTCAAAAAGAAGATACACTAATAGGCCTGGGATCTACTTTGCGAACAAACAGTCTGCTGACAGATGACCCTCACAATAAATTGGCTGTTTTGTCTTGTGACATGCAGTAACGCAACATCGGAACATCACAACAGCCATGACATCATCTCGCAGCCTTAACTTCAGCATCAGCAGGTTTGAATGCCACACTGCTGTATGTAGGGTGAAGAAGAGTAAACTGTGTGATGAGAGCGATGCAGAACGGAGGGAGAAGACAAACCAACGGGCTTTCTTGATGGTGCTAATCACAATTGTGAAGGGAAACAATACGATATTTAAAGCGTGACATAAGACTATATCTAGAAGTTCTATAAATAATCACGCTTTCATGATGTAATTAGATATAATACTGTCAGGTTCCCCGGATGACCCACCAAATAAAAGAGTACTAGTAATTTGCATTTGCTAATTCAGTGCAAAATAATCAGATTATCTAATATTTTTGTTAGTAAGCTTGTTTTGATCCGTTTAGATGATGTAATTGTGTATCTCGCTATCCTCAATTTCCTCGCGATATGATTTCATTGAAAAACAACAAATTCAGTTAATCCTGCGTTTAAGAGTTTGTCAAACACTAACCTTGTTGGGATTTAGCTTTAAGCCTATTTATTATGACCAGAACTTCAGTCTTATACCCTGAAAACTTTTGCCACTGATTTATCAAAACACTTGAAAAAGCCTCTCAGAATGACTTAGATTGAAGACGTGCACAGCTGGGATTCCCAGCCAGAGGTCTTTGATAACTCGGCATGCGATTCATAGGATTGTGAGGTAGAAAGAACCACTAGATAGAAATGGCTAATAAACGATCCCTTTAAATAGTCAGGTAAGAGTAACACAGTATGATACAGTCTGTGTGTTTTATCAAATCTGTTTCCTAAATCGTGTGTTTAATAATTTGCACATTTTGTCTATAATATTAAGGAAAATGGTAAGATGTTAGTCTGCATCCTCTGGGCCGTATGCTATCTGAACACACAGTCATTTTACCTTCATCCCTCTACATATATTACCTCTCTATATCGACTGAGGTTTTCAATCAAAACACATTGTTGAACACTGACGTGTGCCCGGCAATGGTTATACCGTCAATGCCCCCAAAATATGCTTTTGAATGATTATTTACAGAAAAAGATCATTATTGAAAAGAGATATATGTTTTTGTTTAGGGTTGACAGGGAAGTGACGTAATCTTGCATTCCAATCGTATATATCATGCATGTCATGCTTTTTAAATAATTAAGAATACAAAAAGATGCTCATCTGTGAAATAGCAAAATGATTACTGAAGCAATATGAACAAAAGAAATTATATTGCAGATACCAATGTCCCCAAAACTGCATAACTACGAGTCAGTACGTTTGCATTATGTGACATTATAGCAGCAATGAAGGCCTGGACTCCCCCCTCAAATGGTCTCTTCCGTGCTCCTAAAAATATCTCATTCATTCTCGCATGTATACTGACTTACGGGACACAACCAGCATCATCCTCACAGAAAAGCGGCGCATTCATCGAATCAAGGGCCAAAATGTGTACCGAACAGTGTTTAGTATTGCGTGTGTGTGTGTGTGTGTGTGTGTGTGTGTGTGTGTGTGTGTGTGTGTGTGTGTGTGTGTGTGTGTGTGTGTGTTCATTACAGCTGGAGTTAAGAGCACATCCCTCAGGTGTAGTCCATTACAAACAGAGACAGATGGATGGAGTCTGCTCTGAGCTCTGTGTTCACTGCATCAGCGCACGTGATTACAACATGACATGACCATCACATGGCACGCAGTGTCCTCGGTTTTATTTTGAATGCTGGTTGATACCTTGTAGAACTAAAGTATTTTGTATCAGGGATACTCAATAAGTGCCACAGAAATGCTATAACTGTCCCACGTGAGACACAAATTACCACCAAGCGCCATAAAGCCGGTATAAACGGCCTGCAAGGCGATAGTCATGCTGCGATTTATCATTTGCCTCGACCGTCGTATGTCCTGTATCCTCCCACTTTCTTCTATGTTTTCAGAGCTCTAGCCACACCAGCAGGCCCGTAACTCCTTGGTTGTTTATTTTTATAGCACCTCATTAAACGGTGAGCCCCCCAGTGTCACAGGCCTAGTAGCAGCTGTAATCATGCCATTTGAAAACACAAAGCCCGTTCAGGAATGAACCATCGCCTTTTTGTGCGTACACAGTGTACATATGTCCCACGCATGCACATCTCAGCTTGCAATAATCACATGCTTCCATCGGCAATGTGATGTGAAGTGGAAAACAGGCTGAGAGGCCTTCAACGAGAGATGTAGCCGCGTGATGCACACACACGTGTCCTCAGTGAGCAGGATTAGTGGAAACCAGTGAAGACCACTACAGCAGAGTGAGACAGGGGACTATTTGTTTGTCAGTGATCAGGTGTAATTAGGTCTCATGAATGTGGCTCATTTAGTCCTGCTGTAGGTTTAAAGACTTATGAAGCACCCGATCAGGGAAATCATCCAAAGCTTCCACGTGCTAGATGTTATATTTAAAGTAGCTACATTGATCTCTTTACTATATTGGGGATTAGACACCTGTGTTTATATGTTGTGGGCTAAATCCATTATTTGAAATGCAAGTGATGTTCTGGCCTAGATCGAGAGGCTTCAGGCGCACTCATTCTTACATAACATGTCTCTACCTTCGCGGTCCCGCTGCTGCAGGCTCACGGACCCGTCTCTTTGTATCCGGACGTCCTCCGGTCCCGTTATCTTCCTCGGAGCCGCCGCTGACGATGCTCCGGCGGCGGAGGAGCTCCCCCTGCTCCGATGCTCCCTCGCCAGCGTCCTGCAGCACTGGTAACACACCGCCCATGCCTGCTCCTCGTTGATGGGCTGGCTGTAGAGCCTCAGTATCTCCTCCAGGGAGAGACCCTCCACTGCCGCGTCCTCGCTCGAGCTCATCGCGCTGCGACGCTGCTTCTCATCCCGGTGAGTCGCCGCGGCGGCACCCGTCAGTCCTCCCTGGTCCCCGCGTCGCCGCTCGGCCATCCTTTCATCCTTTCATTATCTCAGCAGCGCAGGAGGAGGAGGAGGAGGAGGAGGAGGAGGAGGAGGAGGAGGGAGGAGGAGGCCGCCCAATGACGAGAGCAGGTCCAAGGCGATGCGTGAGAGGGAACCGGGCGGCATGGACGCTCCTCGTACCTGCTTCGCGGGGCGGCGGCCAGCAGCGCGCCGGTGGATGTGCGTGTGGGTGTGCGCGGGATTGTAGCTTCCGCCGTGGATTGTGTGTCTCACAAAACAACCGAGCAAGCCAGACTGACTCTTCATCACATGATCTCTCTCTCTCTCTCTCTCTCTCTCTCTCTCTCTCTCTCTCTCTCTCTCTCTCTCTCTCTCACACACACACACACACACAGACAAACCGACACACACAAAGATGCACACACTGAATATCCTCAGGCAGCGGCGGCTGGTGGGAAATGTTCTTTGGCAATCAATCAATTTAAAACATCCAAAGTTCATTTAATGCAAAAACACATTTCAGTTAAATGCTAAATTTGTATTCCAACATGAAAAAAGCTGTAAATAACACTTACAATCTTAATTGTGTCACCCTTGCATGTAATTCAGCATAATGAAACATATATATCAAATAATAATCAGTGTGATACTTGAATGGCGATAAGATCTGTGCTCTTTACTACCTCCAGAATGTCATCCACCTGTCAAAACCAGCTTTGAGGAGAAGGCGCAAGCTTGGGGCAAAACAAATGTTGTCCCAAGCTGAGTCTATTGAAGGACGCTGATTGGCTAAATTGTATGTCACACTTTTAATTTAATCAGCAATTGGCTGAAGTGCTTCTTAGACCCGCCTTCTGCGGGCAATCTTGAGATTTCCACTAGCTCAGCTAAAACACATCTGACAGGCAGGAAAAGCATATATTTTATAACATCATATTCCCAAAATTACTGCGTAAATTCCATATGTAAAAAACACATATATTGTCAGAGCACTTGAATGGGGCGTACCCTGTCTCACCTGATGTTAGCTGGGATTGACTCCACCATTGCACTGCTAAAGAATAGCAACTAAGCTGTTATATTTAAATACATGAGTTTTTAATTACTGTATCAGTGAGTGAGGTGCGGTTGATCCGTGTAGTCTATTACAATGCACAGTGAGGTAGAGGAGCTGGTCTATGTGTCCATTTGGAATCTTTTTACAAAGTCAGTTTACATGGGTTTTACACATGTTCAAATTATATTTGCCCATTGTATTCTGTGTTTACATAGCAACACCAAACATTTTTTATGAAGTGTACTGAATGGCCTGAGTCCTGTAAATACCTTAGTAGAGTAGATTATTGATTATAGTGGTGCCCTGAGCATAGGTCTAATCAGGTTAACCAAAAATGCCTGTGAGCGGTCCAGAGCCTTTTCTTATTCAAACCTTCATTTTAATTTTTACATCCTGTTAATTTTAAGTCTCAAGAGGTGTGTCTTTAGTTTGCGGCGGAAGATGTAAAGGCTCTCTGCAGTCCTGATGTCTTCAGGGAGCCCGTTCCACCATTTCGGAGCCAGGACAGCAAAGTCGTGATCTTGTTGAGTGTTTTGCTCTCAGTGAGGGAGGGACGAGCAGTTTAGCAGATGCAGGGTGGAGTGTGCGGGTTGGGATGTAGGGAGTTAACAGTCAGGGCCTTGGTAGGAGAATCTTTTCCCAGAAAAAGAAGTAGTTCAGTCTTGTCGCGGTTGATCAGATGGTGGGCGGACATCCACTGAGAGATGTCAGTCAGACAGGCAGAGATCCGTGCCGCCACCCGAGTATCCGAGTGAGGGAACGGGAGAATTAGTTGGGTGTCATCGGCATAGCTGTGGTAGGAGAAGCCATGCGAGCGAATGACAGCGCCGAGAGAGTTGGTGTAGAGTGAGAAGAGAAGGGGACCCAGGACGGAACCCTGAGGAACTCCAGTAGTAAGAGGACAAGGTTCCGACACAGATCCTCGCCTGGTTACCCGGTAGGTGCGGCCGTCGAGGTAGGACGAGAGAATGAAGAGAGCAGAGCCTGAGACACCAAGTTCCTGAAGGGAGGAAATAAAGATCTGGTGGTTTAGAAGGATGAGGACAAAGGAGAGAGGCGGCTCTAGCAGTCCGGAGTTGCTCTGAGACAGCAAGGATAATGTAATGTAATAATATTTGTGTAATTATTTCCAAAGCAATTGTTTCAATTCAACTTTTTACTTTGTAATATTTATTTCCCTTTGTTTTGTATACTTGTTCTATAGAGTTCTATATAGTGTTCTACTCTAAAGTGCTTTGTCAACCTTCAGGAGTGTCAGAAAACTTTACTTCCACACATATTGATCCTGTATTGACTTTCTGCGCTGAATCAGTGGATAATTCTTCTAAATGTTATGTTATTGAGAGCCGACTGTGCAAATCTCTTGTATGACTTGATGCCATTTTAACTTGTTGGATTTAGGAAAATCTGATCTGTCTGTGGAAGAAAAGTAAAGTCCTCTCTCGTTAGTCCTCGCCCTCTCCCATTGTACTTATGCAGCACTATATTTACATTTTAATTCTTTAACAGTAGTTGTATTTAGAAGCTATATGTTCTTAATTTATTTCAGCGGTCATGTCCAAAATGCATGATCGGTTTGTAAAACATGATGCATTGTGGGGGATTAAATTTACCAACATTATGTGAAGTGTCTCTACCAAGACCAACAGAAACCCGATGAGTAATGAATCATTGACACCACTGGCAGGAGGACTCATTTTGGTACTTTAATTGCATTTATTTGTTTATTTATATTCTATGCCTCATTTAATGTTTGATGCCCCCTGCTGTCAACACCTCCAGGGGACAGCCATGTTTAAACTGATGTTTGATTCTTTTCTGAAGCTGTGCGTATTCCAAGGAATTTCTGCTCAAAGAGGAACCATCTTAGAAATTGCCTGCAGATGTGCGTATGATAATCACGAGGCTCCACAGACATTCTTGTTTTACTACATAGAGCTGGGTCAACATGTCTCTTTCTCATATGCCCCTCACACTGTATTCGTATTTGTTGTTCGTTTAACCTTTATTTTGCCAGAATAGCCCTGTTATGACTAAAAAACCTTTAGTAAAGTTATGTTTAAGCCAGGAGCGTAAAGGTTTCACACACTAAAGAACAAATAAAATACCATTAAATGTTTTCAGATATGTATATAAAATAAAATCCTGATTTTGATCATAAAAAAAAATAAAATTTACAAATTCACATATATTTGGTATATTCATCGATCATATTTATTCAATCACTGGCTTACACACAATACTCTGATACAGATCTTATTTCACAGCAAATATACACAACATCAGACGAGAACACACACGTTACACAAAGCCACACCACAATCTCAGGAACAAATAACGAGTCCGGTTGCCGTGGGTAGCAGTGATAACATATGAACACAAATCTCTGAACACTCAGGATCTTCAGGATCAATATAAGCCAACACAAGTGGAATGAGGCTTTAAATATACTTATCTTTTTAGCATTTCTTAACCCACCTCACGTCAAAAAAACAAAGTGTAAACAATGACACTAATGAAAAATTGTTTACTTTTTTCCCTTGGTTTTAAAAATGATAGAAGCTTACGGTAGGGCTGTTTCACCACAAGGAATGAACATGCAGCGTTCTCATTCAAGCGGGAGAGGTGGCGGTGAGGAAACGGATAGCGGGGGGAAGACGGGGAGGGACGTTCAGGGAAGAGCAGATCTAAGTCATGAGAAAACAATCGGCATAAAGACAAAACAGCCAAAGTGTTAAACTTTAAAGTCCAACAGGTTACAGTTGATCTTGTCGTAGACGTAAGGATAATACTCCTGCTGGCTGAGGTTCAGGCCCGGGATGTCCATCGCACACTGACAAAAGAAAACACAGAAAAAGACGGTGAAAGCTTTTTATGCGTGTGAACAGCTGTTTCCAATATTAAGAAATGAACGCTACACATGGTCAAATGAGGGCGACCCTGCAGGATTTAGTGTTTAGCACAACACACACATCTCACTCCCTGAATCTCCACATTAACGTCAAACATGGAAATACAAGATTTGGATTTTGCCAGAAATCCATTTCATGCTAAAATTGACATCAGTAAGTAACTCAAGCTTCGGATGAAAGTTGGAAAAGGGCATTTCTCATTAATTAGGCCTGATTTGATGTACTAGCATTAATTTACTTTAGAGGGCATATTTTACTATTTGAAAATGATTTTTCTTTCCTTGAAGGGCATGCTGGTTTGATATAAATGTGTATGCACATATCAATGTGTTTATATACATATATTTTTATTTGAACTTTGTTCTTTAACAGATAAATTAGTAAAGAGTAAATACAACAAAAAGACGTATTTATTTTACATTGTTTAAAGACAAATCAATCAACAATCCCTTTTGCCTAAACATTTAACAGGTCCACTATACTTGTGTTTTTTTAGCAGTAACCAGCTCTGGCCATGAGAAGGAGCACCTCTTACAATCTTGCACAGTGATGAGGAGAAGCAGAGGTTGCAGCAGTAGAGACTCAATTTGCAGTGAAACTCCCCCATAAAATAACTACTTTGTAGTTGGTTTGAATTAGTGTGCAATGTGGCTTTTAGGCACACTGTGTTTATAAAAAAGGGTTATATTGCAAGCACAATACAATATTCTAACATTAAGGTCTAAAGAAACTACAAAAAGTGTGGGAAAATCACATAGTGATGCATTTTAGATTATTAAGAACTAAAAGTTCTTAATAATTTGTAATTATTTTAGGTCTTGACGGTATTGAGGGTCATTCATAACATCATATTGTGAATCCTTCTGCTAAGATAATTATTTTATCCAATTCTTATTGTTGCAGGTGACTATGTTGCTGAGTTTTTCTAGTTGCTGCTGTAGTGAGAGCCGTTACACAACGCTAGTACTCACGTCGATGATAGCTGCTGCACTGCTGTCTAGATGTTTGTAAAGATCATTCAGCACCTCCCTCAGCTTCTTCACGGTCTTCTTGTTTGGCTGCAGGAGCATGGCCTGAAAGTTCACCGGCAGCCCATATCTGGAGGAAAAAATAATTCTTTTTTTAACTGCTGCCAGTTTACAATCAGTTTTATGTAAGGCCAGCGGCGGAGGAAAAAGTGTCTGGGGAGTTATTGTCAGACCAGCCGAGTTAGTACACGACATGTAGCCCACTCAATGCATCGCAGGTCAGAACCAGTCAGAAAAACTACACTTAACATTATTTTTATCAGATGGTTCTATAAAGCCTTAAGGTCAGCAGAGAGACCACACAATGGAGACAGAATCACAGGGTAGAATTAGTATCAAATATATTGTAGAAATGAACAGAACATACAATAGAGGATGTGGACATCAGTAGTGTTGCGTGCTAGGTGTGTGATTGTGTGTGTGTAGGGATGTTGACCGTGCATAACAAAACATGCATAATAGAGTTGTTTTTTTGGGTGGTTTCCCTAAATAAGTTACAGATTTTTAAATAGTGTAATGCACCTTCCTCTAAATATCCTGATAACCGATATCAGAATTTAATACAATAGCCGCTGCATGTCTCCCCTGCGACCGCTCGCCGGGCAGCTCTGCCTTCTTCTCCACCAGAGAAGTTGCTAGCTTTGTCGCGCGTAGCTTTTGCAGTGCCTTCTGGGACTTTTAGTATCAGCCGCGTGCCAATTGGTCGGCAGTTATGATAGACATATATCATCAGACATATGATATTTACTCGGGCCGGACACCGAAAACGAAGCTAGACCGACAGAGGACATTAGATGAGTGAAGAAGAGCAAGCACTGTATTGACTTGAGGTACTAAAGTAAATTTGACATTTAATAAAGTTATATTTATGTGCGATATCGAGACGATTTCTAATGACAGTACCTTAGAACCGATTCCACAAACACTCTCAGTGCTTTGATGTGAATCCACGCGATGAAGGCTTCACTGAAGTTCACTTTCAGCCATCGGACCAGCGGGCCCTGCAGAGAGCAGATACAGATTAGAGACATCTCTTTTTGGGGCTTATAATCTCACCAATGGAATAAAAGAATCTATTCTGGAAAAGAGACTAGAAAATTGACATCACCGTGGTGAAAACAGTGCTCGCTCTGTTTCATCTGGATTGTAATCGTTTTCATGAGTTTTGGGGATTTAATAAGAATAATAATGCATCTTATTATTCACCACTTGATAAACCGTCTCCATTGCCATTCATTATCATATGACAAAAAAGGTCATTTTGAACATGTAATAAAGTGACAAACACAACCGTAGCCAGGATTAAAGTCTCTGCGTATGTACACAAATGTATCCAATGGTTGCATTAAGTATGCATGATGGTAACAAGGCACTGAAGGAGGCCTAAAACTACCCAGTGTGATACGATGTCTGATTTCCTGTTCCATCACTTACAAACTGCTTCTTCTTATCCGTAGAGAGCCGTGTCATCTCCTCTTTGTCTGCTTTCATCTCCTCCTCGTTGTACTGGAAGTCTCTCACTATGAACCTAGAAACAAATGTTGGGGGCAGAAATCAGCTTCATGTGATGGTGGATATATCTATAAAGTTACAAACATAAACCCTATGATCACTGTCCAGTTGATATTTTTAGTCAGAACTATTCATATTTGGCGAGCATTCGGGCTTCCTTTGAACACATTTCACACGTGCTGACAACGACGGCAGGAGTTTGCTCGGTGTAACAACTCCTACTTGTTCTCTCGAGCTTTGAGCTTGAAGTCGTCGATGGCTTTCAGGAATAGAGTGACGCTGAACAGTCCGCTGTCATTGTCTTCAAATAGCAGACTGGAGGAAAAGACGGGAACTTGTTATACTGCTGCTTTGATCTTTAATGAAAAATGTAATTTTATAGGCACATAAATCCGCAATTTAAAGATATTGAAAAAAAAGAATACAATCAAAACCATTGACCTCACTCACTTTGAGGACCGGGGCACCACCATCTCAGACAGTGTCTCATATGTTTTCTGCCAGTCAGCATATGCCGTCCTGAAAGGACAGAGGACAAGGGAACAATGAGACGGCCGCTCATCCCTCTTTCCCCTGAGGCCCTCTAGAGAAAGAACACTCACTTTGGTACAACTACGAGCATAGTGATGAGGTACTCCGAGTCCAGAACAAAGTCGTCCTTCTTGACGATGTCAGCCAGGCTCCTGGTCAGCAGGCTCCCCCTGGTGGCACAAGATGGTGTTACAATAACATGGACGCAACATGGAGAAGGTGTTGACAGGAGCTGTTCAGACCATGCTGACACCCGTCAGGTGAACACGATGCGCAGCGAGAGCGAGAGAGAGTGCGTGTGTGCGAGCGAGAGGTCTGCGGTCTTGGCCATTAGTTCCTTTACTTAATTTTGTGTAGGTAATAGGTTGTTAAAGATCTTTAAACTTAAATAAATGACCTATACAAGTAGTTATGTCTCGTTGTATTAATTTGTCCTGTTGTTGACGTAAACAGATATTCGAATATATGTGTTTTTTTAAAGCAAATATTCAAACGTAATTTGAGCAATTTTAACAGCGCCACTACTCTGGGACGACGTGCGGTTTGGTACATGTAGGTCACTCACGCATTCTTCCTCTCTAAGTTCTGCAGGTTGCCCTTCAGGTTGTTGTAGGACGACGCTCTCGCCTTCAGGTCATTGTCAATCTGGCTTACTTGCTGGGAAAAGATGGAAAACATAGTTGAAGGATTTACGACAGACGCATGACATGCCATGTAAGACCCGGCTCCGATAGCTGGTGGAAGCGCCCAGCAGGAAACAGAAACAGTAGAGCTCTACTATGGCCCTCCAGACTACAAACATACAGATACGATTCACAGTGATGTCTGACATATTTCTTGTAAACGCAGTACCGAGACCTACCTTTGAGATGATTTCAGAGATGTTTTTAAGGGACTGTTTGATGGGATATTTTGCCATGTCCCATTGAAATCTGGTGATGTAGGTGACAAGATCAACTGAGAAAAAAGACAAGAGGGGACCTGTCAGTCTCCGATCCTTTTATTATCAGATTATAGATGATGGGTAAAGACACAACTTAATCACTGTGAGATTCAGATCTGATGCATCTGATGGTTGTCAGTTGGACTTTTATACAATTGAAGAATATTAACTACGACATCAGTATGACTTAAGCGTCATTATCATTACTGTCCAGTCAACTTTGCTTCGTATTCCCACGGCTTGTTTTGGATCTAGAATAATTTTGAACCGTTGTGTTACTTGCAAACATCACTCACCTCCATTGGCCAGCAGGTTTTCCTGCACTTTGTCTCGAGTGTCCTCCAGCACGTCAGCCATGTACTGAGCAACCTTCTTCACCACACTGTGAACAGCCGGGAGACATCAAAACCCAACGTAAACGGAGAGCACAGGGCTGGGGCAAACCCAACGTTCGCTCCAATACAACACACACACATAAAACGGTTTCACGTATTCCTGTTAGTCATTTCCTGACAAGGCCATTTATAATATGGCAGACTTGCAGAGTTCAGCAATTTTTGCCGTTCGGCAGCAAGTCAAAAACAGAAGTGTGTCTACAGTCGTGAAGCCAGGAAGAGACTGAGAGCCAAGTCACACCTCACGCCTAAACAGTTCAGAGGAAAGTACATCTACCACTTAGTTACATGTAAAAGGATGTATGGTTTTTATAATGACAAAGGACAACAACATAACACAAGATCCAAATAATGCAAATGAAACTCATTCAAATCATGAATGTATGCAGTTTTGAAGGAAGAGGTAGTTTAGTTGTTGTTTTATTTTCCATATATGGTGAATGGAAACTTCAAAAAGGGAACCAGATAAAACGTTGTAGTCAGACAAAGTGAAACTGTCTTTCTTAGAGTCTTGGAAAGATTCATAAAGCAAGCAAAACAGGATGTCAGTATTTCCAAAAAGCTATAAATTACCCTCAAACATACTTGGGGCACACAAGTCAATGGGTATACGACTGAAAGAAGAGCTGCCGGTGTGTCACCCAACTGTAATTTGCCAGGCTTAGGCTGCGCGTCGCTACCTGGCCACTACCTGGAATGGTAGACCAGCTACATCAGACAGTCAGGCAGGTTCAGAGATGATCTTATCGTGCACTAAAACAGTATTCCCTCAGTTAGCGATGGTCATTCCAAGTCAGAATTCATCGGGTGGCATACCTTTCAACAAAGGAGTCTAACTTGGACAGTTCGTCCGACAGCCCAACCAGAACATCGAGTGTCCCCACCTGTTTTTAAAAACAAAAAGTCAAACATTAGCACGTTATGATTTTCCAGCCCTGAGATTTACGTCGTTTCAAAGTGGTGTCAACGGGGTCGTGTTTTAACAGTGACATCTGAGGTCCAGTTTGCCTACAGTGACGTCCAGAGGGGGCCCTGTGTGCTTATGGTGGCGCCTCTTTATCCGGGGCCACTCGTGCATCGCTAACAGTTCCAGGAGAACGTTGCAGGCCCCGCGGGGCTGCAAGGTCAGCGGGTTTACTCCACCTTCTGCACAGAGAGGAACCGAACCAGACGAGCCGGGCTGCTCTGGGGACAAAAACTTCACCAAAACCGACCGCTTCAACATGCAGGCGGCGGATCTGTGTGAAGACTGCTTCTCATGCGCACAATCTGCTTATTCTTGACAGCGGATATATCAGGTGAGTGATTTTAGCCTACTAAATGTAAAAGCATTTTTTCAACTTTCTTCTTTTTTTGAATAATGTAAAAACCACTACGCATGGTGCAAAGACGAAAGCTATGTGCACATTATACTACTTGAGTCATTCCAGTAACAACCACAAAGCAATGCCGAAGTAATGCTGTACGTCAGCGTGGGAGAAAAGTGGGATGTTGTGAAAAAGCAGATGAGAAGCCAGGCTAACCTTCAGGTCGGGGATGTTGAACTTGTGGTTGTTGGAGAGATTGTTGGTACGTGTGGTGGCTGCCGTCATGGTGTCCCATGTTTGCTGACAGGTTTTCTCCCCCGGTGCAGAGATCAACCAAAACTCTGTCATGGTCTCGACAGCACAGGTGAAGCTGCAGAAAACTGAGAGGAGGACTCTATTCAGACTCCTGTGTTATGATACGGCTCGGCAGTTCATGGACCGTTGAGAAACACTGCTGTTTGTTACATGTCCCCTGTCTTTAGCTCCAACAACCTGCTGTTCACTTGTACCACTAATCTGGTGGCTAATCAGGCTAACCTAGCGACAGGAGCTCATTCAGTGTTTACGTCCACTGCAGGCTGTTTTACCACCGATGACTATTATCATTCCCTTACTGCTACCGCCGCTACGGGGCCAGGAGAGGCAAATAAACCATAAGGACACGACATACTACCCGAAGCTGACAAAAATATGGTTAAGGTCAAGCAACATTTAGCAGGAATTAGCTAGCCGTTAGCCACTTAGCTTTGATCACAACAACCACAGCAGCAGCAGAGGTGATTTCTATTTCACTCACCTGGGAATACCAAATGTGGCCGTGAACAGTGACAGGACGGTGTGGTTATCTATGGCTTGATCATTTCCATAGTTGCCATTCAATGCAGTTGGTGAGATCTCCTGACAGCAGCATCAGAGTCAGCTGATCGGCCAGAGGAACCGGAAGGCCGCTCACGCGCTGCGCTCACTGCGGAGACTCCGCAGCGACCGCAGGCGGCGGACAGCGGGTACTGCAGGACACGTCCCCGGAAGAGTGACCGCGTGATGCTGGTCCTTGTGCGTGAATCTGATGCTTCGATGCGTGAGAACATATGAGATCGAGTCAAGAATGTCATGCCATAGCAATGATCCGTAACTGCCATTATTAAGAAGTTGATCTATTTGAATGGGGAAGACACTGCCACACCAAAGTTAGTCGTATAGAAACCTATTTTGGTGAGCCACCATTTTTTTAATTCAATTTTTATTTAGTGTAGCCCAAAATTACAAATGTGCCTCAGAGCTTTACACATCCTCTGTCCTGAATCTGTCCCCAATCTTTATTGCCATTTGCCAATGATGACAATCGTAAGAACTCAGGATGTCTAGGAGCATGGAGCAGGAACGTTAGCTATGGGGCCCTTGAAATGGCCTCTCTGTTTGCAGATGATGTGGTCCTGTTAGCTTCCTTGTACCCTGAACTCCAACATTCACTGGGGCGATTTGCCGTCAAGCGTCGGGGATGAGGGTTAGCACCTCCAAATCTGAGGCCATGGTGCTCTGCCTGAAACCGGTGGACGGCTCATTGGTTGGGGACGCCCCGACTACGGCAAGCGAAGAAGTTTGAGTATCTCTGGGTCTGTTCACGAGTGAGTGTTGGATGGATCAGCAGATCGACAGGCAGATTGGTGCGGCGACGAAGGCGTAGTTCTCAATTTACCTATATTTTATGTTTTGACTGTCATCTATAGTCATGAACTCTGGGCCACGTCGAGGTCGCGGCTGAAATGAGTTTCCTCCGGGTGGCTCAGCCTTAGCGATAGGGCAAGGAGGTCAGACATCAGGAGGGAACTTGGAGTTGAGGCGCTTCTCCTTCGTGTCAGAAGGAGGGAGCAAAGGGGGTTGAGGCATCTAAGTATCCAGATGCCCACTGGAGGGTTTTTGGCACAACCAAGGGAAGTCTGGGTCAACCAGCTCGGCCTGTTGCCAGAGGGCCCGACCCTGGATAAAGGGAGGAAGATGGATGGATGGACGGATAAGAGCTCAAACCCCAGACTTGAGCGTCAATCCACATTCCAAGTGCATTATTACCCTCTAAGAGAAGGATACGGAGCAATGTTGGATGCCAAGTCAGCAAGCATTTGAGGCTTTTGAGCTGCTAAATTTAGAAAAGCAGGCTCAGGTTTCCTGACTTTGGGTGTCTCCCGCACACAATCTAAAGGGAAACGCCCACCAAAGGGACATGTTTATAGTCCAGTGGGCTGGTGTTCATTGTTTGGGACACAATGGTTGGTCTGCCTGGAGCCAACCCTCGACATCAAACGACAGGTCGAGTTTACCCATGGCTGGCCAGAGGCCAGTCTACTGAGATGTTATCAGGACAAACACACAAACACACGGCACATTCAGTCTGCAGAGAATCTGGTGTGCGCTTGCACCCTTTGTTCAATTAGAGGGAAAAGTGTTGTTTTAGCAATAAGTAGCAATCAATGAAAAATAGAATTATTTGCATGGTTACCGCCATCCCCTCACACACGTTGTCACCTTGCATGGACTGCCAGAGCTCTCTGGAAATCATCCCAGCTAATGACCACAGATCCCATCTTCCTCCAAGTCTTTATGCTCCCTGTTTATCTTCAAGTCTAAACAACTTGTGAGCTCCAGGGACGCCTCTATGTGTCCTTTGTAAACTTCACCTGTGGAAGCTGAACGTACACGGTGACATACTGTTTCTAGAGATTTAAACACGCTCCCATACACACGCGTAGCCCACATGATGGCTACTTGTTCATGTTGTAGATACATTGCAGGGTACACCTTCAATATTTAGCGTGTCATTTTTCAGCTCCACGGCCACACGCCGATACGAGCATTCTGCATGATGAAACATAAACTGTCTATATTTAATTCATCAATGGGGTCTTCCTGAGGATTTTCTCAGAAACAATATACCTTCACAGAAAACCACACATTATTAACTCATCTGACACAGAGTTTGCTCTTAAAACTGAAGAATGACTTATGCTGCAATCTATCTAGGCAGAGAGGAAGCAAGGGGTGAAATGTGAATCATTCTTGTAATTGTTCAACAATCCTGCGAGATCTTGCTGTATCTCTCCACCACTTTGATACCATTGTTGAAAATGACAGATTCTGGGAAAGCCCAGAGAAAGGTGCTTCCTTTCAGGTGGCATATTGTCAGACTAAAAAAAGTAGAGACATGTTACAATACATTTTGTAGGTGTGTCAAAGATTGCATTGAATTTTCATAAATGTCAGCAAATTCAGCAGCAGCAGCAGCAGCAGCATTCTCGGATCACATTGTTTCAATGAGATGGCTGTTGTATATTTGTTGTTTAGTTGCAGCCAGTTTTCCCTGTTTAACATTCCGATCAGTACGAGTAAAAGTTTGGCGGTGGGTCTTTTTACTGAGCAACATTCTTTGGCAAAAAGACCCTATGAGTGACTTAACAACACAACACTGGAGTCTGAAGTTGAGGTTGTGGTTTAACCAGCTACCCAAGTCCCTGTAATGAGTCAATTATTTTCCAAATATGCAGAGTACATTATTTGTATCATATTGAGTTTAAATATATCTTATGCTATGCATTTTTGACATTTAGAAGCTAAAAGGAAAATCTATTTAGTTTAAGGAGCTTTACTGTCTTATAACATTAATTCCTCTCTGACTGGAGACTCTTGGTCAGTCAGGGTTCATCTATCCTGGCTCTTTCTAACTCTGTGTTTTGATGTAATCTGTTTGTAATGTTTGCAAATATGAATTCCTGCTGCACAATGCAGCCACTGGAGTATTTGCCCTCACAGTGGGTGGTACACATGTCCGGCTGACGCATACCCAATGCCTGCGATGGCCATTATGATCCAAACAATGGAAATCAAACATCGGCCTTTACTGGAAGCCACTTTAGATGCTACGCACGATTAGACTTATATATACATGGTCTCGTTTAGTGTCGCACAGCCCGCACAAAACACGGAACAGCTTTTGTGTTGCGGCCTGCATGCTTCTGCGGCCTTTACAATGGAACCCAAGCAAAGGTTTTATTAGTGAAACAAACGCTGCTATTGTTTATTGCTTTCCCCAAGGAGTGCTCAAAGCTCATCTAATACGTTGATGAATTTCCCAGTTGTTGTTTGTTAGATAGCACACCATTACTGTACTGTTATGACATGCAATGGTAAAGATTTAGCATAGAACATCTTGTCTCAATGAAAGGAAAGGGCTTCTAGTTATATGGAATAAAAAGGTTTGTTGAATCATGGAAAAGCCCAACATTGCCGACATCAACTTAAAAGTGAAAGCAAGGATTGCTCTAATGTGTGTTCTAAGGATAGATATTTTGGTGATATTTTGGTTCATTAAAATTGCACTGTGTGCCAAACCAAGGCAAAATGAAGTGATCAAAGGCTGAACAGACTCAGCACCCTTCGCCCCTTCTCCAGTGTTGAGGAGGGACACATGCAAATGTTTCTCCTTGGAAGAAACCCAGCCTCTGCCTTTCCAGGGGGGGGGGGGGGGGGCACAACTCCTTAAAGTCACCACAACAAAAGCAGGGGGGAAGAAAAATCTCATTCTGAAGTTGAACTTGGGACAAAATACATGCATCCATCTACTTGTGGCTTGTGGGACTGCTGCTTTGCATGCTTGATTTTGGAGACAGAAAAAAAGAAACTTTCTGCAGATTTAATTTGACAGCATTCTGTCTTTATTGCTGAGCCATGGAAAATACATTGAAGAAACACAGGTAATTCTTAGGAAATTGCACATTAATATTATAGATATATTATATCTATAATTATTATTATTATAGAGATATCGGTCTAGATAACAAATAACAGCGTAATCACACAATTTTGTTAATTGTTATTTTTCAAATAAATTGAAATACTAGTATTATTATTACATTCATTTATTTATTATTGATGATAATTGCGAGTTACTTTTCGGGGTTGATCAGTGCTCTGTCATTCATGTCCTTGGTAGAGGTCCCTCTTTAGGATCAGACCCGAATAGCGTTACATGGTCAGCTGTATAATTTGTAATGACTTTATTTGAGTATGAATGATCATACTAATAGTATAATAGTATAATCAGGTAGTCAGATTTTCGGGATTAGTGCATAATATTGCATAACAACGGTTACAATGCGAATATCGATTTGGACTTTATTTTGGTGTTCACACCGGATGTGGCCCGTGATCACTTTGCTGTGTCGTTACTTGACGTTCCTGTCAGTCGACCTCCACGGTTGCCTTCCGCTGCGTCGTCACACATGATCGGTACCATCTTGCTTCGGCGGAACGACCATAACTCGATCGAACCCACCACGTCCATGGCCGTGATCTTTTTCTCTTCTAGTAACCCCACCACTCTTTGAAAATTCCGCCTAAAAAGAAAAAGCGTTCTGTCCCCTCCTTTGGGTTTTCAGCCAGCGTAAGTAACGTTCACCTAGCTAACCGCGTTGTTAGCTTGCTAATGAGCCTGTCGTTATATCAACCGGGTAATTTGTCTATTTTGGGGGGCAGCAGCCATGAATCCGAGCCTTAAGAGGTTAATGATGACGTTATCGTCACTGAAAAAAACAATGAGTAACTAGTTAAACATTACTTTAATGACATCGTATGTCGCTAGGAAGCTAACGCTAATATCTAATGCTACCGTTACTACCCTATGCTAACGGTTACTAAGTTAAGTTAACTGATCCGTTAACGTTAATACATGTTGACGTCAGGTCGGGAACAACAACCTGGCTATGATTTGGAATCGATAACAGGCAGATCATGACACGGTTAATCACCACCCGGGGCAACGGTGTGCAAATATTATTCCGTGAATGAACTATTACTGAACTCGAGATCGCTAACCTTGATTCCAAACTAAAAGAGTTGCATTTTAAACATTAACACGTCGCATTCAACCAATCCATGGATCACGCATAGGTTATTCCCACGCGCTGCACCCATCGGCTTCATCACGCAGCATTTGGCTGCTCATCAGTTTCTAAATGTTTCCCCAGCAGTTGAGGACGTATTGATCGTGCAGACACTGTTGATCTTGTGTCAGGGTGTTTTCTCTTTCGGTGACTTATTAATCGGTGTCCTTTTCACAGGTGTACAACAACTATCCAGAGGATCTAGGGGCATCTCTCTACCGAGAGCCATTTGACTTCAACGCCGAGCCCCCTTGGGATCCTAGCTGATGGTGGACGGGTTCCTCCCAGGACTCATCCATGTGAGGGACATCGCTGTAACATATGAATGCCACCTCTTTGCTGGTTTTACTTTTCATGGTTGAAACGTATGCAGTGTAAAACCCTGTCTGCATAGATATGTATGATGTTTTGGTATGTATCAAAACTGCGTCACCAAATCTCTTGACAGAAGCAGAAGATGTATTAACAAGCTGGGTGTTCCAAATATATCCCTAAAAGGCTAATACTTATTTTAGGTTTTCTGATCTATTTTTATCTCTTCTATTGAAATGACAGGGAACTGGGTTCCACAATACGTTATTCTGCAGTTGTGTTTTTCTCTTTCTCTAATTTAGTTGCAACAAAAGGAGATTATTATTTGGTTATAGATATTAACTTACTAGTAGTGGTTACATTTGCAACGTTCCTCCTGCAGTGTAATGTGAATATATTGTATTAACTGTATGACCCCGTCATCATTTTCTTCCATGAGAGAAATGTTATGAGTGACATCGTTTAGTTGAGTTCCTTTCCAAAGTCTTCCTTTTCTTTTTTTTTAAGTGGTTACAGGGTTGAGTTACGTCCAAACCACGTTTTATCCCGTGTTTCTGCCGAGGACTGAGATCAAGGAGTTATCTTCCTGTGTTTGTATCAGACTGTCAGTCCCATTATTTCAGTATAATAACTCACACAACCGCTTTTGAGGAGTAATGAGCATACATCACTCCTTGGGAGCGATAGCCACATCTGTACAGCTGTGTCAGCAGTACATCAGGTCCAGATGTGGCTTTTTGACGTTTTGTGCAACATCATTGAACGTAAAGTTTTGTCATCAACGCTGCCTGCATTGTACCTTGTTCGACGCCATTAAAAAAAAAACCTTTCATGCGTCGCCAGTTTGGGGATTAATGGTGATTGTTGGGAGTAATAGACGCTAAAGTAAATGAACTCTGTGCCCCAGACTCTATTTTCACAGCGGCTCTTTAGAAGAATAGGCCTCTTCTACAAAGCTGTCCTGTAACGCGGAGCCTGCACTGTGCTCTGATTGGATGATCCCTGAAAATGACTTGTTTGATTTGGGAGCTCATCGGAAAGGACTAGAAACGATCCACAGAAATGCATTATCAAAATACGATTGAAGGGCATCGCTCCTTTTTTGCGTGTTGTGTTGACTATTCTCATTCTCTCACACAGTTTGTTGCATAGGTTAAGGACCCCAAGGGCTCGATTAGGTGCTGAGCAAGACCACTTCGGGCGAGCCACGTTCTTTATGCCTGTCGGATTAGAAGAAAACGGTTGAGAGGATGAAAGGAATCGCTGATGAGCCGCAGTATTCTGTCGGTCTGCTGGAGGCGGGCACAGCCCTCTGTGACGTGATCAACCAACACATTGATGAGCAAACTCTGGTAAGGGGTCTCGCCACCACCGCAACGTACACAGTCGGCACAAAACCCTGAATTTATTAGACTTTGAAGTGTCACCAACACCCGTTGTTGTTCCGCCGCGTGTTTCTTTTCACTCATCCGCCTTCGTGTTTGTTTTCCCTTTTCTGCAGTCTGAGAAGAATGCGTTCTTTGTAGCAGACCTGGGAGTTGTAATGAGGCAGCATGTTCGCTGGCGAACCCACATGCCTCAAATTCGACCGTACTACCCCGTCAGATGCAACAGCAGTCCAGCTGTGATTGAAGTTCTTGCGGTCCTCGGCGCTGGGTTCATTTGTACCAACAAGGTAGTCTCTCCTACTCGCATACTGGGCAGAAAATTGCGTAATTAGGTTACAAATATGGTGCAGTGATGTACCTTCTCTACTAGAGCAAGTAGCACATTTATACTGTCCTGTGTACTGCAGTGCCCTTTCTTATCTTGTTTTTGCACGTTTTATCTGTAGTTTGATGAAATGTCTGTTAACTTACCCACATGCAGTATATCAAGCGAATATGGTTCTAACTTTGTCTCCCTTGATTTTCAGTCTGAACTTGAGCTGGTCCAGAGCCACGGTGTTCCCTCTGAAGACATAATCTACAGCGGGATTTGCAAGCAAGTCTCCCAAATTAAATATGCCGCAAAAAATGGCATTGACCTCCTGGTGTGTGACAATGAAGCTGAGCTACGCAAGATCTCTCGCTGCCACCCCAATGCCAAGTAAGTGTGTGAGGTGTTCGTCCTGGCTGCCATGATTGTTGTGAATCATTTATTTGCCTATTCCCAAGTCATCAGATGCAATGTATCTGACAGCATTTGGTGTATTGTGATTCCCAATGGCAAAATAATTTGGGTCTCGGCTGCAGATATTTTGGGATTTAATAAACTCTCTTACCTCATTACCTCCATTTCCAGCTTCTTTCCTTTGCAAACCGCTAACAGTGATCTTTTTTTCCCTTTTAAAATCCAGGCTGCTGCTCCAGGTTTCAACGGAAGCATCAATTCAGGGCGATGAGATGAGCATGGCCTTTGGCTGCTCCCTCAAGGACTGCAGGCATCTGCTGGAGAAGGCCAAGGAGTTGGGCGTGCAGGTGGTCGGGGTCAGGTGAGGCCTACATAGATGCACTGTGCCTGGTTATGGAAGCATCAGGAACACTTCTCTTTACCTCAGATCCATGTTAAACGAATGCTGAAATCAAACCTGCTGCAGCGTGAAGCTTTTAATCCTTGTGATGTGGTTAAAGTTGCACCATTGACTTTTTCCTCACTTCCTCCCCACAGGTGCCACATTTCCAGCGCCTGTGAGGATGACCAGGTGTACGTTCATGCTATATCTGATGCCCGTTGCGTCTTTGATATGGGAGTAAGTAATGTGAAATATGGCCAATGTTGATCAAAATTAGGCTAAATGAATCGGTGTTTCTTCTACATTCATTCTGCAGGAGCACTGCTAACATTTCAAATGATTTAGGATTTAAATCCTTTATACATTGACACAGTGGCTGAATAGGATTGTTTCTGACTCAAATACAAACATAACAAAAACTTGAGAGAACGAAGCCAGAATTGATCCCCCCATTTTACTTTGTCTAATTAAATCACGATTAGATTAATCACTTTATTTTCCAAGGGTTTTTATGTGGAGAACATAAATTGTTGAGCATTTTTGTTTCCTTTTGTTACGCACAGTCATGTTTGGAGCGCTCGTGAAGGCTCGAGAAACACTTGATGAACATTTGCTTGCTTGTGTTTTGGTTACACATTTAAACACGTTTGTCCGCCTCAGGAGGATATTGGCTTCGACATGACCATCCTGGACATTGGAGGGGGCTTCAGTGGATCTGAGAACCAGCTGGAAGTGGTCAGTACTGCATTTTAGATGGGATATATATATATATATATATATATATATATATATATATAGCTTCTTTTTTTATTTTTTTTAACTTTTACTTTTTTAACCCATTTTGCGTTCTAATTTCTTATCGTGGTCTCTTTGGCAGATCAATAAAGCGGTCATGTCTATGGCAGACTTATACTTCCCTCCTTCTACTGGGGTTTCCATCATCGGCGAGCCCGGCAGCTTCTTTGTGTCCTCTGCTTTCACTCTGGTGGTGAACGTCATCTCCAAGGAGGTGGTGGCACGGGATCGCCAGGACCAAGCACGTGGTCAGTGGCATAATGTTTCCACTTTGGGTATCGATGAGATTATTGAAGAATGACGTCGACATCCACGCATGTCTGGAGGTTTGACTCTTAAGGCCACTCTGCATGGTGCCTTGCGTCTCTGTTGTGTTACATGAAAAAAGGAGCATGTCGACCACGAATGTGCGGCTCCCAAATTGTAATTTGAAACAAGTAGGGGTGAAGAAATGAAATCATTACACTGTAAAAGCGTTTGTCTGTAATCTCTAAACAGACGATCCATCTCCCAACGACGAGCCAGAGTTCCAGTACCACCTGAGCGAGGGAGTGTACGGGCCATTTGCCAGCAAACTCTCTGAAACACTGATTGCTACTCCGTCTGTCTATAAGGTGATTCTCAAAGATTCTGTCTCAACTTACAATATAGACGCGTTTTAAATACATGTTGGTCAAACATCCCGCCCTGATGAAAGGTTGTCGTTGGGATCACTCTTCTGCTCTGACTCGCTGATCATGGTCAGGATGTAATCAATGAAAAAGAAACGCCGTATATACTGCAGCAATCTGTAGAGGAAACAAACTTGTATCATGTACTTTTTCCTCTTACATCAAAACAAATGTGTCGATTAATTAATGGAGATATTAGTCATTTTATTCAGTGTTTCATTCGGCTGCCTGAAAATCTGTCTTCAATGTTTGAGAGACCCTGAATTAAAACATGTAAAAACCCCAAAGCACTCGTGGCAGAAGTTGATACTTGGTGTGATCGAAGGTCACTTAAGTGAATAGAATTGGGGTTAAATCCGCTTACGACGGCCATGTTTGTTCTTCATGGGGCCTCTCACCTCCAGCGGGTGGAGATTGCGTTGGGTCACCGAATAATTGTTTAACCATAACTCCTTGTTGTGTGGTGGCAAAAGCCCCCCCAGGATGCTCCTCTGTTCAGCTGCAGCCTGTGGGGTCCGTCCGGGGACGACCTGGACCAGGTGGTGGAGCACTGCCTGTTGCCTGAGCTCAACGCCGGAGACTGGCTCTTGTTCACCCACGCGGGGGCCTACAGTACGGGCCATCCACTGTGCACGGCCACCGACTCCCCCCCACCCCCTGAGTATTACATCATCTCCTCCACAGACTGGTAGGGGACTCTGGAGTTATTTTGCAAAAGAAAGGTCAAAACAGACAGAAATACAGAGTTGGACGTTGACACGTGATTCATTTCCCTCCACCAGGTTTGAGATGCAGGACATCGGTGTCGCCCACGAGGCTACGCTGAAGAACTTCTCTTTGGTCCCTTATTTCCTTGCTTACTGCCAAACAGCGGCTGGTCGGTCTGTCCCTGCCTAGCGATCAGCGGACGCACAGGACGGCTTGCTTACGCCGCTTACTCCGAAGTTATTTGACAAACCCCAACCTAGCGTAAAGTAAGTGATTAGTCCGGCGAAACCTAAGTAGACGTTAATTAGTATGCAACAAAACGGATGACTCCGAAGAAAAAATATATATATATAATTTCCCCTTTGCTTTGGGTGTCCCACAGCGCCACAGTTTACACTCGTACAGTAGGCTTGTAATTATTTTAAATGATTATGTATGACAAATAGTGTTATGTCTTAATTGCTTTTGCCTGATTTGTAAAGTAAGATGCGTATCCCAAAGTGAAACAGCGTATTTAAACGGTAATACATAGTTTTCCTACAAGACTTCTATTTATGGTTTTGATTGGTTGTATAGTTTATTCAGTGTGACAAAAGCTTGATTGAATGTTGTCCTATCAGTGCTTTGGGGTTATACATGAAGGTGAATAAGTCCACTGCTGGAAACGGGGTCGAGGATCTAGTGTTTGAGTTTTATCTAAAGTGCCGAGCAGCTTGCTCCCACACCAGCGAGGCGGCAGCATGTGCTGCAGAGGACAAGGCAAGTGATGAATCAGCTGATCTAATGGGGCCCTCAAAAAATTAGGACTGAATATTATTTTGCAACGTGTGTATATGTGAAGCTTTCTCCTAATCTGTGTCCAAGGCTTGATGTGAAATAACTGTCAACATGAATAGTAATAAACACCTCACTGACGGATTGTGAACCACACGGGTGTCTTTTATTAATATCCGTATTCTGTGTGACGGCAGCATAACATGACCTCATCTTGGACAATGATCAGAAGAGAAACCACTTTGGTTGGAGCAGCTAAATGTCTCAAGTCAACCACGTAGGAACTGAACAGGAATAAAGGCTTTGATTACACACACAAAAAGAAAACACGCGTTCCAGTGTAACAAAGATCTGTAATGTCCCTGCAACAAACAGGGTTGTGCAAAATAGTTTTTTATAACAAAAATAGATACTGGTAAAGCACAAAAGAACCATATGAAACATTCTTTGGTTGAACATCAGCTACAGGTAAAGGTGCAAAGTGTTGATCTGTACATAGTGAAACATATTTTCAGGTTAAATGCTCCGTTTGAGGGACGCAGTAGTTTGACGTCAAATGTAAACAATCTCTCTCTTCGATCGTACCCAGCTATTCTCATTAAAAGCAGATGTTTTTGGCCGACTGACATGTAACAAAGCAAACCAGAACACACTGCGAGGCTCAAAGGCGCGTTCAACAGTCCAAAGCGCTGTGTGCACGTCGCCGGGTCACAGGGATCTTGTCCAGGTCAGCGGACTGCCTGACTTTTAGCGGCCAGCAGGCGCCCTCCTCCCGCCAGGTGCCGCCGGGCGTGCTTGGCGAGGTGGTCGCTTCGCATGAAGCGGCTGAGGCATGCGGGACAGGCAAACCTTTTCTCCCCCGTGTGCGTCCGCCGGTGGCGGGACAGCTCGTCGGAGCGGGCGAACCGCCTCTCGCAGCCCTCCCACTTGCACTTGAAGGGCTTCTCACCTGTTGGAACACAAGCGGCATGGAGCAGTTTGTTCTCATCCGAGCATCGATAAAACGGACATTTTATTTGGCGTACGGTGGTCTATTGGTACTACAAGTCCTTACCCGTGTGTGTCCTCATGTGGGCCTTGAGGTGGGAGCTCTTGAAGTAGGTCTTGCTGCAGTCCTCACGGGGACAGACATGGCTGCGTGCACGGGACGCCTCCGGCTGCAGCGGGTTTCCTCTTTGCTCCGACGGGGCTCGGCAGGGCGCCGGGGCGATGGCCAGTAGCTTGGCGCCGCCGCTGACAGTGGTCACCAGTGGCGGCTGGACGTAGAGTGCGGGGGCAACTGGCTGGGGGACGATGAGCGCCACCGGGCCCCCCAGGAGGAAGACGTGGGCGGGACAAGCTGGTGCTTGCTTTCGTGGCGCGGGGGCTGGCGGCATCGGGCCCGGGTGCTGCTGGCGACCGGCGGAGGCAGGACAGGAGAAGGGAAGGATGTGGCAGAAGACGGGCACGGGGGAGACAGCCGGAGATGTGACGGATGTGTCAACCGGGCCTGACGGACTCAGCCGGCGAGCTTCAGCGGTCGTTCCTAAGGAGCTCTGCGGCGTGGCTGCAGCGGAGTTCTGCTCCGCGGCACCGCTCAGCCCGCGCTCAGAGCTCAACTCCGTTTGAAGGCCTTTCGTGTGAGTTTGTGCTGGCCCGTCCGCGCCGGGGACGCAGCGATCAACGCCATCTGAAGTGTGACGGATGACACTGGCACACAGGAAGCGACGCTGAGGAGCGGCGGCGCACACATGGCGGCGGGTCTCCTCTGTCGACTGCCAGCTCGGACTTCCGGCGGCTCCGGGTGGATGCGAGGTCGCGGCTGAGGGCGAGTGGGAGGCCTCGAAGTTGGGTGGACTGTACGGCGGCGTCATGCACTGAGAGGAACGCAGGGTCATTGGAATATTTTATTGACAAACTCAGTTTTTGCAAAATCTTCTTATAAATCTTTTTTAAATGTCATTTTGAGCTGTGTGTATCTATTCACTCATTTTGCTCCTTCTGTGTTAACTTGATATTCATATTTTTTTAATGTTTTAAAGCAAGTAATTCATTATAAATTATAACTAAATGTAATTATAATTTCCTCTACCGTCCACACTTTTTTCTTAAAAATGTAGTAACTTTGTACATTTTGGGGATGTCTTTTTAGACATCCCCAAGATGTCTTTTTTGGGTCCAGTGACCCAAAAAGGTCACTGGACACTCAAATTATAAACCCGAGATTTGCAAAAAAAATAAAGACCTACAGTCAAACCTCTGACAACCAACAGTCCGAATAGATCCCTTACCGTAAGAGAGTCCCGAAGAGTGGCGGACCCAAAGGGGACAGCGTCGTCCTCTGAGCAGTCCGAGGACGGCGTCAGGGGCCTGCAGTGACTGAGCCTGGAGCCCCTGGTCTCCCAGTGCTTCGTCATGGACATCAGAGCCTCCACAGCCTCCATGTCACCTGCACCCAAAAGAGCTGGCTGGAGTTCACCCCAGACGTCTGAGTGGAGCTCCTCAACATCCATGCTGCAGCTTTCATTTACAAAATAAAAATAGAGATATATGCAATATTAGAGCATGAATTGAGTATTAGGCTCTTTCATTTGAATCGTGTATCTGTCGGACTGCGGACGCTTTGTGAGCACACGCACACAGTCACGGTCAGTCAGACGCAGAAGGAATCACGTGAGGTGAGCGTGATCATCTGCTGCTCCTCCCTGCTCGCGCCCTTTCACCTACTTCCCCGGTGGGGGCCGGCCGGCCGGGGGGGGGCTGCCCACACAAACCCTCAACCCCGACCCGAAAACACACACGGAGAGAGAGACAACACGCTCCTCCTGAGGCACCATCAGTGGTGGAGCTGGAGGTAAAAGAATGACCTTTGACCTACAACGAGGCTGCGTGCCCAGCTAGGCTGCACAGCCATTATTAGACACGAAACAATCAAATGCCACTGACTAAATAACGCGGCCCGGACATTAATGTCTGCGTGGTGAAACGTGTCTCTACTCACGTGTCACGTGCGTCCCGCTATCAGCAGCTACTCGCCTTTTCCCTCTCTGCGAATACTTGATACTGAACCTCAAACCTTTCCGAGTTTTCTCCCTCGGCCTCCCCCTCGCTCCCATCCACCACTTTCGGTCGGGTGTGGGGTGTGGGGGGGGCGCCGGGCTCCGGTGTTCGACGCCTCGCCCAATGGGACGCAAAGGTGTGTGGAGCGCCGGCCAATGGGCGCGCGGCCCGCTGCGTGGTGGCGGGCGTGGAGGCAGCGTGGTACACAGCGGCGTGGGCGTGTGAACAATACATTCCTGATTACACGCGGCTCGCGCCGTTCCCCCAACCCCTCCGATACACACGCGCGCACACGCACGCACACCGCAGTCTTGGGTGAGTCACGTCGCGGTGACTGTGAAGAGGACCAGCAGCACACCTTCCACGAACCAGACTTTTGGAAATGGAGACAATCGATGCCCTGTCATTATATCTTGGATTTTAAATAAACGATTCAAATTTCAAATACTTTTCCAAGAAATGGTCCGACGGGACCTTCTGGAGTGCTGGTGGACCAAACTTTTCCTAAAGTTTGATGTGTCTCTGATTAAATAGGAACAGGCACAGTTTATTTTAAGAACTTCTCTCCAGAAATAGTACAACGTACACGTTTTAGTGGTTTATCCGATGATATTATAAACGTGTTGTTGTTGTTTTGGTGGTGGATGGCATCTCATTGTCACAGTAAGCTACACAAACCCCTTCTCTCATCGGCCTGAAATCGTCATACGTGGTGCAATAGAAACGATTTTGACATCTTATGGAAACATATTATAGCATTTTGCTATATAGCTAATAAGCAGTCCCTGGGAATTTAGTCTGTCTGGGAAGACTTTCTCTATTATTATTCCCTCTGAACATTTGGTGTAATGGTAGGAGCTCCCCATGACTGAACTCTTGTAGCTGAATTGACTTTACATTACTTACTTACATTACTTTTTATTTTCTGAACTTTATTTTTCTGTCTTCCTTTTTTAAATCCACTATATTGTTAGGCTTCTTGTCCCCTGTGGGTGAAAGAGTCGGCCAACAGGGGGTGACCCCAGGCAGCCCACTGGATTAGGTAAGTATCAGCTGTCTAGACCTTCATGCACAGCACAGACAACCAGAACAAAAGGCCGGCTGCAGACTCACAATGGACAAATACACACACAGAGCAGCACTTCGACTGAGTCTGGCGCTGTGGGACGTTCCTCAAAAGCATATCCAGGAATGTGTAGCTGGAAGAGCAGAGAGTCTGAATGCAATCCATATATCTTAAATCTGAACATCTTGACATCTCCATTACAGCTTCCAACAGATTGAAATTAAACTAGTGTTCACATTTCTTGGGGGAGTGGGTATTTTTTATGAATGTATTCATACTTATTAATAGTTTATTCTATAGTATTGGGGCAGCTTCACAGTACTGTATTACCTTCCTATGTTTATTGTATTGATACTATATATTGAAATTGGCATTTATAAGTTGATTTTTTTTATATTCAGACTCTTTTCACACTCCCAATTTTTGGTATGGGCCGCTCTATTGTGTGATATTTAAAGTATTGTCTGCTAAATATATAAAACTAAAATATTTTGACGCATACACACACCAAATTTATTTCTTTGCATATTCACAATGCTGAAATCCACACGTTGTTCTCATCCCTGTGCGTAACGTGTTCCAGTGTTGAATGTAATCATACACACGTATGTTTCTACGTTCTTTGCTGCAACACTAGCAGTTGAAGAGTCACTCCGCCAATTTCACGCATAAAAGTCAGATTTCTAAGCAGAACTTTCTTCTTACGAACTTTGTTCGAGTTATTATTCTTCAGCAGAAACTTTAATGACGAGAAACATGTTTCACCCTATTAAAGATTCCATTTCACAAAGAACTCAAGTATTAAAGTGTCATTCCTTATTTTGTTTTGTTCGCTTGGGGGCAGCAAAACACACTACAAAATGCAAATCACCTTCTTGGGATTGACACATAGCATTAGCTCTTTGTATGTAAACCCCCCCCCACACAATAATCTATTTAATGTGCAGAACAAAAACAGTGAGAAGGATGTCTGCAGTAGTGTGTGATCCAGCACGGTTCAGTCTCTTGTTCATCCATCGGGTAATCTGGCTCCCAGCGTTGCAGAGTGAGCGGTTGTGCCACAAAGGAGCACATTTGTATCTCTTCCTGGTCTTTTGGCAGGTCAGGTTTCCTGGGTTTTCAGCGTAATGCAATGGGGACCCAGATTCTTGGCCGGTGTTGACTAATTTTAAGGTTTAGCTTTTTTGAGCAGAGATTTAAAACAACCTTCATGGACAAAGGGATTCTGTAGGAATCTTTAGCTGCAGCGTTGTCCTCCGGCATTGCCACTTTCTGCGCAACGTCGGCCAATTGTCAAACAGTGTTGTGAATGGCAAGCGAGACGAGGCCAACAAGGATTCACTGTTCTCTTTTGATGTACTTCTGTCTCTCTCCCAAAAAGAAAGAAAGAAGCAAAAGGCCTCTTGTGAGACAGCAGCCGGGGAACCGCTCATCCCAGGTCAGGGAAATGTGCCGACCTGCTGCCAGCAGGCAGGATTGCCCCAACCATCATGGTCGGACCTGCCGCGGGACCTGTGAACCGACGTCTCAAGAAGCACCGAGAGGAGTTATTTAAAAGTGCTCCTCTCCAGCCGGTGCTCGTGTTACCTCACTGGGAATAATACTTATGCTCGTGGCCCCTGACTGACAGGAGCTGCTGGTCCACTGGTCTACGGTTCAATGAGTAATCGCGGTGAGGGGGGGAGTTTTGGGTCCCTCTTGGTTGTTTCCTTTGCAGATGTAAATCATTAAAATACGTTTCATAGCATCCAAAACACTTCACTAACTAGCTCATTAAGTGGGATCCACGGTGTCTTTTATACATGTAGACGGATCTCCTGGGAGCTACGAACGCGCTGGCCTCTGCTGACGGAGCAGTGTTCCTGGCTCCAACTCTTTGGACACGTATTCTACAACACCAGAGGTCATTTGATAGCACAGCTCCCACAACTAAAAATAGATCGGGAGATTTCTGGGGTTTTTGTTTTGACTTCAACCCTTGGAACTGGTTTCATTAACCTCTTTTTGGAACTCAGTAAACACATGTGGAAAGAAATCTAACCATCACCTTTTGTCTCTGCTGGTTACACGTGGCATCTGTAAAATGACCAAGCGAGGAAATAGTGTAATTATTTCTACAATACTACCCATTATTTAACATAGATGTCCTAAGAACAACAACACATACAATACTGAAGTATTGTCCCAGTAAATAATAAAAAACATGAATATTTGTTGATGAATATTATAATTGTAGTGAACGGCAGGCCAGACGATAAAAGACAGTTTCATAGATCAGTTGTTTGGGTTGAAACTGTGTTCAATAATCAGCATTGGCTAAGTAGGAGGACAGAAGATAAGAGTAAACGAGGAACCTGACATCGGGTAGTCAAAACATTCTCTCCGTATCCTTCTTCATTTCACATTATCTTTACTATTTATTTTGGTACAAAAGCTCTCACTTTTGTTTTTTTAGTTGTTATGGCTATTTTAACCGCTTATTTTGATACAGAAATATTTGACAAATGTTTGTCAAGTTCAGGAGTTACTTTTGTGGTGCACATACCACTATCTGCCCCACTGCAGGCCTGGTGGCGTGGCGCTCTGCCACTGATTGGGATCTCATTGTCAAAGGTAAATCCTGCCCTCTGCTGGTGTGGAAAGACAAAGGCTTCTATCGGATTAAGAACACTGCAACCAAAGAATGGCCGCCACCACTTTTGATTTAGGTTTACGTTCAAATGAGTAATCTCTCCCAACTTCTTTGAATGTTTTCATCTTTCCTTAACGAACTGAATCGGTGAGGGTGCTCGTGCAAAGGTCTATCGCGGCTAATAAATAAAGACCTCAAGAAATACTAAACTCATTGTGGATGATCACTTTATTAGTTGTTCCACACTCCATCATTTAAACACTTGTTTTTCTCCCGAGTAGCAAAAAAGGAAAACATCTACATCCTCAGTTGTTCTCTTACATTCAGTCAGCCAGTCAAAGTAGGCTTTTCCTTTGTCACTTTGACACAAAGCTGACCTGGAGCCTTTCATTTGTTTTCTGAATCAGGGCAGCAGGCTTCTACCACCTGCTGCTTAAATCCTTCCTGGATTCAGGTGACGCGGGGATATTAAACACGAAGTCTTTAGTGTAAGTGAGCCCAGCTTGAATAGACTTCAGTCTCTCCTCCACACAGTCCCGTGTGGGTTCAGCATTAAATATAAGTGTAAGTGTAAGAATAGAAGCAAGAATAGAAGCATGAATAGAATCCCACATCATGCGTGTTTCCATTGACAGAATAATGCTGACAGTGTGTCTAGTTTAAGCCCGTAGTTCCCATAATAACATTTGGGGACATAATATCAGACCAAAGTCTAAGTTGGTCTCTAAGATTTTCAGAATTAGGATATAGTATTCAATGTAGAGCAATTAATAAACTTGCTTCGCATATTACTTTAGTCAACCCAATGGTTGCTCCACAATGGTAGAAAAAAAATGATGTTTAAATATTTCCTGTACTAGTTCATAACAAAAACAACAACCATTCTAGTTTTGCTTCTTCACACGGGGGATCAGGATATTGTCAATATTTTAATTGAAATGCTATTGTCTTAGCTGTTCTGTTTTGTAAGCTATTGTCCTGCAGGTCGATACTTCATCCTTCCCTTTGTGGTACAATCACCTCGAAAGGACTGCAGCAAATGCAAAGAAACACAGATGCATCGGCCGAAAGGCTTGAGAACAAAGACGTTGCAGTGTGAAAGTGTAGTATTTTGCGATTACAGTAATCTTGCCTTTCTTCTTGAGGCCAATCCCGTCCAATTTAACACGTTTCCTGTTTGCGCTCGGGGTCCAACCAGCGGAGCGGTTGCATGAGCACTAATCAACACACGGAGAAGAAGCCTGCTAGAGTTAAGATGGCGGCGTGTGGGTGAGGAGGCTGGGATCTAAACTCGAGGATTTTCGCCATTAAACGATTCCTATGAATCCGCGTATACACGGTCATCGAAAGAACAACGATTTCCACATCTTTCACACGTCCGCGTGTGACTCCGGATTGACCCCATGACATCTATACACTTCGTGGTTCACCCGTTGCCGGGGACCGAGGATCAGCTCAATGACAGGTATTTTGTCGCGGCCTGTGGAAAATAATAATTCCATTCCGTGCGGGGTATGGTTGATAGGGTGCGATATTGGCATTGCCAACGATGTTGACATTGTCATGCGTGTTCACTCGTGTTTAAATAATTTAAATACCCCCCCACCCCACCACCCCCTCCTCCCTGGGCTGAAACGAGGCCCGGGTCCTGAACAATCCTCGTTAGCTCACTGCTAGCTAAACAGTCGGTCCAGTGCTAGCCAGATGCTAACCCGTTGAGTGGACATCGTAGGACTAACGCTAGCTAACACTAGCAGGCTCCCTTGATTATCTGGAAGGGTTGGCTCTCAGTCAAAGTTGAGATAGACAATGCGGGTTGGGGGATGGGGAAAAGAGAGGGAAATAAGGGTCGTAAAACACAACTTTGTTGAAAAGATGGGAGTTTTCGTATTCAAACCACACATGCACTCATTTGACATGTGTCAGTGTTTATTTTGTAGGTGTCTCGTTGATTATCATGATCAATGAAGTAGCTAACGTCAGCTAACTGGTAGCTAGCAGCTACTGCTAGCAGGCTAATTCGCTGCCACGCTCTTGACAAAGCCAAATATTTGTTCAGCGTTAATGTTATTTTTTTGGCATAGTACTATTTTCCAAGGTTTAGCGACGCCATTTACTTGCACGCACCGTCAGATACCATGATTCCCCAATTGTACCCCTTTCGAACATTGCGTACCGAGATAAATATCTAAAATATGCGGTGAAGCACAGTTCGCAACATTGCATTCACAGTAATCCCGTTATCCACTTTGGTAAAGGGGGGCAGCCGAGGCTTCTAAAGTCTGTATCATCGATTCTGTAATCATCAGCGTTCACGTGATAATGCACTTTATTTCTTCACTGTTAACCAAATACCTGGAGCATGCTCGGGACCGATGATTGAATTGCACACGCAATGGTTAGTGGTGACATGCTGCTGGCATGCATCACACTCTTCCATGGAGATCCATTCAGAACATTTTGAAACTAAAGAGATCCTTGGACAGCCGTAGTTGGGCAAAGACAAATCGATGTAAAGCGTGAGACCTGTTTTTTTGGCAGAACATGTGCTTTATCATGAACCTATTTATACCACCCATTGAGATTGAACTGATTAATGAGCTGTTCTACTTACACAAAGGTGGAGAAATGTTTTTCAAATGACCTTGAGGTTAGGAACTGGGCACTGGCTCAGAGTTTGCGAATGCTTTTTACAGGTTGCTGTACTGCCCGACTCTGGAGGCCCAGCTTTTGGTGCCACTGACAGGCAAGCTGCGTTACTCTGCTGGCTAATGAAAAAGTCACTCCAGTGTCTTTATAGTTTTTGACCATGGGTTCCTTGAGGAGGTCATGGCTGTTTCATCTCCATGCATGCATGCTGCAGTCACCATGTGCTGCTGCCCCCCCCCCCCTTCACTCTCGCTTCCCCCATGAAGTCAGCAGTTGTCAAAGCAGATAAGTGCCTCCATCTGAAGATAAAAGGCTCGGCACATGTGAAGCGATGCCTGGCGTGAACCTCCAGTCAGATTTCCTCAACCAGGTGCCGTTGGTTTATGCTGGACCTAACTGAGGTCTGCTTTGACACATGCGTTTAGCACAGTGCAATAACCAATGGCTTTCCCCCGTAGCGCAATCAATTTTTTAATACGTCTTTGCTGTGCTTTAGTGAGACTTTTTGTCCTGCCTACAGTGGGGTCGTTTGTTTTGATGGGTAGTTTAGCGAATGGCTGACCTGGATTCTGCGTTAGTACATTTATCTTACCTCCCTGTAGTGTTTGGACTGCTCCGTGGTCTCTTAATATGCTTCTGTATTGTGAGGAGAGTTCAACCCTTCTGCTTAAGCTGTGTGCCTAATATGAAAACATTTTTGATTGCTTGTTGTTATGGGTCTGTTTATTAAGGTTTGCAGCTGGTATTGACACGTAATTCTTCTTCTGAATTGTAAACCCTCCATAACTGCACTGCATTTATATGCGAGTTGACGTCTTGCCCTCTTCAGGTTTCGTTATTCCTCACAACAGGTGTCCCCATTGCTCTTATGTCTGAGCGTAGTGACCGTCCACCTGTGGAGTACATGGTTTAGAGATGTGTAGATTCAAGATGACAGCGAGGAACAACTGGTTTGAGGAGTTCAGGGTTGATTAATGACACAAATCAGAATACAAAACGGACCACATCTATGGTTAAGTATGTATTTAGTTTGTTTCCTATATTTTGGTGTATATAATGTGTTATTTTGGTACAACACTTGTTTTACACTCTTTAGTGAGGTGGTTGGAGATATTATTTCTTTTACTTTCTACATGGACAATGTTGGGCTAGCCTTAGATATGCTACTACCATGACCTGCATAAGCACTAAACAGTCTGGACTGAGTCATCCATATAAAAAAGACCTTCTAAAACGCGTAATAATACTTTTAAAACTGTTTTATTATCCACTTTTGGATTCTGGATTATTTGTGGATCGCGGTCGTGACCTGATTGTGGTGACCTTGTTTGAGACAGGCCACAGAGACAGTTTTTTTTTCTTCTTTTTTTGAAGTGATATATTCTTCAAAGTTAATTAAGGGTTTTATATACACAAAACCAACAGTTGGAAAAAGTTACCCTGACCCATTGACATGGTTGTGAAGGACCAGAGGGAAATGGTTCAGTACCTCAGGTTTTGCCACTGGAATCGACATCATTTGGTTTTGCAATAAAATACACTTAATCTCCTTTTTCAGGCTCCGCGAGGTCTCGGAGAAACTCAACAAGTACAGCTATAACAGGCAAGTTTGGGTCAGCGTGGAAACACTGCTTTTTTCTAATTGGATAAATTGTTGCTGTTTTGTAATTGTAATGCTAATTCTCTATATTGTCTAATTTTTCTTTGTCGGCCTTTCCTCCTTCCCCAATTCTCTAATGCAGTCATCCGCACCTTAGTCTGCTGGAGCAGGCCACCCTAAAACAGTGTGTTGTTGGTCCAAACCATGCCGGATTCCTCCTTGAGGTAATGCTACGAGACATTGCATCATTGGCATTAACGAAACCCTTGCTACAGACCGTAGTTCATAATGAATGTTTATTTATTGGCCACCAAAACTGAAGGTATCGTATTGAGATTTAGATTCAAACCCAACACTAATATTAGATGGCATCTGCCTTTTTGCTTTTAAAACACTACCAGCGGACACAGAGCGGGCATCCGCAGCGTCCTCCCGTTGGACGGTCCCGCATCGAAGTATTAAACCGAGGGTGTAGCGGCGTTCCTTCCGTGTTGTTTGTCATTAAGCCGCATTGAGCTGCAGACACGTGACTCAATTTCCTCACGTGAATGACGGCAGATCGTTTGCATCGGTTTGTCTTTATTTTACGCAGCAAAGCGTTAACTGAATATAGAAATAATAAATTATGTCCCCTGGTAGATAAACGATATGCTCTCGTGCCTCATGCAGCTCTTCTGTGTTGCACCTGCTGTAATCATGACGTCAATACATCGAGACAAACGAGCGTCAATCCAACATAAATGCTTTTCAATATATGTTGCGTATCTTTAGTTCCTGCACAATGAGCATGAATCTAAAATTAAATTTGGAATCGGGAACATTGATTACCAAAATATGTTGGACATACAAGGAATTTGACATGGCGGTTGGTGCATAACATCAGACAGTAAGACAATGGACAACAAAACCGATGAGACAACATAGTGATTAATGTTCCACAAATTCCAATTAACTAACAGATGCATAGTTTGAAGTTAAAAAGTGTTTTTTACTTATTTATATTTACAGTATTGTTTAAACAGTTAATCAATTTTGCTTGGCATTAAAAAAAAACTGTTTAGTAGTGGGGAAAAAAACACAAACGATAGCCATCCCTATTCCTCGGAGCCACCGCTGACGGAGCGCACGTCCCCCCCAGATTGTCAATTAACATCCTTTAGGTTTTAAATCTTAAAGTCTGATCCAAGAAATGAATGATTTCTTCCAGCGTACAGCACCTCTGAAACAAATGAATTTAGAGCAGGCGGGCTGTAATTTGTGGACAGCCATAGATAGTCAGATGTGAAAGACCGCTTTGGGTTGTTTTATGTTTGGCTGGATACATGGTTCAAATTCCTATTTGGATCATCTCACCCTCTCAATATAATGAATAGTTATAAAACCATAAATGCCTCTTTTAGGATGGCCGCGTGTGCAGAATCAGCTTCGCTGTCCAGCCGGACCGCCTGGAGCTCAGCAAACCGGATGGTGGCGATGGGTGAGTGAGAGACCTCTTTTTAAGATTGGATCCAGCCCGGAAACTGTTAATTTTTTGGGACCGACGTGGGAAAACGTATTGCTCAGGGAGATGTCGCACAAGATGCACTGAGCATGCTCTGGCCGGTTGCTGTTGCCTCTCGGCCGAGTGCAATGCTGTCGGACGTGATCGCCCCTCGTAAAATAATTCTCGGGCTGTTATCTTAAAAGATTGTAATCAAGTAGAAGAGAATAACAATTTTTGAAAATGTAGGTCTGTTCGCAAAGGAGTCCTCCCAACTGTGAGTGGGGTGACTGGGGGATGCTTTGGAGTGGGGGGGAGATTATGATGCACAAGTCATTCTCACCTCAGAGCTGCTTTATCCTTCAGCTTTTATTCCAATCTTCACAACAACAAATCCTTTCTATAAGCCAGTTCCTCTTACCGTTGCTACAATTTCAGAGCCTTCAAGGCCCCTTTAACTGTAAAGTATTTTTTTCCCTTGCTACAGCAAAACCCTTTTGTACCAATTATATTAACAGCACATTGGTACTGTTAAAATGATAAAATGACATATCTCAGTCTCTGAAATCGCGTGCAATAATTGTTGCTGATGCGATATTAATTTGACATATAAATGAATGTCACCAACATTTAAGTTGATCCTGCTGGCGATCGAAGCCCCACGTTAAACCTCCCCAGCTGCCGCGGCGCGCTGGACATGTTTTCTCGAACCCGACTAGCCACCCTGATGCTTTGCCCGATGCTCCGCCTGCTCAGTGTCCCTTGCGCTTATTATTTTTTTTGTTTTTCACATTCCAATTCTAATATCTAACCATTCTGACAAATATAACGTTCTTTGAAATAGTGTACTTTTATTACTATGCTATTCTATTGTCATTATGTTCAGTGGCATAAAATCGTCTGAAAATTGCAATAATATCGCAATAAATGTCGGTGCAATAATCTCACAACAAATATTTGATATCGTAACAGCCCTACATTCAAGTAAACTACTTTTGGCCAAAGGCATTCCATCATAAGAAAAGTTTAAGTAGGAGAAAGCTGTTCTCCCAGCAGGAAGGAGTTACAGCCAACTCCGATTGCCGTGTGTGTTGCCAGGCTAATGTCGTCGTTGCCCCCTCCCACCCGCCACGCTTTTTCCAATATACCAGTAAAGAAAGAAAATGACTCCCAATATGAGGGGTATAATTGAGCAGACCGTGGGTGAAATTGCGTTCTGACCCAGTCAATAAATTGCAGTCTTTGGGTTTTGGACCTGTGTGCGACCCATGCAGATGTATAACGAATCTCCCATCTTTTGTTTCCAGTTCAAAGTTGAGCAGTGGTTCAGGGACAGGAAGGAGCTCCAGGCCAGGCAGGACTAGCGATCCGCCCTGGTTCCTGTCTGGCTCTGACACACTGGGCAGACTGGCAGGCAACACCCTGGGGTAAGTTCTGGAAGGGTTGACGCCGACTCTGTGAAAGCTCTGTGTTTAGAGAGCTGAGCTGTATTCCCCCACCTCGTTTGTCATGCTGAGGAGGGAACTTGAGGGTGCAGTAAAATGTAATAAAATGTGTCCACCACATGGCAAACATCGAAGGGCACGGCCGTGTTTATCGGCTCTGCTCAATTTGCAGTCTTCTTAATGCTCATGTTGATCATTGGAGGTGAAAGTAAACCAACTGGCAATTTAAACAGAATTTGTGCATAATGCTTTATCCTACTATACCAAATGTTTTCAGCTCTGATAATGCCTGATTAAATTAGGAGGATGCCGGAATATCGTTTCTCTCCCACTGACCCGTCCCCGTTGTCAGGAAGGCAGCAAATCCCTTCCTACCCAGACCTGTCTGTGCTACGTCTGCTCTTTGTCACATGCTTTGTTTTATCTGACCACATGGCCTTGCGCTCCATGTGACAGGAGTCGCTGGAGCTCTGGCGTGAACGGCGCCACCGGAGGCAGCGGAACTGGAGGTGGAGCGGGGGGAGGCGGAGCCGGGGGTGGCAGTAGTAGTAGTGGCGGCGGCGGTGGAGGCGGAGGCGGCGGCGGCACGTCAGGGAGGTCGTCAACGGCAGCGCGGGATTCCCGCAGACAGACTAGGGTGATCCGTACAGGGAGGGACCGCGGCTCGGGCCTGCTGGGTAGCCAGCCTCAACCGGTCATTCCGGCGTCTGTCATCCCTGAAGAACTTATCACTCAGGTACCGCGTGTGTGTGTGTGTCTGTATATGTATATGTAAGTGTATCTTTGAAAGACAAAAACAACCAAATGGTTTAATGACCCTTTCTGTGCTTAAACTGTACCTGCTGCGCTGCATTCACAAGTAAGTGTCGATCTGTTTCTAATACGTAGTTGTGTACTTTTCGCCAGGCCCAGGTAGTCCTTCAGGGGAAGTCCAGGAGTGTGATCATTAGGGAACTCCAGCGGACCAACCTTGATGTCAACCTCGCCGTCAACAACCTGCTGAGTCGGGATGATGAAGATGGCGATGATGGAGACGACACAGCCAGCGAGTCCTACCTGCCTGGAGGTTTGTCAAAAATGCTAAACGTAAACAAACAAAGGTCATATTAATAAAAATAAGTGTTGTGAGTGAGCTCTGCATCCTTCTGTTTCTCGGTCCCACGCAGAGGATCTGATGTCACTGTTGGACGCAGACATTCACTCCGCCCATCCCAGTGTGATTATTGATGCTGATGCAATGTTCTCGGAGGAAATCAGCTACTTTGGCTACCCTTCTTTTAGACGCTCCTCACTGTCGCGCCTGGGATCCTCCAGAGGTAACTTGACAACTCCTTTCTGACTAGTGAAGCCGGTAGTTGGAGAGGTTTTCCGCGCCTCTCTGATGGCTTTCCTTGTGATGATGGAGCTTTAATTGCTTAGTTTTCGGTAAACAATTTGAAAAGCAAAACCACAGATACATTTTCAACAAGTTGAGCTAATTGTTTTTTGTGCATAACAAAAATGGCGTGCGAAGAAAATACATATACGATTTTCCCCTTTGCCGAATGTATTGTTGAGTTGTTTTATAAAGTAATGTGTTTGGTGTTACTGGCTTTAAATGTTTGGTGTCTTATGCTGCATGGCTGTATTACATACTGTGATCTCTCTGAGAAAGGCCCGCTAGGTCCCCCATATCATAACAGGGACCCTTTAAGACAATCTATTCTAAACCAACGTTAGCCCATATGCATGCTTTCTTTCCGCCCATCCACTTCCTCTTCTACCTCACATTTAACAGGAGCGTGCAAACTGCGCCCGCCCCCCCCCCCGGTATAGTTTAAACTGCCCCTCAATCTTCAGCAAATTAGGTTCTAAAGGATCCCTTCTCTCTCTCTGTTGCTATCCTTAAAACTATGTTGACGGGTCTTTCCCAGAGAGTGGCTTACTTCTATCTCGCTGGTGTGACCTTATTGCATACCAGTTCTCCTTCTTCCCTTAGAGCGCGACTCCGAGCTGTTGCGTGAGCGTGAGTCTGTGTTGAGGTTGCGCGAGCGCCGGTGGCTGGACGGGGCCTCGTTCGACACGGAGCGAGGCTCCACCAGCCGCGAGGGCGAGCCCAGCTTGGACAAGAAGAACATCCCGGTCCAGAGCCCTGTCTCCTTGGGAGAGGAGCTCCAGTGGTGGCCTGACAAGGTGGGAGGAGCGCAAGCATATATGTTTATTTAAGAACATAGGAATCCACACCTTTTTTACGTTGCATTTGGGGTTTTGACCATTCTCGTTTTCCCTATTGAGATGTTGCTGAGACTTGATTGCTGATCCGCGAGTAGAAAAATGAATTTCTTTGGACAATTAGGGTGACGTTTTGCATTCCCTCACATTTACTGAGATCTTTAATTTTTGCTTTCATAGGATGGTGTGAAGTTTGTGAGCATCGGAGCCATGTTCTCAGAGTTGGTGGCCGTCAGTTCCAAAGGAGAGCTGTATCAGTGGAAGTGGAGTGACCCTGAACCCTACAGGAATCCTCAGGTGGAGAATTCGGCCCATGTGAATGGAATTACCTAAAACTGCACAATAAATTAACATCTTACTTTTTTTTGGCAAATTACAATGTTATTGTAGCATGTTTAATTGCAACAACAGGCCATTTATTCCACTTTTCTGTTTGTTCCCTCAGAGTTCTTCCATTCACCACCCGCGGGTGTCCTTCCTGGGCTTGGCCAATGAGAAGATCACCCTATTGTCTGCCAATAGCATCAGAGCCACTGTAGCGACAGAAACCAACAAGGTAGATTGTGATTGCTCCCTTTGTCTTGACAACACGTGTGATCGGCTTCCTTTTTGGTAGCAGCACTCAACCACAGGATAAGTTGTGTAACCATACAATGTTGTCTGCCTAAAGAAATGTTTCTGAAGTGATTAATCAATCACATTTGCACTACAAATCTATTTATTGAAAGAATTATCCGTGTGTGTCTGTGTGTGTGTTTGTAGGTGGCAACCTGGGTGGACGACACACTGAGCACAGTGGCCTCTAAGCTGGAGCACAGTGCTCAGGCTTTCCCTGAGCTGCAGGGGGAGCGTATGGTGTCGCTGCACTGCTGTGCGCTCTACACATGTGCTCAGCTGGAGAATAGCCTCTACTGGTGGTGAGATGGAGAAAAACGTTTTGCATGACATCACATTGAACAGAATTGTTATTCTATGTTTTGAACAATAACATTGCCTCCCGAATATTGCCATAACATTGTTATCCTGACAGGTGTAGCGGGAGTGTTCATCAAAGTCACACGCAAAACAATAGGTTATTACACTTTTCTTTTTCACAGGGTTATTGATGGGGGAACATTCTGCGTTTTTGTTGAGTGCTTAATCGTGACTCTTACCAGAGGCGACAATATGGATGTCTTTGTCAATTTAATGTGACACACGTTTTACATCGCAGAAAAATATCAATGTCGCACTGCTTGTCGTCCGTGTACAGGGGTGTTGTGCCTTTTAGTCAACGGAAGAAGATGCTCGAAAAGGCCAGAGCCAAGAACAAAAAGCCTAAGTCCAGCGCTGGCATCTCCTCGATACCAAACATCACCGTGGGAACACAAGTAAGACGGTCCTTTGTATATTTATAATACTTTTTATGGGTTTGTCTTGAGATGTTTCTTCATGTCCCGGTGGCTTGCGTTTTGTTTGAAATCCATTTTCCCGTCCCTCCCTCAGGTGTGCTTGAGGAACAACCCCCTCTACCACGCCGGCGCAGTGGCCTTCTCTGTCAATGCTGGGATTCCCAAAGTGGGCGTCCTGTTGGAGTCCGTCTGGAACATGAACGACAGTTGCCGGTTCCAGCTGCGCTCACCAGAGAGCCTCAAGAACATGGAGAAGACCGCAAAGACCCAGGAAATCAAGTCCGTAGCATTTTGTGTAGACGATGCATTTTTTTCATATATTTCATTACAATTTTAACCACAACTGTCAGACATAGACTTCAGTCCCTGTGATTGCAGAAAGTAGAAATTCAGGAAACTGAAAGTGATCTTTTTCTCAATGCGTAGGACGGAGACCAAGCCAGAGCTGGTGAAGACTGAGATGGGTCCCCCTCCCTCCCCGGCATCTACCTGCAGTGATACCTCTTCCATAGCGAGCAGTGCCTCGCTGCCCTACAGTACGTCAGCTTCGCTCTCCCTCTCGACCTCTAGGTCTCACAACAACACTCGTCTCTCAACTTTCCTCTCCATCTCCCAGGCACAGAATCAATTTCTTCCTCACTCTGCGCTCTCATTACTCTGACTTTGAAACAGATGGTGCGCAGACTTTTATCAGCACATTTTTTCCCCTGCCTGGTTTCCTGTGTATGGCCAGCTGTTTTTTTTCCCCCCTCATCATATGAGCCCTACAGCTCGGCTGTCTGTTGATAAGTCCTTTTCCCTAGTCCACCTGGTCACAGCATTGTTACAGTCCTAGTCGGTGATTCCGCACTATTTAATCACTAGATGTGAAAACTAAGTTTTGTATCTGATTATTCTGTGATTGAAGCATTAATTGTCAGTATGCTTTTCTGTCGACAGAGCGAAGGCGTTCCACCCCGGCTCCCAAAGAGGAGGAGAAGGTGAACGAGGAGCAGTGGCCACTCAGGGAGGTGGTGTTTGTAGAGGACGTTAAAAATGTCCCTGTGGGAAAGGTGGGTGCATCCGAAATGTGGCAGTGCATAGACCGTGTCAGTGTTTGCAAATGCGATAAAGTCTTGAGTAGTGCTGGTTATCCCGGATTTGTTCTGACATTTCTTAACGCATTACCTTCATGTCCTGGGTGTCCTAGGTACTTAAAGTCGATGGCGCGTATGTAGCTGTGAAGTTTCCAGGGACATCCAGCAGCATGAATAACCAGACCACCGCCGCTGCCGCCGCCGCCGCCGCCGCTGCTGCTGCTGCCGCTGCTGCTCCCACAGACTCTGACCCATCATCACTGTTGCAGGACTGCAGGCTCTTGAGAATAGACGAGCTCCAGGTAGACATCAATTGTTCCAATTGTGTCTTTATTGCAGTGTATGTAGTTATGCAGGCAAGAGCCCCTCTCCATTCATATTGATGCAACTTTTTGTTTTATGACAGGTGGTCAAAACTGGTGGGACTCCTAAAGTTCCGGATTGTTTTCAGCGCACACCTAAAAAGCTTTGTATCCCAGAAAAAGCTGAGATTCTGGCTGTGAATGTTGACTCCAAAGGTGAGTTTTTGTCTTCATTATGTCTATCTGTATCCTTGATATAGTCTTTCAAAAAATGTATTTTTAGGTGTGTATATCTTCTATTTCCAACCCGTACACATCTCTCCACCCACCAGGAGTTCACGCAGTTCTAAAAACTGGTAACTGGGTGAGGTACTGTATCTTTGACCTGGCCACAGGCAAAGCCGAACAGGAGAATAACTTCCCCACCAGCAACCTGGCCTTCCTGGGCCAGAGTGAGCGCAATGTGGCCATCTTTACTGCAGGACAGGTGAGATAATCTCCCCAATATGTGACATGTTTTGGTGGTTTGGCACGTGCCTTGTTGTATACAAATCTAAACTATGATTTTTCTCCCAGGAATCTCCCATCATCCTTCGAGATGGAAATGGTACAATCTACCCCATGGCTAAAGATTGCATGGGTGGAATAAGAGATCCCGATTGGTTGGACCTGCCTCCTATAAACAGCCTGGGAATGGGAGTGCACTCTCTGGCAAACCTCCCCTCGAACTCTACAATTAAAAAGAAAGCTGCTATTATTATTATGGCTGTCGAGGTAAACTTAAGCTTTTTATAAATGTAAACTAAGAATAAAAATCTGCTTCCATCCTTTTCTACCCATAAATCTGACTGAAAGACCATAGCTGTTCAAATAAGCGACAATCATCTATGTACCCTTTAGAAACAGACTCTGATGCAGCACGTTCTGCGTTGTGACTACGAGGCGTGCCGGCTGTACCTGGTGAACCTTGAGCAGGCTTTCCTGTTGGATCAGGGCGGCCAGGCCCTCCGAGCCCTTTTGGATCATCGCTGCGATGGAAACCGCAACATCCTTCACGCGGCCGTCTCTGTGTGCTTCCCTGTTAGCAACAAGGAGACCAAAGAGGAGGAAGGTAAGCAGGCACTTTAGAGACGTCGCTACTCAAAAGTAGTTTATTTTTTATTTCCATGTCACATTTCTTACCAGTTTTGGACGTTGCCATCTTTTTTTAGAAAGTTTGAAAAGAAAAGAATGAATTTTTCTCCAAGCACAAATGTTTGTTTTTGAGTCTGCCGCTGTATCAGTTTGATTACCTGTTTCCCTGAGTCTCTCTTCTCCATGCAAAGTGACGTGCCGTTTTGTTCCAGAAGCTGAAAGGTCAGAGAGAAACACATTTGCAGAGCGTCTATCTGCTGTGGAGGCAATTGCCAACGCCATCTCTGTGGTTTCAAGCAACAGTTCTGGGAATCGGACGGGCTCCTCCAGCAGCAGAGGGTAAATGCTCATTTATGCGTTTTTTGCACACTGCTCCCCACGGCTTTGAATCCAATGTTGTCCATTAATATGAAAGCTCAAGCAACAGTGCTGGTCTTGATTTCAGACCCATGTTTTCTTTTCACGTACTGTCTCCAGGCTTCGTCTGAGGGAGATGATGCGGAGGTCTTTGAGAGCCGCAGGTCTTGGTCGTCACGAGTCCGGCCCGTCATCCGGTGACCACCAAGACCCCGTTTCTCCGCCCATCGCCCCACCAAGTTGGGTCCCTGACCCTCCACCCATGGACCCTGGTCAGTGCATCGGTACAACATTGTAAAATTAGAATAATCTTAAAATCAGATAAAACTATAGCGAGAAAACAGGATATTTAATGAAACCACTGCTTTAGTACAGTGGAGGTGTCTCAACAGACGTTACAGACAAAAACTTGATCCTTTTTCCACAGCAGCGTATGTGGGCGATTTCTGAAGTTAGACAATCCTGATGGACTGAAAAGATTATAAACTCATGTTGTGCGAGCCTTAGAACGGAACTTGACAATTTGTATTCCACCGTCTCACTGGTGCTTTGTAACACACCATCCACATCAGGGCAGCCTCTTGAGTTGTGTTGCCGCAGATGTCCGTCTAAAGGCGGTTTGTTTTATTTCTTAAATTGAACTGAAATCTAAAAATATTATTTTTATTTATTCAATAGACGGTGACATCGACTTCATTCTAGCACCAGCTGTGGGTTCACTGACCACCGCCTCCACTGGGACCAGCCAGGGACCCAGCACCTCCACCATCCCCGGTACGTTACATCTTCAGCACGCCAGGCTACGGCAAATGTTTTTTCTGATTTCTTTTTTTGTTTTTAATAGGTCATTTTTAAATTGCGTTGTCTTCTATTGGAGCTTAAAGTTGCGACTGACTAGTTCATAATAAGACAACAAAGAGAATCAAAGCGTTTCAGATGATTCTCTTTAAATAGGTTCTATATGACATACTGACATTATCCTGTCGTCTCATTCTTTGTCCTCCACTTCAACAGGGCCGTCCACCGAGCCATCCGTGGTTGAGTCTAAAGACCGGAAGGCCAACGCCCACCTGATCCTGAAGCTGATGTGTGACAGTGTGGTTCTAAGGCCACACCTACGGGAGCTACTCTCGGCAAAGTACGCTTTTCTACTTCTATTATCATACTTATCAGAGGTTATTGTACACATTGAATGCTCTTACCCTTCTTTGTCTGTCCCTCATGTGTGTCCTTGTTTCTGTTTGACAGGGATGCCCGTGGAATGACTCCGTTCATGCTGGCAGTCAGCGGGAGAGCTTATCCGGCAGCCATCACTGTACTGGAGGCTGCTCAGAAAATGTCCAAGGGTAATTTAAGAAGTCCTCATTGGGTTTTAAACTGGTTTCTCATTTGAATGGTTACTGTTTGCATTAATCCTAACCATTGCATAAATGGCTGCCTAGTATCGTTCACATTATTCTGAGAACATATTCTGACTTTTTTGTGAATCTCATGTAATTTAAAGGGGGTGAGGCAACAGCTGGGACATTGGGGGTCATCTGCAGTGTGAATCCTGACCTACTTAGCCGCCCTGCTTACAACAGTTAGCTATGTTGTAACTGGCATTCCTCCTGTTTCAATATTTTCCTCCGAATGTCTGACACAGTGGGTGACCCGGGCATTGCAGAGAAGGAGGATGCAGACACTGTGTTCACGGAAATGATTTGCCCCTCTGGAACCAACCCGGATGATTCGCCTCTCTATGTTCTCTGCTGCAACGACACCTGCAGTTTCACTTGGACTGGAGCTGAGCACATTAACCAGGTCGGTCTACAATAAGACAGGGAAAGCACTGGCCAGGAGAAAGTGACGTGTTGTAGGCACGTCACAACCACGGCGGCTCACTAGTCCTGCATGGCCTGGTTATGTTAAGGATGGCGGTTTTCTTTGATTATAAGGTTTAGAGAAAGTTAAGTAACTGAAAACCTAATCAAATATTAATCTCATTTGTGCTACTTAGGAGCCTGTTTTTGTCAACCTTCACGTATGTTTTAAGGTTGTGGGAAAAAAAGTTATGGATAAGTCATGGTAAAGTCTTTGACATATATTAGCAGAAATGTGCATGAACCCTGAATATTGTTTGGATAAAAGTAGGTACATTGGTCTTTTTCATCACAATGACTTTGCATTTAGGACATCTTTGAGTGTCGGACCTGTGGTCTGCTCGAGTCCCTCTGCTGCTGCACGGAGTGTGCAAGGGTGTGTCACAAAGGACATGACTGCAAGTAAGTCCTAGTTGTTAGTCTTGCCATGACTTTCCCCCCGATTTCATTGCATTCAACACTATCATCCTAACTTTGCTGCTGTTCTCTCCCAGGCTGAAGAGGACGTCTCCCACAGCATACTGTGACTGTTGGGAGAAATGTAAGTGTAAGACGCTGATCGCCGGCCAGAAGGCCGCCCGTCTGGATCTGCTGTACAGGTTACTCACAACCACCAACCTCGTCACAACACCTAACAGCAGGTAAGGCCACGCTGCTCTCTGCGCACTTCAACTGTCACTTTCTTTTTGTTTTTTGTGTACTTCATAATTGGCAAAACGCAGTAGGCAATTCTGGCTGAAATCAGCTTGATTGTGTTATTTGGACACAGAAGCTGCTTGATATTGTGCAACCGAGATGGAAGGGATATTTCTGACAAATCTTTTTTTTTTTTGCAGGGGAGAGCATATATTGTTGTTCCTGGTGCAGACTGTTGCCAGGCAGAGTGTTGAGCACTGTCAGTACAGACCACCACGCATCAGAGAAGACCGGAACCGCAAGGCTACAAACGCAGAGGGTAGGTTCTGAAACCCTCGTCTGTTTCCCAACTTATAACCATCGGGCAGACTCCTCACCATTTACATGAGACTATTTCCCCCACTCGCCTTTAGTACTAATTATGCTGGGTAAAAAGGGTTCCTTCGAGGCATCTGGCATATAACCCCCTTCTTTTTCTTTCCTCTCTTTCAGACTCTGACATGCCAGACCACGATCTAGAACCTCCCCGCTTTGCTCAGCTGGCTCTGGAGAGGGTCCTGCAGGACTGGAATGCCCTGAAGTCTATGATCATGTTTGGCTCCCAGGAGAATAAAGACCCGTAAGTATCTCCGGGAAACCTTGCCCACAGCAGTCAGGGTTCGTACCAGGAATCGGAATCATTCATTGCCATAAAATGTCAGACATACAAGAAATTTGACTTGGTGCGTAACGGCGGACGGTACGACTGGACGACAAGACAACAGTGCACGAGGAATAAAATAAAAAATAAGGCTATGGGTTAGTTTAAAATAAAGGAGTTAAAGATGAAGTTAAAAAATATTTAAAAAATAAAAATGCAAGTGTACGGTTATGGAAATTTGTTGTATTATGTTCGTGTGGTTCATTTAAGATACGTTTGAAATAATTCATATGGTTTTAAAGCGAGACGCTCCAAATATAAGCAGGATTCTCTCGTACTCGCAACTAAAATAACTCACCATGGTTGTGTGAACGCACCTTAACTGAAAAGTTCAGTGGCCGTAACAAACAAATGAAACATTATGAGCAAAGTGTCAACTTAATGTACAATAAATAAATTATGTGACACAGTAGATAAACGATATGCTCTCGTGCCACATGCAGCTCTCTTCTCAACGTGGTGCGCCTGCTGAAATCATGACGTCAATACAGCGAGACACACAGCAATCCAACATAAATGCTTTCACTTATATTACATCTCTGTAGTTCTACACAATGAGCAGAAATTAAATGATTAATATTCCCAAAAAGTAATAGTAGGGACATACGGTATGCCTTGGAATTCTCATTGTTGGTTTAAATACTACATTTTCTCACTTTTTTCTTCATTTTCACAAAATTTGGGTCCTGGAAATCCATTGGTCAAAATATGTATGAACCCTGAGCAGTAGAATCTGGATGAGTTTGCTCAGTTTGCCGCTAAAATAACTGAATTTTACGTTTTTCTTTTATTACGTCCTAGACTTAGTGCCAGCAGCAGAATTGCCCACCTCCTGCCTGAAGAGCAGGTCTACCTGAACCAGCAGAGTGGCACCATTCGCCTTGACTGTTTCACCCACTGCCTCATTGTCAAGTGTGCTCCTGACATCACTGTAAGTCGAGCTCGTTTGTGTGCGCCAGAAATGAGACAATTGTTGTCCCCCTTGTCTTTACTTATTTGACACAAAGGTAAGCAAAATACGTACAAATACTTGTTTAACTTGAGCGTGTTGCTTTTTAAAAAATATATAGTTTATAGACACCTTGCTGGGTACACTAGTAAAGGAGCTGCAGAACAAGTACACTCCAGGCCGGAGAGAAGAGGCAGTTAATGTGACCAGGAGGTTCCTGCGTTCCGTCGCCCGGGTGTTTGTCATTCTCAGCGTGGAGATGGCGTCATCAAAGAAGAAAAAGTAAGTAACCAGTAATGGACATGGGATGTAGGAATTCATTTAAAAATGGCTCAATATGGCTATATAATGACATTCATTACACTTTGGTTTATTTTTTTTCTTCTTCTTCCCCAAGCAACTTCATCCCTCAGCCTATTGGGAAATGTCGGCGTGTTTTCCAAGCACTGCATCCCTACGCTGTGGAGGAGCTGTGTAATGTAGCCGAGTCGCTGATTGTGCCGGTGCGAATGGGTATCGCGAGGCCGACTGCTCCGTTCACTCTGGCCAGCACCAGCATTGACGCCGTTCAGGGCAGCGAGGAGCTCTTCTCTGTGGAACCGCTGCCCCCAAGGCCCTCACCTGACCAGTCCAGCAGGTCTGTTGGTTTCAGTGCCCTCATTTTTCCTTTCTTTATTTCCATTATTTTGTTATGGAAGGTTGCAATGGGCTCATGTTGTATCAGTTTGTTTGGTGAGAGCTTCATGTTAATGTGCCCAAGTGAAGATGAGAAGCCTTTTACATTACGGAGTCGCTTGCTTGATTTTGATTTGGAGAAGAAACCAAAGTCTGCAAAAGATTCCTGATTTATCTTATTCACTAATGACTTCTGTTTTTGTGCTTCGTCCCCCAGCTCCAGTCAGACGGCTGCCTCTTACATCATCAGGAACCCCCAGCCTCGGCGCAGCAGCCAGTCTCAGCCTACCAGAGGGAGAGACGAGGAGCAGGATGACATTGTGTCAGCAGATGTGGAAGAGGTGGTGAGCCTCATTATATAATCGAGAAGGCCTGCAGGTCAACCCATGTATATTGCTGAAGTATGATGCCACCTAGTTTTGGCTGGAATTATGCATTCAGAGAATTATAGAACGACGCCTCTCAGTAACCGTAGTGGACCGTAGATGACAACCAGCTACAACCCCAATCTACCATCATTACCGGCACTTTAAGCCGCACATTAAGACCAATGCGTCCGTATTGGTAAAAGGAAGTCTGAATCTATGAATAAATTTCATAACTGATCCATTTTTTGGAAAATTTAAATAATGAAATAAGTCATGCGCAGGCATCTTCATAGTTCTGTAGAGTTGGCGCGGGTTGTAGCTAGTTGTCATCCACGGTCCACTACGGTTACAGAGAGGTGTCGTTTGAGTTTTATCTCATAATTTTGACTTTCTATCCCCTTCTTTAGTGTGGAAATGAGCTTCTATAGTTCTGTGAATGCATAACTCCAGCCAATCCAAAGACTGGCTTTCAATTGGGTGTAGAGCTGCAATGGTGACTGGCTCCGCCCCCTTACTGTCAAAAACAGCGAGCACACAGAAAACACCTTTGAGCGAGTGCAATGAAATTCACATTTTGCAAGCGAGCAAACATCCCGCTATAGACTCGGATGTTTGATTTCCGCGCACGCATGGACCTGATTTGCGCTCTCGGATTTTGAGTGATTTGCCTTCATAGAATTTACTCATTTTCATTCCAATCATTGTATCATATTGGGTGAGAATGGGAATAGCGCTTGTCTCAAATGTCGCTTATGATCTGTTTTGTTTGTCTTTCAGGTTGAAGTTGTAGAAGGAGTAGCCGGTGAGGAAGATCATCACGATGACCAAGAGGAACAGGGAGAGGAAAATGCGGAGGCAGAAGGCCAGCACGACGAGCACGACGAAGACGGTGAGACGCACCCTATGTTTTGAAACCAAGGGATTTAATGACGCTGTTTGTGTTTCGCAATCTTGTAGCACCCCACAGCGAGTGAAACATCTGTTTGTCATTGCCTCTGCTCTTAGGAAGCGACATGGAGCTGGACCTTTTGGCAGCGGCTGAAACTGAGAGCGACAGCGAAAGCAACCACAGCAATCAGGATAATGCCAGCGGCCGCAGGAGTGTCGTCACGGCAGCCACAGCGGGCTCGGAAGCAGGTTTGTCAACAGCTTTTTTCAAACCTTTTGTTTAGATTTTCTTTAAAATCCCCCTTCACAAAAGTGTAATGTTCCTTTTCTTTGTTTTTTTTTAGTTTCTTGGTCGAAATCCAGTCAGCATTCCTATTGCCCTCTTAATCTTTCCAAATCTTTGAGGCTCCAACTGCTTACTAAATAGAAAATACATTTCTGTCTTGCTGCACCGTGGTATATTTTCCTTGAATTTCGTACTTCTGCAGTCCTCAAATCATTGGTACTCAGCATTTTGGAAATTATTGGGATTAATGTTTGGAGAGCTAATGATACGGCAGACAAAGTGGTCCCTGGCTGAATACCCCATGTATTTCATTCGCAGGCAGTAGGGTGTCCTTGGCATTTCCTATTTTTGGTAGGAGCTCCTCTTTACTTCAATGCACACACAGATGTCAGGGCAAGAGTGAATTTATAAAGTGCATACAGCTTCCTGCTGAGAGTTCCTTCACTTTGTCCCTTTCTCACATTACACCATTATCGTCTTGTCATTTTTAACCAAAACTCATCACAAGTGTTTGTCCTTTTCACCCAAATAACTCACTAATCAACTTTTCACAACAGCTTTTCCAAAATGGTGTGGTGTTTTTCTCCTCCTTGGTCATCTAAAATGTCTTTCTTGCTAATGATGTTCAGAATATTAGTACATTTGAGACATTGCTGTTCTTCCTCCCTTATGCCATTTCCAACCTAATTAGAAAAATATATAAGTGATACATGATGCTAGTTTGCACAAGGGGCACACAGTGCAGCTGTTGTCTTGACTTCAGTGCTGTTGCCGTCACATCATTGTCGTTTGGCCTTGTAGTGGTGTGATTCACTAACCCGCACTCCTGCCTGGATAAATCTGATGACCGACAAAGGATGGGGAGCTGAGAAGAAAGCAAAAGCCATTAAACTGGTCTTTCTTTTTTTCTTCATCCCAAATCATCCTCCTCTCCTCCCTGAAGGCGCCAGCAGCGTTCCGGCCTTCTTCTCAGAAGATGACTCCCAGTCCAATGACTCCAGTGACTCCGATAGCAGCAGCAGTCAGAGCGACGACGTCGACCAGGAGACGTTCCTGTTGGATGAGCCGCTGGAAAGGACAACTACCGCCTCTCATGCCAACAGTGCGGCCCAGGCTCCCCGCTCCATGCAGTGGGCCGTTAGAAACACGCCCAGCCAGAGGGCCGCGGGGAGCGCTCCCTCCAGCTCGTCAACACCTGCTGGTCAGTGAATCTTTAGGATTTCCTTGTGTGAAACGTCTGTTTGCGTTTCCACATGACTGTAATGTTTTCTATTTTTTTCTTTACAGCGAGCTCTACTGGCCTGATCTACATCGACCCCACCAACCTGCGACGCTCCAGCGCCATCAGCTCGAGTGCGGCGGCTGCGGCGGCGGCCCTTGAGGCCAGCAACTCCAGCAGCTATCTGACATCTGCCAGCAGCCTGGCCCGGGCCTACAGCATCGTCATAAGGCAGATCTCTGACCTCATGAGTCTAATTCCCAAGTACAACCAACAAGTCTACACGCAGTACCCTGCTGCTGTGAAGCTCACCTACCCGGATGCTGTCAACCTGCAGGTAAGATACACTGTCATCAAAATACTCTTTTTGAATAATATTTGTTATTAATCTGTTAAGATTTTCCTAAGCAATCACTGATCAAACATTGCTTAGGTTTAGAATAAATCCATACACCATGGCTATCATTTGAGCATAAAACCCATATAAAACCCTCCAAATTAGTATCTGTGTACTCTTATATGCAGGGCAGTACCGAATATCCTTTCTTTAAATGTGATACTACTTAGGTTTTTTTTAATTGAAGCTTCAAATGTCTAAAAGGATATGTCATCAGCAAAAACAAAATTAAGTGATTGGATTAAGTAAATTCATATCTTTTTTACTAAATAAACTTTAATGAATATAACAAGCATGAGAACAGTTGGGTTTATTGCGGTGAAAATGTTGTTCTATACCATTTTATATAATTACATCTCTTGATCCAAAACACTTGAACTCTCTGGAGTTATTGGAAATGTTTGGAACACGCAAGTCTGAAACAATCCTACGCAGCCACCACTGGAATAAAGTTCAAGTGTATTAATAATAACAATAATGTAGCCTGATATTTTTCTGAAAAACTAAGCTTAGCTCCATAATTATAGATGCTGAAATTGAGGTTCTGGTTTAATTTAACTTGTGTAACTTTGGGGTACACGGTAGGAAAATTCAACACAATTAAACTGTTCTGAGAAGACGAGCACAACCGAAGCTAATCATGAAGTTATTATAATTAAAGACAATAGTACAGCATTGGAAAATTCATCTTTATCAAAATATAAGTGTTGTCCCCGTTGAGCAACTTGTATCCATTATATTGTGCTGTGAACTCCAATGACAATCTGAACATTGTCATGTTTTTAATTGTATCAGCGTAATGAGTTTATTAAGCGTGTAATGTTTATCATTTTGTTGGGAACAGAACTATGTTGAAGAGAAGCTGATTCCAACCTGGAACTGGATGGTGTCGATCATGGACTCCACCGAGGCTCAGCTGCGTTACGGCTCGGCTCTGTCATCGGCTGGAGACCCGGGTCACCCCAGCCACCCGCTCCACGCGTCGCAGCACTCTGCTCGCAGGGAGCGTATAACGGCCCGGGAGGAGGCCAGCCTGCGCACCCTTGAGGGACGCAGGTAAAACAAAACAAAAAAAAGCTCTGCATATTCAATGAGCACCAAACTGTTCTGAAATGGGACAGTAAATAAATAAAGGAGACAATTTAAAGTGGGACAACGTTTTGACCAGAATTAAAGGAAACCACAGGAGAATCATGGACAGTATAAACTTAACAGTTTATATCAAAGTTCAATCCAACTGCCGTTTTGGTTCACACTTTGTATTGAATAAACTCCAGATTTTTGACTCCAGTTTTATGTTCTTTCAGGAGAGCGGCTACCTTGCTGACGGCTCGCCAGGGCATGATGTCGGCGCGGGGCGACTTCCTGAACTACGCGTTGTCCCTCATGCGTTCCCACAACGATGAGCACTCCGATGTGCTTCCTGTGCTGGACGTGTGCTCCCTGAAACACGTGGCCTACGTTTTCCAGGCTCTTATCTACTGGATTAAAGCCATGAACCAGCAGACCACGCTAGAAACCCCACAGATGGACAGGAAGAGGTAAAAAATAATTTTAAATGCCTTTTTGTTTACCATACAAACTGTTTGGTTACGACACGAAACGCCGCTTTTGCAGTGGGTTTATATTTGCATCACTAAATAATTGTATTGTCTGCATAGAAAACAATTTAGTGTTGTATTGCTTGACGAGGCTAACGTCAAGAACTGTTGTCATTAGGACAATAACCATTAACCATGGCTTACTAAACGAACCCTTCTATAACGACAGCAGTATTGTTAATCCACTTGTTTTAAGGAATCGAGAGATTTTGGAGCTGGGTTTGGACAATGAGGATTCTGAACACGAGAACGATGACGACACCAATCAGAGTAAGCCCAGTAGCTAACATCAGTCAATGAGTCATAAATATCACAAACCATGTTTCAAACCATCATTTGAATATCTGTGCTGACAGATTAGTTTGTTTGTGCTTCACCTCAGGTTCAACTCTCCAGGACAAGGATGAGGATCCAGTCCCGGCTGAGATGGGTCAGAACCACCCCTTCTTCCGTCGCTCTGACTCAATGACCTTCCTGGGTTGCATTCCACCCAACCCGTTCGATGTTCCCCTGGCTGAAGCCATCCCACTGGCAGACCAGCCCCACCTCCTACAGGTCAGTTGCTGCTCAGTGTCTAGTGTGAAGCTGGAAGGATTAAAAATGCACAGTCCACAAACCACATGCACGCATTTATCAGCATGAAACATCATGCCAGACGGCCAACGCGTATGTCTCTATTGCCCTCGGAGCAGCTGTAAGAGGGAAGGATATCTGTAAAGAAAAGTTACGTAGGTCATATCTCCCAATCAGGCATTTTCTCGACATGTCAGTTTTTAAATTACATGTCAAGAAGCAGCCCGATTGGATGAAGCTTCTTTATCAATGATGACACGCAGCGAGCGAGAGGGCGACAACATTTCTTAAAGGTTTTTGAAATAGAGGTGTAAGATTCAGAGGAAACGGTGGCTGCAAGAAATGTGTTCTGTTGTGCAGCCAGTTTCATTCCCAATGCGTCTTTGGCTTTGAGTTGATTTGTGCTTCCTCTTTAACAGCCTAATGCCAGGAAGGAGGATCTGTTCGGTCGGCCCTCTCAGGGCTTGTACTCGTCCTCCTATATGGCAACCAAAGGCCTGGCTGAGACAAACATGGACAGGAACTGCCTGGAGGTAAACATGGGCTCCTCTCTACCCTCCCACTCTCAGGTATACCACCCCTCTTCACTGGACAAACATGCTGGCACCTGTGTTCTAATATCCACGCATAGAAAACGCCATGGAAGTAAATGGAATTGAGTATAAATTAATAAGAAAATACAGGATGGCAGTTCAGCCCCACCAGTTGCATCTGAGAGCTGATTTGAAATGATTGCCGTTTTGGGTATTTCTTTTTGCTCACTGTGAAATTACAGCGTGGATATTGGAGCACAGCTTGTGGTCGGTCCCATTATCATATTTCCATTCTTTCGTCGCACAGTCAACGTCAAAGACTTGTGTTCACGTTACTCAAGAACTCCTCTGAACCCCATTGAAACAGATCCTGCCCACCAAGATGTCTTACTCAGCCAACCTGAAGAATGTTATGAGTATGGAAACCAGCCAGCGGAGCACTGAGAACGAGCCACTAGCAGAGCAGGAGCTTGAGGCTTCAAAACCTGGCCCTTCGCCCCACGACCTCGCCGCCCAGCTGAAGAGCAGCCTACTTGCTGAGATTGGACTCACTGAAAGTGATGGACCTCCTCTCTCAACATTCAGGTACCCAACACCAGTCTGTGCTTTGTGATGTTGGTTTAGCGAAGGTGGCACCTTAATGTTTGCTGGGCTTTGCCGACATTTTAATATTATTTTTTATATATATATATATATGTATATATTAGTGTATATATATTAGTATATTGAAAAAAACTTCTGAACCTGGCATCCGTAAATTGTTACATTTTATATCAGTTGTAATACTGGGCTGGGACGTGCATAGATATCCCAAATGGTTACAGTCTATAAATCTGTTTTAAATACTATAAAAATGCATATCTAGCATCCCAATGTGTGCACCTTTTTGTGTCCAGACCTCACTGTAGTTTCATGGGGATGATGATCTCTCATGACATGCTGCTCGGCCGCTGGCGTTTGTCACTGGAGCTGTTCGGTCGCGTCTTCATGGAGGACGTCGGAGCTGAGCCCGGATCGGTACATTTAAAAAAAATCTATTTACTTAAATGTAGGGTTGCAAACTGGAAAAAACAAACTCCACCAAACCCTAATTTGTATGATTCTACATTGGCTCACTAATTGGATTACACAGGACCCTGGGGGGGCTCTGTTTCACCCCCTATGAGTTTGTAGGTACGTGTACTGCCGAATGTTATGTAAAAGATTTATCAAATGTATCTTGTGACCCAAATAACATTTTTTACGGGAGTTTATTGTGCAATTCGTGTACCGTGCAACATCATTGGATTATTTTTCCATCTGAGTGCGGGATTATAATTTGGCCGTTCTGTATCATTTATCCCAGATCCTCACAGAGCTCGGTGGCTTTGAGGTAAAGGAATCCAAGTTCCGTCGGGAGATGGAGAAGCTGAGGAACCTGCAGTCCCGTGACCTGGCCCTGGAGGTGGACCGGGATCGAGACCAGCTGATACAGCAGACCATGCGTCAGCTCAACACCCACTTCGGCAGGCGCTGCGCAACCACGCCTATGGCTGTGCACCGGGTGAAAGTCACCTTCAAAGACGAGCCGGGCGAAGGCAGCGGCGTGGCCCGCAGCTTTTACACGGCCATCGCCTTGGCCCTCCTCTCAAACGACAAGCTGCCCAATCTGGACTGTGTTCAGAGTGTCAGCAAGGGCATGCAGGCCAGCAGTACGTGTCATCACGATTACAATTCAAGTATGACCATACATAGAAACTATACTGTATTATAGAAGTCATTTATTGTTCAATGGTACTTTTAATGATGCTTGATGACCATGATGAAAACTGTCTGCAAACATTTTTCTTTTCTTTTTTTTACACGTAACTGAACTCGTTATATTCAATGAGTTTCCGTTGTGCGTTTGTCTGCAGATCTGATGCAGCGCTTGAGAAACCGAGACCGGGAAAGAGAGCGGAGGAGCGGCGGGCTTCGAGCGGGATCTCGTCGAGACCGAGACAGGTATGCTCCCCCCCTTTTTTTTTTTTTTACCCCAACTGTTTTTGTTGAGCTAGACTGAGACCTGTGTATTTGTGTTGCACAGAGACTCGAGGAGGCAGCTGTCCATAGACACCCGGCCCTTCAGGCCTTCGTCGGAGGGAAACCCCAGCGATGAGCCCGACCCCCTGCCTGCACACAGACAAGCCCTGGGTGAAAGGCTCTACCCACGAGTTCACGCCATGCAACCGGTAATTAATCATCTGCGTACATTTCAATTGAAGAACAGGTGGACATTTCTCGACTCATCCAGATTTGCATTAATTTGGAATTGTACATTCAAACATACTCATCATAATACTTAGATTTTCAAATATGAACATACTTCCGTTACAAAACCAAATGTATCACTGGAGTAATTAAGGCTTTCCTTCACAACGTTGACACCAGATGTGTTCTCATTTTTTCCTTTAGGCTTTTGCCAGTAAAATCACAGGCATGTTGCTGGAGCTGTCCCCCGCCCAGCTGCTGCTGCTGCTCGCTAGTGAGGACTCTCTCCGAGCCAGGGTGGAGGAGGCCATGGAGCTTCTCATTGCACATGGGAGGTAACCATCTGCTCACGGTGCTCACACACATTGCTCTCATAGACTGCATTTGACACCAGTGTTCTGGGAGTAAATTATATCATAATGGAGTGTTTTAAGTAACTAACCTTTTAAACGTTTGTCTCCTCCAGGGAAAATGGAGCGGACAGCATATTGGACTTGGGTCTTTTGGAGGCTCCAGAGAAAGCACAAGTAATATTAAGCGTCTCCGTTTTCACTGTTCTTCAGCTGAATCATTCCCTTTCTATTCGGATCTAATCAGGTGTGCTTTAGCACACCAACTACGTTCCTCTCCTATTGACATAATGAGACATAATGCCTCTGTGCAATGCATGCATTCTAACCCGCCTCCTCCGCGTTGTGTGGCTGTAGCAGCAGGAAAACCGCAAGCGTCATGGTTCAACGCGCAGTGTGGTCGACATGGAGCTGGACGACCCAGACGATGGGGACGACAACGCCCCTCTCTTCTACCAGCCTGGCAAAAGAGGCTTTTACTCCCCTCGCCCCGGCAAGAACACAGAAGCCCGGTTGAACTGCTTCCGTAACATTGGCAGGTAATAAATCGTCCCCTGTATTGGACAAACCTGGAGGGACTTAGAATCTGTCTCCTTTGGTCAAACACTTCAGCCGAGAGCAACGTGATCGGCCACCTTTCAACAATGAAGGATGCAAGAGCTAAATGTGGTGTTTTCTTTACAGAATACTGGGCTTATGTCTGCTTCAAAATGAACTCTGTCCAATCACGTTGAACAGACATGTCATCAAAGTGCTGCTTGGGAGGAAGGTAAGAGATTCTTTGATGGTATTTTGTATACTGACCAAGAACCTGCTGCGTCATGCTCTTGCTTTTCAGAATGGAGTTGCTGAATGTACTTTTGTCCCCGCAGGTGAACTGGCATGACTTTGCATTCTTTGACCCGGTCATGTACGAGAGCCTGCGGCAGCTGATCCGCCATTCTCAGGCCGGTGAAGCAGATGCAGTGTTTGCTGCTATGGACCTCGCCTTTGCCATTGACCTCTGCAAAGAGGAAGGAGCTGGGCAGGTAGGATCACGTGGTCATTGTGTTGCCAAATGTACACTGAGATGCCATCCGAGTAATACTTGTGCTATATGTCAAGGGTCCCCAACGTGGTAACGGGCTGCAAAGAAAGAATGTTACACTTACCTGGTACGGGTAACCAGTTGTTTTCTGGATGTTTGTAACAATTACAAAAATGTATTTTTAGATGCAGCCCTTATTTCTGTCAGAAAAATGATTTAAGTAATTTTGCTTTATTTCTGCAATGTTTTTGAATACTCAAACCTAAAGGGCCCTAAAATCTATAAACATCTTATGGTTCAGATGTCCTTATTCAGGACACTCGTACAAAATATGCATATCGGTAATCAACAGAAAACTTCGTCACACGATGTTGATGTAATAAAAATACAGCTTCAGGTTTTACTCTGGAAAGCAGAATATGTTGATGCTTTATTCTTCCTGGTTCAGGTGGAGCTTCTGTCCGGTGGGGTCAACATGCCAGTGACCCCTCTGAACGTGTACGAGTACGTGAGGAAGTATGCTGAGCACAGAATGCTGGTGGTGGCTGAGCAGCCTCTCCACGTGAGTACGACGCTTGGGTGACGTGGAATTGTCAGAAGTTCTAAATATAGTCATTTTTTATGCTACCACACCTTTTATTAAAATGTTAGTTTAGTGGAACAACTAATGTTTTGTCAGTCTCAAATGTGTATTCACACCAGTTATATATGTGTGTGTGTCTGAAGGCAATGAGGAAGGGTTTGCTGGATGTGCTTCCCAAAAACGCCCTGGAGGACCTGACTGCGGAGGACTTCCGGCTGCTGGTAAACGGCTGTGGAGAAGTCAATGTCCAGATGCTCATTAGTTTCACCTCCTTCAATGATGAATCTGGTAAGCTGCTGTGTCCCGAACCTCATGCTCTCGTTCCATTGGTTTTCCTGTCCCATCTCAGTTTCCTGCATTCATGCCGAGATGAACGTTTTACAGTTGTAAATTATCACTCTTGCACTTAATCCAACAGGGGAAAATGCAGACAAACTACTGCAGTTTAAACGCTGGTTTTGGTCCATAGTGGAAAAGATGAGCATGACTGAGAGGCAAGATCTGGTAAGTCGTTATCATTGTTCTCCTAAACCGAGGGACTCCCTGCGGCTCTCCGCAGATCGGTGCTTGACGTTGGGAATAATTGCCTTGTTGGTACATTACTCGAGTGTCGCACCAATAGCACAATGCCGGCGTGAGCCGCGTGTGATGGATGCCTCCCACAGATTAAAGCTGTAGCCCTGCTGCTGGTGTGATGTTGGTACGCCGTTTATTTATTATTGATTATTTTCACCGTGTATTTGCCGAAAAGCACACGCAGAAAAAATAGAGACCTTGAATAAAACATCTGAGGCAACTGCTCATTAATGGGGCTGCTCTGACCTGCCCACATCGCTACCAGGCAGCACATGGATCAATTACCCGTAAATAGATAAATGACTTTGTGCTGCAACTTTATTTAAATGTAAGTGCAAGTAAAATATACCAGGAAGATTGCTTTTTATTATGTTGTCACATGCATCTGTCACAGCACCACTTGGTTTAAGTCGTCCTTTTCTGTTTACATTGAAGGACGACATTTGTGTCATAATTGCAGCTTGCGAAGAAGAGTTTGTGATCTGTAGTTGCATTTTGAGACATTAAGTGATCTGTATGACGAGCACCAGTAACCAATAGCAACAATGTGTTCAATGATGTATGTTTTACTTTTCTTTTTTTGGACTGTTTACAGTACTCAGACATCAAATACAATTGCAGGAAATGGCTCATTTAACTTGTTTATGTACTCAGGTATACTTCTGGACCTCCAGCCCGTCCCTGCCAGCCAGCGAGGAGGGCTTCCAGCCGATGCCCTCCATCACCATCCGGCCTCCAGACGACCAGCACCTCCCCACGGCCAACACCTGCATCTCACGTCTCTACGTGCCACTATACTCTTCAAAACAGATACTCAAACAGAAACTCCTGCTAGCCATTAAGACCAAAAACTTTGGTTTTGTGTAGAGGTTCAACATAAGAGTTTAAAAAAAGGAAAAAAAATAACATGTTTACTGTTGTGTAATATTTACCTAGCTCCATTTTTGTAGATTTATTTTTTGTCTATACAATTTTATGAAATTCGACATACTGTCACAATCTCCCCAGGCAGTAATATTTGTTTGTGTTGTGAACACAAACAGCTTGTTATTTTTATTTCAATTTTATTTTTTCCATTTTCTTTTGTGTTAATGAAGAGGTATACAGTCCAGAACATTCCTGCATTGGCACTGTAAAACATGAAGCCCACAGCCCTGCTTTATTGGCTTAAACTTTTGCTTCCCAGGAATGTGGCTTGACAGAAAGCTGTCAGCCGAAACCCAGCCAAAGATGACAGCAGTAGAAGTATTTAAAAGAAGACACACTGTGATATTATGTTTTTTTTTTTTTTTTTCCTTCCCTAGAAAAGTACGATCACTGACAGTTCACTGCTGCCTTGTGGAAAGTCCTTTTTTTTTTTTTTTTTTTTCTTTTTCTTGTACAGGGGGAGTAGGGAATTTCAAAATAAACTTGGATGCAAATAGGTTGTCCTGCCTGAATTTACTTTCCCAGTGCTTTACGTTAAGATGATTATGGATTTATTTTCCCAATGTGAGACGACGCTGCTGGCTGGAGTGATGCTGAGATCGAAAAGGGGCAGGTGCCTTTCTCAGAAGCCCTGTAGCGACATGGACCTGCCTCCTCATCCATATGCAAATCTCAACACCACGACTTGAAAGTAGCACAGCGTCTGAAATAAAGTATATTTTATCTTGTCAATTTTCTTTGACTAAATGCGAGGCTTCAGATAAAGCGATTAAGTATTTGCTCGTATAAATGCTACTCGCAACTTTTCGGTCTGTGCGCTACTGGCTTGCTTGTGACAAAGTTACTAAACACCAAATCTGGCTGTTTAATCTTTATTAACGACAACCCTACAAAGACCCTTGTGTACTACTGTTACTTACTGGTATCAGTTGGAGCATTTCTATGTTCTTGCTTTTTCTTTACTTTTGTGTATGCAATATTATAAATGGAGCAGAATGTAGTTTTTCAGAATCTTATGGTTTGGGTCACAAACCGCTTGTTACAGCTGGAGATTGACGAGCCACTAAAAACAATTTATAGTGTTCTCAGTTCAACGGGAAACGTTTTTAAATGATGTAGACCAATCAGCATGGTGGAAATCGTAGCCGCGCCTATTTCGCTGTGGCTGCCGTCGCCTGTTGGTGATGCCTTCAGAAGATTTTGGGAAAAATGGAATTTTGTGTCCCCTTTATTAACCTGGAAGATTTGAGTTAAATTAATACACTGGAAATTTTCATGACTAGGTATAATCTTCATTCTGTCTCTTACATTGTCTTATAAGATACGAACATTTGTTTTAATTATCTTTTTGGACAATACTCTGCGCGGTTACGATCTACAACCTGGCAACTGCACTTTACAAGCGACAGTGAAGGCAACCCTTCCCGGCCAGTCAAACCGGAGCCATATGAGGTGAATCCGTCTTGCTCGCGGTCACATGGTGGTGGTCAGCTAACGGAGGCGTATTATCTTACGACATCAGTTAGCTGGCTGGCTAGTTTGCTAACTTAGTTTTGTTCAGCAGCCTGAAGTAGATTCAGCTAGATCCGCCCGGGCCGACGCTGCTGGCGGATGAAGGGATTCGTGCATTGTCATCCATCATGTTGAAGTCGTTCCGTTATTTTTAGCTAGCACCGCAGGCTAGCGCAGCTAATAGAGGCAATCAAAACGTGACTAATCGGTTTGTTTAAAAAAAAAAAACAATACCAATGGAGCAGTGGCAGGAAGCGGCCTCTGAGCAGTTCAATCTGCTCACAAAGCGTCTGAATGAACTGCTGTCCAAAGGCCTGGGGCTGCTGCGCTCCGAGCTCGGCGTGGATTTGGGACTGAAGCCGGAGCTTATTCCGCCGTGGGTGATCCTCTTAGCGGCGTGTACCGGTCTGGTGCTGATGGTAGCTCTGTGGGCCTCAACCTGCCGGTCTCTCTTCAAGAAACGACCCGCTGAAAACGCAGCGGACGACGGCATTGCGGAAAAGCGGGATTCCGGTAAACCCGTCAAATCCGAAGAGCCGAAGAAAAAGAAGAAGAAGAGCACAGAAAAGGCACGTAGCGTTAATGAAACCAACCTACTCCCCTTCTCGCCGTGCTAGCCGCACCGTTAGCATTGCTAGCTGTCATGCTAACACCCAAGTGACAGTTGAATCATGTCGTGGCCATAACACCAGCTAGCTTCAAGCGACCGTCCTTGCATTTTGACCCCTTGGGGGGAGGGGGGGGGGTAGCCGGTAATGGCCATGGCCTTTTACATGTGTTCTTTATATTTTCGTTTCAGAAAGCTCAGCCAAATGGGAGAGCTGCTGCGGAGCCGCAGGAGGAAGCCATAGCGGCGGAGGAGACGGTGCCACATCAGCAGCAGCAGCCCGCAGCCGAAGGCAAGGCCGAAAAGGCTTCAGAGGTAAAACGGCACAACCCGCATCTTGATCTGTGTGCCGTCTGATGGATGTGACTAGGTTGTGTTTGTATTAATCATTGCACATTGTTGCAGATTACTATTTCTCGGGTCCACTCCGACGTAAATCCCTTGTTAAAAAGCCCCCTTTCACCTCGCTGTCCCTGCACGATGGAACCGGAGCAGCTGCCGGTGTTTGGTTACCGTTTTTTAACTTGCAGATGCAGCACAATCCTGAAGGGTGGCCGCTGTCTTGGAAAGGCGCAAGGTGCAGGCTTGACCTCCTAATGCCACCCTTTGGATCCCACTAAGCCACGCTGACTTTGGTTCTCAGGAGATGAAATTGTGCGAAGACTAAAAAGTGGAAACTGTGTTTGTAAAAAAAAAAAACACATTTAGAGGGTCTTGAACAGGGGATGTAGTTTCACTTATAAATAGACGTGTCTTGAGCAAGCTGATTTAAATGACTGCCCGTGCGTGGTTCAGTCCATAGCAAGGGGAGTGCTGTGAACTTCTTTAAACCCAGTTGCACAATCCAAGATGTTTTTCAGTTAACTCTCACTTTTTCTTGTCTTCTAGTTGAAGAAGTCCAAGAAGAAGGCCAAACAGCCTGTTAAGGAGACAAAGACTGGGACCGCCACTGGCAAAGAACCAGAAGAAGGTGAAATATTATGTGCATAAATGAGGTTTTTCAGTCAAAGTGGTGTTTTTTTTCAGGAATTTGAAGGTGGCCTTTGTTAGGAAGAAATAAGTCGTTAGTTCCTCCTTATTCACAGCAAAAAATAATTTGTATTTGAACAGTCGTCCTTTGTCCTGCCTTAATCCATACCGCATTTCCTCACTAATCCCATAATGAAACCAGCAGTATTTTGCAACTAATTCCGCGCTCCTTTTGATGGCACCTTTCAGGCACGTGGGAGACCAAGGTCAGCAACAAGGAGAAGCGTGAGCAGCGCAAGAAGGAGAAGGGTTCCAGCGATGGCTCGGCCAGTCCTGGAGGAGGGGACGCGCGTGCGTCTCCCCCCGAGCAGCCCAAGGCCTCCGTGGCCCCGACGCCTGCCAGCCAGAAGAAGAAGAAAGGTTACTCCTCAAACCAAGGCGTATTTTCATTTACGGTGTCATTTGCTTCTTTTGACAAGTTTTACATTGGAAGAAGAAAAGAGTTTGCATTAGTGTTGTTTTTTTTTATTGTATTTTTGCACACAAATCACAATCCCTCCCTGCCGTCTCAGGCAAACAGCCCAATGGCACCCGGAGAGATGTTTGTGACTGTTCTGTGTGAGCTGTTGTTGCGTTTGGCTGGTCTCTTGACACGACAGAATATAAATACATGAATTTAATTGATTCCCAAAGTGAGCACCGGCCCAGGTGTTTTGTGCTGAGGTGTGTGTGTGTGCGCTCCCTTCAGTAGTAGGCCCTTATGGAGAGTGTATTTGACAAATATTGACCTTTTGTTTAATCCTTTCCCTTTCAGGAGAAACTGCAAAAGTGAAGTCCGAGAAGATCGAGGTTGTTGCACCTCAAGGTAGTTATCAGCAGAAAATGGCTATTGGCTCTAAGACGCCTAAAACACTGATCTCATTTATACCGAATCTTTAGTAGACCAAACGTTTGCTTGCTCCCACGGAACTCGTACATTAGATGTGCTGCCATCGTGATCCGTGTTTATTCTGGCCGTGTATCAAGTTTCTCTCTTGGTGTTAGTCACCAGCAGGGAGGTGGTGGCTGCTACTGTGACTGAAAAGGCTCTAAAGGCTCCGGCTCCAAAGGCCGGCCCCTGGACCACCGCCTCAGAGCCCGCCCTGCTGTGGAGACCGGATGTCGATGGTAAAAATGTTTCCCCACTAAACAAGTGCACATTCTATTCGCTCCTTAGAAAAGTCCCGTTTCCTTTTTGCCAGGACGGTAAATGGCAGAATGAATCGTTCATGTGTGGGTGTAAACGTTTCACGGCATCTTCCTTAAAGTGGTCATGGACAGCGATGTGCTAAATGGGTTTTGATCCTGATATCAACCGTATTAGATTGAAATGGAATTGGCAGATAACCACAAATTCAATGAATATTATTGTTTGAAGTGTGCTAGTATTAACACGAGTGACTCTATTTTTTTTATTTTCTTTCTTTTTTTTAAGATGAAGCTATACCTTTTTTATAGAAGTATTCCAAAGTAAGCATGGCTCAATAACTCACTGATTTAATTGGTTAATGAATGAATGAATTGGTAAATGGTGCATTGACATCATTGTATCTGGATTGTGCTTCAGAGTCGTGGACTGTGATTGAAAGGGGGATGGCCACAACCAGTCCGGTGTCTTTATCTGGACTGGGCGTCGGTACCACTGGTAAGTTCAGCAGAAAGCGGTGATGTGGCATGTGGTGGTTGGACCTGGCCATGGCCCCCAGGTGGCGCTGTTTCCCAGCGTGTCTCTTGAGGACGGCAGGCTGAGTTCCCCTGTGTTGTGTGTCCGTAGAGCCCGCGAGCAGCCTGCCCTGGCTCAGCCCGCCCCGCGTGGACGACGAGTGGTCCGGACCCAGTAAGCACCGCTCTGTTTGACCCGGGCGTCACGCCCCTTCACACTTGTTCCTGTGCGCTGATGACCTTTTATATGTTTCACAGGCGGTACGTCTGTGGACCCGAGCTCTGACTGGAACGCCCCCTCTGAAGCCTGGGGCAACTATGAAGAGCCCGCTGCGGAGCCCCCTCCCGCCGCGGAGCCGCCGGCCCCTGAGCCCGCCAAGGTGGATCTGCTCATCAGAGCGGCTGTGAGTATGAGAGAAGATGAGCATTATGATAGTTTCCTGCTAGATGACGAGGGCAAAAAAACCTGGTAATTGATGCCTCGTCTCTGGGTGTGGTTTCCATGGCAACGGTCCTGGTTCTGTCGCAGATGTGGCCTTGGTGCTCCTAAAGAGTGTTACATGCAAAGTAGACTTTTCCTCAAGTCGTACCATAATAAATATGAGTGTGACATCATGAATGAGATAAATGACGACAAATTGCTATGATGAAACTGAACACATGCAAAGTACGGAGTTTGCACGTTATTTTCTGAATGCAAACCCACATATTCTTTTTAGGACGACGATGAAGATGAGAAGGACAAGGGAGAGACTGCTGCCGACGCAGCGGCTAAAACTAAGAAGAAAAAGAAGAAGAAGAAGAAGGCCGCTGAGGAGGAAGAAACAGCTGGCCAGGTAACAGCAGGAGGCTGATGTATGATTTCAAATCCCACACTTGACGTGGAAGTCCTTTGGTCTCATACGTTACAGCTGGAGCCACCTTTATAATCACCTACTAATCTGTATGACACGCTGAAAGGTTTATTTAGAATCCACTGCACAGCTTGGTGTGAACTTTGCTCGTGTCCTGTGAAGGGCGAGGAGCCGGAGAAGGAGACGGCGCCCGCAGCCCCAGTGAAGAAGCACCAGCAGCCGCCGGCAGCTCAGGAGAACGCCGCCGCCGTCCAGCCTGTCAAAGCAGCAGCCGCCGCCGCGGAGGTCAGTGGTGACGGTTTAATATCCGCAGATCGTTCGTTAACAATAAACCTCGTCGTTCATCTCTGAGGTGGACTAAAATAAAAAAATCCTTTTGTTGTAGGCGCGAGTGGTGCAACCAGTGAAAGTCAACACATCCCAGAAGCCCCCAGTCACACAAGTGCCACCGAAGCCAACTGAAGGAGAGCCCACTGCCAAGCAGAACAACCTTTCTGCTCCAACACAACAAAGTAAGCGCGCTTAAACATTACGAGCTGTCACCACCTCTAATAACTTGCTGGTCGTGAGCCAGGTTTCTAACCAGCGTGTTGCCCTCCATCGTCCTTTTATACTAATTACATTACATTGGCCGAATTTGATGAATAATGGGAGCAAAAGTAGCCAAATGGATGATTGATCCTCGTCACTTGGAACCGCCTCCTTTCAGGAAGGGAAAACCCATTAAAGTGTGTGACTCACACGTTAAGAGCCGTCGGACTAATCTCACCGTTTCCACAGAAAACCCCGAGGAGAGCCAAGCGCCCAAACCAGCGAAGAAAAAGAAGGCGAGGAGAGAGACATGAGACGCTCCCCCTCTGCACACCTGTGTATGCAAAAGACTTCATATCTTGTTTATGCAACACCTTTTGTGACCAGAACTTTGAACTACGGTCCTCATGATGGACTTCAACCTTGAAAAAAAAAAAAACCTGAAAATGAAACAACTTTTTTTGGATCGTTTAACTGAACCTAGATGCGGTGCAATCCAATGCAACGCTGTGTTATTGATTTTTAATTATGCATTTGATACTCTTGATTATATCTTCTTATTCCAATGAATCAAATAACTGAAAGAGCTGTATTGTACTAATTAGACATGTATTAGAATACTGATCTGTTTAGAAGTCTTGATGTTGTGGTGACTAACGCCTGGAGCTTCCTGTGTCGTGAATGAACGGTCAACATGCTTTGGGTCACCGGGCCACGGTGTCCACTCGGCCTTTCGCTTCTTTTTATTTTGCTCTCAAGTGTTTGTTGAGTATAGCTGAGCGATCAAATGGTTACTTGACGCGGACGACTCGTGAACATTTTGGACGGAGGAAAGGGAATCCGGGCTGCTCCGCTTTATCTGTAAGTGCAACATTTCAACTGACCGTCCAGCCGGTTTCTTACTGGTCTGATGTGCTGCTGTTTTTACCGTCTGAGTGCTTTGTGACCCGAGCCGTGTGGGAGCCTCCGACCCTCCGTGTACCGTCGCAGTGTCATCGGCCTCTTCGTGACTCTCCACCTGTGGTTTATTTAAAAGTCTTTGGAGCTTTTTGTAAAACCTGTTTGTAATAAAATAAAAACTAAAGCCATATGTAAAAATACTAAATAAAGGCCAGTTTTTCTTTATCCAGACTATTTGGTATTACAGCAACTTACTATTGTGGAGTATTGATTAGTAAGGACTATGAATAAAATAATTAACTGCGGCCGAACCTTTACAAACTGATGCTGCTGTGGTAGAATCCAACACTGCTTCTCTCAGGAAAGTGACCTCTGACCTCTAAGGGAATCTTCTGAATGCAGAGATGGAGAAAGCTACAGAAATGTGGCGTTTGACATTTTATGTGTTCATTAAACACAAAATTGCTTTAACAATTTTCTACTTAAACCCGGTAGGTTCACAATCAAATCAAATAAGATTTATTCGCAACAAAATAAGTGAGCTCAAGTGGAAACTGCTGATGCTATAATAACGCTATAGTATACAAAAAAGTCAAACTTTCATGACAATAAAATGGGTCTCAAAGTCATAGTATTGCCCGTATAGATGCTCGAATATTAAAACCAAACCTTGGCATGAAAATGTATTTTTTGGCCCACATTATTGTGATGACTCATTAAATTGTCTTGACCTGGTTGCAGTTGTAATTGCAGGCAGCACGTAACAAAAGAACTGGGAGGTTTCTAGAACAAAACGTCTCCTGCTGGGTGAATGTGCTCAAAGGCGTCGTTCAGGGTCAACCCTGCATCCCAATAAAACATTTGTGGTTTTCTGTTCCATAAGTCCTTCCTGGCATGTCTGAATAAAGTCATATAATACGTCAAAGAGAGATCACTGTGTCAACAGTCATAGAAAAGTTATTGTATGAAACATTGAGAAAGGTTCAAAATATTCTTAAGTCTTTAAAAGTCTAAAATATATAGTATGGCACGTCAGAAGTCCTCAAAAAGTCTCTGCTATAATAATCAGAAGTGTCATGTTAAAGTGGTCTAGAATTTCAAAAAATGTATAGTGCAGATATTTCTAAAAGTATCATAAAACGTTAAATCATAACGGATAAAAAAGCGATTGTATCTGTTGAAGTAACGCATTAAAAAAACAATTATATTAATCAGTCATTTTTCCATGATGAATTCTACTAGCATGATGATTCTAATGTGTCCACTTCTATTATATTATTCTATTGTTACTTCTGCTATTAGTTATGTTACTGTTATTGCTATTATGATTCATGTAACGTTACAATGTTCCCATTCTGTATACCTGACGTCTATCGTACTACTGCCGATCCCTCCCTCACAATAGAAGCGATAATGACTCGTAATGACCATAGTTTTATTTACAAGGGAATAGTTGTACGTATAAGTGTCTCTGTGCTGCCGCCCACAGGAAGGTCGACGTACTGCAGCTGCTCGTTTTACTGGTCGGATGAACATCTGGGGGGACAGCGGGTGTTCAAAGCAACCCAGATTCGACACAATTAGAGATAATATTATTTTATCATTAAAACCATTAGGTAATTAGGTATTAGGTAGGCTTATATTGTGTATTTGGACACATTATTTATAATTCGGTTAATTATTTTCTCCAGTCGATTTTGTTTACTGTTATCTTAGCTTATGTTCATACCAAATAATATGTCTCACCACTGCACTTCTGAGCCCGCTGTGTTAGTTCAGGTGTTGTTATGATACAATAATACATTTTGGTTTCACTGCTTATTCAATAACATTTTTTAAGTCAAGGTTAAGTAGGGGTTGACTTCTGGGCAGAAACAGCAGTTATTTTATTTGTATTCACCAACAGTTTATTGTTGTGTTACATCCAGTTTATGCTTTTGGCGTTCCAGAACAACATGCATCAGTATATTTCTATTTGTATTGTCCTTCTTGGCTCCGTTTAGTCAAATCCTCCAGCTGTATTACGAATAAACATTAAAAAGAGATCTCACTCTGCACCTTTTCCTGGGAATTATTATCATCCCCAGTGACTTGCCAGAATTTATACGTATACGTGGCAGATATTTCCTCTGTTACGAAAACTGTTTAGTAAAATATCCATTGTTGCGAGCTATCTAGACTACATGTTGCTTTCATTTGTCCATCACGGCTTTGGTTACCACGGTAACAGCTTGTTATCCTATTTCAAGAGGCACACTCAAAAATTGTCCCGATTTATAAAGCCAGAGGGGTTTTGCCTTGTCCAACATAGACGATCTTTGCAGCCAGTCTCCGTCCCATTCTGTGAGGTAAATAAATGCAACGCGCACCTTCCCACTGACATCACATCATCCTGCCAGCAGGCCGTCCAATCAGCGGCCGAGGGGAGGGCCGGAGTGGCGGCGGCGGTCCAATGGGCGGATAGCGTGAGCTCTGCTCACCGCCACGTCACTTCTGATTCGAGGGTTGAACTGTGGAGGAGGCGGGACGGAAAACCACCGAATGAGACGGAGTGCGCCTTCCTCATTCTAATAAATTATTCACCAGCGCTCCTCCGACCGCCTGAGAGCAAGTTATCATCAGTTACAAGCGAAACATTTTGTTTTGGGTTTGCTAGCTTGTATTTTTTTGGAGCACCTGAGAAAGAACATGAAGAGTGATTATTAATTGCGTGTTTTCCGTCAGCATAAAAAGAAAATCGGTCTCTCAGTACAAGTGCGGTTATTTATCTAGTTGATTTTTTTTTTAAATCCAAAAATATGTGGACCTTCTTAGGAATAGCAAGCTTAACGTACCTTTACAAGAAATCCAGCACAGTGTTGAGTTACGCTCACAAAGAGGTGGTAATGGCCGCAGCCTTACTTGTGGCAGCCGGCCTGCTGCTGTCGTATGTCAGGTGTTCTCACACCTACAGGCTCAGGTTCTCTCAGGTGATGCACTGGCCCCTCGGGCTCTTGTCCCTTCTACCTGGTGTCAAACACTTTATCCCACAAACGTCACCTGAAAGGAGCGAGAAGGTGGAGAACAGCTGTAAAAAGGTAGGAAAACTAAATAGTAATAATGTTTAACACAAAGGCAGATTCAGAAAGAGTGTCGTTTCTTTGTTTCGTTTATCTGAAGTAATTTATGTTAAATCTGTGATCTTAATTTCTGGAAAAAAAACCAAGTCTGATTCTTGCATTTTGAAGGTGCTTTAAAGTTAATAGATCTTTGCATCTCCAAAGACTGCGAGAGTAGCTGGTGATTGGATGAAGTGTGACCAATGTTTGCCTTTTACTCCTCCGCTCGGACTTCACCCTTTTGTAACGAGAGACTCTCCCATCCGTTGCTCCCAGAGCCGCAGATCAAGGAGGAGAGTGGATACAGAGTCCTCCACCTCCCCGGGTGCCTCGGCTGGGGGCCCCTCGGCGGCCCCGGAGCCCGACGTGGTGATAGTCGGGGCGGGGGTCCTGGGCTCTGCGCTGGCGGCTGTCCTCGCCCGGGACGGCCGGAGGGTGACGCTGGTGGAGAGGGACCTCAAAGAGCCCGACAGGATCGTGGGGGAGCTGCTGCAGCCTGGAGGGTTCAGGGCGCTCAAGGAGCTGGGACTGGAAGGTCGGTGATGGGAGCACTGGGAGCACTATGCTACTATGTGTGTGTGTGTGTGTGTGTGTGTGTATACACATATATACTAGATGACCAGATATTAGATGAAATATGTTCCGGCTATTTCACAAAACCAGTCAAATTGCTATTTAATGATTTCCTCAAACATCACCTGGACCTCAACAGCGTCATGAGGCACAATGATGAAATAAACTCCAATACAACATTAATATTCCTGTTAAAGCTATTTGCTGTAATAATAATACATCATTTTCTTTTCAAAATGTCCCACATGCAGATGCGTTCCGTTAGTAAAATGATGAAAAAAATGTTATGGTCTTCAATAGTTTGAAAATGTACCAAAACTGTCAATTTGTGAAAATGTGTCTTAAATGAATCTTACATGAGACTATTTGATGGAACAGCTTCCGATCCCTCAGTCGGGACATAACATGCATGTTCCATTCCGTCCGCATGCGCTGATTCACGCAGTGAGGGAACACGAGTGCGCCTTGTGATACTAACCTGCCGTGTTGTGCGTCGGCCCTCAGGTTCAGTGGAGGGTCTGGATGCCCACGTGGTGAGCGGCTACGTGATCCACGACATGGAGAGCAGCACGGAGGTGGAGATCCCCTACCCGCAGGGGGAGGACCACACCAAGTGTGGACGCGCTTTCCATCACGGACGATTCATCATGGGCCTCAGGAGAACCGCCATGGCGCAGCCAAAGTGAGTGGGGTGTCTCACACACACACACACACACACACACACACACACACACACACACACACACACACACACACACACACACACACACATAGTCCATATGCCAGCTGACCAACTGGCTAATTGGATGGCAATTTATTTGACAGTGAACAGGAGTGTCATTAAAAGCTGTTCATTTATTCTGCCAAACTGCCCAAATGAGTTTGTTAAAAAAGAGCTTGACATGACTTGTGATATATTTTAGATTTATGCAGAGGACTATTTACACACTTATCAGTAGTGATGGTTTACTGAAACAGCGGAATGACGTATTCGGACCATATTTTTATTAGGCGTCATGTAGCTTTCTGCTGTCATGTTGTCTGTCCCCTGCAATGGGTGACAGTCTCTCACTGCGCCCCCTAGTGTCACAGTCATAGAAGGCAGCGTGACCAGCCTGCAGGAGGAGGACGGCTGTGTGACCGGAGTGCAGTACAAGGATAAAGAAACCGGAGACGTCAAGGTGAGAAGAGGAAGTTTTGTTGCCCATCCAGAACCTTGTACCCCCCCCCCCCCACCCCACCTCCCTTACTGGTTATTGCAGCGGCTTGTTCGATGACTGGGAACTTGTGTCCTGTAGGAAATCCGTGCTGCGCTGACTGTTGTGGCTGACGGATGTTTCTCTAAATTCAGAAAGAGTCTGGTCTCTGGGAAAGCTCGCACCTCCTCTCACTTTGTTGGATGCCTCATGAAGGTAAATAGCACTCAGCGGCGTTATATCGGCCCACTGCGTGTAAGTACTGGTAGGTCTTTACAGTTGTTGAATATTGTCTGGTCCCAGCTTCTCAGATGAGAATAAATCCTCTTTTTATTCTGTTTCAATGGACTTTTTCACTATATCGAGATTTTTTATACACAATTAAACATCAATTATTTAAGCCAATAATGACATTTATCCTGAGTTGCAACCCTTAATTATATTGCTGGTATTACTGTGTGTAAACCTAACGAACTCACCTTCAATGATCTGAGACGCTGCGTCTGAAGACTACATTGAAACAAGAGGTCTTCTCCCGCACAGGACTGTCCCCAGTTTAAAGCCAACCATGCTGAGCTGGTGCTGGCCAACCCGAGCCCGGTGCTCATCTACCAGATCTCCTCCTCAGACACCAGAGTGCTGGTGGACATCAGGGGGGAGATGCCTCGCAACCTCTCGGAGTACATGACCGAGCACGTTTACCCTCAGCTACCAGGTAAAAGACACGGCAGAGACATTTGTAACATGTCCCTGAGGTTGTATTCTTATCAACCATTTTGAACGAAGAATGACCTTTGGCGTGCGCTCAAAAAGCTTGTAGTGATGCAAGGGAGCTTCAGTTAAAGGATTTCACGTTCATTGTGGGCTCTGCTATTCAGCGGACACATCAGAGCATCAACTGTGGAGACGTTGCTGAGGTTCAGCGGAGTCGCTTACACTGATGCTTTAATAAATGTACATTCAGACACCACGACGGAGCCATGTGGGTGATCAACAGCATGCACCTTCTCTTCCCTTCTCCCCCTCAGAGCATTTAAAGGAGCCTTTCATGGGGGCCCTGCAGAACGATCGGCTCAGGTCCATGCCGGCCAGCTTCCTCCCGCCCTCCCCTGTCAGCAAGCCAGGTACTGACGCGTGTTGGAGTCTATCGGGAACCATGTCAGCCCGTGATGCAGGTCACGGAACGTTTATGCACCACTAGTCATTTTTCATTTGTTTGACTTGACGGTCAAATAGTTCATAGTTCTCGTCTATTTAGATGTATGTGAATGGATGATTTCCTGGTTTTCTTCAAAAGTAAGAATTACTAAAACAGGAAAGGGCCCTTTTGCTGAATACTATTCCATTTTCCAAAGGGAAGATCCTTATTCCCATATGTGTGCAGTAAACATGCTATGCTAGTAACGTATATCAGCTGTTAAGCTTAGTTTTGCATAAACAATGGAAACAGCTCCAAAAGAGATGAATTAGTTATTCTTTCTGCACTTTTTTGTAGGATAAAACAAGTTAAATACCTTTGGACAGATCCGGTTAAGCGTTTTTAACTTGTTTTTAATGCTTAGCAAAGCGACTCTTGGCTATAACGACAGTAGAGAAGTAAAGCAGACTGCGATGTGTTAATCAGCGAGCTTTGGGTGTGAGGGTGGAGACACGCCAGCTGTTCGCCGTTTCCTCTCTCTGCTCCGTTAAGCAAAGCAGAGCCACGAAGCAGCTGGTTAGACAGGACGGTTGGACAGGAATTACGTGTTAATTGAGATTTAGAGGCAGATTTTGTAACTGCAGCACAGAGCCAGGCGAGCGGTTTCTCCCTTTGTGCTAAGCTAACTAGCTGCAAACAGCGCATGCATGAACATGCAAGAAAATCAAGTGTGACATGACTGATTGTATTTGTGAATGTGAGCGCTGCAATGTCGATGTAGCACGAGTGATCTTTGTGTGTCATTAGCAGCAACACTTTTGAAGACAAGACCAATAAAAGCAAAAGGGAATCTCTAAGTCATCCTCCAGACGCCGTCTCAGAGATTGGCACTAATTGGAAGATTTTACTACAAGTGCTCAGCGGGGGAGAAAACTGACAACAAATGGTGATGTATTTTGTACAAGAGACAAACAGCGGTGTGTCGGTTGCAGGCGTGCTTCTCCTGGGTGACGCTTACAACATGAGGCATCCTCTGACGGGAGGCGGGATGAGTGTTGCCCTCAATGACGTTCGCATCTGGAGGAGTCTGCTCGGAAAGATCCCAGATCTGTATGATGACGGGGTCATGCTGCAGGTGAGCACGGCGACCAGGCTCCAGTTTCCCCACTAAGCCTAAAAACATTCACATTAAAACGTATGGGGAACAACAAGGCCTGAGAGTAACTACATGTGATGCGTCTGCTGCATCCCAGTCGCCTTGTCTGGTTATTCGCTCGGCTGCAGGTGAGCGGCTGCAACGTTACAACAGATTCTTTTCTTCTTCTTCTCAATAGGCAAAGAAAAAGTTCCACTGGGAACGCAAGTCATCACATTCTTTCGTGGTGAACGTGTTGGCCCAAGCCCTGTACGAGCTGTTTGCAGCCACAGACAGTGAGTCGGACCGCCTCCACATCATTGATTACACATGATTATTATTAGCATTATTTTGTCCGTACAAAAGTAAAAAACTGGTTTCTCCCCATGTGCCTGTAATACGTGAACCAGATTCTCTTCACGAGCTGAGAAAGGCCTGCTTCCAGTACTTTAAGCTCGGTGGGGAGTGCATTGCTGGGCCCATTGGACTCCTCTCAGTGTAAGCAATAAATAATGTCCTCCACTACAACACAACTGACTGATTCTCCAACGAGCCTTGATGGGAAGTTTGACATTTTGGGAAACAAGATATTTGCTTTGCTTACTTGTTGAGGGTTAGTTGTTATTTATGGTACACATTGAGCTTTCATTTCCCCAAAATGTCAAAAACTATTCCCTTTAATACAAAAGACTTAGTGACATTGTGATCTTTACCAGGTTGACCCCCAAACCCATGACCCTCATTGGACACTTCTTCGCCGTGGCAATGTACGCCATCTACGTCAACTTCAAGGCGGAGTCTTGGTGGACTAAACCTCGAGCTTTATACAAGAGTGGAGCCATCCTGTACCGAGCCTGCACGGTCATGCTGCCACTCATCTACTCGGAGCTCAAGTACCTGGTGTACTGAAGGAGGACCAATCCCAGCGTACGCTCTCCAGCCGCGGCGTCATTGGAAGTAAAACAACTGTTCCTTCTGTTGCCGTACTAAAACCCGTTTCACTGTGGAGGACATTCCCCAAAGTGCCCTTGCCTTACTGAAAATGGCGTTGTCTTAATGTCGCATTTAATGCCTTTTTTCTATTTGGACGTGCTATCCCAAGAATGCCAGGTGGTCCCGTCCGTCATGAACACGTAATCCTGCCCAACAGAACTGCTGTGTGGCAGCAGATTTTTTCAATTTTGCCATTTACCCCTGCCGAGCTATTTAATACAGGCGTCCTCATGTAATGGCCATTTTTAAAAATCTAAAGTATGACGACGGGAGGCTATAAAACACGGTCTTAATTATTCCATGTTGTGTATCACACAGAAATCCGGGATGTTTTCAGCCTCGCGTTGATGAGAACGATATCCGTTTATTTGTTGAAATCGCTCACATGTTCACCGCGTGATTGCTTCTTGCCTTCCAGATGGCACCTCAGCGCTTTTCATACATCATAGTGGACGTTTTTTGGTTTCTACATCGAGTTTGAGATATGCTGACAGTGCAGGTGACAAAATAAAACAAAAATCATCCCAGAAGTCAAGAACGATCCCTGCTGGGCTCATTGACGCAGCCGGCCTTGGGGGGACGTTTGGGTTTGACGGGGACATGAGACAGGAAGAGACAAAGTCAGCAGATGCTGGTCAGGCGGCGTTTGTCCTGGGCCGACCCAGACCAGGACGTCCTCACATGTAACTCCCGTGTCGTGCTTACCGGTCCGGCCTGCGATGGCTTAATGGGCCGTTAAATAAAACATACATGACCAACACGACCCGCCCCCACCTTTGTGTTTGTTTACAATAGTTATAAATATAATAGGTTTTATTAGTGATGTGATTGAAGTGTAAGCCTGCAGGACAAACACTAACAATGACCGCTAGATGGCGCTCACTCACAGGGGGAGGACTGCTGTTTGACTGGCGGCTCGGATTCCCCTGATGTGCCTCAGCAGATACATTCTGGAACATGATGAATTGTCGGGATTGCAGGTTCAGAATGAACTTGCTATGAGACGTTTGCAGCAGCTTTTAATATTCAGAATTGGTTCACGTTAACCGGCAGGAGAAACGCACTGAATGCATCAGTCGGATTGCAGGCTTAAAAGGATTTGTTGGGAAAAATGAAACATTAAAACAAATGTATTCCCCATGGTTTCAGATGCAATTAATCATGGGGATACCATCAAATATATCCTTGTGTTTATTGGTTTCCTGTGTAAACCTGTGTTAATTTGAAGAGCTGCCCAGTTAAATCATTCAAACATCTTATCAGCTCAATGATTCAGCAAATAAACGTAGTGACCTCAGTTTTATTTTAATATGTTACAATGATTAGGTTAAAACGGAATAAAACCATCACCAATTCACATATATTCCAGGTTACAACAATTAATTCAGCTTTATTGTTATTTATACATCACTGATACATTGTATTCTGGTGAAATAATTGGATGAAATATCCATATTATTCTATGTGACACAAATACTGGTGTGGAAGACCAGAAAGGGGGACGACAGCTCCTTGGGGGCAAGTTCTCTCACACTCTCACACCCACACACACACACACACACACCTCCACCCGGCTGTCAGACGTCTGCTCCTACACCTACCTGCGCCTATGGAGACACATCCGACAGCCCACGAGGAGAGGTGCCCCCCCCCTCCCTACCACAGTAACTTCCCGTTGACCCTCACTGGTATTAGTAGCAGCAAGCTTTCTACTAACAGTTAACATCTTAATGATCTAAACAGAAAAGTACTGTACAGCTACTGCTAAGAGAATATAATAACCTGGCCATGACGCCTTCACACCAGATTAAAGTGCTAGAAGCAACCCACCAATCCACACTTTAATATATATATATATATATATATATATATATATATATATTAGAGCGCTGTATTTATATATATTGGAACATATCTACTATTTGAACATTCATTTACAGGGTAATATACATGATATTGTAACAGCTGAAATATCAGCACAATTAGATCACTGTCACACTTAACAGCAAAATATATATATGATTATACAGATCCAGAATATAATCATATATCAATATATAATTGTCATATATGCATGTAAAACAGTTAACCACGTCTCAGGCTTTTTGTATGATACCCAGAAAAGCCATCGTGTATCAAGACGTAAAAGCTTTACAAGTTGCTCTCTGGAAAGAGCGACAGGAGGCGGCTAAAGTGCCGCGGCCCGCGGGTAGTCGAGGTCACAGGACAGTTAATTGCATATTCCACAAATCTATTGCAACACGTTACTGTCTACGAACAGTACAGCCGGCGTCCTGCGAGAGGAGCCGGCGTTAGCTGGACTCACATGAACACCCACTGAAACGGAACGGTACGACGATGGGTGATCTGGTTATAGCGATGTGCGTTCAGATGGTGCGCTATGACGGTGAACAGGATGACTACAATACACAATACTCTATAGTTGAGCCTCAGAAGACAAGCCCCCCGCCCCCCCACCACGGTACTGCAGAAAGACCCCCAGCAAATATTCTCTCCTCTCAGTCACGTGGTATCGTATCCTGCTGATGGGTTTCAGTAAATGTGAAAATGTGACACTCAACCATCACGGTCAAGGATGATGCAATGCGTCCCCCCCCCCCCCCCCCCCCGAGTCTGAAAACCTACTGAATGAACAAAGTTCTGGGGGCCCCTTGAGGTTCTGTGAAGTTCAGATCCGAGGCCGTTCTCTCGCAGCAGTCCCAAACTTCAGCTGCTGTCACCTTCACCCCCCCTCAGCTGGGAGGAGACCCGTCCCCCGTCAAGGCCCCCGTTTCCCACAATCCCGTCACCATGGTTTCCACCGCTTAACACACTCCCTCCCCTACTCTGCAAAGATGCTGCACAGGGCTGTAACAAGATACACACAAAGGTAATTTTCCACAGAGAAAAAGAGCTCCGTAATAACTGCAGTAGTGACGCACAACAAGCATCTGATAGCTGGCGTGGGGGCCGGGGGGCCCGGCGCCCTGGTGATGTGCAGTTACGTTTGGGGCGGTTCGGCCATTGTTCTAAAGGAGGAGGACCCCTCGGTTTGCCCATAGCAGGACTTGGTTTTTTTTCTACGGTGAACTGTTGAGTTATTCAAAAGCCCAGATCTCTATGTCCTGAACATAGAAATCCTCCTTTTTTGAGAGCATGGGGTTCCCAAAGGTCTTACAGGAGTGACTCCTGCCGTGGTACAGATCTCCGTCCAGCCACAGGCCAAACTCACCGCTGAAGGAAAAGAGAACAAACTGAGCAGGGGAGCCGCAAACGTACAAACTCTGATCTGCCTCTTCCGCAGAATTATTTCATTTAGCTCCTTGGAACTCGTTTCGTTAGATTTATTTCAAACAAATGTCGCTGGAAGAGATTTCTGGTTACTCGTGTGCATCACCGGCAGCTCGGCTCACCTGCCTCCACCAAAAGCTAAGGAGTCCATATCTCCCTTCATGAAGAACATGTTGTCCCCCGTCCACTTGTAGACCTGTCGCAGACACAGCAGAGCACATGTTAGACGTATGACGCGTTAAATGCTGGTATGGTCTGACATTGCTTGGAACAGAACACATGCGTGTTTACCTCCTGTGTGGGTGAGCGCAGACCCATCAACACACAATGTAACACAAAGTAACGCAAACCGGGGCACGTGGACCAGGAGCTGCAGTGCGGCACCAGCTCAAATGATTGTTTTTAAATCAATGGAATCTTTAAAGAGCAAAGACTTCCCATCCGGAAAGAGCAGTCTAGTGCCAAGCGGCGGAATGTATTAGACAAACTGAACATCAGCTGGTCTGCGGTCACATGGCGCACTACACTTCAAGTGGCTACAAGACGGCCGAGGTTATTGTATCGCCAAAAGATCCGGGCGGCTCACAGGAGGCCGCCTGTCTGTCAGAGCGAGCGACCTGTGACCTTCCCTCCGCCAGTGAGTGAGAGACAGCGACGTTGCTCAGACTTCTCCGGAGTGAGAAGCCTCCTGTAGTTGCGTCTGTACGCGAGGAGCAGCTCCATCGGCCTCCACCGCTGAACCGCTCGGAGCATTGAAAGCGGTGGTGGGATAAAAATGAAAAATCGCACCCCCAGGGTTTTTCTTTTTATCACTCACAGACAGCAATCGAGTAGTGAATTTAAATATTTGAAACCTATTAAGCGACTGCCTTAAAACAAAAAGTCACATTTTGATAGAATGTACATTTGTAAAAAGCTACCAACTTAAAACAGGATTGCAGTGTACCTGGAACTCTGGGTTGAAGGAGAAGAGGAACGTCTCTCCTGTGCCGTAAAAGCCGTCGCTGATTTTAAAGGGCTCAGACGCCAACGCACCAAACACCTGGAGACAGAAACACAAGTCCGGGAGGGGGGTGATTACAAAGTGAGTCAAGCGGAGAGTCCATGCACTACTTAAGCGTTGCGGCCTACCTGGGCCGTCGCTGTCCTTAATGACCATGAGCACGGGCGTGTCCTGGCCCTGCATGGCCCGGTACAGACTCTTGATGCTCATGCCGTGCTTTGATGTGCCGAAGGCCAGCGTCCACGGGTACCCAATGGTCCGCGGTGGGAGATTCCTGGCCAGCTGTTGAGAATGAGAAAGGAAATGAAAGGCAGCAAAGGCCGCGGCCACCAACGCTCAATTACATCTGCGGTGACCTTTGAACACTGCTTGGTGTTTAAAGGGGAGTAACAAGGCTCCCAACACGCAGCGCAGGCTCGGGAGAACGAGAGGTCCGGCGCTCCCGGCGAGCCGGCAAACCCGAGGATTACCGGTCACAGCGGCGGAGATAAAGCCGACGGAGGAGCAGTGCAGTCTAGATAAAACGGACACAGCCCTTTTAACAGTATGCTGCACCATTTGCTCCAATTGAACGCCTTTAAAGACCCCGTTCGTTGTCCAGTAATTCTTCGGCTTCTCTACGCTTATTTTTCTGCGTAATCAGCAGCCACGAGCAGACTGAAGGAGACTGGAGCTCTGAGCGCCATCCTGCAGGGGACTAGAAGAAGCTGCACTGCAATTTATCTGCAAATATGCCGACTGGGACTCATTGGGAGCCGTGTGTGTGTGTGTCTGTCTGTCTGTGTGCAACGCCGCAGCCCAAACAACAGGACAGGTTTGGGACTCGTGAGACTTCATGCAGCCGTCGTCTTTTCATAAAGCCACTTACCCGTTTGACATAATTTAATATAAATTTCAATTTCATGACATGTTCTGTGTTGTAATACTTAATCACAGAACAAGTTGTCCGCTGTAGAGCCACAGAACCAGAACCCAGAGGAAGGTGAGGAGAGAACCGATCCACACACAACATGAACAAGCTGCTTTGTATTTAAATCAGGGCTGTATTGAACATCACTGTTTTTAACATTCAAAGCTTCTATTGAATAAAGGAGGGTCTCTCGTGATGCCATCTTGAAATGAAAAGAATCCTTAAGTTAGATTCTGTTTGACTAAAGCGATCTATCGGATGAAATGAGTTTCTTTTTGATCCATTTAATTCTGCCTTCGATGAATACAAGTGTGCAGTGGGAGAGCAGTTTTAAAAGCTAAATGCCGACCAATATGGATTGAAGCACAATATTTGGTCTTCTTTTATTAAATACATTTTGACTCAACCACAAGTTATTGGGAGTGTTTGGATCACACTAACCAAACAATCGTACGCAGCCCCACTGGAATCTGACTGTGCAAAGAATATGGTACTAATTAGAATAGTGTAGCCTGATCTTTATTTGATTTGAATGCTGCGCAGCTTTTATCTTTGAGTT